CGGAAGATAGCATCTGGCGGCGGCGTTCCATAGAAGTCAAGACAAAGGCGTGAACCATTCATTTTTTCATTCTTTTGCATTTTCAAGACAGGGGAATCAAAACACTGGGCCGCTGTTTGACACGGATTTCCCGCTGAGCCGGATCGGTAAACGTCTTTTTGGCAAAGTCGATTGGGGGGCACTTGGGCCGCTTGGGTCACTTGAGATCTCTTTTCAAGCGATGGTGACGTGCGACGGATTGGCACTTGGTCTGGCGGAATATAGGTGTAGCGTCAGGCAAGTGTGACTAGATCAGGTGTACTAGGATTTGGTTTTTCTTGAAGGTATATTCATCATGGTCTGGTCAACTCTTTGGTAGCTCAATTTCGGTCTGTCTGACTACTTGAGATCTCAATTTTTGTCTGCTTGTTTTGAACTTTAGGTTGATTCCAAGGATCTGAAGATTTTTCATCTTTTTAGAGCAGAGTAGCCTCCGCAAAATTACGTAATCGATGGCTTTTTGAATGGCGAAAAAAGGTGAGAAAGGGACAGGTGTTGTTGGGTGGCCCCCCATGGAGTGATTCCTTAAAAGGAACAATACGTTTTGAATTTGGGAAAAACCTCTCGAAAAGTCCATCTGCTTCGGGTTGTCACACCTGATGAAATTGTGAAAATTCGAAAAAAAAATTCAGACCTTTTATTTTTGATATATTTAAAAAAGAGTATCTACGAAACTCATGAATTATCATTCCTCTTCTGCCCATCTTCTATAATTCGTTGTCTTCCTCTTCCTTTTTATTTGAGCTTGCGCAATCTCTTTCAGAACATTGGCACTTACTCCCCCAAAAAATTGTCACTTTTATAAGTAGCTTGCGTAAATCTCTGTGTAAACAGTTTGACGACACACCATGTAAAAAAGGGCAAAACCTACAGGAACGGCCGCGCATAATTGGCTAAAATCGAGGCTTAGCTTTTTTCATTCTGTTGGATTGTAAAAAAAAAAGAAGAGTACCGCCCTTTTGCGTCGGTGAAATTTTGATGCGTGGCGGATCCCTTTTATTCTCTCTTCTTCTTCGGTCCGTTCCATTCTGCAAAGCTTCATTGTGTTCTTTAATGGCATTGCATGGGATTACGGTTGGTTTTTTGAATCGTAATAAAGTTTTTGTCCTTGCTGTGCCCATGAAATTCGTTTCGATCCTATTTTTTCGTATTGAAGGCGGGAAGAAATTGATCCTTTCCTAAGAAATTTTGGGGCTTGTGAATTACGAGTTAGAGTAAAAATAAGACTTTATATTTAAAATCGAGTTCCTCTAGAGCTTCGAGAATTCTTAATTTCCCGTCAATTCTGAGACTACATAAATACAAAGAGATCCGGATCTTCTTGATTATTTTTCTGTTTTCTTAAGCTTTATTAAAATGAAGCCTAGTTGAGCTCCACATGCACATTGCCGAAGCTCGCTAACCAAACAAATAAGGATCAAAACCATAAAACAAGACGCCGATAATGGGATTTGGACAGGCCAAGGCGTTAATTACAAATCCCGAACGGCTCGCCTTGAGGCGGCGAACCCACGAAGCGGAAAATCCATTGGCGGACCACCACCTACCAATTTGGCTTGCCGCCCAGGCTTCTGACGGGATTATATCAGTTTCCTCCAACTGTTTCGTTTGGCTCTAGAAAAAGCTCTTTTTAACTTCTAAATTCAAGGAACCTTACAACATAGCCGAGGAGGAAATAGCTTTCAATGTTTTTTTCTTTCAAAAAAGCCTTTCCGCCGGAACGGCGTTAGAAGAACGGCTTCTCATCAGTGCGAGGCGACAATTGGATTTTGTCTTTCGCCAACAAATGGAGCGCCGCTCCTGACATTTTCCGCAGCGGTTTTATTTTTGCACGGAGTCGCAGGTGATATCGAGAGCCGATAGAACTTTTCTTGAGTTTTCGTCGAGAAACTACTTTTTGGTCGTCTATTTTTAGCCTGCTTAACTTTTTCCATAATTCAACTATCAAAGGCGACTTCGCTTAGGATTTATATTTGTTTTACTAGGAAAATTCCCCCTCGGTTGAACTTTTTGATGAAACTTTTTCTGAAGTGTAGTTTAGAACCTCCTGATTGCAGAACAAGAAAAAAATGATCTCGTTTTCGACAAATTAGAGCAAAACAGCGCTATTTCGGACTTCTGAAGCGTCCTAACTCGAAAACCAGACCTATTGCGAAAAAATTTTTTTCTTGTTTTGCAAGCAGGAGATCCTAAAGTACACTTCAGGGAAAAATTTCATCAAAAAGTTCAAGGGGGGGGTGAAAAAAATATGAAAAAATAATTGGGTTGGTCTGCTTAACTTTTTGGCATCCGAAATTCCTTCCTTCGTTTTTCCGTCCTCTCTCCAACTTTTTGACGTTCGTTCCAATGACAATTTTCCAAAAATCATGACTCTCTCCAACTTCAAAAACCCAAAAAAAAACCTCTTGAAAGCCGTTTGACCGACACAATTAGCCGGCTGGAGCCAACCAAATGTTTCAACGGCTCGTTTGTGCGTCTGTTTTGTGTTGTATGTATAGACGAGTGCTGTTGTTGTGTGTGTGTGTGTGTGAATGAGATGGCGATTCAGAGGAAAGAATGCGAGTCGCAAAAAGCGCCGCATGTCAGTTGTCAGAAAAATGCTCTCAACCACTACTCACGTCGAGGTTTTCCTGAGAGCCCAAAAGTCGAGGAGCCCAAGGAACTCTGAGTACGATGTTTTAGTGGTTTTGCTGCAAGAATTCCTGCTGAGTTTTTTGGTGCTTCTAGAAGTTTGAAACTTGGGACTAGCCTAGGATCAGCTCGACATATTTCTTGGCCCAGTCAGACCCAGAAAAAAAAAATAAAATTCAAAAATTTTGTCAATGGTTTCCCTTCTCAAAATTTTCAAAAAAAAGCTCAAAATTTTTCCAAAATCTAATATGAAAATAAAGTCAAGAAACGAAATCGGTCATTTTAAAAAATATTTGAATAGGAAAAAAACTTTCGTTTGACACTGACAAAACCTTTTTGCCATCGCTAGTGGAAGGGGCGTGTCCTGCCTGACTGCCGTCGACTCCGCCCACGTTCTTGTTCTGCACGTGGCGACGGCGATGGTGCAACCTCGTAGAGCTCCTCCCATTCTCGCACCTATTGTTTTTGATCGGAAATAGTCTGATCCGATCAATCATCACACTTTTTGGTTTAATTTCACTGATTTTGCTCGTTTTGAAGTTTGTTCAGTTGGATCCAAAGATGTTTTCATGTTTAGAAATTTTTTTCAGTCAAAAAACTCGTCAATTAGTATAAATTTCAGTCATCTTCCATTATTTTTTTGCTGTTTTTTTTGTTTAATATCCCTACTGTTTTTTTACTAAAATTCTTTGAAAGATTATTAGGTATGTTTCGCTTTTTTTTTTTTGAAAATTCCATCCTCCTGCATTTGCTTTTCCCCTTTCTACCTCCGGCCGTGATTCGATTGTTAATCATTGTTTTTGTTATTGGCCTCCTGCATATCAGGGCTCGAAGCGTCTAAATATGCCCTAAATATTCATTGACAATCCTCTCACGGCTTCCCATTGTCCTTCCTGCGCGGCTCGCTGAGCTTTTCACCTATATTTGGCGCTCTTTCGTAACTCCTACTAGTGATTCGTTTGGCTCCTACAAATTAGTATGAATAATAAGGTGTTTACGACGAGATTTCATAATTTTTTTGAGCCTCGGATCTTTGGAAAGAGTTTTTTTTATCATTCTTTCTCCAATTTTTCCTCTCTGGTGAACCTATCAAGAACCAACAAATAAAGGCCCCCATAGAGGCCAGTTTCCTCTCCTTCCAAGCCTCATTGATATTAATGATATGTCATAATGGTAGAACAAATTATCGGCTGGCGGAAACCAGTTGTTTGCCCTTTTTTGGCGGTGCTGCGCTTGCTGGCAGTTTTCTTTGGTTTTTCAGCTAATCTTTTGGAATGAAACATTTTCTTTGACTTCTAGAGGGTCACCCTCTGTGCCGTCCATTTTTGGGACCCGAAACGGCCGCGCGATATAATATCTTCATTTATAAATTTATTTCCACTGACAAATTTCGAAGAAATTTTATTGAAAACCTCACCACAAAATAGATTTTTCACATTAACTTCTCACCCTTCTTACTGTTATAATGCATTGAATTCTAAAGCTCATACATCAAAAACATTTTTCAAATCCGTTCAGCATAATGAAAAGGCCAATTGCTCCTGAAGAATGGCTAGGTCAGAATGGAAAAAATCGGAGCGTGAAAACGGCCACCCGAACACAGAACACACACACGTGATAATGGGTCGTGTAAAGTTTTACGGGATGTGAGAAAATGAGAAAACCAACAAAAAAACTAGCGACGACAGGGCCATAGATTTGCGTTTTTGCCGTCAAGGTTTTTAGGCAAAAGAGCGATAAAAACAAATCTTTTTCGGTTAATGGGAAACGCAGCACCCGCAAAACTGAAAAGCCTAGAACACATCTTTGGATGCCAGAAAGTTGAGCAGATCCTATTTGTTCATTTTCTTCCTACGAGTTTGAATCATGAGCGAAGTTGAATTTGAAATGCTTTTTTTTCTCACAACGTCCTCCATTGTTCTTCCTTCCATCCGTTTTCTGTATTGATCTCAAAGACGATCTCCCGTAGTTTACATCTTGAGCTTCTCGCCAGTCGTGTGTTGCTCTGGTAAATGTTTATTATGACTCGGCGGGGTCGCTTGAGGTCGCTTCTTGGACTTTTGGCTTTCCGGACGTTCTTCCCGATTTTTTGATGTCTTTTTAAATCTTTCTTCTCTTCGATGATAATCATGATCAAAAAAATTTACAACTTCATCTCGGAAACGCTTTTTCACTGTGCACGCTCAAGAGCGAAAGTGAAAGAGCTGTGAACAACAGGTGTAACACGCACGCGTATTATCTTTCCCTTTCCGCTTCCTCTTTATTTGATTTTTTTGTTCTGATTGATTGTAAAAATCATTTGCAGGTGACCTATGAATAGAAACTGAAAGATGGACGAAGAGCTGAAGTGTGCGTTTTGCCGCCGATTTTTCGACGACCCGATTTTGCTCAGCTGCGGTCATAGCTATTGTCGGCAATGCGCTTTGAAGGTGGGCAATAACTTTTCTTTTTTTTAATCTTTGCTTTTTTGAGATTTTTGAAAAGTTTTTTGAAAAGAGATTTTTGAAAAGCAATAAAGTTCTGTAGAAGTAATGAAGTTCTGTATTTTTTTATTATGGGGAAGTTTTTTTGCGCAAAAATTGTTTTAGGGCGGTTTTTTTGAAGTTATTCGAGGTCTATTATGATTCTATTTCTGAAAAAAATTTGAAAAATTATCAAGTCAACATTATTCAGCTGCGAAAAGCCGAATAAAAAAATGAATATACCATTTTCTCAAACTTCATGTTACTACTATACTCCAGAAACACAATGGGAACCAGAAAACTATGAAAAACAAGGAAATATGGTTCCGCATTTTTTCGCGGACACTGGCTGTGCGAAATAATAGTTTTAGAAATATTTTTTACTTACTAATACCGTAAAAATCATTGAAAGGTTTTCACTGACTACAAAAAGCATTGGTTTGGAATGGAAATCGTGATAAGTTTGGAGCTTTCAAAGACTTTCGGATCTGTTTTAAAGATATCATGTTTAAAATACCCCCTCTACAGATCCACCAACCATGCTCGATGGCGGCGTCAACGGCGACGCCAACGAGGCCATCGACTCCCGGCGCGATTTGTCCACCGACGCCGTCGCTCTTCAACCAGATCCTGTCCGGCAGTCCGCTGTCGCCGCAATGCAGCAGTGGTCAGCCATTTTTTTTTGCATCACATATGCTGTGTGCCCTGGTCGGCTCGGCTCCACCAACAAAGTGGACAATTCGAAGTTTGGCAGACCGAAAGAAAAAAAATAGAATGAGTGGTCACCCGACCAATTGGTGCTTATAATATTTGATGAATGTGTGGCGGCGAGGTCAAATGCCAAGTTTTTGAATTTTCTTCTCTTTTGATCGAAACATTCATTTGGTTTAATTTTTATCATTAATATCATCAATTTCTTTCAAACTTTTATTTTCTAAACTCAAAATTGGATCATACATCTCTGATTTTAGGAGCCTCTGACACAATGTCCCTGTGCATATCTGACGGCGACCATGAAAGCGACAAACTTTCGGTTGTTTCTGAAACTGATTCCGGCGTGATCTGTGGTCCTGGAAGTGCTGGACGGCCCAGTCGGCCTTCGTCGATCATCGGCCCGCCGTTGTCGTCGTCAAGGCTTCCGAGCATCCTGACACCTTCGACGAGTGGTGTTCAACTTGTTTGCGGTACTTTTTTTCCTTTTTTTAATGCTGGTTATTTTTATTTCAAAATGAAAAATATAGTATTTATTTTTTTTGATCACGTTCCTTATAGGATCCTGCCAGAAATCTTCGTATTACTGCGACGAGAATGCAATCGCTAACGCCCCTTGCAACATTGCCGTTCAAAATGTTATTTCCCGGTACTTGAACCAACACCCGCACTTGGCGCCTAAAGATCGGCCACTGACCCCCTCGGAGCAAGAAATATCAAAAACTGAAGCATCCTGTCAGGTTTGAAATTTTTTATGGTTTTCAAATAATATTCTAGTTTTTAGCTCTGCGATGGAAGAAGTCGTGCAGCGACTGTATTTTGCGAACAGTGCGAGATTTACTACTGTACGCCGTGCCAGACGGCCCTACATCCGGCGCGAGGACCTCTGGCGAAACATACGATGGTCACGCCGGAGAAACGGTTTTTTTTATACTGAAATCAGTGAAGACCAAATTGGGTTGAAAAATAGTTAGTTACAAAAAAGTGAGACCAAAGATCAGTTATCAAAAAGTTAGGCAGACTAAAAATCTATTATAAAAAAAGTTAAGCAGACCCAAAGTCATTTTTGAAAAGTTAAGCAGACCAAAGTTCAATTATGTAAAAGTTAAGCAGACCAAAAATCAATTATAAAAAAAGTTAAGCAGACCAAAGTTTCATTTTTTTTAAATGCTCCATCTCCTTCAAATACGATGCTTTCAGAAGAGCAACAACTCCGAGAACGACGAGAGATGTTCTGAAGTGTGTAGTTCATGCGTCGGAGCTGCTCACAATGTACTGCCTCGCATGTAAAACGCCAGTCTGTTCCAGATGTTTGCAGGTATATGGTCTCCTTAACTTTTTTTCTTATGTTTGTTTTTTAGGATATTCGGCACATGAACCACGACGTTCAATCGCTTGCCTCGACGTCGAAAGCTCACAAGGTGGGGGTTTTTTTAATCATATGATTTTTTAGAATATGGGAAGTTGGTGAGATTTGAGGGGTTATACTTTTTTCTGTTTTTTAAATCTCTTCGGCTCAAATTACCAACGATTCTGAGACAAGAACGTCCTTGCCATTCAAGAATTGATTAGCTAATAAGTCAAAAAAGGAATGGCAAAAAAACGGCCTCAACGCGGTAGACAAATAGGCGCCGCCTGAGCATTTGTGCCTAGGAGTGCGCCAACCGTAATAATTAGCTGAGGTTTCGGTGGTTCTGTGCGGTAATTTCGGCTCGAACGTCAAGGGCGTCCATTCATTTATTTATGTTTTGTTCTTGGCCGGTTGGAAGGGAAACTCATTAGGGTACACAACAAAAGGAAAAAGTTCGGGAAAATCCAGAAAAGTTTCATTTTCAAAAATTGCTTCATACGATTAGATTGAGCTTCATGTACCGATCGCAAATGTAAAACACTGAAAATTGGCTTTTTTTTCTCGTTTCTCTGTTGTTTCGAGCTTAATATTGCAGTTTTTTGTCGGTCTAATCAAAGTTTTTGACGATAGAAGGGAGCGGAAGGTCTAGAAAAATTTTGAAAAATTGTTTTCTATGGAAAAAAGTACAACGAAAACCCTCATTAACCACTTGTAGAAAGCTTCACGGGTTGAGTTGAGTCAAGCATTAATGTTTAATTCGACTCGAATCGCCAATCTGACTTGGGAAGGTAAACGGTTGGTGAGAGGCTAATTAACGAGCGGATGCGTAGGGATTAATGGCGCGATGAGCATCCGCCAGACATAATCTGTAACCGGATACCGAGGCAACCGGTGTTTCTTACCTGTTTCCTGGGTAATGATCGCGTGAACGAGTTTGACCTTTTCCGGTTGTTATTCTTATTGGAGAAAGCTATCAAATGACTTCATTGAGAAAAATAGCTCTCTTAACATTTGCACTTTACGGAACATTTTAGTTTCGAATGAAGAGCGATTTCAGAATTGTTTCTATCGAAACCGTTCCTTTACCGCATTCAATCCGAGCATGTCAACATTAAACGTTTCTCGGGGCGTTTTCGACCTCTAAAATCACCGCTTAATTAAGAATTCAGGTGTTCAAACTAGGGGACACACTTTGCATGCGTAACGTAAGTCAAAAAGTCTTCTTGGCAATTTGGTGGCCGAGTTTCTTCTCCAACGGAGAGGGCAAATGTCCTTCTTGCGTGAAATGGCCGCAGATGACATGTCACACTAGTGGACCACGGCCGCTTCCTAATAGCCCTGAGGGAGTCTAATAAGATGGAGAAGAGCACCAAGTGCTATACGAAGAAAGTTTTAGTTTTTTTTGGAGGGGATTAGTAACTGTCCTAAAAAAATTTTTAAGATCAAGTTGGTGAGCTTTAGAGTTAATTTCAGATGTTTTTTTTACAAAAACCTTTTTTTTATCTTCTCATCTATTGACTTAACCCAAAGTAGTAGTGTATAACTATATCAGTTGCATATTGGTTGGGTAATCGAAACCGGGTGTATGGCTAGAGAATCAGTTTGCATTGAGGATTAACTACCGTTGTTTGCCGTTCTCACGACGATCACTCGTTTTTGGTGGGCATTGGTTTTGAGTCTGATTGCTACCAGCTCTTCACAACAAGCAGAAAGTCTGATAAGATGGGAGAAGGGGTCGAGTAGGAGAGAAAGGCGAAATCGAGAAGCTTATAAGTATGTGCGATCGTATTTCTGCGTCGGCGGACGGACTCGGAACAGACAAGTTACTATTAGACCTTCTCTCCTCGTAAGACATTGATATTTGAGACGGCTCCGTCCGTGAGCTTCATAGTCGTTCCGGCTTCTCGCGCTGTTTTCGTTGGTTTTATAACAAGGGAAAAGGGCTTTGAATGTTGGGTGAGAAGAAGCGCGAAACCTGGGAGAAACAGCCGAAAATACTCATTATTGTGAGCTCTATCGATAACGGTCTTTTATTTAATGAAAGGTCGAAAAGAAAAAGTTTTACTTGTTTAATTGGTAATCAGAAGATGAACTGAAAAATTAACAACCACAAACTTTTTTAAAATAAGAATGGGCTGTAGTTCGGTTCCATCAATTTCTCAGATCCTTGGAGAAACTTGGCTTTACATCCGTTCCCATTAACGTTTTTTTTTTCTCGCCATTGACCCATGTGGTCATTTCATTCGAAGTCTTTTTTCCTAGCGTCGAGCTGAGAGAAAGTTTAATAAGATAAGAGTTGCGTAAGTCTTGCGGGTGCAAAAATTATTACAGTTGTGTCAACCAACCGGAGCATCTTCCCAGAGGAGATGTGTAACCTTTTGAGCCGGATTTTGATGAAGTTTGATGGTGATGAATGGCCTGAAAATGTGCCAAAACGTTGCTGACCCTGGGATTTTGAGCGAAAAAATGATACTTTGAACTTTTTTTGAGTTCCAAGGAACTGAGGAGGAAAACCATTGGGCTAGAACTTTTTCTTTCTAAGTATTTCATCCCTCGAACCAGTGGTTTTTGTTCAAACCAAAACGTTGTGCAGAGACAAAGATAAGTCAGAGTTACGCGATTGACCGGGTCAACCGCAAGCCAACCACTTTGTGCCAAAGGTGCAAGTCTCACAATCTTCTCCAACGGCAAGGGTCGAACAAGACAAATGACGTGTTACTACAAGCCATCTCGGCGCCATTTGATCTCGCAATTTCGGAACAAGGCAGGACAGGTACATCTGTCAGGTGCGAGACATCGTAAACTCCGATTCGTGACCAAAGCGGCGGTGGCTCTTTTTTCGGAAAAGTGTAACTGGTTGAGCACTGTGAAACGTTGACTTTTGGGCTTCTCAGAGGGGGAGAAATAAATTGCGACACTACTGAATGAAGAGAAAAAAGAGATCTGCTGAAAAAAACATTATCTTGCGCCTCATTCATAAATCTTTCTAACTTTCAAGTTCTGCTATTGAATTTCAAGGGCGCTTTTATAAGTTTTTTTAACAAAGTTTTTGAAGTTTCACATCAATTTCATAGCTTGAAAATCTCTCAGAATCTTCTATTTACCTCCATTTTGAACTCAAAACTAGATGAAGACTTTTTTTTTCTCGGCTGGAAAATAAAATTTGAGCCATTCTCCTCCATTGCGTCACAAGACGGAGACAATCGGTCATAACTCCAATTGTCACCAACGCGTAAACGGTTGACCGATTAGCAGGAGGGTCTCTTCTTCTCTCCTCAAATTTCGAGCAGCATGATGGAGTGGTTGGAATGGAACCCAAGAGAGATGCTCTCCTTATTATTGTTGAGATCATGGGATTCGAATGACAATAAACAGAATGGATGAGCTTTCTTCATTTTTCTCGAAAATATATTTTCTGATAGTTCTAATTCAAGTACATTGTTTGAAAGGCTAGCTAGAAAATGGAAAAATGGCTGTTGAACTCAGAAAAGCCGGGGAAATCCCATCATTTTCGACTCAAAGTAATGAGCTCATTGAGCAAACACGTGGACCAGAACTCGTTCAACAATCGGCAATACGTCAAACGGATGTCGATGCCCAATTTGCCCCTCGTTAGAACCCACATTGATGGTTTTTTTTTCTGGATGAGAGGACTGTCTTTCGGAACATCTGCGTGGAATTCAGTTGAGAAGCTCTTGGGACCCTCAAAAATGGCTAGAGATTTTTAAATTTGAAAAGCAGACTGTCAAGCTTGACTTCAGGGCATATACATTTTCTAAATTGAACCGTCGATGCCCACTCTTTTTCCAGCATTTTTGGATAGAGTACATCTTCATCTCTGAAACTTCTCAATCGCTAGTCCTCCCCATAGCAACTGTAAACCTAAACGTTTTGCGCCAGAAACGAGAAAAACTCATAAATCGCCAGAGCACTCGCGAGGAGGACTGTGTTTGGTGCGTAATTATTGCGGTTTTGGAGCTCCTCGGGACCTTAGGAGATTTACGGTCGAGTCGCAAAAGATCGCATCTGGCGCCGCTCAACTCGCGCATCATTTGTCACAGTTTTGTTTGGGAAGGCGACGAATCGTCGATGAATGGGTTATCAGTTTCTGTACTAAAAAAAATGGTTGAGAGCTTGGAAAAGTAGTATGTTCAAACTGATCATCTTGTCTCAGAAAACTAGGGATTTTTTTCAGCCCCCTCGGTCGAAATTTTGATGAACATTTCCTGAAGTCTACTCTAGAACCTTCTGATTCGAGAACAAGAAAGAAATCTTTTGCAATCCTTTTCGTTTTTAATTTAAAAGCTTCAAAGTTTGCAAAATCTACTCTAGCTAAAAATGTCCGCTGCTAAGGCTTGAGACGGCTGTACTACACCTCAAAGTATAGAAAAAGACCCCACAACTGATTTTGGAATTAACCTTGCGACACTGTTAAAATGAGTAATTGGCCGCTGTCGACGTGGCGGTTGACAGATTGCTCGACGTCGCGCAACCACAACATCTGCCTCGTTCATAGTTACGCAACCACGGCGCCTTTTCTTAGGTCCAAGAAAAGCGGCGCCGGGATTAGCGTCGCTGTTTGCAAACCATTACGCAAACCGGGATCTCGGCTTACCTTTGTTCTGAATTTTTGATCAGGTGGAAAGTGTAAAGTTTGTCGGTTGGGACTCTTAGAAAGGCGATTCCTCCAGAACTTCTTAATGGCTCAGAAAGAACGACTTTCCAGTTGAAACTTGAAAAAAAAATGTAAGCTGCAGTGGCTTCTTTGCAATTTTGAATTCGAGCCGCAGATTCCCAGGCTTCTTCGAATCCGTGTCACAACATGTTTATTTCCCTGTCAAGACATAAATGATGGATGCTTTTTACGGGAGGAAAAGGACCATGCCTTTCTTTTTGTTCAAGATAACGTCCGAGCGTAATTTCGACTCTCCGGCGGTTGTCCTGCGTTTTGATTGATGCCTTCCTACGTTTTTAGGCCCTCCTGGCATATTATACACGTTTAATCGGAGCTGTGAGAAATGAATTTTCGGGTCTTGATGAAGTAAGGGATCAGAACCTCTTGAGCTGCAATGAAATCTACTTTTTGTACTTTTTGTTCATGAAAAGTACATGAAACTAACTAGAGCCCATAGAAACTTGCTCCGGATTCACCGGAAGTATAGCGACGCGACGGGGAAGACGTGAGCCATGAGGGTCTCAAAATTAGCCTAATTCCGACGTCGTCGAAACCTCTTTTCAAACCAATTCTTCTCCAGCAAGCGTGAAACAACAACGTGAAAAACTCTCAATCTTTTGGATTTGGGGATTCCGATGATCGTATAGTAACGAAATATTTAGGGGTTACTGTATTCAAGTTCCGCAAAAAGTCGTGACAGTGAAAGCTGCTAAATTTGAGAAAACAATTTTTATTTTTTGTTCATTTTTTTCTCTCTTTTCGTTGTTTTCATCAGGTTTCTATTTTTTAGCCTTTTTGATTGCATTATAAACTTTGCTTTTTGGTGGTGGGTTTTTTCTCCAACTATTGAAAAATGTAGCTTTCGAGCTGTATTTTTAAAATAAGATCTTCCGAAAAATCGAGACTTTTCATGATAGAGAAGGATAGTATAATAAGGCAAAAAAATATTCAAAAAAAGTAGTTTAATTTTTGAATAATAGTTAACTTATCACTCTATTGGAAACTTTACCTCCTTTTTTCGCGCACCACTATTAATCATCCTCCTATAGGATAGACCCAACAAGACATATTGGTTTTCGACACGCGTGCGCGATAATGAACACGAAGATCAGCTGCTTCTTCGAATTTCCAATTGTAAATGTTGCACAAGACAAATTATTGGCCTTGCGCACGGTGTAAACCAATGTTGTATAAATTGATAGGTTTCGGTGCTCGGCTAGAGTTTTTACGGGAAAATCGACGCGATAATTTATTGGCCTGGTGGTTTTTACAATGGAGATGGGAGTTTAAGCTGAACGAGGGAGATGGCTTTGGAAAGATCGAAAATTATTCCGCGAAAGAATTTATTGTTTGAAATCCTTGTTGAGAACCTCATAAAGAGATTAACTTCTTCCGTCGAAGAACTTGTCAAGAATGTCAATTTTTTCAGAGTGAACTCTCATCTACTTTGCAACAGCTCAGCGAAAAAGCGAGGGCGGCGACGGAGGAAATCGGACGATTAAAAGCGTTGCAAGAAACGATTAATGTAATTAGACACTGAAAAATCAATTATAAAACTCATATTTTCAGAGAAATTGCGATGATTTCAAATCAAAGGTTTGTATCGACGTCGACGCGCTCATTGAACAGCTCCAAATGCGCAAGGAAAAGCTCATGAGCCATGTTGAGGAACAGAGAGATTTCAAGGTTTTCCAAGAGAAGAAAAATAATTCTGGATAATGGTATCCATTCAGAAACGTGTTTTACGTGAGCAAATCACTCGATGCACTGGAAAGTTGGGAAAAACGACGGCTCTCATCCAATTTTGTATCGAAGTCTTGAAAGAGCCCGATGCGGCCACGTATATGCAGGTATGAACTGTTTGAAACGTACTTTTTTCAACTTTAAAGAAAAATGAATTTCAATAAAATCTCTTTGAAAAAATGAAAGGCTTCTGAAAAGATTTCTCGAAATTTAGAGAAAATTTAGTCTTACTGAACTCGAATGAAGCCAGAAGGCTTAGTAACTCCAGAGTGGTCCCTATAGGGACAACCTTAAGGACCCTTGGAGAAAGTGACCATTATAGAGGTATAAATTAAGGTGGTCCCTATCAGGGTTTAAGGTCTGATCTCTTAGCCTCTAAAGCTTAAGTGTTCCTTCTAGGGGTCTTTCAATTTTATCCAAAAAACGCTCATTTTGAGTCCCTAGAGGGCCACTAAAGCTTACAAAAGTAGCCCCTATAGGGGACAGCCTAATCGACAACTTTTATGTACTCTACGCGAAGAAGCATTTCCTTGCGAAATTAAATAAATAAGGTATTTTCGAAAAATTTAAAGGCCCCTGTAGGGACCACTCAAGCTTTAGAGGCTGAAGAGTCAGACCCTAAACCCCTATAGGGGCCAGCTTGATTATACCCCTATAGGGACTACTTTTTCAGTCCCGATAATGGTTGTTTTCTCCCTACCCCCTAAAAGAACCACTATGGAAATCCTAAAGAAGTCAGAGAAAATCAGGGAACATTTGGAGCTGAGAAAATTGATTTTCAAAATATTTGAGAAATTTTTTCCATGAACAGAAGTTAAAAGATTGAAAAAATAACGTTTTTTTTTCACGTTTCTATCCAAGTTTTAACAAAATCGTTGGACCAATTATACTTCTTTTCAGATTTCCAACGTCTTGCTGCGAAGGTCGACGAGCCAAGAGTTCCTCTGGCACAAGGAAATGAAAACGAAACCAGAAGTAGATGAGGAATTCGTGTTGAACCTCGACACGAAGCCGCTTCTCTACGCCATTCACAATCTTGATTTCGCCCAATTGAAAGGTATACCTTTGTCGTGTATTGATAACGTTCTACAAATTAGAGTTTTGGCATGATCCTAAAAAAAATTTTACACGTTTTTTTAGCTGGTCATGGGTCACGGTTCAAAGGTGATGCGACAAGAGGTAGAATATAGTCGTTTTTTTCTTTGATTTTTAGTTTATATCGTACTGTGTTTCGTGGTCGTTGAGCACCATACCGTAGACATTTTTTCCATCTTTAATTTGGTTTTACCTTGAATTTATTTCAATTCACTTGGTTTTTGATTTTTAGGCCATAAGTTGGATCAGAATTTAGAAAATATGCTTTGAAAATGTGTGAATAATAGTGTTATAGCCAATCCTAATGCGATAAATTATATAAAAATTTTTGATTTTTTTGTCTTTTTTTCTGCCATAGATAATGCCGAATTGGAGTATAATTTTTTTACGCTGAAACTAGATTTTAAATAAGATTTTTCGGTTTTAAAGATCAGCGATCTCACTAAAGACAGTTCAAATTAATTTAGCAAAAAAATAATAATAAAAAAATAAAAAGTTTGGGAATGGACACCGCAGCACTCGCACCCTGTTACGATTATTTTCACAATTTTTCAATTCAAATGAGAAGACAAATGCACCAGTGAATTTTCTATCGGATTTGGCTGGACTGTTATGAGTAGGTATAGCCATGGAAAAATTAGCCGTTTTTAAAGAATTTCGTAAATCAACCAGAAGAGAATTGGAATCTCTACTGTTTTATGTAGAAAAAAAGGGTCAGAAAATCTTTTTAAAAAAACGAAATACGATTTTTCACGATTTTATCGCGGCTATTTTTCCTGGCTATCCTTGATTACACTTGGCTGGACTCATAAAAACGTGTTTCATTTGAAAAAGCTGATAATTTCAGTACCAGCGCCGCCGGTTATCGACGCGGCTGAATGTTCGGCTGAAAATAACTCGGTGACGGTCGTTTGGCGGCCAAGGCACGACGGATCCGCCATCGACGGATTCGCCTTGGAAATCGACACCGGCCGGGATGACGGCAACTTCAAAGTGCGTACAGACTTTCCTTAGAGATTTCCGAAGATCTTGTGAAAAATAGGCAGAATTTCCTTTTGAAACAGTCGCTCGTATCTTGAAAAGCGGACGTTTTGAGCATTCCTAGTGATGCCTTTAGGGGCTTCACTACTCTTAAGGGACCCCTAGAAGTGCTCAGAAACGTCCGGTTTGCGTTGCCGAGTTTTTTGATTTAAATTACGATGGAGCAACTTTTCATCTTTCCATCATGAGCTTCTGATCCTAACAACTTGCGGTGGTTCTACAAGAAGCTTTAAAATTCTGAAAATTCAATCTCAGCGTAATTTAAATGACCACATTTTTCCACTTCTCTAGTTTTGCCAGACCTTAAATGAAGTTTTCAGGAAGTTTACTCGGGTCCCGACACGATCTGCACAATCGACGGCTTGCACTTCAATACGGTATACACGGCCCGCGTCAAAGCCTACAATTCGGCTGGCGAGAGCGAATACAGCGAGCCGATATGTCTACAGACGGCTCAAGGTGATTAATGGAAGCTATAAGATTTATTGGAAATTAGAAAATATCAAGAAAAGAAGTAATACTTTTATTTCATTTTTCTGTCATTGTAGCTGTCAAAACCATCAAAAATTTCGAAGAAAGCATATCTAAGGAACGCTAGAGTGATCTCTATAGGGGCTAGAGGAAAATAGTCATTAGGAGACGAAAAACTCCCGCCTGAGCCACTGAGCCTTTAGCTCAAGTGGTCCCTATAGGGTCTTCAAATTTTTGTTTAGATTTTAAAATCAGATTTTCTCATATACTTCATAACATAATCGATTAGAATGTCCCCTATAGGGGCCACTTTTGCAAGCTCTAGCGACCTCTCTAGGAGCAAGTACAGTGGTTTCCAGAGGGGAACCTTCAAGGATTCCCAAGATTGCCCCTATAGGGACCACTCTCGTGTTCTTAAGATTTACATCCAAGTGTATATTTCAACTTGAAAATAAGTAAAAGGAAAAATTCATTTATTTTCAGTCGCTTGGTTCCAACTGACCAAATCGCCGTCCCAACGCGACATGCTTCTCTCCAACGAATGCTCGACGCTCAGCGGATCTTCCCTCGAATATCGAACGATCCTTGGAAGCGTCGGCTTCTCAAAGGTACTTTTAAAACATGAAAATTTCGAAAAAATAACAACGATTTTCAGGGAATTCATTACTGGGAAGTGACTGTGGATCGACACGAAGGCAATTCCGATGTCGTTATTGGCGTCGCCCAGCCGTCGGTCAACAGGGGCTTGATGCTTGGTGAGTCGAAGGAAAGCAATCCTTCTAAAAAATTGGGTTTCAGGCAAGGACCTCCACGGTTGGTCGATGTACGTGGATAGCAAGCGATCCTGGTATCTGCACAATGAAACCCACCATAATCGGATCCTCGGTGGTATTGGGAAAGGTATAATCATTCATTTGAAAATTTAAAGGGTCAGTAAAAATAGATGCCGTTCCGTAGAGCTCTATTGCGTGTCGAACTGTATATAGCCCATCCCGCGCTAGCTTGTCACGTTTTTTTCCTTGCCGAAAAGACCGTATACCAAATTAGATCAAGATTAGGCATTTTCGCTTCAAGACCTTTTTTTTGCTTTATTTTTTAGCAGTTTCGTAAAGCAAAATTTTGTATTTACAGAACCTCTTTCTTTTTTTTTGCGCCAAACGCAATATACTTGAAATTACAATATTTAAAGTCGGAGAAAAAAAGTTTGAACTTTCGCCAAAAACGCGGTTTGAAATAAAGTTGCTCTGTGGACAGAACACGTCGTCACTCGGACCTCGGTAACAAGTTTCTGAGCAATTCTAGGGATCACTTAAGAGCGCTGACACTACTAAAGTGGTCACTAAGAAAACCCCGACACGTCCTTTTCGCGTTACCAATAACCGAGAATTTTTTTGATTTTTCGCTTTTTTTTTCCGTTCCTTTCCAACTTCAAATATTTTTCTGTAGTTTTTTTTCGTTACGCAATAAAAATCTCTACAAATTATTAATTTCTTTTCAAATTCCGTTTTTTCATAAACCTTCTAAAGATGAGTTTTATTTCCAGGCACTGTCATCGGCGTAAAAATGGATTGTGATCGTGGCCGGCTGGAGTTCACGGTAAATGACCGGAAAAGGATTTATGAGAAAGATGAAGCGAATATATACGCGTTCAGGTTGGTTTTGATTTGAAAAAATCCTCAAATTTATGTTTGATCCTACGAAGAGAAGCTCTTGAAATTAAAAAAAAAATCTTCAGGGAATTAAAAACGCACCAGTTTTTGGGAATTCATAAAATTATTGACTTTTCCATTTTTTTTTTTCTAAATTTTAAGTCTGTTTTCCTTATTGTAGATTAGTTCCGTAGCTTCTAGGCTCCTTTTTGAAAGCTCTTCATTGAAGTTTTCAAATCTCTGTTGGAAAATTTTCAGAAAGCCTTGTAAGAATCTTATCAATCAACCAATCAAATAATTTATTTTGTTGTTTTAGTCATTATCATTTATTTTTTCAGTAACATGCCTCGAGGACTCTATTACCCGGCCTTTTCGGTCAATGTGAACGCTTCGATCACAGTTCACACAGGCCTCCGATGTCCTCCGAGCCGCCCATCTTCTGAATCTGACGTCTAGAACACTAATTTCATAGGATCTAAATTTTGTGAAACCTTGCCCCGCACCTTCTGTTCGTTGTCATTACCGTTGATCTTGTCGGTTATTTCCTGTTTTTTTTTTCACCTTTTCATATTCGATTTTCCTCTTTATGTATATATTTCTGAACGCTGAAATTAGAGCAGTTTATCGGCATTATTTTAAATTTTTCATTAAGCAGATTAAAGTATAGTTTCTTTCATCTTCCACTGCCCTTCATGTTTCATTGCTCATTTTTTTCTTATGCATTGCAGTTTTTTTCAACGCCCCCCCTTTTAACAAAACCGGTATAATCAATTTTTTTATCTCGTCTTTGGCGCATTTTAATAATTTTTAAGGTACTTTCGTACCGAGAATAAACTTTCAATTTTTCGTCCATTTGATCATTTTTTTGAGGTACCAACTCAGAAATTACTTTGAAAAAAACTGCAGTGAAAGATCATGAAGAAATACAGTCGATAAGCTTTTTTTTATGAAGAATTTCAGAATAAATTTCTGGAAAAATGGACGGCTTTCATGCGTTGGATTATTTTTTTCAATGTCAAAACGAGAAATGTAATTCCGAGGTCAGTTTTCTTTTGCCTTTTTTTAAATCTTGATATCTGTTTCTCAAAAATATTAAATATCAGAATTATTTTTCAAGTCTAATTTTTCATAGTGAAGGATTTTTAATCTCTTTCTGAGGGTTTTGAGCTTGAACTAACATTTAAGGCTTATATAAATGCTTCTAATTTTTGCTGTGCTTCTTCAAACACCTTAACAAGGTTCTCGTTGGTCTTTTTATGCTCTAATTTGCAAAATTACCGCTCTAAGGAGATTTTCTAGTTTTTGAGCTTTTGAGTATGTTTTTGATTATCAGAAATCATTGCTTAATGGGGTATCACTTTTTTTTTAAATATTTAGTTGAACGATTTCTGACGCCTGAAGGTGCAGAGATGAGCTTGATAATACCTTTCGCAGTTTTTAGTCGCAATTTGGATAACGACCTTTAAAAGGGAAAGGCTCAAAAAATGCTACAAAAGGGTCCCTTCATCGAGCCTTCCGTTTTTCTAGGATTTCTCTAGAGGAACAGAGGATAGGAAGCAAAAAATGGTGCAAAAGAGCCGATGAAATGGCCCAAAAAGGCAGTAAAGAGGAACATTTTTGGAGCCTTTTCGACCCCACCTGACTTTGCCTATTTGTTTAAAAAATCAGCTCAGGAGAAAAACCACGAAGATCTCTACAATAATTTAAAGAAATTCATTGAGTGGCTGCTCAAGCCAGCGGTAAATGGAATGTATGTAGTTCGTTCAAATAAATCCGACAGGATGTTTACAGAGACAACATTCATTGTAGAGAAAACTCTAGGCTACCCACCATTTTGTGTGTTAATTCAGGGCATGCAAGATTTCTGCGTGTCTGAACCCCTGAAGGTTTTTTTTTTAAAAACTCAATTTTTAATCAAGGAAAAACATTCACCGGCAAATATTTTAAAAAAGTAGGCCTGTTTAATACTCTTTTCAAATTTTTCTATCATTTCTAACAAGGAAGGTCATTTTACTTTGCGGAAAGGAATTTCTAGAAATTCGGCCAGGGCACTCCTTGATGTTCCAGAAGATTCTGAAAACATCAACGGGTACAACTTCCTAGTTTTTGAGAAATAGGAGCCCCAAAATGGCCTATAAAACGCATTTCGAAGGCTTTCTTTGACTTTGAGGGGTCCTTCTACACAAAATAGAATTTTTTGCAGGTTGAAACTTTCTGAACGAACTCCTGCTAAATCTGGGAGTAGTGTGGCCGGTTTCCAAAAACATCCCAAAAATAAAGAAGATAACCTTCCTTGTAAGCATTTTTTTCCCCCTGTGACCGGAAGTAACTTTACTGTCTTCTCAAGAACCGTACCGAACGTCTCCTCGTGCGCATCAGTAATTTTTTGCTCTCTATTTGGGTACACGACGTTTTCTCCTCCCGACGCGGAAACTCCTCGAATGTCGCAAAAAGTACATTTTGCGACGAAGAAGAGCAGAGAGTTTCAATCCGTGGCGAATGGGGTCGCGTTTTGCCCATGTATGGTGTATCTTTCCTAAATCCGAGTCACCGGGCCGCCCTTTCTAATTGGCGTTGGTCTTTTTGCCCTCACCGCCGTCGCCGCCAAATTTATTCAACGTTTTCCATTTTCTTTGACCCCTCTTACTTACATTACCCTCTTTTCCTTGTTTCGAGAAACATTGGGAAAGTTTTTAGTGACCACTTTAGAGTTTTATTTTAGTGGTCCCTATAGTTGTCGAATTAGTGGCTACTTGAGAGACTAGAATTTAATGGCTTCTTTAGGAGTCTAAGGGGTACTACTAGACACCTAAAACTACTGTAGTGCTCACTAAGGCGCGAAGTAATGGCTTCTGTAGAGGTGGTTTTAGTGGCTACTTTAGTGTCCTCTCCAAGTAGTCTCCGAGGAGCCCCTTAAGGGGCCACTATAGTTTTCCTCAGCAGTCGATCAGTTGAAATTTCATGCGCAGGTTTTTGATTATGAGAAAAAATACTAATTTTTTTAACATGAAAAAGAAGAATTTTTAAGTCGTTTTTCCTAACCTAGCGAAGCCTCGGGACTTTCAACGAGTTGATAAATTCTCCTTTCAGAAAATCAACGAGGATTTTTGAAAATACTTTGCATGATGTCCTCAATTACTAACTTGTATATCAATTAGATCAAGTTCAAAATAATAATTCGCATTTTTCGCATTTTCAAAAAGCTTCTCTTTACTTGATTTAGATAAATCGTAACTTTTGCACCCTTACGTGATCATGGACGCTTTAATGGGAAAGGGAATAAGTTCCGTTATAAAAAGGGCGACTGAGAACTGTGTCTCGGACGAGAGGCCGGCCGTTTTTGAATAAAATAAATGGTTGAGACATCTCAATGAACCCTCTACTACACGACTTGACCATCTAGGCGGCGGTTTTCAAGTGGCCTTCCTGACACTTTCTTCTTTTCTTTTTATTTGGTCAAACTTTTCGACCATGTTTCTCTGCTTTTTGCACCATTCGACTGAGTTTGAACTTTTTCGAGTTTTAAGTTGAATTTCCATTTTGAAAAAGATTTTTCGTTAAATTTTTTTTCTCAAATGATGGCGAAGATTAAATAAAGTTTTTTCCGGAAAAAAGTTTATTAGCTCTTCCTGTCCGAAAATAGTTTTTTGAAACTATCTATCCGGAAAATCTCGAAGTACGGTTTCAAATGATGAGAGAAAGATTCGAAAGGTATACTTGTCTGAAAATGATTTTTTTGAACCGATATAACTGAGAAGTTCTTCTTAAAAAGTGCCCACTTCCAAGTCAAATTTTCGTTTCAAACTGTTCAAAGTGGGTCAAGAAAAGTTGGATCTTAAAAATTCCTTGTTGACATATTTTTAGACTTGAAACGATATCCGGAACGGCTCTTCACCTTTTTAATATTTTCAATTTGTTTGAAATATCGCGGCGATGACTTTTTTACTGGAGATTGATTTTTGAAAACACTTTAAAGTTGTTTAGAAGGAGAGGAAAAGCTTTTTTCAATGTTCCGAAGCCTTTTCCAGCTTTCTCGATGAGCTATAAACATAAAATAGTCCATCACATGCCTTTCCGGGTAGAAACAACTTGATGGGCAATCTGGAACGAATGTTATGAAGTTGTTCGGTGCAAAAAGCAGAGAAAAACGGTCGGATAGGCGGAGGTTGAAAAGAAGGACACGAGGCGGCCCGGCGTGAAATCGTTTCGGAGGCCCTTTTTCCGCCGGACGACGAAAAAGCCCTCTTCTGACGATTTTCGAATTGCTTCTGACCATGTCAACTGACCGTTATGATCGAAAACGTCGCATTCTTCATTCCTTTTTGCCCAATTTTCCCTTGTCTTCTTTATTTGACCCCGCTTTGTTTATAGATTTTGAGTCGAATGCTTTTTTATGAGTAATCCGAGTTTCTCCAAGTCAACTTTAGTACTCCTGGGAAAATTTTTAGTGGCCAGTGACTACTCGAACACTAAAGTGGCCACTAAACCCACCTCTACACTATTCTCCGTTTTAGTGGCCACTATAGAGGTTCTATATTTAGTGGCCACTTCAGTAGTTTTTGATCCAGTATTCCTTCCAGTAATTCTGATAATTTTAAAACAAACAGATTGGACCAGCTATGTTGATCTATTGACCCCTAAAGTGGCCACTAAAATTTTTAATAGTCCAGCAGTAGCACTTAGACCTATATAGTGGCCACTGATTCTTAACCCCTTGAGTGGCCACTAAAACGCAAAAACCCTATAGAGGCCACTTCAAATCAATAATTCGACGACTTTTCGTTCAAAAAGTTCTCATAAATTTCCACGTTTTGCGTTTTTTTTTTTCAAACAAAGCCCTGATTTTTCAGTGTATGCGGTTTGGAGTATGAGTTTCACGAAATTAGCCATCTTTGTTGTCTTCGTTAGTTGGACGGCAGTTGACGCACAGGTGAGAATTGGCGAATCAAGTCATTTGTCTTGAAATCTACTTTGGCAAAGTTACAGAAATCGATCCGAAAAAGCCGTGAAGTGATCCGAATGTCGCAAAACGTGCTCACCCAGGCGCGATTCGTCCCCCTCCGACGGAGTCCTCCGATGCTGCGGAACCCGATCCTCAGCCGAAATCTGCCACGGGCGCCTTTCACCGCTGACCCGCCCGTGATGGTCATCCACAACACGGTTGAAGGTCTCTTAGGGCCAGGCTTGTGCGTCAGGCCGGGGCCAGGCCGGCCCGGGCTTTGGGCTCACAATTTAAAAAAAAAAAGCCCTCGTGGGCTCGGGCCAGGCCGGGCTTCGAAAGAAATCTTAAATTTCATTTTGATAAAATTTCACGGAAAAATTATTTTTACTTGTTGAATCATAGTTTTTAATAACTCTATGAGAAAATTAAGCAAAAATACCACTTTTCTCGTTAAAAAAAAGCGAAAAATTCGACTTGAAGAGAATTGGAGTTTTTTGGGCCGGGCCGGCCATTTTTGCATAGGGCCTTCCTAGGACCGGGCTTGGGAAGTGGCCGGGAGGCCGAGGTTGACGGGCCTGCCCTCGCACAAGCCTGTTTAGGGCCTAGAAGGCTTCAAAAAAAAAAATAGCCGCATTAAAGTATCTCATGAACGTCTCATACTTCGAAATCTTTTCCTGGAAGTTTTCATTTTTTTTTATTGTACTGTGAAATTTTTCAGTGAGCACTTCAGGTTTTTGACGTTTTAGTGGCCACGTTAGTAGTCGAAATAGTGGTATACTTAAGCAGCAAAAAATCAGCGGCCTCTGTAGAAGTCTAACTTACTACTAGATCACTGAAAACTGCTGTAGTGGCCACTAAGATATTTGGCTTCTATAAAGGCGGTTTTAGTGGTCACTATAGTATCCTCTCCAGGTATTCCTTGAGGAACCCCTTGAGGGACACTATAGGTTTTCCCAGTCGTTGATTCAGAGCTTTTTTATCCCGGGAATCAGCTTGAGAAATAACAGAAATACCTGCCACAAGTGGCGATTTTCCCTTGTTGGCTTACTTTGACGGAAACAATGACTTTTTTTTGTGGGGATTCTAGACCCCTACGTGAAGTTGGAAGGTTAATGGAACATTTTAAAGTTCGATCGATTTTATATACGAATCCTCGTGACTAAATTTTGAGTTGTACCTAAATTTTCCTTTTTTTAATTTTTCTTTTTTCTGTATCCTGAGCGATAGCTACCCCATTTCAGATCCGCCAACGGTGATTTGTTCAAACGGAGAAATCGGACTCCAACTTTCTCATGGCGTCAGCGGCAGGATGTTCGTCAGCCGGATGCACCACGACATAAACTGTGTCCAGTACTTGAAAATTGGTAAAAAATTAAATTTTCGAATGCCTTTTCCTTATAAAGATCCCTAACGAGTTCTCAGCTTTCTCGAAAATTGTCAGCTTATAAGCATTTTTCTGAATATATGTGGAAAAGTGATAAAACGTTCCAAATTTTAAGAGCTCGACGCCACGATTCACGACACCATTGGATGGTCCATGCCGCGTTTTTCGACTCGATCGAGTTTTTTTCTTACAAAATATCGAATAATTCTCTTTGAATCCAGGGAACTACAGTTGACTACACGGTCCGTATCGTTGTGAGCCACGAGGAGAATTCTGTGACGGAATTCGACAAGATTTATGACGTCACTTGCTCATTTTCCGTTGCCAATGTCACCGTCAGCGCCTTCTTGGATACAAAGTTTACACTTGAAATTTTTTAAATTTTTTTGTTTATTTTAGTCATTGGCGCAATGTTACTTCAAAAAAGGAGCTTTTTGAAGTAATAATGCGATAAAAATAGGCTTTGTTAGATTTTCTGTAATTTTGCCACTTTAGTAGTCAAAGTAGTGGCCTCTTTAGGAGTCATATTGACTATTAGACCACTAGATACGGAAAAATGATTCGATTTTGTTGGTTTTTTTTGATTCCGTTCGATCGACTTGCCTTTACTTGTCAAAAATTTTAGTGGCCACTTCAGAGTTTTTTTTTAATTTTTAGTGACCACTGTAGTAGTTGAATCAGTGGCCTTTCACAGGTAACTGAAATTAAGTGACCTCTTTAGGAGTCTAAGTGACTACCAGACCACTAAAAACTACTGTAGTGGCCACTAAGACGCAAGAGTGGCTTTTATAAAGGTGGTTTAAGTGGCCACTTTAGTGTCCTCTCCAAGTAGCCCTTGAGGAATCTCTTAAGCAACCACTAGGGGGTTTTTTTTTTGAGACTTACAGCTTTTAAAAATAACCAGAGCGAGTCTCAAATCTTACAAGAAGTTTGAACGGAAGCCACAGAAAGTACTTTTACATTCCAGCGATTTTGAGCCGGAAAAAGTTCAAACGTCCCTGAAACTACCCAAATGCCGATATTCGCTCCATCGGAATACTGTAGATGGTCCCAAGACGCTCTCTTCAAAAGTCGGTGATGTGGTGAGAATATTACAATCGCGATTGGCTATTAATTTCGTTTGAATTCAGATCTTCCACCGCTGGAAATGCAGCACTTCGGAGTACATGTTCAAAGTCTACGGCTGCACGGTACACGACGGAACGAATAATACGATCCTCCTCGTGGATGAGAATGGGTGGATATTGATTGATTTTCAGTGGGAAAATGATAATTTTAAGGATCTTTCGAAAAAAAGTTTTCCATCCTTTTCATAATAGTTTGTCAGGAAGTTGCTTTTTAACGAATATAAATAATATTTTTCGTAAATTTATTGTATTACTCAGTTTTTCCACTTCCACGAAAGACATTGAAAAGACTTTCAAGGCTCTTATCAGTACAGAAAAAAACAATTTTTTTTCACCATTCAATTTATTTAGTTAAAAGTTCATAAAACTGGTCAAAATAATCAGAATCGGGTAAAATAAATATTCTAGGCTTCTGGGAATGCAAATTTTCATATAAAACAATGATAGTTTCTCAAAAAAAACTTTCTGGTCTAAAAAAAGTCGATTTTTTTTTTCATCTCGTTCAAACTGTTCAGTTCAAAGTTTTAAAATCCTTAATTTGGGTCAAAACAACAAAATCGGGTACAATTAGCTTTTTTTGGCTCCTGGAAGTGCCCATTTTCATATAAAACAATGATAGTTTCTCAAAAAACCTTGTCAATTCCTTAAAAAAAAAGGATTTTCTGTCATTTCAGTCAATTTATTCAGTACGAACTTCAAAAGTTCAAATCGGGTCGAGAGTACATGATTACGTGAAAATTTGTACTGGAAAACAATTTTTTGCGCCTTTTTTGAATAAAAATAGGAAAATTCTTCAATGTCCCCTTTTCAATAAAGCGTCCATACGAAAGGCTTCCAGTTGTTCGATGGACGAAGAAATCATTCCACATCCCGAGTATGACGAGGCCAACAACGTTGTCTTTGCACCTGCGCGAACATTTAGGTTTCCTTCCGAGGGTTCCCGGGAAAATTCGATTATTTTTCGAGCAAATTGCAGGTTCTCCAACTCGCGCCGTGTTCACTTCAAATGTCTGCTCGCCGTCTGTAATAAGCATGACTCGACTTGCTCCGAGCAGATTGTAAGATTATGGATTCAATAAGGACTGCTTAGGCAGGGAAAAGTAGAGTCTAGTCACCATCGCCTTGCTCAGGCCAATCCTGGGAAGAAGCTCGGAAAAATGCTGGGAAGGTAACCAGCAGGAGGTTGGAAGGTTATTGGAAGCTAGAAGGTCTTGAGAAGGCCTTATGAAGGGGTTCAGATGGTCGTTGGAAGGTCTTTGGTTAAATATTGAAAATGCCTGCCAAAAGCCTTCCAGCTTCTGAGAGGTATGTAGAAGGCCTTTGACCACTTGCTCGAAAGCTACCAAACGCCTTCTTTCTTCCAGAAGGCCTTCCAGAAGATTCTAGAAGGCCAAAGCGAAAGCTTCAGAAAAATCAGGAAACTTCTGCTCTCGGTTCCTTGGAATTCGGTTGGAAGCTTGCTAGCAAGTGGTCAAAGGCTTCTGGCAGGCTGCCCTTTCCAACTACCTTTTCAAAGTTTTATAAAAGGTTTAAAAAATTTCTCCTTCCGACTACCTTCTGAATACCTTCCCAGGACTCGCCTAACTGGGAGAAAAATTCGATAAATTTTTGAACGTGTTCAAGTTGAGCCTTTCATGGTTAGGAAAATTTTCAACTTCAAAAATTACACCTATATGAAAAAAGGGATGAATTTTTAGAATGCTCAAGAAAAACTCGATTTTTTCGTTTTTCTTCTGGAAGAAAATGTTTTCCGTGTCAGTTCTATAACTATAAATGTTCATATGGAAACATATTTTGTTATAAAATTGGTGTGGACCAATTTGCTCCACTAGGAAAAAAGTTTGGTTTTTACGATGTTTTTTCTACAATAAGACAGAAAGTGGGCAGAGCCTAATAAAACCTGGTTCTAAATATTCAAGAGGTTGTTCACTATCTATGATATCAAGAAAGCTCCCAGGAACAAAGATGAAATTTTTGTACCAACGGTTATTCCAAAATCTCGGAGAACGTGTGTCAAAAATACCTAAAGAAAGCTCTTGGATAGGCTTCTTCGAGGCTTTTACACGGGATCTCCTTGCCACGTCAAAATTATATTTTTAGAAGCTTTATGGCTCTTTCTCGAAACCAATCATGCTTGAGTTTTTCCAGCCACCAAGGTGTCGAAGGAACCAAAAAAGGCAGCTGAACTCGTCGAATATCTCGATCGAAGACCGCCTGCGCTACATCCAGACATTGTTCAATCGGACTTTGACGAGGAAGAAGCCTGACGTCACGAGGACGATCACCGTGACCGCCGACAGCATCAGTTCTGGAGGACTCGTCGTTGAAGACGACTTCAGGAATGTTCCACGACAAAATTCAGGTGAATCCTTAACTTCGAGGAAGTGTGTGTCAGTGCTTCAGAAAAAATCGATCTGTTTTAGGAATCCCTGAATTTTTTTTGTTCGTTTTATTCCTCTGCTACCGAAAGTTGAACTTCCTCCAACTATTCCATTTTTTTTAAATGCTCAAATTATAAGTGAAGTCGTAGGTGGATAAGTCTGTAGCGCCCATGTTCACAGGTCCGTAATAATTTCACATTGAAGATTCAAAATAGTAAAATTATCAGTGGAGCGCAAAAGCGTGGGTTTTCGAAATGTCAATGTCATTTTCTCGGTCGGAACATAAAACAAGTAATAAAGTTATGATCTGTAAAGCGTAAACGCGGGGGCCTGATAAGGATGCGAGTGATTACGGTAAAGATAATGTCAAGTTAGTCATTTCTTCTGGGAGAAAAACAAGAAAATATCGACCTAGAAGCGTGGGAAGATTAAATAACACATGATGAACTCATTTTACCGTAGGAAAAGTTGGTCAGAATACTTCTTGATTTTTAGGAAGGACTCTGAGTGGCGCAACCAGTACAAGGTTCTAATTTTTCGAGAAAGGTTCATAAAGCTCGAATAAGTCATCAAAAGTCCCTTGACAAGGTCATGGAAAACTTTGAGCCATCGTATTTTGAAAAGTTGAGGAGTTGTGCAAGTCGAGACTTTCAAGGGCTTCACCTGAAGCTGAAAAAGCAGATTTTTATATCTTAGAGTGAGATTTTTCAACTTTGAAGGGCCTCAACATTTTTCACAAACTTCCTTGGCATTTACAAGTAATCTGATGATCACAGTCTGATTCTAGAAGTGCTGGTCTCCGAATACGGAAAATTCAGATCCACTGGCGTCAATCGTGCAGCAACACGAGCGAACAGTGTCGATCTACAAGCTGTGGGTGCTGGTCCTGTGCATCATGAACGTGATGGTGACGTTGGTGGCCGTTTCGGCGTGCGCTAGGGTCGTCAAGAACAAATACGTCATGGACATCAAGGACTCGGCCAGAACCATCATGCATCGTGTCCCTTTCTAGACGTTCCTCGATTTTTTTTTTCAAAGGCTATCCGGACATTTTCAGTGTTGGAATTGTTAATAGCAAAGAAGATACACTGGGAATATTTTTAGTGGTCATTTCAGGGTTTTGACGTTTTAGTGGCCACTGTAGTAGTCGGATTAGTGGCCACTTAAGTGACTGAATTTCGAAATTTTCAGTAGCAAGGGAGATCGCTGGGAATATTTTCATGACCACTTTAGGGGTTTGACGTGTTAGTGGTCACTGTAGTAGTCGAGTGAGTGGCCACTTAATTGACCCAACTTCAATGGGTACTTATAAGTCTAAGTGGTACTAGTTTTATTGCCAAATACGACATAAAACAACGGCTTCTATAGAGGTGGTTTTAGTGATCACTTTAGTGTTTTTGAGGAACCTCTCAAGTGGTCACTAGACTTCTCCCTATTAAACTGCGAAAAAAGATTCTTGGTTTTTTTAATAATTTAGAGCTCATTTCTGTTTAAAAAAGTAAGTTCTTTATCTTTTCCTCATGTAAAAGTTTATTAGAAAATGACAATATATTTAATAAAATCAAATGTCTTCACAAATATGTCTTTTCATAGCCTTTTCAGGGGTGTTGATTTACATGTATTAATTTATTTTCCAAATATCATTTTGTTCTTTTTCTAATGGGAATCTCAAGTTTAACTTTTTTCTCGTTTTTCATTATTTCTATGCACTTTTATCCGTATCAGCGGGTTAAAATATTGTGCAATTGTCCTCATTTCTTCACTTTCGCATCGCCATGACGTATTAATAAATATTTATCATAATATTTCCGTTTTTTGCTTCGTTATATGTTGTCGGAAACTTTCAATGATATTTTTCTAATTTTAATCATTTTCTAAGGCTTCTTCTGACGCATAATCAAAGGCACATCTGTGAGTTTTTTTTTTCTAAATCCACAGATTTGTTCGAAGAGAAGGTGCAAGAATTCATGTAGCCAAACTACAAAAATGTCCTTTTTTTAAGTTCTTTTTTTGAGGGTTCTCGTTGTTTGAAATTTGTAGGACTAGACATGAGAGCCTACAAAACAGGATTGAAAAAAAGTGAGGATTTGTTGAGAAATCCTTTTTGAAGTTTTTTTGTTTTAGGAGAGAAGTTCGGAAAGAATATTCTAACGGAAAGAATTATGGACGGAGTAATTTTAAAATGTTTGAAATGAAGTTTCCCTTCAATTTTTTTTTCAATATTTTTTGTTTTTGTGATTTCCCCTCCTTTCAATTATATAGGTCCCACCCTTAAGTTCAAATTCCAACGGAATTTCGTGAGGTATCAATAATTAATTATACATAAGAAGGTGGTTCAAGGAGAGCGGAGGAATTTTTTTTTTCTTCGAGTACCTTGTTTCGGTATATCGACTTCAGTATAACACAAATGCTAAGTTTTTCCTATTTTTCGTTTAAAAAAGCTTTATTTTCGGTTTTTTCATATTTAATATGGGAAAAGGAATATCTAAAGTAGAAAATTCATAACTTTATGAATTGGAAAATGTTTGAAATATTCACTTTTTGGCCCCCTTTTTCGCGGAAGCTCTAATCTTTCATTTGAGAAGACTATCGAGCAACTTCTGTTTTTGTTTATTGCATCTTCAATGTAAGAATACATGTGCAATCGACTTTCATTGATTTAACTGTGTTTAAACGACGGCAGGAGCTGTGGCTTAGGCAGAGAAGATGTGAATTTCGCTCGTAGAACATCAGTACCTGATGAGAGCAACTTCTCTGGTCACGAAAAAGGATCAAATTTTTCCCAAAAATTTTCGGGGCCAACATCACGAGGTCGTAGGTTCGGTCCCCACCCTGTGCAAACTTTTTTGCAGTTTTCTAGAGACCCTAGTTTGAGATTTTTGTGTCATGTCGATCCGAGCAACTTCAGCATGGAATTTTTGAGCAGACTTCATTTCGAAGCATAGTTAGAATATCTTCAAGAGCTAAAAAGACCAAGAAATAATTTTCCCGGAACACTAGTCCAGTCCCCAACTTTTACAAGTTTGAAAAGCTTTTTTTTTCTCCGTTCCTATTTTCTATAGTCATAACCAATCAAGCGCTAGTCGCTTAACGACGTCTTTTTTTTTCCTCCCTCCATCCTCCAAGCATATACTGCAAAGTGGACAACAAATGGAAATTGAGTTGTTGAGCACAAACGCGGGGCGTGCTTGGGGTCTAACAAATTTGCTCTCCTTTTTTTCTTTCTTTTTTTTGCGGCTCATTTTCCGCTGCTTCCCACTTCTACTGCGAAGCAAATGAGACAGATGGAGAAGTACAAAAGAGCTTGTGGAAGGGAAAAAAGGAATTTCACGTTTTGGACGATACTGTGTTATAAGGGGCATGAAGGGTAATTTGAGATTTTTAACCTAGTAAATCCAGAGTGGTTCCTATAGGGGAAACCTTGGAGACCCTTGAAGGGCTCCCTCTAGAGACCACTAAGCTTGCAAAAGTGACCCCTGTAGGGGACATGCTCGACGATTCTTGTTATAGTCTGTTCAGATTTTAAATGTCAAGTCGTCGATCAAGCTCCGCCCATAATGGTGCGATAAACCAATCAGATAGCGAGCCATTCACAGAGCGTTTTTGAATTACGTCATTCTACTTGACATTCAAAATCTGAACAGACTATATGAATTCAATGGGAAGAAGCAACTCATGCAGAAAAATCGATAAATTAGCGTTTTCAGTAGAAAATGTGAACAGAGGATGAAATGAACAATTTTTTCCTTCTAAATTTCAAATTTTTTTCCAAAATCAAATGGCTCTATAGGTACCACTCGAGCTGGGTCTGGGGGGTCAGATCCTGAATCCTATATCCTTACAGAGAGTACTTTTTTGTCCCCTATAAGGACTGTTTTCCCACCTCTATAGGGACCATTCTGACGCTTTTAAGAAAGACGTCAGTATCATTTTCTTTCTGAACTCTCATTTTTTGTTCACACCTAATTTCCATGTAGTAACACGTAAAAAAAAACTTGACCAGTTTTATTTACGTCAGGGAACAGCCGTGTGTGTGTGTGAGGATTAACAGGAACGATATGGCCCTGTAAAGTGCGGCTGATTTGCATATAAACGTGGGGCCAGCGGAAGGAAGGTTGCGCGGCGCAACCTGCCGCAACACCTATAAATGCCCATCTTTGGCCTTTTTTCTCCCACTTTTCGGTTTTTTTTTTCAGTTCCGCAACTTTCTCTCGCTATTTTTTTTTTACTGGGAATACCATTCAAGGTTTTGCGTTTTTCCAGTTTAGTTAGCTTTTCATCAAAAGGGTGTCTCTCAGATCATTTTTGAAAAGTACCTGCTATGGAAAGGCGAAAACCGCAGACCTCGGTAACGAATACCGGACGCCGTTTGGACGTTTCTGAGCATTTCTAGGGTACTCTCAAGTGCTGACGCTACTAAAGTTGTTACTAGAAATGCTCTGACACGTTCGCGTCCGTTTTGCGTTACCAAAGTCCGAATGGAGCGAGAAAAAACTTTTGAGTTCAACAGAGCTAACTTTCTCGGTAAAAAATCGCCGGACCGCACATTTAGCCCCGAGAAAAGCATTTCTTTCTTCATCTACCCATTAACAGATTGGTTTTCTATTTTAGGATAAGCTATTCACAATTCCTCAGAGCATCTCCTTTTGTCCCCCAAAATATGAATTATGAATGAGAGTAAGCCCTGACTTCCAACTTGAAAAATATATCTGAAAAGCCACCTACGTCAACGGCTGCTTTATCTCTATCAACACCGGGGCCACATGATAATCTATTTTCCAATTTTTTTCCGTTTCTCGCTCGGCCCGTTGGCAGGACAACGGTGGATGAAATTGAAGATTAAAATAGCAATCTTTCTGATTGCCCGGTGCGAAAAGCTTTTCGGAGGGGCTTTGGATTTACGGAAATAGGTCTTTGATAAGTTTCTCTTGTCAGTGAGCTTCTTATAGCTCTCTTTGACGGAATTGGAAGATGAACAGGAATTCTGGGACGAGAAAGTGGTAGATGTATTAATCTGAGAAAGCTTTTGGAGGGAGATCCCAGATTTTGGCGGGAAAAAAAATTGAGTTTATCTTTATCAGCGTTGTTTTTTGCTTGAAAAATCCTCATCGAAATTTAAATCTAATCTAACCAGGGAATCCTCTTAACCTTCCGGTTGAACTTTTGCTGAAACTTTTCTGAAGTGTACTTTAGGATCCCCTGATTGCAGATCAAGAAAAAAATTTCTCGCAATAGATCTTGTTTCCAAGTTATGGAGCTTCGAAGTGTGCAAAATACGCAAATTAGGCCAAAAAGCGCTATTTCGAGCTTTTGAAGTGTCATAACTCGAAAAAGAGATCTATTGCGAGAAATTTTATTCGTGTTCTGGAAAGAGGAGGTCTTATAGTACCTTTCAGAAAAGTTTCAACAAAAGTTCAACCGGCGGTCACCAAAAAAACTTCCCTCGAAAAGAAAAATTCCAGATCTACTCCTACAGGCTCCCATCGAGTTCGGAAAATTCTCCCAAAGATCATCTGACTCCAATCTCTCAGCCTCTCATTCATTAACCTTAATGGAAGATCCTCCTCAAACAAGGAACCGAATAAGCCTCTCAAATTCTCTCGCCAACAAAGAAAAAGGCAATACTCATTCATTGGCTGGCCCCAAATCGAGTTGTTAAATAAAACTGGCTCGAGTTTTCGGAACGGCGCAATCTGAATTTCGACGGCCTGCAGAGAATTGTAAGAGGAAGTTCTTTCTCTCGGAAATGTTCCCATTTTTTTTCCTTCTCCTTTTCGACTTGCCAGAAGGGAAATGTATGCTCGACGTCCAATTCCACATTCATGTTCTGCCCGCTGTTTCAGGTATCCCTTTTCTGCAATTCATCTTTCCTTTTTCTCCTCTTATTCGGTTCTCTCCCATTTGCTGCCTTTTGAACAGCTGAATTTTGAGTATTCAGCAAGTTCTTTGGCTATTTTTGAAGGAAAGGACTGCGAGAACAAGTTTCGAAAAAGAATGGAACAAGTTTATCAGCTCTTAGGTTCGATGAGTAGCATTCAGATCTCGGTTTGCAAGGCTTATATTTTTTAGAAGATTACTTAGAAAGGTACCTTGTTGAACTTTCGAGAATTTTTTTAAGTTTGAACAGCTTACAGTAGTTTACGGTAGGATATTCTGTAGGATCGCTAAAATTTTTTCTTTTGGCTAGATTTTAAAAATCCGCAGATTGGCGAGAAATCCAAGACTGCAAACAAACTACCAGGTTTTGACTCTCAAAAGAAGTTCTTGAACTTTTTATTTTGCTTCTTGGAGCTCATCTAAGGTCACCTCTAGCCATTTTTAGGTTCAGAAATAAATCTTTTAAGAAGGAAAAAAAATCTTCTCAGTTTATTTTGGATTTTCAGGAGATTATGAAATTTTTCAAAAAAATATTATGGATCTGCCGTACCTTTCAATTGCTTAAGTAACCCCTCCAAGGTCTCCTAGGAAAGGAACTTGAAGAAAATTTTCAAAAGTTGGAGGATTCCTTGGGCTTTCCAAAATGAATCTTAAATTTCTCTCATAATCGTTTTCAAACCACTAACGGTCAGATTTACGCATGTAGATTTCGAAAAGAAAAAAAAGAGCTCAAATTTTGATAAAATTTTCAAATAGTTAATTATGGAAAAGTTACCCTAATTTTTTTTAATAACTTCAACCTTACTAGAAATGTCTAGGCTTCATTCAAAAGACGTCTTGCAGCTCTATTTTCAGGATTTTCCCTAAAGAGACTACTAGAATCTCCCAAGTATTTTTTTTAGAGCTCTAGATCTTCTATAGCTCATTCTGCGTCAGCTTTTAGTTTTCCCCGAGCTACAGTACCCCTCCGAAAAGCTTCCCTTCGATGCGCGTAGCTAGGCTGTGTGTCTGCTCCTTTAATATGACGGGAATTTAAGGTCTAATTAAAGGCGCATCGACAGAAGCAGGCCACGCTCATCGAAAGAAAGGCTTCTGTAGCTCGGAGGAAAACTGAAATCGTGACAAGCTGGCGCAGAATGAGCTATAGAAGATCTAAAGCTCTGAAAGAAAACTTTCGAGATTCAAGTAGTCCCTTTAGGGAAATTCCTGAAAATAAAGCTCGAAGACGTCTCTTGAATGAAGCCTAGATATTTCTAGTAAGGTTGAAGTTATTAAAGTAAATTAGGGAATTTAAGTAGACCTTCTAAGGATCGGAAAAACCACTGAAGATGCTCTTCCAACGTTTTTCATAGCTATTTAACATTTAGAAAATTTCGGTCTGTTTAACCGGCGCAGTGTCTCTCTTTCTCTCTCGGTGCTGACTTTAATTGTGCGTCGGCCCTGGGGGCACATCGACGGCGGCCGCCGCAATGCGCCGACCAACGCGTTTTTGCGGCACTGGCCAGCCGCGCATTGCGCCGTCGCCCCGCCCACTTTTTTTTTGCTGCTGCTGTGGCGGCAACGACGACGCGGCCGGCCGCGATTTCGGCTGGCGGCTATCTGCTCCGGCTCTCGGCGAGGAGATGTCTCTGCACTCTCCATCTACTACTCCATCTCCTCCCCACGGTCAGTCGCGTCTTCACTTGGCTCGACGCCCAGCCAGAGCAAAAAAAAAGACGAACGAGAAAAGAAAATAAGATGGAACGACCAGCGCCATTCCGAGGTCCTCTCCATCGGTATAGTCCATTCATCGCCCGCTTCTGACGATTTTTAATGAGCTTCTTAGCGAGATACGCCTCTGTAGTATTCCTCTCACGAGCTGCAGGTGAATGGAGTATATTCTTGATTTATTACAGTTTTTGGAGTCTTTGAAAGGGCCTAGGCCAAATTAATAAAATGGAGGCCTTTTTTGGATGTATTAGTCGCGCCTTTAAAAAAGTTCTGATTTTATTTTTTTCGTAATTTTATATTGAGCAAAAATAAATTTATTTTCGAATAGCTCAAGTTTCAAATAAAGCTACATTCAAATTTTGATTTGATGCTCAAAAAATGAGGCTAATAAGCTCAACTAGTCGCCCTCTTAAAGCCTCAAAAGGGCATTTTTAAATATTAAGAGTGTTTTTAAGGAAATTAATTTCCCATTCTGATTGTAATTTTACCAGTTGTTTGGAAAGTCTAGTTCAGATTTTGATAATTGAACTTTTTTTTTCAATTTTTTTAACCATGAGACGAAGTTGTGTACTTGGGGAGATCGAAATTCAAAGATTTTTTGATAATTTTGAAGTCAGAATTTTTTTGGAGTCACGTTTGATTTCACAAGCTTATTTATAACAACTTTTCCCATTTTATGTGGTTTTCGGAGACCCTGAATATATCCTCAAAGAAAGGCAACTATGAAAAACGTTCACCACTTCTGATAAGAATAAATTCGAATTTAGTACTGAGAAAATCCGAAAATCACCTGTGTTTGATGTTTTTGCTCTGGTTGCGGCGTTGCGGCGTCGAGTGTTTTCTCGTTTCGGGTCGAGGTTGATCCGTTAAAGAGAGAGAGAGAAAAAAAAACCTGGGCAAAGTCGCCAATTTTTGTGTTTGCAGTTGGTTGGATTGTGTGTGTGTTGTGAGTGATTTGAGGTCTTTTCCCTTTTTTCGGTCACTTTAAAGGGAATTTGGAATGGTTGACCTTCTAATGATTGTCCTAAGCTATAGTTGAGTTCTTGAGGTGAGGCAAAATTAATCTTAAAATCAAGATTTCGAAATTACTCGCTAAATCGTACCGCATTTTTTCTTGAGCTTAATGAGAGGAAATTGAGAGATTTTGGTCCCCGGACAACGTGATAAAAAAGCCATTCCAAGTGCGGTCCCTCTAGTAGTACCTAAGGACGTTAATTTGCTTATATCTAGCCGAATAAGAATAAAAATTACCTTTTTTTAAACATATTTTTTGATTTTGTACGACGCCAAACACGCTCAAACTATTTACCCAATTGGGTCTTTTTAACGACTTTTTTTCCTCCTCTCAATGTGTTGAGTTTCTTTCATTTCCTTCACTGCTGACTCAGCTTTTTTGTGTCTCTATGTGCGACTGACTCATCCAACTTTTTTCGACGAATGTCACCGTTTTTGTTCACTTCTTCAAATAATATTATGTACGTGAATAAGCACGAATTCAATTTCTTGGCGGAAATAACATGCAAAAACTAATCCGAGGAAAGGAAATTACATGATTCTTTAATTTGGAGAAAAAAAAATTAATTTAGTAACTTTATTCTGTCGAGCAGTTTTTTTAATTATCTTCGAGATCACTCAAGATATTATAATGCTCCTTTAGTGACTTCTTGGAAAAGAAGAAGCGCTCCCCGTTTTTGAAAAATTTCAAAAGTTTGAATTTCAACACTCTTTCACAATTTTGAGTTGAAGAAAAAAAGTCAATTGATAATTTTTCAGAAAAATTTTTAGTTTATAAGAAGATCAAGAACTTTGAAATGGCGAAAATATGAAAGCTACTGAGAAAAACTCTAGTGGCCACTTAAGAGGTTACAAAGCTTTTTTGGAGAGTACACTAAAGTGGCCACTAAAACACCCCTACAGAAGAAATTCTTTGTCTTAGTTGCCACTAAAACTTTCAGAGGCCTGGTAATACCATAGACTTCTAAAGAGGCCTCTAATCCGACTACTATAGTGGCCACTAAAACTTCAGAACCCTAAACTGACATTTTTCCAGTAGGCCGAAGAAAACTCTACTGGAAAGACTTTTTTTTCGTAAAAAAAAAGCCCACGTTTTTGTTGTTTGCAATCAATCGCCGGCTACTCAGGCAATGCATGGAAAGGCTTTTCGTCGGTACAAACATCCTTTTGGTGGCAGCTGACCCCTGGGAGCTTCGAACACACGTTTTCGTCTTAGTCTAGTTGTCTGTCTCCTTGTTATTAGTTTTTTTCTTCTCCTCTTTCTTAATTTTCCTGATTAGACTCTCACCAAATCCCTCAAGACCAGTTCCGTCAAAAAGGCAAAAAAAAATTTGCGCAACACGAACGTTTATCACTTTCATAAGGCTCCCTGGAGACGCCGGACGCTCCTTGTTTTGAATTCTGAAGAAATATGGAGGATGAAGCTTTTTTGGAATAATTTGAGTTTTTCGGCTCACTCATTCGTTCCGGGTGGAGAAAAAAACTGGATACAGTAATTTTGAGACGCCTTTTTAAAGGCACTGTGGTCGCGTTTGGAATGGTTAATTTTCGACTTGAACGGGTTCAGCTACTTGGAATGGACCTACCTTTTAGACTTGTTAAAAACCGTGAAATGAGAGTGACTTTTACTAATTAAACGCCTTGAAAAAAGTTTAATGTTCTTATTTTCGAGCGTTCCAGCGGAGGGTTGTTCCGAAACAGGCGTCCAAGTTTGCAAAATGACCTTTCACTCTTGAATGCTAATTGGTTGAACTAGACATAGTTGAAATGTATCCTAATTAGTTCAAAAAGGCTCTTTTGTGCGTTTTTTGAATGAAGTGTCTCAGAAAAAAGGTCCACCGAGCCGTAATTGGATCAGGCGCGATTTTCTAAAGACGAATTACTGAAAAGCGGGCGGTTATCCATTTCATTTGAGAAGACTTGAAGCGGCGGCGAGGGCCAGTCAGTCGCATATTGATCAAATATTTTCGGCTGCCTCTGAGGAGGTGCGACTCCCGAGGCTCTGGCCCCCACAACCAGGAACACGCCCGAAGCCAATTGATCTCTTCGTTTCCTCCCCCCTTCCTTCTCCAAGTCAGCACCACTCCTCCATATATCTCTCTATATCCCCTAAAGCTCGCCACTTCAACTATTTTCAGCCTTCTTTTTTTCTTGGTTCCTCACAAGCTTCTCCTTTTTTTAAAGTTTCTCACGATTTTTTTGAATCAAAAATAACATTTTTCGGCTTTCACGACGCTTACAAAATTCTCTAAAATTTTTTAGAAATGGAAAAAATCCAGTGATTTTTCAAGAAATATCTTCTTTTCAGACTTTCCATAGAAGTTTTTGCGACCTGAAACGTTTCAAAACAACGTAATTTTGTATTTTTTTAAAAAAATTTCAACGTGACTTCATTTTAAAAATCCACGGCATTTTTCCTATACTGACCATTAGTAAATGGTGTCTTGAAAATCCTTTTTAGGGCTTTTTTTAAACTTTTTAACGTTCAGTGTTTGAAAAAAAAACTGAATCACTTTTTTTGATCTTTTGCCTGTGTAATGCTGGTTTTATTTTACACATTGTAATCCTTCAAAAATGATGGTAGCTTCTGAATTTTATTTTATTTTTCATTTTGAACTCAACTGAAGAGAATGAGCACTACTGGATAGTTAGAAAAAAACATTGTCGAAGAAATAAATAAAAAAAAACACTTTCTTGAGCACCTATTATTATTTATTTTAGCTTTTCATCGTTTTCGGTTGAGAAATGGAGATTTGAAAAGTGTCAGACACTCCTTGGATGATGAACTTTCAATGAACGAAATCAAACATCAGATGTCGCGAGAAACAATAGCAGTAGAAGTAGTAGAAGAATAGGAGCATATAGGGGAAAGAGAAAAGTTGCACGGGGGGCATTTAAAATTCAGCCAAAAGGAACCGAAGCGAAAAGAGAAGAAAGATAGAGAAGGCTCGAATTACGTGGCGCGAAAGAGAGTGAGTGAGAGAGAGAAATAATATTGCAAAATGTCAAAAAGTCGTCCATCTCTGTGTATCAATGTTTTGTATTGTGAATCGTGTCCCGCACATATATTATCAATGGTGCGCGTTTCCACGCGGCCATTTTTTCTCAAGCGGATTGCGCGGCGCATTGCGCGGCGCATTGCGCCTCCGTCGCCCCAGGGCACAGAACAGAACACGCTGATTAATCGAGAGGAGGAGGGGAACGAGGAAGAGTTGCCGTTGTTGTTGACTCCTTGGCTCGGGGTCTCGCTCCTTTTTTCGATTTTTTCAAAATGATCTTTGACTATTTTTCATTTTCATAGTGTGTTCAATTCGCCTCTTGTGGCCGCTACTTTGTTAATTTTTTTTCTAGGGAATTTTAAAAAAAATTCTTCTTTCTAGCCTGAAAAAAATTAACGCTTGGTTTTGGTAAAAAATATTCCATTCGCCACAACCTGTAATTTTGCACCTGATCCTTTTTTCTCTCTCGGTCGAGGTCATAGAAAATAAAAATAATATTTAAAATGTGGAATGCTTGGAGTTGTGACGAATAGTCATATTATTTAAGATTTTTTTGCGGATTTTTTTGGATTTTTGATTCCTTCGAGTCTTTTTCAATGTAGTTAGTTTAGTTTTGACTTAAATTTTTTTCTCAAACATTATATAAAAATTATTAGGACCATAATTGTTTGAAAATTTCAAAATTTTTCTGTTCTGCGAACGGTTCTTTTTTTTATTCATTTTTTTTTTTCATTTAATTTTTTTTCTACAGCCCAAAAGCACCCTTCAAAATGGTTCAGAAATCTTCCGTAACTTCGAAGTTTTTAGATTGAATAATTCAAGGCGTAAATAAGACTTTTGACCCAGATAGAACTTTTCTCCCATCATTGATAACTGGAAAGAACGCAGAACTCGATTCACCTTTGATTGATCGACCCTTTTGCAGAATCATTTAAAAATAAAGTCCTTCTTTTCGGTTTACGTGCACTTTTTGAAAATTCTCTCGAGCACGTCTTTGTGCTCCAAACAACTCGATTTTTGTTCTTCTTCATTGGGTTTTTTGTCGTCTGTGTTAGGAATTCGACGGCTTTCTATTGACTTCTACTCATATTTTCTGTGCGAAGCAATATCCTGAAATTTGAAATTTGAGATCGCTTTCAAACCACTTGCTTCTTCATATTTTTAGACTTGATTTTTGCAAAACTTGCTCCATATTGAGCACATAAACCGGTGCCGGCTTAAATCCTCGCTCAAGTTTTTTTCCTCCAACACTTTCACTTTGTGTCCTTTTTAAGGCGCTTAGAGCTTAACGACGCTTCGAAAAGGCGATTTTTGCGTCACGAACATTTTTGGAGGAAAAAAATTGAGTGCATTTGAAAAGATTCATAATTTGGGATCACGGTTTCGGATTAATCTCCAAGAGGAAAAAAAGAAGAGTGAGATTTCGGGGTCAATTCGATTTGGCGCAGTGAAACCTTATCGACGACGCATTGCGCCGCTGGAGACGCCGCTTTTTCATCCCCATTTTTTTTGTTCGATTTCAAGCTTTTTCAATTATTTTTGTTTAATCAACTTTAAAAAAAAATCGATGAAAAATATTTTCAATTCCATGCTTGACTCGAAACACCTTCTTGAAAACGGATGAATTTTAGCTTTTTTTCTGGTCACAGCAAGCTTCTATGAAGAGACCAATTTCACTAATTAAAAAAAAGTTTCTTATCACGCGTTTTCTAACTTTAAAATTACAACTTACAACGTTCCAAGACCTTTTTTTTTGACAAGCTGCTGTTCTGTTATTGATTTTCCCTCAAAGTTAAAACTGGGGTTGAGGGAATTTTTTCAAGCTTTTCGCTCCTTCAAAAATCCGCTGCGTGGGATGTGAAATCGATCAAATCGAAAAATTTTGTGTGCGTGTGGCACGAAAAAAAGGCGAATGTTTGTCGACGATCAATAGAGTTTTTTTTTTGGCGTCAGTCCCTTTTTTGTTGGCTCAACGGTTCCCTTCTCGCGCTGTTCGGCCTCCGCCAAAGCGCCTTTTTGCACTTATCGCCACCCATCAGTCGAATTTTTGTTTTTCGACTATTGGTGTTTCACTCGTTCACTGTCTTGTATTTGCTTTTGAAGCCCCTCTAGTCAGTTCTTCGGTGAATTTGTCTTGAAATTCAGAAGTCTTGAAACCTCTCTACGCAGAGATAACGTGGAATGAAAGGAAAAAACGGTTCGATAAAATGATTTATAACAATTCGCCACGTCATTCCCATCGCCAACGTGGCGGTTACCGCCGACGTCGACTTCCACTCCTCATTCTCGCGTCGCCATTTTTTCTTCTTTTCCGTCTTCTTCTGCACCTTTCGATCTTTTGTCTTCTCGAGTTGATTTCTTCCCTAAAAAATCCATCGAATTCAGGTTTTTTTCTTCCCAACGATCACTGTATTTCAAAATTCCTCTTTCCTCGTCATTCTGTGTATGCACAGATGCGCGGCGCCCAGAAAATTTGAATTTGACCAAAAAAGTTTCCGCATTCTTTTCGTCATCCCAATTCCTTTGCAATCAAAAGAGTTTCCTCAATTTTATTATTCAATTCCCTATCGTTTCGTTTGTCGTTCATTTCGCCGTCATTCATCCTCCGCCACCACATGTTTTGAATCCGTTGACCGCTGTAATTCTCTTCTTTTTCGAATCGCATTATTTCGTTTCCGGCTCGTTTTTTTCTCTTCAAGATCGATTGAAATTGATTATATCTCGTATGATTACAGTGTCTTCGACCACATAACTTCAAATGGCCGATCAATTGACCGAGGAGCAAATCGCCGGTTTGGTTTTATACTTTTTTTTTATAATCCTGCAAAAATTTTAAAAGGATATCATGATCTTCACGCTCTTATTCTAAAATGAAAGACGTATTGTATTTCATTATAAGTGTTATTTGATATTGCCAAAACCTAAAAGCTTCCGTTTTTTGTGGTTTTCTAGGCGATAATAAAAAAAATTCCCAGAGCTAAATTGAAAAGCGAATAACTTACTTATGCACATAACTCTACCAAGAACCTATTGGCGAAAACAAAGTGTAGTATTATTTTTCGAATTTTCAAGAGGCAAACACTGTAATAATTCATGCAAATGCTCCTGTTTTTCGATATCCTTTTTTCCATTTTTTTTGGAACGAATTTCGAGGGGAAAAGATCTATTATTTGATTGTATTCCAGAGTTCAAGGAGGCGTTCAGCCTTTTCGACAAGGACGGCGATGGCACCATCACCACTAAGGAACTTGGAACCGTCATGAGGTTAATTTAATTTTTTTAATTATTTTTTTATTTGAATAATTTCGTTCAGGTCACTTGGACAAAAACCCCACTGAGGCCGAACTCCAAGACATGATCAACGAGGTTGACGCTGACGGTTTGAAATTTATAAAAAGTTTAAAAAAGGAAAAAAAAAATGATTCAGGCAACGGAACCATCGACTTCCCCGAATTCCTGACGATGATGGCCCGAAAAATGAAGGATACGGACAGCGAGGAGGAAATTCGCGAAGCGTTCCGAGTGCGTAGAATTGATTTTTAAAAAAAATTCGAGTTTACAACAGAATTTAGTTGCGTTTGCTGTGGAGGCTGTTAGAGAATTGGAGAATTTTTCTTTATTTTTTTTTTTTTGAAATTGGATAGTCAAACCTTACTTCATAGTCGTTTGATGGAGCGTAGAATTCTCAAAAATAAGCCCTAAAAATCATAAATTCAACAGGGAAAAAGATGATGAAATTTATCAAAAATTGAGTGAATAAAGCAACTTCAAAAAAATGAATGAAAAAAAGTACTTCAGTTTGAAGAAGTTCGACGTAGATATAAGAGCTTTATAAAAATAATTATGATTAATCGAAAATTTTTTTATTAAGAACGTCTGTAACTGAAACATAATGACCAACATGATAACTTTCAAGAAATACCAAGTAAATTTTTTTCAAATATTTTCCAATTTTCAAAAAGACGGCTGTTTTTTTCAGTTAAGTGTAATTTGAAATCTTTTTCCTCTCTGTCACACACGGCCACCCAATTTGCCACGTCGTTTTTGCGCTGCCTTCCTTTTTCTAATTAGAATTTGAATCGAATTTTAGCGTGAGAGAATTTCAGCGTGTGCCGACCGAGGCTCTCGTTTTTCCTTTCTTTTTTTTTTCCTCTCGTCGGAAGCAAAACGAACAAAACCGCATGCGGTGGGGAAAGGAGAAAATTTTTTTTTCAGTAAAGCCTCGGTTGTTTTTCCGCTGCGTCCAACGGCGGTTGAAAAACAAGTCGCAACTATTGGGGTCTTGTAGTTTTTCTTTTCTATATTTTCAAAAGGCTGTTGAAAACTGAAGGAAGTGGCGGTGTGAATAGAGTAATGGGGCTTTTTTCTAGGATTTTCGAAATTTGTAGCAGAAATTTTAAAGAAACGAGAAAGTTTCGAAATGGTTTTCAGATCCTGGAATCTGTTCATTTATCGCTCCAGTTTAAGAAAAATAAAGTTTGAAAGAAAAATCTCAGCCAACGCTTAATTTTGATCGCAACAACTGGCATTTTTCTTTATGCATTTTCAAGTCGTCTTGCTGACGTTTGTTAGGATTTTGAATTCATGGCCTTTTTGATCAATAGGCCTTTCTGGAAAGTTTTTTTTATTGCTTTTCTAAAAATGATGAAGTGAACGGAAGATTGGCCTTTTCTAAAAAAAGTTCATGATTGCTAAATGAAGTGAATTCAATTTATTCAGACATCAGAGAAATCAAAAAATTAAGTGAAGGGGGAATTAAAAAAAAATAGAAAATCCTTTCAATTTTTTCGGAAGTTGATGTTTATATAATGTCATTCTCAAACTGATTGTGCAACGAGTAGCGGAGTGTGAAAAAATAGATTGAAGGGATCACATAAGAGTCTTTATATGATAAAGGGTTTCCAAGCTTCTCCTTAATCTGATCAGCTACGCGCAGCAAAATAATTTTATTTCAAGGCAAACGAATTACACATAATCGGATTAAAATGATGAACTCATTATTTTAAAGTTAATTAAAGAACTAGAAGTGAAAGTGAAAGGTGAGATAAAGTTTAAATTTTACAGGTGTTCGACAAGGACGGCAATGGCTTCATCTCAGCAGCCGAACTGCGCCACGTCATGACGAACTTGGGCGAGAAATTGACGGATGAAGAAGTCGACGAAATGATCCGCGAGGCCGATATTGACGGCGATGGTCAGGTCAACTACGAAGGTATTTTTTCACCTCTTTATTTAATTAATGATCTTTTCTTTCTTCCAGAGTTCGTCACAATGATGACGACCAAGTAAAGCCGTTTGATCATCACACTACAAAAAAATACTGGAGCCAGCTTCTCCGTTATTTTTTTATAATTATTTTTTTATTTTTTTGAATTTTTTTCAAAAAAATCTAATTATGTTTATGATTTTTTTGATTGATTTTTGATTTGTGTGTTCTTTCCCCCATTACTTGTTCTTCCCCACCGACCCTCTTCCTTTGTTCTCGCTTGGCAAGCCACCAACATCACCCACATACACATGTACGCATAAATGCACACAACGGGCCTCTGTATCGCGCTCGGATTGTTCTTTTGGGATTTCCTGAATAAACTGTCCACGATAATATTTTTTGCAAATACTTTTTTTTCGATCCTTTCTGTGGAAAATACACTTTTACTGGGATAACTTGTCCGTATTTCTGTGTACCTGTCCGTCTTTTATGTGTGCGTGTGGGAGTGATTTGGGGAAGAGGTTTTTCTTTCTCTCTTCAAAACGATCCCAGATTGTGATCAGCCTTGGAAAACTAGGAATGATCCGCAAAAACTTTGGGAACTTGTTTTTTGTGTTATTTTTTCGCGGATATACGTCCTTCCCTACTTTCACAGCGTGTTGTTTCGGTTTTCCAATATACCTGTTTCTTTTTTTTTTCTCTCAACATCACCTGGTAATTATTCGTCTTGGCTTTCTTCCCTTCTTTTTGACCGCTTTCCGGATCTCCGACCAAAAATAAACGAATCCAAAATGTATCTTTTAACATGCTTTTTTCGTCCAAATATCGTGAAAAGCTGTCAAAAATCACACACAAAATGCGGCTCATTTGATGTTCCTATCGTCTAATTCTTGTCAGAGAAACTTCCCATATACATTCATTGATACATTTAGCGATGTAATATAATATTATCCTATTTCTCCACATTTTAAAATGTATTTGCTTCCTTTGTTTCAAAAGTAAAATAAGCAACAAAAAAAAAGTCGCAAATCTTTCCCATTCTTTCGCTTCGTTTCCGATTCTCTCCGCTGTGTACAATTCCACGTATATTTTTTCGTGTGTTTGTTCGCATATGAACTGACAGAATATATATGGACATAAAATGAATTGGCTAATCAGTCTTTTGTTGTAATTTTCTTTCAAAAAGCGCAGAAAAACCGTATCAAAACTGAACAGAAAGTCGTCTCGCACAACGTCTCAGTTCTGCTTACCCCCCTTCACCTTGTGCGTTTGTACGTTTTTAGGAAAACATTTCAAAATGAATCCAATGTTTGAAAAAATAATTGAAAGAGGTAGTTTAGAAAATATATTCTTCATTGATATCGTTAAAAAACCTTCTATAAGTTCAATTAAAATGAATAGAAACACTCTACGAAAGTTATGATTCAAAAAATGCACTAGAAAGTTTGAAAAAAAGCAGGTACCTGTTAATTTACAATTTTAGTAAGGGCGGCTGGAGTTGAACAGCTCATTTGGATTCGACTCGTAGCCTCCGCTGTCTTCACACCTCCTATACATACTTGTTCTGTTACTTTCACTTGTTTTCGGTGCAATAAAGCTGAATCAGTCTTCAAAATACATAAAAAAAGAGCTGAAAACTTCCTCCTTATTAAAGTAAAACGCGAATATACTATCGATCCGGATTTTATCGATTTTCATGATCCTGAAACGCCCTTCAGAATGAGAAAAAGAAGAAAAGCAGACAAAAATCGAAGAAAACAATGAGATTTTTCTATTACTCAAATTACAATCATTGAGAAGAAAAGAATTAACAAAGACCAGTTTTGCCGAACTCCGAAGTTTCTAATTGGAAAAATTTAAAACCGCCCCTCTATTTTCGTTTTTAATTGTCTTGAATTATTTTAATCTAAACTTGAGAGTTTCTGCAATGTTAAATTGAACTCTCGCGTGAAAATCCGACGGAGTATCATTTGAAAAAATGGCAAGTGATCTGGTCGAAAGTTTTGACCCCGCGGTCACTGGGTCAAACGCGGCAAGGCTCTCCAGAATGGCGCCAAATCTCGGAGGGAAGAAAATCAACGGCGCGAAAGTCATTCTTCACTTTTTCCTCCATTCTGAGCGGTGTTTCGCTGTTGCTCGTGTTTCTAATTATTTAATGTTGTGATATTTTACAAAAATTAGAAAATTTTCATCAATTTCAAATTTTTCAATGGAACTCAACCGAAAATTTATGTTTCTTTTCGTTATTTTGTTCGTTTTTTTCAAATCAGTTTGAATATTCGAGGTTACAGGCGACTCCCCCTTGTTTCGGAAGGATTTAAGGGTCGTGATGGGGGCGTCATTCGACAAGGATCTTCGATTTGAAAGATACGTAAACTATTTCTCTAATCGATACTAATTATATATTTTTTTCTAGTTCAACAACTGGATGGACGAACCAACGCCTCCGCTTCAAGAAAAAGGCTCGAAGGATGTTTGTCGGCGTTTCTTCGAGGAAGGACGGCACTTTACGGTATAAATTTAGATTTTTATCGTGTCGCTTTTTCCGTTGAGTTGATTTCAATTTTCAAAAGAAACTTAATAAAAAATCAGTTTCAGTATTTTCATTTTACATTCGTTCTAGATTCCTCAACGTAAAAAAAGTGTTCTTAAAATTTTTTTTTCTCAGAACTTCCCAAAAAAATATAAATTAACACAAAAATTTTTCCAGATAGTTTTCTAATTTAAGTCAAGGAATGTATCGCATGAGGCTATCGGCTAGATTTTTCTGGTACACAGTCAAAAGGAATTCAAAAAAAGAGATGCGATCGCGATGCGGTTACAGTTTTTTTGACAAGTTTGGATTTTTTTCAAGGACAGCTTGTCGGAACGCAAGCCCTCATTCTGTTTATTTTGAAATTAGTTTTCTTTCTCAAATTTTTCCCTTTTTTTGGATTTTGAAATGAGCCCATAATTTTCACTTCATTTTTAGATTTCTCATTTCAGTTTAAAAAAATAAATGAATTTAGTTTAGCTTTCGGCTCGAGAAGTTAGCTATTAATTTTCAAATGTTTATTAATAAGTGGATACCAAAATCAACCGCAACGCGATCTTGTCGCGCATTTTTCAGTTACTCTTTTTGATTTTGAAATTTTTCCAAAGATGTGGAATATTCCAATTCAATATATTTACGGTGCGAAGCGGTGGGGTTTTCGATTTTAATTACCAATTCAAATCTCAATTTTCAGGCTTTTTCGGATAAATCTTCAGTCGATCCCGGCCAGCTTGTCAAGCTCAGAGCAACAGTTCTCCTCTTTCGCTTCGAAACCCGATTCTTCAAAAGAAACAATTACTGATTGATTTACAAAATTCTTTTTAGCGTTTGTCAATTTTTTTTTTTTGAATTCTGACTCTTTCATCTTTGAATGTTCTCCAGGGAAAAAAGTAACATGAATGGCTTGACAAGTTGGCCTGTTGATTGGGTTCAAAAATTTAACTACTACGAGACCGCTTCGCAATCCTTTATTTTCTCAGTTTCTTCACAATTTTTCGTTTCAGCAAGATTAGTTGAATTTTTTATTTTCAAGCTTTCAAAGGTTAGTAATAAGTAAACCATAAGTGTGTTGAACAGTTGGTTTCATGCGACATGATCCATCCCAATCTAACATTTAAGATAAAGGGAACTTTCGAGAAGAAAATGATTATTTTTCGTGCATGCCTTATCCTTTTGGGGTGAATGTTGCCGGTTTCGGGCGTTTGGTCGGTGGCGGCGCAGAGAAAAAGACGTCTGTATTTTTTGGCTGCTGTCTGGCCTGAGAGAGCGCCCAAAAGGGTGAGAGCTGTAGTCCGGCGTTTCCACTTTAGTCATGCTCTCTCGCCGGTTTCAGTCGAGCATACACGCGCCTTTTCCTCTGTGGAGTGGCAGTACTGTGGGGCGAGGATTTTCTTTCCCTCCGAGCTCGGCAATTCGAAGGTGGCGTCGAGTAGTATTGGGTTGTGCACAAATGATTTTGGCTTTTATAAGGAATTTCTTTCGTGGTAATAGAAAAATTGGTTAGGACGGTGCGGTTTTCGAGCTTCTTATCAAATAAATTAGGGAGGATTTTAGTCAAAAAATGTTGATCCTTTCATTCATTATAGACATTCGTTCTTGAAAGCTTACGGCTTCTTCGTACGAATATTTCAAATTTTCACTTTTGATACGGTTGACTTGTAAAGTGAAAAAATTCATGAGTGCGACAGTTCTTTTTTAAATTTTACGAGTTTAGTTTTATTTTATTGCTCAGGGTTTGATTCTAAAACATAGAAATTTAGGGCTTCTTCTCGAAATGAGTGAAATTTTAAGCTTTCAAGTTTCCTCGAGTTTTTTTTTTGACAGTCAACATAAACGATACTAAAGAAAAAAAAGCACATTTTTGATGACTCACCTTTTTTAAGCGAAGTTTTTGATCCACTTAATAGCGTAGATCAGAGGTCGAAAGTATAGTCAAAGTTTTTAAACAGCTTCAGCAATTTTCATACTCATTTTCCGAATTTTCTCCGATTTCTTGGAAATTTTTCAGATTAGATTCTTTAGGGGTTTATGAAAAAGATAAATTGAAGGCTTTTAAAACTTGAATACTTTAAACCTCTATACGTTCGGCTTCTGGTTGTTTTAATTTCTAGGCAACATTTCAGAGCTTTCAATTTTTAACAACAAATAAAAGCGAAATTCATTTGTTCACAACCTGGTGCCATCCCCGAGGCGCCACCTGACAGTGTCTTACAAGATCATTCATACCTCTCTTTCTTTTTCACACTTTCTGAGCTTCATCCTGAACCAAGTAAGCTCAAACGCACTCAACTTGATCGTCAGATCATCTGAAACGAATATGCTGGACATATACTTTGTTGAAAAAGTGCTTTTCAGAAACTTTCGAATTCAATTCAGAATTCATTTGAACGGTTTTTACTTTTTGAAGTACCCAGTCAATAAACTACCTTTTTTTTCTATACTGAAGCTTCAACATTTTTTTTTAAATCAAAAGCAATACTTATTCCGTTCTCCATGTTCTATAGTAAACTAGACAGTTTCAGAATAACTTCGAAAAATTTTTCTTATTTTTTTGTACATAGAATTTCAAAAAAATTTGATTCCAGCAGCTTTTTATTGCTGAGCGTCTTGAACATGAAGTTATTGACCATGGCGAACTGTAGAAGGATTCAAAAAGCAATAAGTTATTAAAATATTAAAAGCCTTGTTGTACACATTTGATTGAATTGGCAATTTGGTTTCTCTCATAGTGAGCTTTTCATTGTTCGAGATCCTCTTTACATCATCCAAGTCTTTCCTTCGAAAAAATTGGTAGAACATCAAAAACTTGTAAATAGTTCATTTGAAAAAAAAAATTAGAATAATTCAACTTCAAGAGCACTTTTTCAACATAGCGCTAGGTCATCATGTCGTTTCAACGGCCTGAGATCAAGCTTGAGAGATTCACTGAAGCTCAGAAAGTGGAAGAACAAGAGAGGCGTGATTGACTTGCAAGACACTGTCAAATTACGAGCTTGGAACTGAAAGGAAGCCTCGCTTGACAGGACTCTCACCAGGCCTAGAGCCTCCTACCAAATTCTCGACCTCAGGCTCCACTGCACTCTGGAGCCTGAGGTCGAGGCCTCCGACTTGGGCTCTACAGCCTCCCTGTGGAGTCTGAGACTGAGGTCTCTGGCTTGGGCCCTTAAGGCCTGGACCGGAGACTCCGTCTCAGACTTCATAGGTCTGTGGAGTTTGAGGCTGAGGTCTCTGGCTTGGGCCCATAAGGCCCGAGCTGGAGACTCCGCCTCAGACTCCAGAGGGGGCCGGGGAGTTCGAGATCGGTGACTCCGACCGGCAACGGAAGCTCCAAAAGAAAGTCCGGCAGCGGCTCTGACCCTGCCGGACAAAACCAAGTACAAAAGGGGGAAGAGAATTCTTTATTTTATTTCATGAAACAGAGTGTCCGGTTCGATGCTGCCCTCGGAGTACGACGTCGTCCGGCATCCATCCCGTCACATCATTCGACCTGAAATCCTCCCCATTAGCCCCCTTCGACTCCCTTCCCTTAGTTCTCGGAAATCTGGAGCGTTCTGGACGTCTGCTTCAAATGACCCAGAATCGATCCTCTTCCTTGCAGTGACTCGAGTGGAATGCCTTTCTGACTGAAAGCTTCTGAATAAAAAATCAATTTTCGCAAAGTCTCACAAAAGGCCAAGAGGAGCTCTTCAAAGGCTTTTTGGATATGACATGACATAAGTTCAAGTCCCCTCTGGTGTTGTGATTTGCAAGTCTTTGATGAATAAATATTCATTGCTCTACGATGACTGTCTTCAAGCTCAGTGGAAAGATTCACTATGATGTTTTTCCTTCAAGTTTCTGATGAAGCTTCGAATATTGGTTTAGGTTCGAAGTGTCAGAAGTAAATTTTCTCAAATTTCAATGAACAATTCGCAACCTTTAGAAATTGGCGAACGTTTATGAACCATTGAGAAAAAAAGAAAAAAATCTTTAAAAAGGAGCAACTTCTAAAAAAATTATTTATGTGGAAAAGAGCTCATCGAAAATGGGGAAAAATTTTTTTAGTTGCGAATTTTCCCTTGAAAAAAAGTTACAATTATTTGATTGAGATTCAAAAAAATGAATGATCCTTCCATCAAGTTATAATGATCTAAAGAGAACTTTTTTTCAAATATCACAGAAGAATTTGCAACGTTTAGAAATTACAATAAGTTTTTTTAACTATCATGGAAAGCTGAAGTTTTTTTAAATTGATAAAATGCGAGGCTGATCCGAAAAAGTTGCAATTTTTTTCAAAGTTCAATTTGCAAATTCTCCCTTGAAAACGTTTCCAAGAACAAGCCTAAGTGACTGCTAAAAAAATACTCCAAGTTAAATCCAAAAAAAGTGAAAAACAATTCAGACTAACCCAATTTAATTCATCATAACCTTGCAATTCACAATCAACAAACTTCAAAAATCCAACAAAAACTCGAACTTTTGTCACAAGTTCCCAAATCGCCTTTTTCGAAGAGTTCTCTCGACTTTTTGCAATACTTTGCAAAAATTGACCCCTTATCCAAAAGCTTTCAGTCAGACTAACGAATCCAATTGTCTCGCCAATCGTTTGAAATTTATTGAAATGAATCAATTGAAGACTTGTGTTGCAGGTTCAACTAATTGTGAAATAAATGAAATACAACTTGAAACAACTCGCATTCGAAAATTCAAGAACCTCGTGATACACTAGCGGATAAAGGCTCATTACCTAACCTTTTTCAAATTCCTATTTTATTTATGATAACTTCAAACATGACACTGAAAACAACCTTTATAGAGAAAACAAGAAAGTGATTTGATTTCTTTTGATTTCTACTTCTTTTGGGATTATCTCACTAAAATTTCAATTTGAACTTCGGTAGACTTGTAAAAAAAAATAGAGTGATCAACTTGTACCCACTCGTGTAAAATATACAGAACAAGTGAATTAAATATGAATCCATTTGAAAAATTATTTGTTTTGCAAGTTTTTTAAACTTTTGAATCTGCAACACAAAACATCCAATGAAATGCTAAGCCGGAATATTTATCTGTTTGAAAAGTGATTGAATTATGAAAACTCATTGGCGAAATACATGAATCCGTCAGTCGACAAACCACCCAAGCCCTGCAAAAAAAGGGCCGACCCTGGGTCATTTGTTCCCAGGAAAACTCTCAAACTGTTTTTGACTGAATAATTCTGGACTCGAAGAAAAATCGTATTAATACAATGTTCCAATTGAAAAAATTTTCAAAGTTTGACTAGCCGTTGAAAAAGGTTCAAAACGTAAAGTGAAAATATCCTGAAAGAACTGATATCGCGAAAAAAACTCATTTTTGTTCTCTGTATTTTTCCGTTCAAAATGAGCTTTGAAATTTCTGAAACATATGTAAATAAACAATTTTGAAGTTTTTCCAGGAGAAAAATCTGTGAAATTTTTCAAATGAATAAAAACTCTGCTTACTCCTAAAGTGTAATCTCGAACTTTGCCTTCATACGATTATCAAAAAAAGTGATTCAAATTTTTTTTTAAAAGTTGGTAGTTTTTTCACTTTTGCTGAAATTAATTCGAGTGTTTTCCTGGAGCGAAGACGCCCAGCCGCCCCAGTTTTGGACGATCCCAATCCCAAAAGGGAAGGGAACCGAAAAATAAAAGAAAATTCAAACCTCCCAATTTTCGTCGTCGTCCTTGAAGTCAGGGCGACCCTTGACTAGTGCTATTTATAGGACTGATAATCTGAAAAAATTGAAATGAATTTTAAAAAATTTTAGTTCGAAAAATTTAGCTCAAAAACTTATATTATTCGAAAAAATCCCGCAGATTTTCCGGAAGTCGTCGCCATAGGCCGTTGCACTGAGATCGTCGATTCAACTTGGCAGGCCCTGCAATTGAGTTTGAATAAATAAAGCTCATTTCCACAAATTATAAAAACAAACGAGACGAAACGGAAACGATGCGAAATAAGAACAAAAATGACAATATTGAGAATATGCACTTAACAAACTGACCTTCAATCCAAAAATTCGAAAATTTTTGAACAGACCTAGAGAAAAATTTCAAAATTGACGATGGAAAAAAGTTCAAATATTATGTTCGCCTGAAAACTTTTTGCAATTGAAGACTATGTAAATTAGTACAAACAAATGTAGGTATAGAAATAAATGTGAAGTTTGAAATCAAATTTTATTAAAAAAAAAGAATGAACTTCCACAGAAATATTTCGAAAGCGTAACCTTTTCAAGGTATTAACACTATTTTCGAAATTACTTTGAAGAACGTAATTGAAAACTACAATGAAATGTTTTGAAATTAAATTTGAAACGAGCGACAGCAACACACCGACCAGAACGGAGCAAAAAAAAAAAAGAAATAACGCTTTTGGCCGTTGTTTTTTACCGCCCGAGATTTGGCGCCAATCTGGAGAATTCTCCCGCCTTTGACCCTATGACAGTGGGGTCAAAACATTTTGGCAAATCAGACTCAATATTTTCGTGAGAATTTCGCCAGAGTTATCCTTTCACGTTCTTTTATTGGAAAATTACAAAAAAATTCGATATAGTCTTGATTAAATAAATGAGTAAGGTTAAGAAAACCGCAGTACAAAAAAAAATATCATGGAAAAAGTAACTCCAAAACAAAGATAAATGGAAAATAAAGAGAAAAAAAAACGACGAACAAGCTTAAAACATACTCAACACAATCAAAACATGAGGTATTCTAAAAATTTCAAAAAGACGTCTTTTGAAGAGCTTTGGTAAATCCCCTAAGAGCTGCGCGTAAAATAAAATGCGGTCTCCGCAATGACGCGGTGTTCACAACCGAGCGGAGTACAGGGTTAAAAAAAATCAAGATCTATCACTTTATCTATCATTTTCTCCTCAATTTCGGATTGAAAATATGGCAATGAAAATCTAAAGAAGAAGCCAACTGAAGACAGAGTCTAAATAGAGAACAATATTTCGATGGTTTCTCGGGTTTCAGAAGAGTGGTCGCATCAGCCTGGAAAAGTCATAAATCATAAATTAAAACGGAAGGGAAAAATTTGTTCTTCCGATGAGCATGTCAAAGTATCCCGTACTAAATTATTCAGAAAACTTCTAGAACTATATTTGCTTGATTATTAGAGGGAGCTCAACTTCCTAAAATGATCCCTCCAGCAAGTCAAAAACCAACCATGTGACTTCAAACTTCAACCACTGGGAACTAGAAAACGCGAAAGCTGATTTTCGCAGCTATGTTCAACTAACAAACACAGATCTTTGGTTACGATATGCGTTGGCCATCGGGGCCATCAGATTCCGACCCAAAAACCCAACGTGAATATGCGTCGCTGTGGTCCGCCGGCGGCTCTGTCGCTTCTCCTGCTTTTCTGCCTCGCTGTGCAACTTTTCTGCCCGCCTCAGCTGGTCGATGACGACTTCCGGCAGATCATCAAGTCTTTCAACGAGCCTGAAACGGTCACCGTCTCGTACAAGGTTCATTTTTTTCTTCTTCAGTTTTAACAACTACTATTCAGAGGAAAACCATGTTCGAAAAGTTCATAGCCGAGGAGTTTTATCGGGAGAAACCGACACGAGCCCGAGCCCTCGAGGACATTCGCAAAGTCGTCCAGTACAACTCGGACGTTTTCTTTTCGACAGAAATAATGATAATTATTTGAAATTACAGAGAACGCCTGAAAGTATCTACGAATATCGTGCTGCACACGAGATTTGCGCTCAAGAAGACGCTTGCCTGCCGCCTTTTGTTGATATCGCGCCCCTCTTGGCAGTAAGCTTCGAATTTATTTAGTTGGACCTATAAAAATGCAGAAAATTTTCGAGAAAGGTGGAGAAATTTTCCAAAAGCTCATGAAAGCTTGTTTCATCAGTGACAGGTTCCGAAAATGAGAAAAAAAAAATCCCAAAGGAGTCAAAAAGTGAAGGTTTTTTGAACTTTTGAGTCGAGCTTGTTTTTTTTTCAAGGCTTCATAGGATTCTTTTCATTTCAAACTTTACAGCAAAAAACAATTCAGACATCGCCAAAAAAGAAGATCATGGCATGCTTAGTTCAAAAAACCATGTCTACAGTCCTTTCATCCATTTTATGCTATTTGGATCAACCGGAAGAGTTCGTGCTCGCCAAAAGAAGCATACTCAGAGAGCATCCCCGCATAAGGTTTGATTTCGATAAATTACTTTTTCAAAAAAACCCCTACAAAAAAAAGTTCTTCTTTGAAAAAAAGATACTATTTAGAGACCGTTCTGGATCCTTATAATTTTTTGAGGCAATTAACTTTTTAAATCCACAATTTCCTTTAAATATCTTGATTTTTAAGGTTCTGCGCCGGGGACAACGAGTTCCGGTCGATGGAAAAGATGAGAAAAAGCTTGAAAATCACTGCGCGGCAGCTGAACGCTTGGAAGTTCCTTCTACTGACCCGAGATCCTGTGGATCGATTTCTCAGTGGATTTATTGACCAGTGTATCAGGTGGGGTTCCTAGATGAGCTTTGGAAAAAAAAGATGCAGCAATAAGACTTGCTTACTCCGTGCCTACAGTATCTTTAGCGTCAAAACTTTTTTTTTTTCCAAAAACCTCCTCGAATAACTTTCAGAAGAGGCGACCCGTGCTTTGGATGCGGCTACAACATGACTTGTTTCCTCGAAACCGAACTTCAAAGGCATTTTCTCACGAAATAACAGTGGAAACCAGTTTTTTTAGAGGACTTCAATTTGTCCAGACGGGCGATCCTGAGGTCACGGGTGTCGATATTCACATTTACCCACAAAACTGGTTTGTATTGAACTTTATGGTTTTCGAGAAAAATTGAATGACCACTGTAGCACTTACGCTCTCTGAATGATCTCTAAAGATGTCAAAATGAAATGAGTTCATTGAGGAAGTGGTAAAGTGGGGGAGGAAAAAAAGGTGGGCACTCGGATTTTTTTATTTCTTATACTTATAAGTAAACTCTTGCTATTTTTTCCTCACTTAAACTTTTGATTAATATCTTCTTAACTGAAACCTAGACGAGATAGTCTGTCCAGTTTTTTTTAATTCAAGTCTTGGCTCAAGCTCCGCCCCTAATGGCACGATAAACCAATCAGAAAGCGAGTCATTTACAGAGCTTTTGGGAATGACGTCATTGTACTTGAAATTCAAAATCTGAACAGAATATATCTCCAAGAAACTCCTCCTAGTTTTTTTTTTTTGCTTTTGAATAAAATTCTCAAGTTACAATACTTGTGATCTATTTAAATTTTAGATATGAAAAAAATTTGAATTTAAAATGATTCAGGCGCTGTGACCTCAAACGCTACCATTCCTACTACACCTTCATCCGGTACTCCAACAAGCCTCAAGGGACACTCCTTCGGGACTTGGCAGCTGCATTTCGAGACAGAAACGTGAGTTCAGACTTGAGACGTTACTTTTCAAATGGTCAAAAATTTAGACGTCTCTCATTTTTTTTTAAATCGCAACCTGGTGGTTAACTGATTATATTTAAATAATCTTCCAAAATCTCATTTTTACATGTTTTTTCTTCAATGACCACGCCCACCTTCAGGTCTCCGAATCGTCCATCCGTTACATAACCAAATCCTTGCTGTCCGGTCGGACGAAGCACTCGACGGTCACTTCGGCGACGCGAAAGTTCTTGGAGCATCGCCTGAAGACGAGTCCTTACCTGATGGAACTCATAGTTAGGTAAGCAAATAACTTTTTTCTTTATAGGTGTAATAGTTTGTTTTTTTATAAATAAAAAAATTCCAGACTTTTCTATTACGACTACATCCATCTCAATTATCCGATTCCCGACTACACTCAACTTGGAACCTTTTGATTTTCAAACCATTGTTTATTATCCACAAAATGTTCGGCCCTACACTTGGTTACGAGGCAAAAAAAAAAACGGGTCGAAACCATGAATAAAAAAGAAAAGTTCAAACAAATCGAATGAAATAAGACTGCAAAGCTCGTGCACATCTGCAAACGATAGTACAGGAATCACACAAATCTTCCACCAATCATTTTTTTTTCTTTGTTTGCCAAGTATATGGGGAGATACGAAAAAAAACATCACAATAGAGCATTTTGGACAATGGGAAAATTGGAGAAAAAGCTCAAAGGTGCAGGAAAAAGAAATATTGACGTGGTGCAAGAAGGGACAGCGGGAAAAAGACACAACTCTCGAATATCGATCAATACTTAAAATCCGGATGAAAAAGTACTAAATGATCCAAGGTTTAAAAAATATATATCCTCTCCAGATTTCAGCAAGATTCCAATCATTTGCTACAAAAAAAAACGAAGCGAAAGTGGGTAAAATCGAGCCGTAAGTTGTACAATATAAACAAATCGACAAAAAGCATCAGAATCGCCCTTTCCCCAGCACGTTCCTCACCAGCAATAGATCCTTAAACCAACGACCTTTATAAGGGGAAAGAGCTTTATCTCTTGGTACCACAGAATCGAGACTAAAACAAGCACGGCGTATTTTAAAAGTCAAAAGGAGGCAATAGGATAAAAGAATATTTAGGAATTTACGGAGAAGAAAGAATAAATAAAATTAGAAAAAAAAGAATAAGCGAACGAAAGTGTAGTTAGGACATATGCCATATGGGGGTGTTAAAAAAAAAAGATGAAAAGTGAGAGAAATAGTTAAGGAGAATATTTAGCAGCAGCCGCCGCTCTTCTTGTCCTGAACCGGCTGGCTTCCCGTAATGCGAACTCCTGGTGCAGCTCCAGCTCCTTGCACTGGACCCATTCGAGACTTGATCTCCGACGCCATCGTCAAGAAAGCCTGAAACAGTTGTTGAAAATTTTCAAAAAATGAGAAGAACAAGAACCCCGTTTTTGGTGGCTAAAAATAGAGCTTTAAAAATAAAAAGAAAGCAACTAAGGATAAAAAAGGCCCTCTTTTTGTAATACCTTGTCCACGATTTTCATAAAACTACTAAAAAAAAATCTCTAACTTTTTGGAATATCTTTGAGAAAGAAAAATTATGTGAAAGAGCTTAAATTTGCATCTATTAAACGTCGAAAATAGTCATTATATCGAAAAAAAAAAATTCCAAAATGCTCTGACACTGACGGTAATTAAATTACAGCATTCAAAATGTAACGGAAAAAAATTTTTTGTGAGAAAAATGACTGCCAAATAATTAATCTGGAAACGAACCTGTTCGACGTTAGTAGATGACTTGGCCGACGTCTCGAGGAACGGAATACCCAATTGATCAGCGTAATCCTGCAAATTACTACAAATTTTCCCCAAAAAATAATATCCTCCATTCATTTTAAGGCATTTTTCGATTGCTTGCTGAATTGTCTCAAAGCAGATTCATATTTTTTTACAGAGATCTCAACGACATAACATTATTGCTTTTTAAAAACTTTCTAAATACGATTTCACAAATCTTCAACGTAAAATAAATTTCTTCCTTAAGCTTCACAAGGTGTTTGATTATTGAATTCGAAAAAAAGATTAGGAATAATTGATTGTTTGATAATAAAAGAATAATCATAACTAAAAAAAGTTTTCTGTGGGTCATCAATTTATTGGAAAAAAATATTTAGCATTGTAAAATTTTAGACTATCAAACAAAATTTCCTTCAAAAAAAGGTAAAAAATATTGGCGAATGAAAAAACTATACGCAAAAGCGAAAATTTTTTGTAGAAATTTCAAGGTATTTCATCTTCAAAAAAGAAACTATGTCATTTTGCTGATCAAAAGAAGAAATGTTTAGAAACCTTGGCAGCCTGAGTTTCGACGGCGCGCTTGGCCGTCAAGTCGCACTTGTTTCCGACCAACAACTTGTTAACATTCTCACAAGCATATCGATCAATTTCCTGTAGCCACTGTTTCACATTGTTGAAAGTTTCCTGGAAAAATTTCAATTTGCTTATGAAACATTCGAGTTTTTATAATTACCTGATCGGTAATGTCATAAACAACGATGATTCCATGAGCGCCACGGTAATAACTGGAAGTGATTGTGCGGAAACGCTCTTGTCCTGCTGTGTCCCACTGAAAAATAAAACTTAATTTCAATCAATTTCCAATCGAAAACCAGAAAATTTCTCATTTATAAGCGTGAGATGTCTTTTTGACATTTTTATCTTTATTGATTTCGCAATCTCACCAAAAAATGGTTCAAAATCCAAATAAACAAAGTTTCGCAAGAATAAAAAATTTAATTTCTCCAAAATAAAAAATAAAAAAAGTTTTTTTCAGAACAGGAAAAAAACCCACAATTTGGAGTTTGATTGTCTTGCCGTCCAGCTCAATTGTGCGAATTTTTCTGAAAAAAAGAACGTATAATTATTAATAATCGGTAAGAAAAACTAACAAAGTCGACGCCGATTGTGGAAATGTAGGACTCGGTGTAGGTGTCGTCGGCGAATCGGAGCAACAGGCACGACTTTCCAACACCCGAATCCCCGATAAGCAGAAGTTTGAACAAATAATCGCTGAAAACTCTTTCATAAAACCTTATTTTCGGACGATTCACTCACTATTCTGGGTTCATAGCAGCCATTTTGACGAGGTTGATTTACAAAACGTTTAAAATAACCTGTAATATGCAACTTGTGGACGAAAAAAAGAGAAAGAAACACGAGACAACGTTGCGAAAAAGTCACATGACTCACGAAAAAGTGATGACGGTTGGAAAGGGACAATTTCGCAAGGGAATTTCTACCAAAGAGATGCAGGTAATTATAATCGATATGAACTGTTTGGAACGAGAAATACGGGAATTATAAAGAATAACTAAATAAGAATGATTGAAAACTTTCTTAATCGATAACGGTCATCACCCACCTGAAAGCCGGACATTCCACGTGAATCTACAGTAGAAAGGGTCCTATAACGAATGTTCCAAAATTCATGTTTCAAAAGCTCTTTCATTCAACTTGTGAGTTTGCATGTTTCTGTTCTGGAAACAGTTAGAATCGGGATAGAATGGGATGGAGAACAGGAAACTGACGTGGCAGAGAACACTTCAACGACAGATTATCGGAGCGCAAAATTGGAATTTGCCAGCTGACGCGTTGCGGCCCACGGCCGCCGCGCGGCCGTTTCGCCATGGGGCACACTTGCTAAATATATTTTTCGGCTCTCGCGAGTCTGGTTTTTTTTTAATATTTCGTTTTTATGTTTTCTAATTCTTATACAGAAGTTTTCAGGTGAACAAGTATGTAGTAGGCGGAGAATTATGGGAGGAGGCGTTTCAGTACTTCACCGACGAACTCGAAGACATGTAGACCTCGAAAATAGGTACGTTTTTTATTCTAAATTGTTTTCACTTCAAGTCCAACATAGAACTCCAACGCCTTCTACTCCACGCCGTACATTGAACAACGGTTTGACGTTGCTCCAAAACGCGACATGCCGTTTCAAGATCTCGTTTCAAAGTTAGAGTGTTCAAATTTTATAGTTGGATGTTTTAAATTAAGAGAAAACGGGGCTCTAAAGACTACACGAAGCCTTTTCGAGAGCTGATTTGCAACTGGCCTCTGACTGACGTTGAAGCACTATTGGAGGTCTCCAATTTTGTTTTATAAATTAAAAATGATGCGGTTATTCTAGGAATTCGAGGCTAATTCACAACTGTACAGTTTGCAACAAGAATGCGACGCAGCAAGACAAGCAGAAATTAACTTCTCGGATCATTTTTCAGCTTCAAGGACGAGTCTAGCTAACTTGAAAATTATTTTCAAGGTGGGAGTTTTGATAAAGTTCAAAAAGAAGTCAGATTTTTTCAGGATCAAACTTTTGACGTTCATCATCGCTTCATTTCTTTTCGATGTAAATATTTCAAAGATTTGTGTGCAACCTCTTCAGAATTAGATTTGACTCTACATTTTGAGGGTGTGGATGTAGATGATTTCAGGTATGTGGATTATCTGATAAAAAATGGAAAATGTTGTTTTAGAAGCTTCATTGGCTATGTTTATACTGAAAAATGGGAAGGAGATCGGGAAAATTTGGAAGAATTACGGAAAAAATTCGAGTGCAACGGGGTTTTGGCCGAAGATTGTGTTTTAATGGAAAAGGAAGACCTACAGAGTGGTGATTTAATAATCGGCCTGTCGAATACTGCGGAAAATAGTTAGTTTTTCCTGATTTTCGTACTCCAAATAAACAATTTTATTCAGAAACCCCTTTTCAACCTTACAAAATCCGATGTGATGCTAGCATCGTAGGAGCCAGAAGCCAGTTGCTTCAATCTCTACTAGCTCGAGCTCCGAAAAACGAACTGGACCTGACGGAGATCACCTTGGACGAGAATATTTTCCCTCGCGCCTTGGCCCCACTATTTGTTCATTTTTTCTACACGGATCAGCTTGATTTAAACATGGTTTGAAAAATAAGGAAACATCAGCAGAATAAGTTTTTTTTTTGAAGATATCAAAGTCGGACATGTCTTTATCATCGTTATCCGAAGCGCAGGCGATCATTTCGGGAAGGTCTCCGAATTTGAACCTTCATCGGGCCTTGCAAGTGATGCAGGTCGCCAAGTTCTTCAACATTGAGAAGCTTGTTCAGTGTAGGTTTTTCAGACAAATAAAAATAAAACCTGAATAAAACCGAAAGATTAGTTTTTAGTGTGCGAAGACGTCGTTGTTCAGTCCCTATCAGTAGAGAACTGCGTCGCCGTGTTGAATTGGGCTAGTGATGGCGGTTCGAAATTCGTGGCTCGTCATGCTTTGAGGTTTTTGAACGCAGAAAACTAAAAAATTAGAGAAAAAAACTTGTAGTAAAAAAATACAATTTTTTTTCAAAATGGGCCAGAGAAAAAAATTTTTTTCTCTTTTTTTCAGTATGGGAAGAACAAAAAAACGCTGAGCTTTCAAGCCTTGAAAGCTCAATAACTTTTTGAAAATCAAATGAAAAGGCTTTAAAATTATCGAGCCTGAATTTTTAGAAAAATTTTCGCGAGCTCCTAGAGCATACTCTTTGTTTTGCGGCAGTCCTTCAAATAAATAATTTTTTTATAAAAAAACTTCAATAAAATAATTGGTTTCTTGTTAACAACTGAAAAAGACAGATAACCCTAGAATACAGGTAAAAAAAATCGAAAATTGTAGCTTTAAATGTCAGTTTAACGCTGAAAATGACGCGAAAGAAGATCGAAATTTCGAAAATTCCGTATTCTGGAGCATTTTTACAGAAAAAAAAGCGTTTTCTAAAGCTCTTTCACTTTGCCGAAAGAATTAAAGGGAAGATTTAAAGGTTTTTTGGGCTATTTTTCCACTCATTTCCCATTTTAGTTTTAATAATCCATGTTTTTTTCAAACAAAAATTTATGATATAAAAATTATTCTCTTAATGTAAAAAGTATTATTCCAGGATCGTAGAGCGGGAATTTCCGAAAAAAATTGTCAATACTCCGAGTTTATTCGATCTGTCTCAAGAAACGATGCTCACAATCACAGCCAGCCAATTTGTACAGGTATAAATTCAAAATCTAAACTGAAAAATATGAGGAGGAAGATTTCCAAGAGTTATATCTGAAGATTCTTCGTTTTCAAGGCTCTTGAATGGAATTTTTATAAAATTCTCAAGGTTTCCTTCAAGTTAAGGAAAGCCTAGAAAAATATTTCGAAATCTTAGAAATAGATGAAAAAGTAACGCTCGATTAAAATATTTTCGTCTCATTTTAGAGAAAGTTTGAGAATTTCATATCATCTTTTTCGGAAACGCCAGAGTGGTCCTTATAGGGGTTAGGGGGGAAACAGCCCCTATAGGGGACAAAAAAGTACAAAAATTAAAAATACATCTTCTTTTGATAATTATTCAAGTTTTTCTTATAGAGTTTCTCACAATAATCGTCCAGCATGTCCCTATAGGGATCACTGACATGAAACCCTTATAAGGACTTTTTTTTTGCGAGCTTTAGTGGCCCCTATGGGGGGAGGTTGGGTAGTCCTTCAGGGGGACCATCCCTAATGTTGCCCCTCTAGGGAAAACTCTGAAGTTCCTAAGTTCTTACCCTAATTCCTTAAGGTCACCGAAGTTGAACTCCTCGAAGCGATCATCAAGTGGGGAGAGCATGAGCTTCTGAAACGGCTCGAGGCGGGATATTCGGCAACTTCCTTTCGAAATATGTTTTTTAGGAGAGAGAGCCGAATATTTTGGCCGACACGTGCCACTCGATCAGTAGGAGGGGATTACGACGTGCTGAGCTATCAGGTAAAATGTTTGAATAAATGAGAAAATAAATTATATTGTTATAGGAGACGAACTAAAAGACATTCTGCGGCCCTTTGCTGGCAAATGTTCGCACTGATTTCGTTCTCCCGCCTTTTCATCAGGTTATTTGGGCGTGGAGTAAAAATATATTCATAATCTAATCAAAAAAAAAAAATACTTGGGAAATGCTATTTGGTTCCTAAAAAAAATCACATTTGACGAGCCGGTTTTTTTTAAACGATAAGGTTTCAAAGTATCAATGATATTTATCAAAATGGAATCCAAAACCGATAGAATTGATGAGATATGAGGAAGATCCGCTTAAAAATCAAAAAATTGTTCGAAATTTTAGCTTAGTTTTCATTTTAGAAATGAAAAATGAAGAAAAGTAGGGCTCCTTCCAACAATTGAGGCCAGTAAAAGCCTGAAAGTAATTTGTTTTTCACTAGGTTGAAAAAATCCAAAAATACTTTACGCAGAAGCTTGAAACAGACATCATTACCAAAACCAAAAATGTTCTTTTGTTCTGCTCAGAAAAAGAAAACCAAAGTTGTTTTTGAAAGGTTCCTTATGAATATTTGGCCTGAGTTCGAACTACAATTCAGCAAAATTCAGCTATTGAAGCGTAAAGAGGCTGAATTTTTCTGAGCTTTTTAAGGTCACTGAAGTTGAATTTCTTGAAGCGCTTATCAAGTGGGAAGAGAATGAGCTTCTGAAACGAAAAAAAAATATATCAGCTCTAATGTTTTTTTCAAAATTCCCAATATTTCAGTCCCTAACCACCGCCTACAACCGCGGATTGCTGGAAAGAGCTCCCCTGCGCGATGATTTGGTCGTTTGTTCAACGACAGAGGAGATAAATCCGGATCTACTGTGGTTCCGGCCGGCTGAAACAAGCCTCGGACCTCGTTACTTTCATCCCGTATCATCAGGTTTCTTTTGAATAAAATTGTTCGAATTTCAAACGAAATTTCAGACACTGGTCAAGCAAGTGGCTCACATGCGAGCGCATTTCAATGAAGGAAAATCCGTTCTTTGATGAGCCAGAAGGCGTGGAAAAAGATCAATTCAAGCCGCGGATTCAGCTCAAAACGACCAATTTGATGCCTCAGGTCTTGGATGGAGCCAAGTTTCAGGAGGTGAGGGCTCATCAAAAGAAAAAGTCTTGATAATTAGATAGATTTTATTTGAAAAATTCCACTCTAAATTGTCTCAAAAATTTCACATGAACCTTTAACAGCTTATTTTCGATATTTTAAATACTAAATATCTTTTTTTCCGCTTGCTAATGTAATAATATTCTACAGGAGAAATCAGTCTCTTTAAAAATAGCACAGAAAAAAATTGTTTTACTAGTTTAGTCTCTTGGTTCTTGAAAACGATATCATGTTCACTGAAATCTAATGAAATAATCTTTCTAAATGAAAAATCACTTTGAAAAAGTTTGATTTTTAATGAAGAATCAGTTTCAGAAAAGGTGATTCTATGAAGAATTCAGGATTTCTTTCTTAAAAAGCTCGAAAATGTTTCGATTTTTAAACATTTCAAATGAGATGATAATGTCTGTTTCTCACTTCAAAGCCAATAGAAATTTCCAGTCGAGCGTTTTTGTTTTTAGTCAACGGTAAAAAAATTAGGGACGGAATAGTTTTCTCAATCAAAAAAATGTAAGAAAAACAAGAATTTCTTCTTGTAAAAATTGAACCAAAAAAATCAGTTCATTATGAAACTTTAGTTTGTTTTTATTCTAAGGAAAACGAATTTTGGCCTTTCTTCTTCAGAAGAAAACTTGAGTTCAAAAATGAATATCTATGAACCCATTGATTTCAGACAAAAGAATCCGTGTGCAGGGCGATCTACGAAGCAGATGAAATCCAAAATATACGCCTATTTCCACGAAAATATCATCGAGCCATGGCGGTTCAATTGGTAAGTGGAAATGAGGGTTGAATCATAGAATGACCGAGAAAAATAGAGAAAAAAGTTAAGGAATTGACGATTTTCGAGGAATTTAGGGCTACAGAATGCTTGACAGCTTTTTTGAACAATTTTTTTCAACTTCAAAAAATATTTCCAATCTTCTTTGTGCTTCACGGAGAGGAAGTCCGGAAAACTGAAAGTTTTCTAAAAAATTTGATAAAAGTTTACCAATTCTCATGGTCCTAACGGAAGACAAATTTGAAGAGTCTTAAAAAAATGTAGCGATCTTTTACGATGTTCTTCAAATTATAAAGTTTTAAAATATTATTTAAAGATCACAAAGAAAGCTACTGTGTGAACTTGACGTCGCTGAAGAATGTTTCCACTGTGAACTGGATTCTGAAGAAGATCCGGGAGATTCTGAAGACGTTGAGAACGGCGCTGGATCGCCACAACTCAGCGCTTCGACTCCCGACGTCTTGCCTCTATAATTTTCTTTTTTTTTCTCAATTTTCACATTTCATTCCGTTTTTTTTTCGTGTTGAACTATCCTTTTCTTGCCATTCCATTCATAAAAAAATATATCTATATTGTCTAGATTTTATTGTTGTTTGACTTAGTATTTTCATTCGCAATTGTACATAGTTGTGAGAAATTGGTTGATTCTGGTACACCGTTTAGATACTTATTGTGATAGAATCGGATTTTTCACGGGTTCCTAAGAAAACATTGTATTCCACTCTTTGAAGTTTCGTCTCTTTGGAAATAAAAAAATAGAGGTAGAAAAACATTGTTTTACAGTTTACTAACAAACTAAAATCACTTCTTATGACATAAAACTAACCATTTGCAGTGAAATTCACCTGAAAGAAAAATGGCAAAAAAGCCTCTGCCCCATGCCAGGCTCGAACTGGCGACCTTGGCATCCCTTATGACTATAAGTACCACGCGCTAACCGACTGCGCCAATGGGGCTCGGTGCGGGGGGAGGCGCGGAGACGCACTTACTCTCTTCTTCTCTACTTTGTATGCATTGTGAGCGTTTCGAAAATGGATTACGTTCAATTTTCTTTTTTGAAAGACGTTGGTTTAGTTTAAAAAGTAAGAAAATAGGGCGAAAATATTTAAATTGATGATTTTTTTAAAAGATTTTCTCGTAACTTAAAAGGGCAATTTTTTTTGTTTTTCTTATCTCTGGGGTAGCCTAAACGGTTGTTTATTCCACGATTTCTGATTTCGAAACAGTTTTGGACACAACATACATTTATTTAGCAACAGGGGCCTTGGTTTTCATTTCGTTTTCCCAGTTTTGTCCATCGAACGTTATCCATCGAATTTCCTTCACAGTGTTGCTGTCGATACAGTGCGGCGATATTCCTGAATATTAATACGGACTATTTCTCTTGTTCTCAAACGCACCAATATCATTGGGATTCGATCGGAGGGATATAAAAGCTTTGAACTCCACAAATACTACAAAACTTGTGCTGAGCATTGCCCGTGTTGAAAGCGATAAGTTGTTAGTTTTTCGTCTCCCTGAAACGTCGTGGAAGTGAAAAATTTAAAAAATAAAAAACCTGTAAAAGTTTGAACCGATCAATTTTAACGATATAGTGGTCGTTGCTCTTCTTCTTGCAGATGGAGCAGCTGGAAATCGATTTTTATGGAATTTCAGAAAAAAAAGACGGTCTCGAATTGCAATAACGAAAGTTCCGGACCTTCCTGGGCGTTTTTAGGGATATCTTGAGTGCTGACGTTACTAAAGCGGTCACTAGGAATGCTGGGAAGGAAGGCAATAAAGCTAATTTTCTAGATATTGGAGATTTTCCGCAGCTTTTTTTTGGCTTTTATTTAATTCTGAGCCTCGTTTGAAGCTGAACAACACTTCCAAGCATCTTCTTAAGACTTTTGAATGTTTAAAGCTCACTTTTAAGACTTCTAAATCATATTTCCCGATCAAGACCCCCTCAGAAGTTCTGTTCAAGCCCAAAAATGTTTCCATTCAAAAAAGTGCCTTTAGAAACTGAAAATAGAACCAACTTGCACTTGATACAGTCCAAAATGGGTGGAGCCCGAAGCTGCCATCTAACTGCGCCACAATGACAACCGCCTTCATGAGTGACGTCTTCTTTCTCTTCTGACATGGAAATATTCATCTTCAAGGCCTGGGAGAAGACGAAAATAAGAGACACTATCAATTTTCTTATCAGTTATTGCCTTTTGTGATTTTGACCTCAGCTCGATAGAAACTACAGTCTTTCCTTGATTTCACAATAATTTTGTTTTCTACTTTTTCAGAACTTGCTCATTTTACCAAGAGAAAATCAACTGCCAGATTTTATGAAATCGAGTAAACCATGACTGGAAAAATCGTCCTTTGAAAGTTACGAAATTCCAATAGTCATGACCATTTTTGAAATTTCAATCTTTGAAATTTTTCAATGACTTCTCAGAAATACAGACAAGGGAAACAACTACAAGGAAGCCTGAATTTAAGAAAAGGTTTTATCAGTTTTTTGAAAAATTTCTGAAAATTTCATTAAATATGGCTACGGAGCTTCAAATTTTCATTTTTAAGAGAACACCGATTTTTTTTGTACCTTCTGAAAACTGGAAAAATCGTCCTTTGAAAATTACGAAACTCCAACTTTCTGCCAAAACTAAAGTCCTTCTGCATATACTTTTTCTGAACTTCTTTATCAAAAACAAACCATCCAAAAAAACCATTCTGAAAAAAATAAACTTGAACTAAACTACACCCACACCAAAAAAAAAAAGCTAACGAAATTTCCGTGAGATGCGTGGGCCGCGCTGTAACGGAAAAACCAATAAATTTATTCGAGGCATAAAACAATTTGAGCAAGACATAAATAAAATAAAACAGAGGCCGATGAATAATGGAGGTCAGCTGGCGGAAGCAACGGTGACTTTGACGGAACTTTCCCTCGGTCCGACTGGAAACAAAAGGAAAATGAATAAAACGAGCAACTCGAATGGAAAGAAAGGATGAATGAGGACTCACGTTTGATTCTGAACATTTTCCGAAGGACGAAGGCGATTATTCGTCGAACAGCCGAGGCGTAGGGCTTGACGCCGAGAAGAACGACGATCGGATTGGCCAAAGGGAGCATCGCGAAGAAAATCATGGATAGGAATTCGGTGGCAACGCTCTTAATGATGCTGAACTGTTCCAGAAGATATATCGAAAAGCCGATTATTAAGAAGCATGGCAGAAATGCTTGAATTGTGATAACCTTAAAATTTGAGTTGAAACAAGGTTTTCTGAAGAAAAAAAAAGAAATTTTCAACTTGGAATCTGGTTTTCGGGTCTAAAAGAGCATGTGGAATGGATCAAGAAGTCAGTCTGATCACGCTTTCCGGAACCACGAAGCGCAAGTCGTTTTAGGTCGGTTCAAAAGACCGTTAGCCAGGGAAGCAGTGAGACTTCTGAATGAGATCAACTTTTCTAGATGTAGTTTTTCACGCTGATTTCAAATGTGGCCTCAAAAATTTCCCAATACGTCCGTAAAAAAAGTTAAGGTCCCATAAAAGTTGAAAAAAAAAATTGGAGTGCAGATATGATTTTTCAAAGCGCCAAATATAAGAGAAGTTCAACTTTTAAGGGTCCATAACTTTTTTTCACAGACGTAATGGACAACTTTTGAGACCAGATTTTATATCAGAGTGAAAAACTACATCTAGAAAAGTTGGTTTCATTCAGAAGTCTCATTGCGTCCAAAAACCATTCCCTGGTAAGCATCAAGCTTTTCTCTGTGCAATGATGACGATACAAATCAAAGAAGGATTATTATCATTGACTCGAAATGAATAAAAATGAGAAAAAAAGCTCAAGAAAGGAAAACTATTCGAAACCGCAACGCGACCGCGACGCATCGAGCCATTCCAGCTCAAAATACAAAAAACCCACCAACAACAGTTGTTGATGCAGTTTCCTCGTATTATCCGATATGACCGCCATTTCGGAATTCAAAGCTTTGTAAGCTTTCGATCGAAGGTGTACAATTATAATATAAAGAGGGATATTTGGTAATCCCATGTACAAAATCGTCAACAGACTAGACCATTCTAGGAAGGATTCATGGCCAAATATGGTCAAGTGGTCAAGATGATATTCGGGGCGGGTTTTCCTCAGAGTATTTCGTAAAAACTCTTCAGAAGCTGAGTCGTAGAGGTGAAGAAGCTGTAAAAAAATCTAGCGTGAAAAAAATTGAAAGAAAAAAAGATTGTAAAAAAACTAAGAACTTTGGCGGGGGGCTGATTAACGTTGTTTCAACGCTGATTAACGTCGACTAAAGCTTGAACTCCAATTTTGGAAACTTGAAGCTCCCGAGATAACAACTCAAGCTTATTTTTTTAGGTTCATACAACCCAAAAACTATGATTTCTAGCGTCTAGTAACCCTAATAACTCGAATAAAAAAAGCTAAAAAAATTATATAAATTCTAAAATTTGAGAGAAAAACGGCTCTAGCTGCTCCAGATACATGTTTCTATCTTCTCAAGCCTCATTCAAGATTAAAAAATTTTTTCGATCGTCGGAATCTCAGAGAATATGATTTCAAGACGTTTTTGAACAGTGTTCAAACTTGTTTTTGAGCTTCCAACAACTCCACTTTTCTTCTTTTTAAAATTTTTAGAAGATGGAACATTACATTTTTAGCTGTCTCAGTTTCTAGTCCATCTTCTGAATAATCCAAAAGACTAATCGATAAGAAGTTCACTTCTCAAAAGCTCTTGGGAACTTCCGAAACTCTCTGAAGCTTATTTTCTAACTTTCCACGTTACAATATAGTCCGTTTTTGAGTCTTTTCGAGTGTCTGCGTCTCTCTGTTCTCTCATCGGCAAGGTTAGAGGAACGTGAAAACATCACGTCAACACGAGAGGGGGCCGAGAGACGAGGAGGGAACACAGAAAAAGAGCCGTTTCGAAAACGGAGTATAAATATCCTCCGAACCCGAAAGCTCACCAAAACGATCAAGGTAGGAATATAAACGCCAAAGCAGATCAAGGCGATTCTCCTCTTGCTGGGTATCCGAACACCGATAAGGGCATAGTATCGATATGCGAAAGATAAGAGTTGGCTCATCATTCCGTGGATAATCGCGTGGATTTGGATCTGAAGCCAAGTTTCTAATCTTCAAGTAACACGAATAGAAAATTACTTTGAATAAAAGAAAGCAAAACTCGCGGCCCAGCCGTCCGCAGACCCCATAGGAAACAATGAGAATCGTGAAATCGCAGGGGATGAACCTGTAATCCGATGGTTTAATTTTTGACTTTAAAAGTTATAAAACAGTCGTTTTTTCAAAGATTCCAACTCACTTAATCTTCCAACCTACCTAATCGATGTCAGAAGCCCACACAAGGCAATAACCAAGTCGACAAGAGCCGCATTGATAATTAAAACAGAATAGGCTCCAATAGTCTTCGGGGTGCAGAAATAAATGAGGAGAAGTAATAAAATGTTCATCAGGACGCCTTGGGAGGTGATGAACATGTCTATCATGTGGAATGTGTATTCTTCGACGGTTATCGTCATTCTAAAACTGATTTTTCGGTTTCAAAAGGATTCGGCGTTCGGAAAAGTTGCGAAAATGCTTCAAGTTGCATTTTTCGAGGGCTAGAACAGTGGTAGAGTGATTCAGAGTCAAAAAAAAATCAACGTGACTCAACAACTTTTTTAAAACTTCTTTAAATAATGGAAACTACGTCAGTAGTGGAAAAAAGGCTATTGGAAAAATGACGAAAAAATTTATGATCCGAAAAAAATGGGAAAATTTTTCATTTACTTCTTCCTAAATATTCAAAAAGTCAAAAACGACTCCATATATTTTTGATCCACAATATTAAAAAAATTAAACCAAGCTCAGAATTTCAAAAAGAAAAAAATTCGGAACAGAGAAACGATGAAGTTACAAGCATAAATATAAACTAAACTAACTGAAGTATATATTATCATACTTCCGTCGTTATAATCATCAATATTAAATACAGAACTTCTCAGAAGCCTACTCGAAATCGAAAAAAATCAAGCTATAAACTAATAAGAAATCTCATTCTTGACATTTCTTTATGAATAATACGCGAGAAATATCAAATTTAGCTGCCCGCGCCCCTCCATTTTTTTTTCTTCTTCTTTCTTAAAAGTGCAAGTTTTTCTCCTAATATGCAAAATTATCAACAGGAAGCGAGGATACGAAGTATGAATTTGAAGGAAAGGTCAATGAAAAGCCGACAACAGGACTTGTCGTAAATACGAGAATAAACTTGAGGTTATCAGGATTCAGTAGAGCCTAAATAATAACCATGCGTTTGACGATACTAGTTCCAAAAACATTGAAATAGAAACAGAAAACACAAATTGATTGGTGCTTGAGAGTAGAAAAAGTAATCTGGAAAATATAAGCGAATTCGCGAAAATCTAATCAATCTCCAAGAATTCTTTCATACTCCTTTTTTCGATGTTATTTATGAAGGCCTCAGATATCCATTCCCAAAGTTCTTTGAAAATCTTGAACCTTTAAAAAATTATTTTTATCATGCCATTGAAAATTTCTCTATTTTGAAAGTTCCGCAAGTGCTGAAAATAACGCTCAAAGCGTAAATATCGAAAAAAGTTCAACTTTAACTTTAAGAACTTCTATCAAACTTCCAAAGGCTTGAAATTTTTTTTTCGCGAAAATAATTGTCAAGAAGTTGTCTACACTGGCTTCAGCTTTGCAGTTTGGCCCAAAAACCCTTGTTTCATATATTTTCCAAGCGAGAACCAATGTTCTGGATGCCTGATCCGATCAGAAGCCAGGGCTACAACAAGTTTCAATGTTTATATTTGCACAAGCCATTGTTTTCGAATTTTCAACAAATTGAGGCCCATGATCACCCCGTCCGTATTATAAAAGGGTCGTGTAGAGCAGAGGTAAGCAACATTCAACAATGTTGACTTTCTTCTTCCTGCTCATCGCTGGAGCTGCCGCTCAAATCACTCAGTATAACCAGCAGGCATTTCTGCAAGCGCTGGGCTTGGGTCCGCGAGGTTCAGGCCAGCAAGGCTTCGGATCCAGCCTAGGCCAGTCTGGCTACGGTCAGCAAGGCTATGGATCTAGCCTCGGCCAATCTGGATACGGTCAGCAAGGCTTCGGATCTACCCTTGGTCAATCTGGCTACGGACAGCAAGGCTTGGGATCTAGCCTCGGTCAATCTGGATACGGTCAGCAAGGCTATGGGTCGAGCCTAGGCCAATCTGGCTACGGTCAGCAAGGCTTCGGATCCAGCCTCGGTCAATCTGGCTATGGTCAGCAAGGCTATGGATCTAGCTACGGACAGCAAGGCTTCGGATCTGCCCTTGGTCAATCTGGATACGGACAGCAAGGCTTGGGATCCAGCCTCGGCTACGGCTACGGAGCTATCGACAGTGCGGCTCTCCTCGGCCTGCCTCTGCAGCAAGGCCTGAACCTCGGCCTTCTGTGTAAGTTCATCTCAAACTCAACCCCACTTGCTTCCATTTTTCAGCTCGCCAGTGTAACTACAACGAGACGTACATGCAGTGCGCCACTTCGGCCGAGCAACGTTGCGACCAACAGGACAGCCAAGTCACCAGCAACGTCTTCTTCTGCCGCCCAGCCTCGTGCCAATGCCAGGAAGGCTTTGTGAGGTCTTTCGACGGAACCAGATGCGTTCTGCCCAACGACTGCCTTTCGACTTTGGCCAACTGTCTTCTGATCAACAACGTCCGCACCTGCTTCCCAGGTAACTATTTCCACAGAAAGGAGGCCTAACTTTTCAAAGAAAGTCAAATAGGAGCTTGACCAGAGCCTAGAGCTTTGTGTGAATTTATGGAAGTCACTTTGAATATAAATTACAGGCGTTCAATGCCACGGCCGACTGTGTCCCTACGGTTGGCAGTGCAAGCGGCCGACATTCTGCCTCGGTCAGCAGGAACTGTGTGCCCCGACTTGCATTCCTGGCCCCGCCCAGAGCCAGAACTCCAACAGCAACTTTTTCAACCCAGCCATCAACTTTGGAAAGAAATAATTTATTTAAGTCGTTGAATGTGTATAAATTTGTAGAAGGAATAAACTTTTGGCTTCTTATTTGTTCCAAAAAGTGTGTTGGAGGTTATCAAAAAAGGGTAAATTTTTAAATTCAGGACCGAATTAAGATGGAAATTGATTGATCAGACGCCGTTTTGGACCTGAAAAATCCGAAAAAAACACACCAAAAAAATGGAATTTTAACGATCCTTTTGAAAAATTTTTTTCTTATATGAAAGTTTCTCACTTTCTTTTGAAAGCCTGAAAAGTAACCATGGGAAAATGAAGGATTATGAAGATGAGAAATTCAGAATTGAATTTACAACTCAAAGAAAAATAATTTCATTCAAACTGTCACTTTTTCTCAGAAACGTCTCGTCTCCCATGACTTGTGATAACGATTCTTCAATTTCGCGACACGGTCAACAATTAAAATTTTAAAAAAAGCCTACTAACAATCGAAAGAAATGGTCTCTAGGGGGAAATGTGTAACTTATACACAGATTTGAAGAAAAAAAAAACGAAAAATAATATTTTTTACATATTTTTACAGAAAATTGGAAAAAACAAATATTTAAACACTGAATTGGAGCGGCATTCTCTTAGTAAAGAAAAAAAATTTTTAGTTTGAAGAAAAAAATTAAGAAGATGAAAAAAAAACAATTATGAGCGTACCTGGAATGGTTCAAGGAGTTCATAGAAGGCGTCGGTGTCGAATAATTTGCAAATTTGAACTGAGGACCCATTTAGGAACCTGGAAATGAGATTTCCCTCTGCTTGTCTCAAAATTGAGCAAAAATAAGCAAAATAAAATTTATTTCAAAAATCTATCTTGATGAAAATTTTGGTGCGAACGATCTTTTTTAGGATATCACTAATGCACTTCCAAACAAGGATATTAAAAGTACATATCCAACTTTTTTTTTCGGAGCACTGGGACGGAAAATCGGGTTACGGTGGGTGCAAAACTCAGACAATTTGCAGATATTTGCTAATGAGATTCAATTTTTGAGCATTGACCGTTCCGAAAAGGTCTGTTTTTCACGATCTATAATTTCTACAGTTTGGGAAAGTTGTGTGTTTGATCAACCTTGTTGACATCCGCCCATTGTTCCTATAAAGCCCGGGTGGAAATGAGCATTTCAACATTGCAATTGACAACTTCTCTACAACAATGTTGGCTGTGAGTTTGAGCTTTTTGAAATTTTTTAAAACTTTTCTCAAATTCCAGGCAACAATCCTGTCCATCTTTTCGCTGGCCACGGCCCAATGTAAGTTCCAGTTTTATCAAGAAGCAATAATTGAAAATCTACAATTCAGTTGCTCTACCCAACCAGTTCGGAGCATCTGGAATGAGCTCGAACCCTTGGATGGGCATGTTCGGAGGACAACAACAAGGGTTGAGCACTCTCGGCCGTCTCTATGGTCTTGCTGGTTCTCAAGGCGGAAGCCAACTCCCAAGACTTCCATCGAACATTGCCAACCTGCCCATTGGCACCGCTATTCAGAATGGAATCTTTGGAAGTGAGTTGACTCCGAGAAACTTACAAATCACTAGGAAACACCTAGAGACCACTTAAGAGGCTCCTCGAGGGCTACTTGGAGAGGACACTAAAGTGACCACTAAAACCACTTCTATAGAAGCTACTTCAGTAGTTTTTATTAGTAGTACAACGTAGACTTCTTAAGCAGTCACTTGAAAGGACACTTATTCGGCTACTATATTGACTACAAAAATTCCAAGGCCTAAAGTGGCAACTAGAAATTTTCCCAGAAAGTGCTTGATTATTTAAATTAGGGAAAAGCTTCAGTATGTAAGTAAAGCATCTCAAACTTTAAAAAAATAGTTGTGATTTCCAGTCAATCAGTGCACAGCCAACGAGACTCTGGTCTCCTGTGGATCTGAATGTGAGCCCAGATGTACCACCTCATTGACGTCTCAACCTGTGAGTCTCCTACACACTTTTTTTGAGAAGCTTCACTTATGAAACACCTCGTTAGCCATAGAACAGCCAGAAAAGAAGAAATGATCAAAAATGTAGCATGATTTTTGATTTGAGCTCATTAGTTTGGCCAAGCATGGAGGGTACATTCCCATGAAAAAAAAATCCGTTTTTTCTTGCATGTTAGACCCAGAAAAAAGTTGATACGTAGAACTTCCGCTCTTTGGTTGATCTTTGCTCGAAAAGTGCATTTTGGGTTTGCAAGAATGAGAAAAAACATTGAAAACATCAGGAAAGAGTTTCCAGTTGAAATTGAGTTCAACAGAGGATGAGTGAGAAGTTTCAGATAGCTTAAAATAACGATTTAGTTGAAAATCTTCCAAAAAATTGTTTCAAAAAACGCTTTGAGGTTCAAAATTGCCTCCAAAGCTGCGTCCCGAACGTTTGCCAGTGCAACACGGGCTATGTCCGGTCTTACGACGGCTCTCGTTGTGTTCTGGCCCGAGACTGCCTTGCGACTCTTTCCAACAACTGTATGATGGTCGGAACTACGCGAATTTGCTTCCCAGGTACTAAGAAAAATTGATGAAAATCACTGGAAAAGCTAAAAATGCACCGAGAAAATAAGATACTCGTAAAAACTCTAGTGGCCACTTAAGAGGTTCCTCAAACACTACTTGGAGAAAGCACTCAAGTGGCGACTAAAACCACCTCTATAAAAGTCACTCTTTTGCGTCTGTGTCCACTAAAGTCGTTTTTAGGGGTCTTGTAGAACCACTTAGACTCCTAAAGAGGCCACTAAATTTAGTCATTTAAGTGGCCTCTAATTCTACTACTATGTCGAACCCTAAAGTGACCACTGAAAACTTGTCTATACATAGAAATTTCCAAGCCATCGAGAGCCTTTAAAAAAATATGAATAAATAAAGCGCCACCTTTTTTGGAATGAAAAACTGTATTTTCTCTCAAATTCATCCAACTTCAACTCCAACTTCCAGGCGCTCAATGCGGCTCAACCTACTGCCCCTCCGGCTGGAGCTGCTCCAACCCCCAGTTCTGTTTCGGAGCCTCTTGCCAGCCTTCCTGCGTTCCCAACTTTGGCACCGTCAACTTGTACAATCCCCGTTCTGGATTCTTTTAAGTTATGTGAAAAAATACGTCTCCTGGGCATGTAGATATTCATTGTAGATTTCCGTGTAAGATTTTAAATAAAAATTGCATGTTTTGTGTTGATTTTCAAGCATTGAAAAGGAAAATAGCAATCTTGAAGGGCAGTTGAGTGCTCAGGCCGTACTACAAGAGTGCTCATCAGAAATTTATCATACTTTCAACTTTCGCTAAAAAAATTTCTGTGCTTTAAAAACAAAAAAATCGTTAAAAAAATTAATTTTTTTCATAGAAAAAAATTGGAAATTTCCATAGATCCGCCTTCCACAATGTTGAGATTGAAAAAAACAGCTTGTATATGAAACAATTCAATAAATGAACTTCTAACCTTTTTTTAACAGAAGCTGCAAATTTGAAAGCCAACGTCTATCCATGCCGTTTTACCGATGAAATCTTTGCCAAAAACCTGAAAAAAACCGAGTTAAAAAGCAATCTGAAAAGATTCAACTCACTGTCCAGACTGATGAAAATCTTCTACCCATCACACTGATAGGATGAAAAGTGATAGAACACTTAAAGAAACAAGAAAAAAACAATTAAAAATGAAGTTCATCAGCCCCGGGGGTTTTTTTACGTAAATCGACAAGAGACTCTCCATGGAGCACGTTTGCGCGTATGCCTCGGTTTCGTTTTTTATTCTTTTTTTTCGGGTTTTCAGTGATCTGTACACTGTCCAGACGATGGAAATCCTCTACCCATCACACTGATAGGATGAAAAGTGATAGAACACTTAAAGAAACAAGAAAAAAACAATTAAAAATGAAGTTCATCAGCCCCGGGGGGTTTTTTTTTTACGTAAATCGACAAGAGACTCTCCATGGAGCACGTTTGCGCGTATGCCTCGGTTTCGTTTTTTATTCTTTTTTTTCGGGTTTTCAGTGATCTGTACAGCGTCTGAACTTTAAACTGTAAAGCCGATTGAGTTTCTCATTCCCGTATATGTCTTTTCTATGGCCTTTTAAAGTTTTCAGCAACAAAAAGTGTCGAAAACAAATAATCCGCTATTAAAATTGCAGCTTCTGTTGGAAAGCTGGTCTTTCTCAGGATCTCTTTCAAACTAAATTATTAAATTATTAACGTTGAGCGAAATTCTTTTTAGAAAATGAAATTTTCCAAGGGAACATTTATCAATGACCCATTTTTTTCACGCAACCAGAACAAGTTATAAAAAAACAGTTTATTGAAAAAAAAAAATGATGCTTACCAGTGAGGTATGTTTGGAATGAGATTACAGATTTACACGGGAAAAGGAAGAATTGAATTAGACGAAACTGAGTCGAGAGGCGGTTTTCTGGGTGGGTGGAGATGAGCTGGCGAAAACCGCATATCTGGTGGCGAAATCGAGGTTGACCATTTTCTGGAAGGCGCCGTTGGATTCGCAGCCGTTGACAAAGTCCTCATCACCCTGAAAATTTATTTAAAGACTCATTCTTTTTTGAAAATTTTTTTCGAAAATCAAAAGTTCGCTTGAAACATTGCCAAACGTCTCAAAAAGGCCATCCATAAATCTCGTTATTCATTCATTTTTTACGATATTTGCTCACCCCGACGTTTGTCGTTTTATCGGTGCAGTCGTATTGAAAGCCTTTGCATGTGGCCGGCGAACCTGCAAAATTCAGTTTGATTCGCAGTTTGGAATGGCTAAGAACGGACCAGCCTCCTCAACACGTTGATAGATATAGCAGAACGGCGGATCATTGTACATTTTGTTCTTTTTGATTGTCATGCCAGCTGCCTGCAAGATAAATAAATAAATAATTTCGACAAGCGCAAATATTATTGGAGGCTTAATTTGGTGCATTGATGGTTGATTTGCGAGGTAGAAAATATGACAAACTGGAGAGCATCAAAAAGGTTTTCATTAATCTCAGCGACTCAGATATGAACCAAAAAACCAGGGTCGCACGAAGAATGGCTAGGCCGCGTAGTGGTTGCGACGTCACTGTTAGACGCGTCCGTCCAGAAACGGTTTGCGCAAAATGCCATGCCTCGAGAATAATCTCAGGTGGACTTCAACCGCAACGCTTAGAGTCATTCCGCATGCGACCACGGCGCTGTCAGTCATGACACGGCATTCCGAATGGGGTGCGGGAAAGTGAGCGAGGCGTCCAAGTTTCCGAATTTACAAAAAAAAAATAAGTGCGCGCTTCGGATAAAAGGACTGTGACATCACAGCTACCTATCGTTGCAAATTAAACTGAGTATTCAACGACATGAAGAATACATTTGGCTGCGTACTTGAGATCTCAAATTCCGCGCCAAAATTTTTTTGACGTCTCCCCACCCCGTTTGGGAACGCCGTGATGATGAATGGAACGAATAACGTTGTTTATATCATCTTAATTGCGAAACCTTGCATGGTTCTGTATTTTTAAGCGTCGAATTTTAAAAAAACACCTTCCTAACATGATATCTGAAACAGAACTGCACCTTTCAATTTCTATACCTGATTAAAAACTAAAAAAAATCAACCTGACAAGCAACGAGCAAGAGCAGGAAGGTAAACGCTGAGCGGAGCATTGCGGAAGTGTCCTTGTGGTCAAACAACCCGAAAAATGCCGAGAGCGGTCCCGAAAGTCACGCCCAAGCGCGCACTGACGCTAGAGTTACCAAAAATATCTTGAAGCTCATAAAAAATTTCTTGCATGACTCGGATGACGCGTGTCCTTTTTGCAGAAAAAAAAGATAAGAAGTGTTTCCTTGAAAAATATTCTGCACGATTTGAAAAAAATGCAAAAGAATTTTTCCATTTTTTTCTCCAAGGAGAAGCATTTTTTTGGAATTTTTTTGATCAGTTACAAAAAAATTTTTATAAATGAGGAAAAAAATCTCTAAAATGTGAAAGTTGAACTTTAAAAAAAGTGAGATTTCGAAATTTCGCAAAAAGCGTTTTCTGGTCAACTTTTGAATGAGACCAGGTCCACTAGATGGAGTTTTTCGAGCTGATTTAAAATCTGGTCTCAAAAAGGTGAGAGAAACTCATTTTTTGAAACATTCTGAAGCGCTTGTTTTTGGAGGATGTTTATTAGGGTTATTTTAATGAGCTCCTATATTTTCAGTTGATGATGTTCAACTTCTTGAACTTACAGTTTTTTGAGAACTTCCTTAAAAACCAATTTTATTCCTCCTGTGCTCTCTTGATTTCGCATTCCAAAAAAAAACGATCATGAAATCCTAAAAAAGAAGAAGAATCCGTAATAAAAACCAGCAACGATAAAATTGGTGTAATCGTTTTTTTTTGGGAGGTGCTCAAATGGCTGTATTCTGAACAGTTTCAGTATCATCATGAAGACGCTTCTCCTCTTTTTGGTATGCTTTTTTTTGTTAATTTAAGGGCAAATCAGTTGTAGATGTACTTAGCCTCTCCAGGAGCTTCAGTGAGACTCGTTTTGGTATGAAAAGAATGAAAAAGAAAGGAATATTACATTTGAATTCAGGACTGCGATCACAAACCTACCGAGGTTTGAATCAGCGATCGATTCCCAGCTATTGACCCCCAGGTCGATCCGAGATGCTGTCCCAGCGATGGAGTCTGGTCAGAATGGATTTCCTCGGTACAAGGTTGCTCTGTTCCCTGCGGCTCTTGTAGCAAATCAACTGAAATCAGGACGTGTCTTTCTGATAATATCAACTGTCCGTGCAGGTACTCGAGAGTCTCTACATGATTTTCTGAAAACCTCATATTCAGAGGAGAGACAACGCAACAAGTTTACTGTGCCGAGAACGTTTGCTTTTTCCCATACCTCAGTTGCTGCAAACCGTTCAGAGCCACTGTCCGTGGTCCCCACCATGTTTGCAATAGTTCTCTTGTGAGTTGAACAACTAAAATATAATTTTGGATACTTTTTAGCCTCCTGAACCAGTTAGATCAAAGGCTAGCTGCGGTTTGGGCTGCTGTCCACCAAATGGTTCGTTCAAAAAACTCTACAAAGCTTCCTAGATGGGCAGACGATTTTTGTAGGTCTCCCGAGTTTTCTAAAAATATGATTCAACACTATATACCTCAAAATGATTGAACATTCTCCGCTTTTGTCAATTCCAGCTCCTTGAGCTTAAAAATCATGTCAATTCGAGGTATCTGGGGTGAATGGGAGGAATGTCCGGCGACTTCACGCTTAAGCTGTGGTTCTTGCCAAACTGCTGTAGTACGCCGTCGATGCGATTCTGAGATCTACGGATGCCCTTGCAAGTTGGTTGTTTACCTTTTTTCATTTTAGAAAAAATCGGCCTCACTGTGGAAACTTTTATTGACCACTTTAGAGTATTGACGTATTAGTGTCAAGTGGCCTCTTTAGTGTCCTCTCCAAGTAGTCCAACAACTCAAGCGGCCACTAGAGAAACGATGATTTTCCGAATGTTTTGGAATCAGTGTGTCACCATGTAGTCCTCAGCCAAGTTTTATAGAAGAACTCTTATCTGGAACCTTCCACACTTCCCTAGCAAGTTAGAGCGCCAAACATTATTTATTTGCGTTTTGTGTTATCCTTTATGTGAGCTTTTTTCATTGCAGAGGACCACCTACATATACGAAGCTGTGTAAAAGCGAAGCTTGTGACTGCTCCAAACCCCCCACTTTGACTTACGAGTCTTGTGCAAAGTACAACTCACCTTGCTGTCCGCCCTTCACGCTGAACCCCGATGGAAAGACTTGCGGCCCACCAACGGAGCCTCTAGAAGAAATCATCAAGACTCCAGAATGCTGCCCACTCGGTTTGAAGTCTCATCTTTTGAAAATCGTGTGACTTTAAGAGTACCCATGGAGCGCGTGGACCGAGTGGACGGGTTGTACTAAATCTTGTGGTTTTTGCGGGTCGATGACGCGTAGAAGGACGTGTCCAGCGAGAAAGTTCGGCTGTTCTTGGTACGTCTCCTGAATTCAATTCGTATAGCCACTTGAGCCAGGCCCAACTATAGCTGATTCACGGCTGACTGAAGCCATCGAAAAACGGGTCCTGACAGGATAGAAGAAGAGATAGAGCCTGTTAGGTGGAGAGCTCAGACAGGCCACGCCCCTTTAGCGTCCCAAGCTAGCCGTGAATCAGCTATACATCTTCTCTCAACTAATCGGGACTAACCAAAAAATAAAAATAAGAGTTATACGTTCAGTGGGACGGGCTACGAAAAGGAGACAAAGTCCTGTGGTAGTAATCTCTGTGACGGCATCAGCAATCCCGTTTGCTGCAAAGGAACCGAGACATTTTTCAAACAGCCAGACATGGATGATGTTGGCAAGTGGTGCGCAGGCGGCGAAACTTGGAGTTTTGAGTGAATCGCGTTGATAAAGTTGTTCAGTGTTCGTTTGTGACATTATTATGAGGAAAGCTCAGAAAATCGAAAATTGGAAGTGATGAAAATGAATTCAAAGAAGTTTTGAAAGTAAAAAACTTAAAATTTCAAGAACGAAGAAACTTGGGACTCCAGCAATAAAGTAGATATTGTCCATCTGCCAATTTCTCAATATCCATTTTAATCAGCACTCATTTAAAAAAATTCAAATTCAAGGCTGGCTTGAGCCATCGAAAAAAGGTCCTGACGCGATGAGAAAAGAGCAGTGCCTTGTTCGTGGACACGCCCCCTTAGCAACTCAAGTTAGCCGTGAATCGGCTATATATCCAAATGTATTCTCAAAAAAAAGCTCTATTCTCACATCACAAAAATAAACGGTCACAAAATTCTAACGGAAAGAATTCGCAATAAAAACTCGCAACAATAAAATTGGGTGTAATGGTTTTTTTTCCTTTTGGGATTTTTGCTTTCTGAGCATTCACCATCATCATGAAGCCGATTTTCCTTTTTTTGGTATGTTTTTTGAAGTTTCTCAAAAAATAAAATACCCTCCAGATCTACTTATTCTCTCCAGCAGCTTCAATGGAACTCATTTTGGTATGGAGAAATTATTGAAACAATAAACTCATTTATGAAGTTCAGGACTGCGATGAAAAGCGGCCGGAGGTTTGATTGGCCAGTTTGAGGCATTTCCTAACCTAGTATCCCTAGATTGATCCGCGGTGTTGTCCCAGAGATGGGATCTGGTCTGAATGGATCACAACGACGGAAAAATGTCCTGCCTTATGTGGCTCTTGTGCTACTGTAACGGAAATTCGCAATTGTCTTTCTGATAAGATCAACTGCCCATGCAGGTACTCGAAAAAACCTCTTCATGCTCTTTTTGAGAGACTCAGCTCTATATAATTTTAAAACAGAGGAGAGACGACGCAAAAAGTTTATTGTGGCACTAACGTTTGCTTTTTCCCGTTGAACAGTTGCTGTTATCCGTATACAGCCACGGTGATTAACCACGACCACGTTTGCAGCAGTCCTTTTGTGAGTTGGAAAATTAAACCCTTTTTGATTGATTTTTCTTCAGCCGCCTGAACCAGTTAGAGCAAAGGCAAGCTGCAGTTTGGGATGTTGTCCACCGAACGGTTCGTTTAAGAATTGAAAAGATGAGAAAAAGTGTAGTCAAAAGGAAATTTTTTTTTGATTTCAAATTCGCAGTTTCTCGAAATATAAAAGGCATATATAGTCAATGTTTCCCGACTTGAAAGGCGAGGGAGGCGGCGCAAGGGGCGGGACGCGTGGCGTGTGCGTACGCGGTTCTTGGCGCCAGTTCAATTCAGTCGCCGCCGACTATTTAAAAAGCTCGGCCACCGCTCTTTTTCTGTATTTTCTTCTATTTTTTGATGCACACATAAACATAATCAATAAATAATTAAAAAAACAAGTGAAAAGAGCAATAAATAAGCTCTCTGAATGCTCGCTAGCGGTTGAATTGCACACGTGCCAAGAACCGCGTACGCACACGCTACGCGTCCCGCCCCTTGCCACGCCTCCCACGCCTTTCAAGTCGGGAAACATTGACTATAAACGTGGATTCGAAAAATCTCTCATTTGAGGGTTTCGCTCACGTTTCCTGTTGATGAAAATGTTCCACTACCAATTCAAAATTTCAAAAGTTTGATTCCCAGATAAGGGAGAAACTTTCACAAAAAACACGGTGTTTTTTTCATTACGCAAGGTCAAGACTTTTCGTAAATTATGATGCTTAGGGTGTAAGCACACCGAGACGCACTATCGCATACTCAAAATGTTTTTTTTTAATTTTTAGAATTTGCGATTTCAGGATAATAGCTCCTGAAATGTTCGAAAGTTGTCAGTTTGAAGAATATGATGTGAAAAAAATTCACTTACGTTGAAAAAAACATTTAGGAACGATTTCGAAAGGGGAAAAACTCTAAATTACTGATTACAAAAATAAAAAAACAAAAAAATATTATGTAAATGAATCAGCTCCCATTGAATAAGCATTTATAAATACGAAAAAAATATTGAAATGAGGAAAAATTCGAGGAGCAAATGAAAAAAACATTTTATATACCTCGAAAACCTAGCTTCAGAAAAAAACAAGTAATGGATAGAAAGCAGAAATTTTTAGAAAAAAACCTCGTATGGCGAAATTTTTTTGTTTAAATTCGAAAACCATCAAAAAAACTAGAAAAAAATATATAATTTAGATGATTCATATATCAAAAATCATTAAACTGCATCAGCAAATTCAATTTGGCTCTAATTTACACGAAACCGGTTTCAAACTACGTCAAAGGAACTAGATAATAACTTTTCATTATTAACTGATTAAATTAAAAACTATAGTTTCCGAAATAGAGTTACTCTTTTTCATGTCGCGAAACAGATTTCAAAAATTTTTGAAAAAAATTAGGACTTTTTAGAAAAAAATCTTCAACTATTTTGAGAAAAAAAGTTAAAGATATGAAACCGGTTTAGAAAAAGTGCGCAATTTAAAAACTCCACAAAAATGTACCCATAGAGAGGCGGATCACATAAATGCAAGAAATAGAAAAAAGTAAAAAACCAATGAAAAAAGTGTAGAAATTCAATTTTTGCATCAGAAACGATGAGAAGGGCGCAATGATGCGCCACGGATAATATGCCGCTGGGACCCAAAATTTCGCATTTTTTTTCATTGCGCGGAACACCGTGAAAACTGTGGAGATAACTTTTGAACTGTCGCCAAACACGCTTCGCGATCAATTGCGCAGCTCGGCATTTCAATTTTTGTAAAAATGACAACACCTAAAAATTTTTAAGGTATTTGGAGTGAGTGGGAAGAATGTTCGACCATCAAAACCATGATCTGCGGGGCTTGCCAAACTGCTGTAGTACGCCGAAGATGCGATTCTGAGATCTACGGATGCCCTTGCAAGTTGGTAGCTTCCTTGTCTTCTTTGAAAGCGAACACAGGTGAAAAATCGGAGGAATTCGTTGAAAATAAGCTTTATGATAGCCCAGAAAAGTGCTCGTTGAGTAAGTTCTATGAGAACATTTTCCAGAGGACCGCCTACATATACGAAGGTGTGCAAAAACGAAGCTTGTGACTGCTCTCAAGGGCCGAAATGGTACGCCGAGTCTTGCACAAAGTACAACACATCTTGCTGTCCGCCGTACACGCTGAACCCCGATGGAAAGACTTGCGGCCCAGAAACAGAGCCTCCAGAGGAAATTATCAAGAGCCCAGAATGCTGCCCACTGGGTCGGTCTTTTGAAGCATGCTCCTTTGGAACCGCTCAATTTTGAGAGTACCCATGGGGCGTTTGGTCAAGATGGTCGATTTGTACTGCAAAGTGTGGTTTTTGCGGAACGAAGACTCGTACCAGAACGTGTCCAGCGAAGAAGTTCGGCTGTTCTTGGTACGTCTCCTAAATGAAATCGCTTTGAACTGTCTACTTTCTCTTTTTGCACCCCGTCCAGGGAGCTTCACTGAGAAGAAAGGAAGCAGAAATATCAATGAAGTATTATGAAGGCTGTCTTAAATCGTCGGTTATCTAAGAAACAATTTTCAGCGGAAACGGCTTGGAAAAAGAGACCAAGAGCTGCGGCTATGGCGCCTGTGATGGTGCGAGCAATCAATGCTGCAAAGGTACTCTGAAAGACTTCGCACAGCCCCGAGTAGTTAATACTATCCAATGGTGTTCAGGCGGCGAAACTTGGTCTTTTGATTGAAACGGTTGATATTTTTGATAAAGTTTTTCTCTGTTCCTTTTTGAACTCCTTTCAAGGTTTTCGAGACGTATCGCGATTTCAAAAAGCCTTGAATTAACTATCAACAAAAAAAGCCCTCACTAGTGAACGTTTTTTACCCCCCGGTTGAACTTTCGACGAAACTTTGCGGAGATGTACTTTGAGGTCTCCTGAATCCAGAACAAGAAAAAAATTTCTCGCAATAGACCTTGTTTTCGAGATATGAAGCCTCAAAGTTTGCACGCGAGATCTGCGGAAGCATGGAAGAGAGAATATGTTACGCGCAGTGTCGATGAGGTGATTCGTGGCAGAGTGGTATGAGGGCGCGCGCTATGTGCGAGCAGTGGGGGGTTCGATCCCATTTCGCTGCCGAATTTTGCAAAAACTCTTTTGCCAAAAGTCCAATAGTCAGCACCGCATGAATTTCCGTTCCTTGGCAAGCTGTAAATTCAAAGAATTTCTCCAGACTTTGCATTCGAAAATTTCCCTAAAATTTAGAAAAAAATGATTAAAGAAAAATCGCACGCCTGAATTGAAAATGAGGCAAAAATGGTTTTGAAATGAGGCTGATTTGCATTCTCATCGTTTATTTAATGATGAGAAAGAGTGCGTTGGAGCATTTTTAAAGCTTTAAAAACTCAAAGTTTCTGCATTCGTGTCTTGCTTCCTCAACATGTTGATCCACTTGCTGGTCGGTTTTTTCCCTAGGTTTTTCATTTTTTTTCAAATTTTTATTTGAAGCTCTTGTCGGCCGTCGCGAGCGCAGTAGCTGCCTTAGTAAGGATCTAATTTTGGCAGGGCAAAAAAAAAAGGAAAAATGTAAAAATTAAGACCTGTCCTACGGATGGAATTTGGAGCGAGTGGTTTCCAGTGGGCAGGTGCACAGCTAACTGCGGATCTTACGGTACTATTACCTACCGTAGGCGCTGTCTCACCGAAGATAAAGGCTGTCCATGCACGTATGTTATGCTCATATTCATTCAGAAAATAAAAAAAAGCTCTAAAAAACGGATTGAGAATAACTAGACGCGGCTGGGAAAACAATGTACTTCGTTATTTTTGAAGTTATTGCAGAAGCAAAAAGTAAATGAGTTCAGAATGGCGCTTTTTTTGCGGTTGCGTAGCGGCGTTTTACAAGAGGTTATCACACATTGGAACTTTTATAAATGTTTAAAATATCTTTTGTCCACTCGTTGACTTTTCTATACATAATAATTTCTCACAGTAGCTACACCTCGTAAGAGTTCTATAAAATGATTGAACATAATTTATTGAGGCCAAGGTTATCCACTAAAAGCTAAAAAACACGACCAAGCCTGGACCGTTTTGACGTCGGTTGATTCGTCAGAAAAGTTACCGAAAAGCGCTTTTGATCAAAACTTTCTTGTATGGAGTTCAATCTTCCTGAAACTTCCTGCAAATGTGAAGACTGTTATTTTTAAAACTCTGTTGAAGTTTGAGTTCACAGAAAATAAAACGCATCTTCAGAAAGTTTCAGTAAGATTTATCTCCATACTGGGAAGTTGCGACCTCTCGTATCTTTTCTGACGGTACTGTAAGTAAACTAAAGCGTGGGTGCATCTTCCGAAAAAATATTTGTTTTGAAACATCCTCTCATACTCAAATCAAAAAAGAGACCTTGCAGCGGCGTTTGCGTGATGAAGAACCGTTGCAACACGCAGCCATGCGCCAGCGAAGACCAAAACTTGGCGCGTCAGCCGTGCTTCGACAACGGCTGTGATCCCGAGTTTCCACTGCTCGTCGATGGAAAGTGCGGACCTCAGAGAGACTGTGAGCTCAGCTGGCCGACGCCGCTTTGCGAGCCGGACCGCTGCGACTTTGGTGCTTATCTTTGAATACGTTGATGAAGGATATATCTTAATTCAGACAACCTCTGGAACCCGTGGCAGGCTTGGAGCGCTTGCTCGAGCGATTGTGGTCAATGCGGGACTCAGACTCGTACTAGAACTTGCGCTGGAGAGCCTCACGGTTGCACTTGGTTGGTGGTTTTCTTGAAAATGAGTAAAAATATTTTTTTCGATGGCTAGTTCATAATCTGGGCTGGAGCGCGCGAAATAAAAAAATTGGAAAATGTCTTTAAATTGGCAGCCTTTTTGAGGGTGCAGTTCGTACACCCCGGGATTGAGTCCAGCCCAAGTATGGGCTGGTTCAATCAACTTAAGGCTTTGAGAGCCTTAGAACTCCAAAAAATCATAAAGAACCCTCGGTTCCAGTACTGGAAAAACGAGAGAACAGCGAGTTTGCGGAAAAGCGGTCTGTGAAGACCGTCCCTGCTGCGTCGGCGTCGAAGTCGAACGCAGCGGACAGCGTGTCTGTGAAGGAACTCAAATACGGTAATTTGAAAATCATTTACGCTTGCCACAAAGTAACTACTTCAGGACAAGCAATGTGCGTTAACCCCTCACCGACATTTGAGCAGAAGTCAATTAATATTCTCACGTCTGGATAAATTTTTTGTTCGATTTTCAGATTTTTGATTTGTTGAGAATTCGGTCTTCAGTGTATACTGCAAAGAAGAACTGTTTTCCACAGACTGATTAATTAAAAAAAAAAGAAGAGGCCAATCGCATCGAAATCGGCTAAAAAAACTTTTGGGAATCAGGACAAAACCACGTTGTTAAAAGTAAAGTTTCGAAATTCAAGGTTATCTCTGAGTTTAGTTATTGTTTTTGTAAGAATACTTTCATGGTCCTAAATATTTCAAGAGCAAGAAAAATTTGCAAAACAGGAAATAATTGATGATATAAGATAATTTGGCAGTTAACCGGGGAGTCCCGTGATCGACTACTGAAGGAGAGCTAAACTCGTTAGTTAAATTTTAATTTTTCAGTCTTTGAAGTTTGTAAACCTTATTCTATATGATTGAAAAAATAATATAAAATGACATTTGAGCCAAATGTACTTACCAATCCGTTTACTTTGTTCTTTCTGCCATTTTTTGCAACAAACTATAAAAATAACTTCTTTTTTCCCACATCTCCTGGGAGTTTTTTCTATCAAGATGTAGATTCAATTGTAAATGACAACATTTTTCGAGCTACATTTTTCAGAGGTTTCAATCAGTTTTGGGCGCCGTTTAATCAAATTTTCAATTTATTCACTAACTGAATCGAAAAACATATACCGATGATGTTTGTCTTAACATTTTTTAATGCTCAGTTTCGAGAAAAAGGTCGTCTGAATCAAATAAGATTTTCTTATGTCAAAGTTCTGTCTTTTAACTTCAACTTTTACTTTGAAACTTGTTCGGCGATGATTTTTGTTTGAATGACTATTGTTTTTTTTTTTTAAACTTTGGATTTGCCTATATTTTGCCTTTCAGATAGTCACAATATCAACTGGTATGGCTCCAGGTTCAAACTTTTCCTTTGACGACCTTGTTAACCAAATTGAGAATGATACCGGAAGTGTGGAGAACAAGGTCATAGGAATAGTCATTTTTGTGGTGGGTCTCATGCTTCAATTTACCTCTTTTCAAGGTGAAAATGTACTTTGTGTGAATTTCTGGAAATGTTTAAAGCTTGATTATCGAACTAGAATGACTATAGATTCAAGTCTAGTGAAAAATATCCAAAGGCTATTTTTTTCTCGAAAATCATTCTTAAAACGTCGAAACCTAAAGTAGCCACCAAAATTTTTCCCAGTAATCAACTTCTCACGATACAAACTGTCCTATACAAGGAAAAGAGGGTAATGTAAGGAAAGTGGATAATATACGCTGAGTAAGGTAGAACACTTGAACTACCGGTAATCAAAAAAACAGTTTCTAATATCTCTTGCCTAAATTTTCTCAAGCTCCAGGTCGCTCTCATCGGCTTCATTCTGGCCGTCACATCAACGTACCTGGTTTTCCGGGTTCAGTCGTTCCGGAATCCATTTGGCTACTTGTGCGCCTCGCACATGATCGCCGACGCCGGAGTTTTGCTGATTTTCTGCGTCTGGTGTGCTCCGGCGGTCGTTTTGTTCGTTTTTGTTGGTTTACTGTAATGAGATTGCTAGTGAGTCGTGTTCTACGGATGAATCAGAAAATGGAAATTTTATCTCGGACGTTGGTAACGCAAAACGGACATGCTCCGGGGGTGTCTGGACAATTCTAGGGATCACTTAAGAGTGCTAACGCTACTAAAATGCTCAGAAACGCACGGAGCAAGTCCGTTTCGCGTTACCAATTTCCGAGATGTAGGATTTAACAAGGCAAACCAATTCCTGGAGAAATTAATTTAGAGTTTTCAGTCAGATAGCCCCAGAGAGCTTTAGTTCCATTGTTCCAAACGGGACAATGAAAATTGATTTTTGAAGTCTTGCATATTATAGTCTGTGTGCCACAACTTGAAATTTCACGGAACGACATTCCGCTGTTCCGCTGCGTGCGCTCGTGAAGCGTCTTTCGAATCTAGGTCACGTTTTCAATTGATTGTTATTTCTGTGGGAGCACATGAAAGTAGAGTACCTTAATAAAAGAAAAAAAAAATTAAAAGCGCGACCAAGGTTCGCAACGGCGCGCAGCCGCACAGCGGAATGTCGTTTGGAGAAGTTCCAAGTCGTGGTACACAGACTATATCCACCAACTTTTTTTTTAAAAGTTGGTACATAATATTCAAGGTGACTACTTGGAAACATCTCTTAGGGAATCTGTAAGGGAATTTTCAAGTGACCACTGGAATATCAGTCTTTTCTTAGGTCTTCCAAGAAATCGTTTCAATATTTTCTGATGACTTTATGGAACAGAAAAAAACAAAAAGCATCATTTCGAAATTTCATATAAAAGTGAATTCTCCAGTGGCTGGGACTCTTCCGGAAATCTTCTCGACCGCAAATTGGGCCATCTTTCTCTATTTTTCTGGTTCGCCACTCTTTATGCTCAAATCGGTATTGCAGCCAATCGGTTTTTAGCCATCAATTCTCCTGGATCTTATCGGAGGTTCATTATTGATTTTGGAAATAAAACTGGAATTTCTTCAGAATATTCTCGAAAAATGGGACGTTTTGGATCATATCACTAATGTGGATGCTCCCTGGCTTTCACAGCATTATTTACTTTTTCGGTAATTATTATTCTTGCGGTCTTTTTTGAAAGATTCTTCAGATGGCTGTGATTTCACTTTTGATTCTTCGAAGTACTACTGGAGTTTCGCCGACACGGAATGCGGCGCTTTTATTTCGTTCTATTTGGATTTTTTGTATGGAATGATTGTTTGTATCGTTGTATTGATCTTGGACATTGCCACGATTACGAAGCTTCATCTTACTGATTCGGTGAGGACTTCTACAGATTCTGGGGCTTTCAGAGCTGCAATAAACTTCTCAAAAACGTTTTTTTCTTTAAATTTCTCAGAAACTGTTCGATGATCGTCGAACGAATTCCCTAAGCCGTATGGAACACAAGAAAAGAGCCGAACGAGATTTCAAATTTTTCCTACAGGTGTGAGTTTTATGATTTGGAAAAAGTGAGTACTGTTAGGAATTTCGGGAAATAATCAAGTTTGTTTATTGGCCTTATATGAACTCAAGGAACTACTCTAGGAAAAATCTCTTTTTTTATTCCATGGTTTTTCACGAAAAAAAGCAAATCAAACTATGAAACTGTTGGGGCGCGTCGTAGCGCAACAGGTTGTGTGCCTGTCTACGGTCCACAGGGTCACAAGTTCGATCCCCGCCCCGACCCAACCAAGGGGTTTAAGAAATGTTGGTAGTGGGAAACCACGACTTCATAATCCCCAGCCGTCACACACAAGGACGGATATGTCACTGGAGCCAGTCCACTGATTATCACTGATTAGGATAGGACCTCGGCTAATCGACTTGGGGCGCCGACACCGCTCAAGCGGTACAAAGGCGTAGGAAGAAGAAGAAGAAGAAACTATGAAACTGTTCAGATTAGGAATCGATGAAATCACTTAACTTTTCATCTGTAGCAGATCGGAACTTTTTATCCCATCCAGCAGGTCCAATGAGCTGTAGAACCAAAAAAAAAATTTTTTTAAGATGAAATTGAAGGTTAGACTTCAGGATGAGCTCACTAGAGCCCTTGAAGAGCTTCCCAAAACTTTTAAAAGATGAAGAACGAATAAAAAACTTTAAATCAAAGCTGTCTGAGTGATTTTGAAGTTCTCAGGCTATTTTCAAGAATAAAATGAACTCTCTCAAACTCCTAAAACTGCTTGAAGGCCTGCCTAACCGCCTTTGTCTTCACGTCTATGCTCATCTCCTTCCACGTCGTCAGCCGTTTCACCGTCAGTACTCTTGAAGCCTTTTTCGCCACGACTTTTGTCTGGCTCCTGGCTCATACTTTGGATGGGTTAGAAAGATTTTAGCGACAAAAATGTGACTGAAATTCTTTCAGAGTTATTCTGTTCGCCTTCAACAGCGAATACCGTAGGGTGGTCCGAAGGCCCGGACTACTGTGTAGCGGCGTTTTGGTTTCGTCAGTGACGACTATTCGAGTTAATGGAGGGGTGAGTAAGATTTTAATGAAAAAGAAGGTAGTTTCGAGAAAAAAAAGTGAAAAAACTTCCTAAAAGATGTTAGAATGAAAACACGGCAAAGTCCAAAAGGTCTCGAAAAGGGCTTTTGGAAAAAAGGCTTTAAAAGGTCTCAAAAGCGCTTTTTTTCTCTAGATCTTTTTCTGAAAAGGACCTTTCAAGGAGGTGAAAAAAATAAGGCGGAAAAAGGCGGAACCTTGTTAGGAACTCAAAAAGGAGCTTTAGACTCTTCTTTTTAAGGCTTTCATGAGTTCGTTTGCAATTCGCCTGTGAAAAGAAGCCGCTCTCATTCTAAATCGATCAGCAAAATGAAAAAAAAAACATTCAAAAAGCCCCTTTACCTATTTTTTCAAGAGAAACTATCGATTAGAGTTGTTCGAGTCTCGATTTATCAAGATAGGTCTTTGAAAATTTCTCTAGTCGTCTCGAAAACTCGAAAAAGGCTTTTCGAAATTTGTTTCAAAAGTTCTACTCGTCTCGATTTCAAAAATCGCATCTCGAACAACTCAGCTTCCAAGTAACCCCTTAAGAGTTATTTGAAAAATGGCAGCACTACTCACTCAAAAAGGAACTATTCTCAATTTCCCTTGAACTTAATTTAAAAATCTGCGTGAGATTCAAGTGGCCACTTAAAAGTAATTTAAAAACATTTTCTTAAAGATCACTCCATGGGCTTCAAAAATAGGATTTTCCGTCAAAACCATATTTTTTCAGCCGCAGACCGTCAGCAATGTCTCCACAAGCCGTACCATTCTTCGATAATTTTATTTCCTCAGCATTATATTTAAATAAACTTTTCATTAACTTTTATCTTGTTCTCCTGGGAAAAAAGGAACGGAAGTTCTTGAAAACTGAAAAACAAAAAGATGAAGATTCGTAGTTGTTTTTTTGTATCTCCTTCCTCGGAATATATATTTAGGAACGTCAAAAAAAGATTTTTCCTCGAAAAAATGAGCAATTTTGTAGTTCAACGTCTATTTCGACAGCTGCTTTACCTCAGCCGATGTGGGCGAAAATATTGAAGTTACAGGTAATTCGATTGTTGTTTCTTAGCTCATTTGGGGTATATATATATTCAAGAATAGATGGGAAATCAGTTCACATGTCTTCAATGTCTCCTGAATATCATTTTTACTTTAAATAAACTCGCCCAAGTCCCCCTGACCTTTATCAGAACGAACCAAGCGTAATTGGCGCCCTCATAACAAAATATTTTCCTCTTTTCCATCTAATAAGCTTCCCTAAGATCACAATACTTGAACTTATTTGGTACTCCGTTATAATAATTATTATCGAGGGTATAAAAGAAGCTTCTTCTCGTTCTTTGAAGATTTTTCAAAGTTTTTCCTTTAGAAATGGAAGAAAGTTGGGCTGAATGGATCAACCAGCGAATGGTCGCTTTCTACATCATTATCTTTAATATTGTCGGAAATTTCGGCAATTTTCACGTCATCTACTTGACTATGACCAGGAAGGAGCTTCAGGGGAAGTCAGGTGAGATTCAAGTGAAAAAATTGCAACCTGTATAAATTTTTCACATTTTTCATAGTTCCAAAATTATCTTTTCTTTAGTAGTTTTGACAGAAAATGCCGAGAAAAAAACCCGTTAAAAGTTGATCGAAATCGAAGCTTGGGAGAAAAATCTTGCTGAATGACCTGCGGATCTAGAAGTTTCAAGTTATCCTTAAAGCGCAATTTTCTGATCCGTCGCGGCTATTTACTCCTCAAGTTCATTTTGACTTTTCTTCTTCTTCTTTTCCGAGAAAAAAACTTGCGCTCACCAATGAAAACTCTCAAAAATCCGTTCACGCGTCATTAGCGCATCAAGAAAGATTGGAAATGTAAAAATGTTTTTTGTCCTTGGAGAGCAAATTTTGAATTTTTCCGACCTTGTCCGGCTATAGTTTAGAGAATGATCATCTCCAGTTCATAAATCAAGCTGTTTCCAGGCTACCTCCAAGTGGCCAACTCTTGCTACCACGCCACCTGTCTCATCTACGAGTTATACAACGCTTACCTACTGATATTTGGGATCCGTCTGAAACGCAGCGAGTGTTTCCATGTCCTATTCGGCTACGTGGCCTTCCTCAGCATCCAGACGTGGGGGATGCTCACAATGATGCTCGACATTCTCTTCCTCATCTTACTGCCTATGAGGTTGGCTTTATTTTTTCCCTTTTTTTCATTCCATCTTCAAAAATTCCTCATTTTTTCGAAGAAAAAAAATGGCAAAAGTAAATTACGCAAAAAAGGATTCGAACCTGCATCATAGGTTCCATAGCGCTAGACCGCTAGCCACTACACTACGCCGCCTGCTGGCAGCTAGAGTTAGCCGCCGCAAGACATTCCCTCCTCCCTTCCAATGCATTTTTTGCGTGCAAACTTTGAGGCGCCTTAACCCGACTGGAATCAAAGGGGCGCACTTTTTTTCAACTTCTTTGAATTCAGGATGTCCGAAAGTACCAATATACCAAGTCTCATTAAATTCCAATACCTCGACCTTTTGCACTTCCCGTGTTAGGGGCACTCGAAGGTTTCCCTCTAGTGACCGCCTTACCTCCCCTACAGGGACTCTAAACCTTGTAAAAGTAGCCACTTTAGGGAGACCTACTGGTGGTCCTTATACGTCTTCTGAACTCTCAAAACACGAAAAAGAATGAAATACATCTATAGAGACCATTTAAGTTTTAGAAGGTTAGGGGTCAGTCTAAATCCCTAGAGGAGCCTTTTTTCAATTTTACCCCTCTAGGTTCTCTAACCACTCTTGCGTCCCTGAATAGGGCCAAAAAAGTAAAACATTAACAACTAAAATTGTATCTTTAGATACCGAACCGCTCAAACGGGTCCCTACCTGGCTTGTATGATCATCCCGGGCCTTTTGTACGGAGCTTTCTACGCCGTCTGGGGCTGGCTGACGCAGGACGACGAGATCGTCTTTTTCTGCAATCCGCCAGTTTGTAAGTCTCAATTTGAAAACTTGAACTGGGGAGTTTAGCGATGGTGCCGGACGTGATGCATATGTGGGTGACGACGAACTTCACGATCAATTCGGTTGTTCTGGGTCTGCTGGTCTTCCTGATGGTCCTCATGCAAGTGAGAGGTGAGCTGAGAATCGACTTCTGTTGGGTTTCAAAAGTTCAAAAGTTGTAAGTTCCTTTAGGTGTTCGACGTTTTAGGGGCCACTTAAGTGACTCAAATTTAGTGGCATATTTAAGAGTCCAAGTGGTACTACTAGACCTCTAAAAACTACTGTAGGGGCCACTAAGAGGCAAGCTAGGGGCTTCTATAGAGGTGGTTTTAGTGGCCACTTTAGTGTCCTCTCAAAATGGTCTTTGCTGAGCTTCTTAAGAATCCACTAGAATTTTTCGCCAGTAAATAAATTGTTCAAGGCGGTCTCATAAATTTTAATAAAATTTCGGTTCATTGTGCTAAACGGTCCTGTACGAAGCTAAACTCTTATTTTTTAGGGAAAGGCCGTTCTGAAACTCAAAAAGTGGTTCGTCGCCTAAAAGTCATCACGACAATTTTCGTTTTCTCCTGGTACTCGGCCTGCCTGGGACATACCATCATCAACAGTATTTTTGATGGAGAGAGCAAACTTTCAATGTTTCTGACTAGTAACATGGTTAGGATTATTCAAACTTTTGAATTGACCTGAAATCTTCAGATCTTCTTCGTGTTGATCATCTACAGCCAGGCGTTCTACGTCATCATGTGGAGGTCCAAGGAGTATCGGAAAGCGTTCACGGCGATGTACGCCCAGTTCGCCGTCTGCCGCAAAGTGTTCGGGATCGAACTACCGAGCAAAATTGTTGTCACCAGCAGTGTCGGAAGGAGTGCTGGAAGGACTGGCCCTTCCGAAATTCGATAATCTCTTTTGACTTCACTTTATTCAAACCAATAAATTTTCACTTTGCACGAAAAAGATTACTTTCTGACCGCGAAACCGGAAAAGAATAAGACCAATGATCCCACTGATGACTTTTTTTGGGAATTATGATTCGACGTGAACTACAAAATGAGGTAGTCTTGAGAAAATGGAAACTGGGAAACTATAAAACCAGCTTGGAAATTAAAATTTCAATTGACGTTGTCACATTTTCTTAACTCATTCACTTTTTATTTTAAAGTCATACTTTTTCCAAATTTTCGCGGATGAATGATAATGCTTACACATGCGAAAAAGTCAGCACTTACTGCATTTTTTTTTTTTGGATGCTTCAAAGAGCGTCCGACCTAAAACGACTCACGCCCTTATGACTCTAGTCACTGAGAAGTCCCCTTCTAACTACTCCGTTTGTAAGCACCACCTTACCAAGCTGAAAATGAAAAATGAATAATCACGTGCTGATATCAAAATATCGAAAGATCATTTCGTACAGCTCATCCTATTTTTCGTGACTGGCCTTTTTTTTTGCTTGAATAAATATTTTTCAAAGTTCTGTTGCCCACAGCAACTTACATCATACTGTTAATGACTCAGCTTCTTCTTCCTTCTAAACATCCAAAATGTCAAAATATTGCACCAAAAATCAAAAGCGTCTAGACCTCATTAAAAAATTCCCCCCCATACAAGTAAAACTTTTTTTTCGGCTCTTTAAAGATCGTTTTTTTTTTTCAAATTTCAAGTTTAAGAAAAAATGGACGCCCTACAGTTGAACCGTCTGATAGTCGGCATCGAGGTGATAATTTTCAACGTTTTCGGTCAATTCGGCAACTTTTTCATAATTTATCTGACTTGTAGCCGTCCTCAGCTTCAAAGCAAGTCTGGTGGGTTTTTGAGGTAAAAAATCGCTTTGGACGTTTTGGTGGTACTGTAGTAGTAGTAAAAATAGAGACCATTCAATTGACTTGAACTTAGCGGCCTTTTCAAGATTCTCAGTGGTTCTACTAGGTTCCTAAAAATTACTGTAGTTTCTACTAAGACGCACCATAGTGGCTTTTACAGAGGTTTTTTAGAGGCCACCTTTCCCCACTTAAATTAAAAATTCTTGACTAACTTTTGGATCGAAGCTCAGTTTCAGCATTCCTGCAGTGCTCTCTGTGCTTCTTACAGTCGTGTTGTTTATTCCTGATGATGGTCAACTCCTACCTGCAGGTCATGGCCTTCAACACAACACGACGACAATGTTTTCCGGTCATAGCGCCGTATCTTTTCTTCATCTTGGCGCAGTTTCTGATGATGTTTATGATCTCTCTGGACGTGCTGCTCATGATTCTGGCGCCTTTCCGGTAATTTCTGAAATACTAAAATGGAGTCAAAAAAATCTCATTAGTGTTGGGCGAACTATCAAGACAAGTTCTTTTCAAATTTTTTGATCCTTAAATGTTCTCAGGTACCGAACGGTGAGCCCAAACCTTTACGGATTTCTCATGGTTTTGCCGTCGATTGTGATTGGCACGATTTTCGTCCATTTGGCCTATAATTACCTAGACGATGAGCCTTTGGCCTTTTGTAATGGGATGAATGGTAGAAGAACGCTATTTTTGGGTCAAACTATTGAACTTTTTAGTGCTCAATCCAAGTATAAGAATGCAAGCTACCTATTTCTACATGCTGATAACTACCATGATCCTGGCTTGCTACATAATCATCCTGCTGATTCTCCGATCTCATCCTTGTCAGTTTTCCTTTCATTTTCAGAAGATTGGTCTATTTTTAAGCCTATGGTTTGGAAAACAGCGAATTGCAAAGAGTAGTCAGAAGGCTCAAGGTTATAATATTCGTGTATGTCTGTACTTGGTATGTGGCCGTATTTGGAATCCCAGTTTTGGCGCTTCTTTTCACCGGACAAGTTTTAGCCATTCTGCAGGGCAACTTGGTCAGTTTTTTTTTTCAATTTTTTCAATTTCTAAAATTGAAGAAAAGAAAAATTGCAGATTTCATTTATGTTGATCAACTATTCCCAGTCGTTTTACGTGATAATGTGGAGGTCTACGGACTATCGGCAGGCCTTTTTGGAATGCTTTGTTATGAGGAAGCCTACTGCAGTTGTCTCAACTCTCGTCCGGGTTACAAACACATCTTGAACTGTTTATTCTACAAGAAACTTCAATTTGAACATAACTTGACGAAAGAAAACAAGCAGAATTTTCTTTTTCCTGCTTTTTCGAAAAAAAAGTTCCTCATGATCGTTCAGCATAGTTATTTGAAAAAAAAAAATGAAAATTTTCCCACCCTTTGGCTACAAATGACTTTTTTTCTGTTTTTTCGGACCGAGTGAATAGGGAACTTTTGAAAACGTGTTTTTAGAAAACAGAAACGGCATTCCTTCTCACGTTGGAGAATGAAACCGATGATCACTTTTTTTGACTTTCCTCTTTTTGGGAGTTTTTCAAACAAGTTATAGCCCGTTCGCCGCTACTTGACTCTTCAAGTGTCTGCGTCTCTCTGTTCCCTGACCGGCGAGTCAGAGGAACATGAAAATTGCCCGTTGAGGAGGGTGCAGATAAAAACAGTTTTCTGTCTCGAAAAACGTACTACTGTAAATTATAAGAGAACAGTGGGGAATTCTACTGAAGAAGAGCTTTTTCAACTTTTTTTTATGAGATAGTTTATTCAAAACAAATTTATCATTGTAAAGTAGAACTGTCGATGCGTGTAGGAAAAAGTTCGGAAGAAGTATTTCCAACAGAGTTGTTCTTGAAAGGGTACTGTTTACGGCAGAACGTGGGTAGTATCAAAAGTTTTTCGCGGTAGACTTTGATCATCAACAGCGTGAAGAGAGGATCGATAACGGGTTGAAAAATGTAGAAGACCATCGTGGAGCTGACATAAACACCGACGTTCACTCCGAAAAAAAGCGCAGCCGTAGATGAACGAGGTGGGCAGGAAAGCCAGGAATATCGGCGAGATCGACTGAAATACAAGAATATAACAATTGACATAGGAAAAGATACCTGGCCCATGATAGCGTGTAAGGTTTGCTTCTGAAAAGGTAAATTGCCGATGTATTGGTTTAAAAGTCGATAACTTTTCGAGGCAACAGCCAGAATTAAAATATTCAGCGCTACAAGGTCGTTTAACATGGCTGCTAGCAAAAACAGTTTCATTTTGTTTTTCTGTAACAGTGAGTATTCTGACCTTGACGTGAATTCGCTTACAAGGAAGGGATTTTACTTTGCGGTCGGGAAATCTCTTAAATTTGGCCAGAAAACTCCTTGATGTACCAGAAGACGATTCTGAGAGTCTCTACCTGCAAATTTCAAACTTCCAGGAATAAAGGCTCAAACAAAACCTGGCAATAGTCAATTTTTAAATGTTAGGTTGGTAACTAAGTTTCCGATATTTTTGGTGTAAACAAACTTCATCATTTTTAGCAGGGGAATAAAGGAGCAAATCATAGAAATATTCTGCATGTGCATCTATGGTCTGTTGCCATTGCTCTGGCAGAGCAAGAATGCCCTGCCTCCAGAACGTGGCGGACTGTGCCTTGAACCAGTTCAACCAGCTTCTGAGTTGGATCTCGTCGTCGAATTTCTGCCCCGCGAGGGCTCGTTGAAGGTGGGAGAAGAGGTGATAATCAGAAGGGGCAAGGTCAGGGAAGTAAGGTGGAAGAGGTAAAACATGCCATCCGTACGTCTCCAACTCAGCCTTCGTCGATCGGGCTATGTGTGGCCGAGCGTTGTCATGTTGGAAGTAGAAAACGGCCTGATTCTCGCGTCTGTTTTGGACGCCGAGTCTCAGTTTTTGCAGCTGGTCAGTGTAGGGGTTGGCGTTGTTGTACGACCCTTTTGGTAAAAGTTCCCACAACTCCACGCCTCGAACCGACCACCAGATCAACAGCATGGCCTTTTTCGCGTGTAGATCCGCTTTAGCGACGTCTTCTGCCTTTACATCATTGTCTACTCACTGAGGACGGCTCTGAGCATTATCACGGAGGGCCCACTTTTTATCTCCAGTGATGAGGTTGTCCAGCCATCCGTGCGTTCCGTGGAGAGGGAGAAGAGAAAGATTCATGTAGACTCTGCGATCTTTGTCGTAGTCGGTCAATGGGTGGGGTATCCATCGGCCCATCTTTTGGACCTTTCCGATTTTTTTTCCTTTCTTTTTAGATAGTGGTATGGCTCCCCCAGTGTGGCTCCCAATTCCCAGGTGATCACATAAGGATCGGTTTCAATTTGGATGCGCAGCAGGTCCAGATCCAACTCGGACGGCCGGCCCGACCGCTCACCTTCAGCCATGTAAAAAGCCCTTTCGAGAACTTGTTGGACCAAAGGCTGATGGTGCTTTGAGAGGGCGCATGCTCTTCGTATACGTCCTTGATACGACGTTCGGTGTCAGGTTGATTGCTGCCAGAAAAGAACAAAAACAGAAATGTGTGTCGAATGTGAGTTCGGTCGTGGATGAATCTATGGGGCATCCTCGAAGGGGAACGAAGGGGAGACTGAATCTATCAGTGGTTTACGTAAAGGAGACTTCCCTCCTGCTAGCAGCCTAGTGGCGAAAAAAGAAGTGTATCCAGTAAAACGTGGGAGCTAACCAAAAACATACCTCAAAATATCAGAAACTTAGTTACCAACCTAATATTTTAGGGATCTCTTCGACTTTGAAGCGTCTTTTCGCAAAAACTAGGGATTTTTGCAGTTTAAGACTTTTAGGATTTTCATCTGGTACTTGAAAAAGCGTTATGGTCATTTTTTAGTAAAATCTCAACCGCAAAGTAAAATTGCCTTCCTTGTTAAGACTGATAAGGCACAAAAACTTTTCAAAATTTCTCGCAATACTAGAAAGCTTTCTATAACTCTAGATACACATTTTGGAAGGCAATGCTTCAAAAATGATTCTAAAAAGTGAATGTTAAAAAAAACTTACAGCCGAAACTTCAACAACAAAGAAGCTGTACTCATCAATATTGACGTGAAAAGCATCAAATATTTCTTTACGAATGATGACGTCGGACACTTCATTTTCTTGGAAAAATGTGCTGAGATAGTCATAAGATATGAAGAAAGAAATATTCAAAAAAATTTAAAAAATACGGTCTCGTCGACTGAATGCGTTTCTGTTTTAGGCCATTTTCCTGAGAAATATCTTCAAGAGGGATCATTATAGTGATACCTTGAGAAAATAAAGTATCGGTATAAAAAGTTGACGAAAAGCAGAAAGAACGATTCGAGAACGAAAGATTCGTAGAGCAAAACTTGAACGAAATCAAGTTTTTTATGGTTAAATAATGGCGGGACCATAAAAAGTGCCTTAGTACCTTTGACATACAGGATCTGAAAGCTTTAATGTTTTACCGAACAAAACAGGGAAAAAAATTGAAAAATCCCACCGGTTTGATTGCAACATGAAGGAGTGAATAGAAACCATTGAATACACCGAAGAAAAGTACCAAATTCCTATACTTGCTATTACTCGGTAGAGGAGTGAACCAAGCAATGAGAAAAAGCAAAAAATTCAGAAAACTCCCAAAATTGCGTTAATTATGAATATCTTTTCGAATACACTAGGGATCATGTCAGGCGAAAATTTCATCGCGGTCTTGCTTTCAATAACTTTATTTCCAGTCGAAAATCGGCGGAGCGAAAAGAGGAAGCAAAACTGCTTACGTCAGTTCGTGTTATCAGAACAGGTTATTCGATTTTAATGATATCCACTCTGGCGAAGCATCATTATGAGCAAAAGTGCAAATAGGTACATAAAAATAAAAAAGCTAAATATTGGAGAAACGAAGCGCTGTAGTCGGTTCATAGAAAAGTCTTAGAGGATCTGTGGTAATAAATATGATGACGAATCAAATAGATACATCAGCACAGAGAAGTGACTTCGACTTGCTCGGGAAGTGCAGTGTTTGAATTGGTTACGAAAGAGTTATAGATTTTGGCCCTTTGATTTTTACAGAGGAACGTTAAGAACTGAAAGAGTTTGTCGCGGTAAACTTTGATCATGAGCAAGGTGAACAACGGATCGACGACCGGTTGGAGACTGAAAAAGGGCAGTATGATGTTGGAGTATATTCCTGGGTTGATCCCGGAGAAAGCGATGAGGAAGGCGCTGAGGCAGGGCAGAAAAGTTAGGAAAAACGGAGCCAACGACTGAAATTTGATGATTTTTTTTGCTTGTCGGGTGGAGAAAGCTTCTTTGGAAATGTTAAAGGTCTTTTTAAATTTTTTCACAAAGAGCACTCGGACTGTTCCTAAACCTGACACAGAATGGCGTAGAAAAATTGTTTCTGAAAGGCGGCGTTGAGGACAAGTTGGTTCAACAACCGATAAGTTCTCCATCCAACCACGGAGATTGCCAAATTAATGGACAATAATTCGCTGAGCATGCCTGTGAGCAAGAAGGTTTCTTCCCAATTCTTCTGAAGGGAACACTTGGAAATTTTTTTTCTTTTTAGTTCTACTCACTGAAGAAGCATCTGCATAGAAGAAGCTTTGATTTCGGATATCGATATGAAAAGCATTTTCTATTTCTTCGCAAATATCGGGATCCAAATCTTCTTTCGTGTTGAACTGATTGATGAAAATAGAATAGAGAGAAACAAAAATTACGTTTCCAATGGCTAAAAGCCCATGATCTCGAGGACTGAACGCATTTTTTGCTTCAGCAAGTTTTCTGGAAGAAGTAGTAGACATTCCTAAATCGAACTCGGCTGAAATCACCTTGAGAGCACTAAACATCTGTACAACAGGTTGACGAAAATGAGATAGTGAGATTCGAGTAAAAAAGAGGAATAGATGATGACTCCCATGTTGCCGAAAACCTTTTGAGGAATCTCGAAAGGTGGAAGAGCCACAAATACCGCTTTCTTGCCTTTGATGTAAAATATCTGGAATGTTTTTCGAGTTCAAGTCTGTCGTCCTATTTGACAAAAATCAAGGAACCTACCGGCTTGAAGGTGACGTGGAGAAGTGAATAGAAGACATTGAAGGCCGCAAAAAGGAGCACCAAATTTCGGTACTTGCTGTTACCCGGGAGGGGGGTGAACTTTGCGATAATCAACAGTAAACCGTTCAGAATAACGCCCAGAGTGGCACTCAGAGAAAAAATGGCCTCAAGCATTACAACTAACATCTCGGTAGAGAGAGAGAGGGCTCTGCCACAAGTGCAAATGAAATCCCAAAGTGTTATGCGATGAGCAATTAAAAGTCTTTCGAGGTTTGAGCCTTCGAGGAAAGGAGGAGCCGAAAAGCTCTAATGGTCTACGCAGTTGTTATTGCAAATGAACTATTTCACCGTGCAAAGGTATAAATAGGTACCAATTAAAACTTCATTCCAAAGACAACACTTCGATTTGCTCAGGAGCCACTTGAGCCGATGCGCTTTCGACAGAATTGAAGATTGCTGATTTGTCTTTTCTACAGAATAGCTTGGACAAAACTTTTTTGCGATAGATTTTGATCAAGAGCAACGTGAAAAGAGGGTCGACGACTGGTTGGAGGCTGTGGAAGACGAACAAAATGTTCGTGTAGATGCCGAGATTGACGTTCGAGTATGTGCAGATGATGACGATCAAGCTTGGGAGGAAGCCTAAGAAGAACGGAGCAATCGACTGGAAAAGCCAGTCAAGGTGAGACCCAAGTGGAGAGATACCTGACAAAGGATGGCATGGAAGATTTGCTTCTGGATAGGTAGATTGAGGATGTGTTGATTCAACAATCTGTAAGTTTTGAATCCCACTACCATCATGGACACTGTAATGATAAAGAACACTCCTAGTAGTCCAGCTACCATGCAAACGTCCTTCAAATTGCTCTGAACGACAAGGTTCTTTCTATTTAGCTTTTTCTCAGACGGACCTTGGATGGTTCTGCGTAGAAGAAACCGTATTGAGGGATTTCGACATGGAATGTTGCTTGGATTTCTTCTTTTACTTGGGAGTCTTTCATCTCCTTTGCTTCAAGGTTTTTGGTGAATGACAAGAATGCAAGGGTAACAATGAAATTGAATAAGAGGAGAAGAAGCACATCTTTCCGGCGAAATGCATTTTTCGTTTCTGCGACCTTCCTGAAAAGATATTGAAACAAAAACTATACAAATCAAGAATCTTTCAACCTCGATAAGGAGAAATAGCGGTAAAGGAAGTTAACAAGAAGAAGATAATGGGATTCTATGACAATCGCCATGTAAGCCAAAATTTCGAAGAAGCGCCACTTTTCTTGGGTCAGAAAAGTTGTAATGAATGCTAACTTATGGCCTTTGACGTAGATTATCTGAAGAACCAAGTTCATAGATCAAAAAGAAATGTTCACCGGTTTCAAGGTGACATGAAGAACAGAATAGAAGATATTGAAGACGGCAAAAAGCACGATCAAAATCTTGTACTTGCTGTTGCTCGGTAGCGGGGTATACCAGGAGACTATCAAAAGTATGAAGTTGAGAAAAACACCGACAGCTGCGTTGAAGGCGAAAATCGCCTCGAAGGTATCAACTACCATGACTTTCCAGAAATCTTCATCGGCAGTACTGATAAAGTGAGTGAAAAGATTCATTATAAGCAGAATAAGTTCAGTCCGCAGGGATTTGGAAGGGGGAGTAGAGGACGATTCACAAAATTATTATTGCAGAGTAGTACATTTTGTGTGCGCTGTTATAAGAACTCATCTTTTATTATTTTTAAAGCGAACCAGTCTAATCACAACTCATGGGAGCAGAATGGCGAAGCATTCTCTTATTCTAAAGACATAACTTCGATTTGCTCCGACGCAACATAAACCGAAGCACTTCCCAGAGAATTCAACTTGACAGAAGTGTCCTTCCTACAGAATAACGTCTTGAAAACTTTCTCGCGATAGATTTTGATCAACGAGAGAGTGAATAAAGGATCCACGACGGGTTGAAGACTGTGAAGAACAAATAAAACATTTGTGTAAATGCCAAGGTTGATGTCCGAAAAAGTACAGGCAATGGCGATTAGGCTAGGAAGAAAGCCGAGGAAAAATGGGGCTATGGACTGCAAATCCCGATCAATTGATGAGAAAGCCTTGAAACCTCAAGGTACCTGGCAGAGAATGGCATGGAAGATTTGCTTTTGGATAGGCAGGTTTAGGACATGTTGATTCAGCAACTTGTAGGTTTTGAAACCCACCACCATCATGGATACAGTATTGATAAAGAAAACGCTGAGAATCCCGGCCAGCATGAGAACGTCGTGCAAGTTCTTCTGAATCGAATCAGTTTCTCAACTTTTCAACAAACCAATTCCGCAGTTGAACCTCAGAAATTTCTGCGAAAAAGAAGCCGTTTCGGGGGAGCTCAACATGCAAAACACTTTGAATCTCCTCATGGATTATGGGATCTATCCACTCTTTTGCTTCGAGATTCCTCGCAAAAGAAACGAATAAAGAGATAAGAAAGAGGTTGATCACAATTAAAAGAACGATATCGCTCAGTCGGAAGGCGTTTTTATTTTCTGCGACTTTCCTGAAAAATATCTGAGGCTAAATGAGGAAAGGGGGCAAACCTCGATATCATCAAGTAACGGTAAAGAAAGTTTACGAAAAGGATGAAGTGAGACTCCACAACTATTACCATGTAGACCACAATTTCGAAAAACTTTTGGAAACTTTCAGAGTCCAGAAAGAAGGTAACGAGGTATAAAAGATGCCCTTTGATGAATACCGTCTGACGAAGAATACCTTATCATTACCATATAAAACTCACCGGTTTCAAAGTAACGTGTAGAAGGGAATAGAGAACATTAAAAGCTGCAAAAGACGCAACCAAGATCTTGTACTTGCTATTGCTTGGCAGAGGAGTGAGCCAGGCAACCATCAAAAGTAGCAAGTTGAAAAACACGCCGAAGACCGCGTTCAAAGCGAAAACCGCTTCAAAAACGTCGACGTCCATGATTTTTTGAACTATGGGTGAAATGCAAAAACTGGCTCATTTAAAGCCGATTAATTTCACTCCTTAGGGGTTCAAAAGGTGGAGCCTGACGAGGTACTCCGATTTTTCTTGTTACACCTGTTTTCATTGGAACTTTCATTAGGCGCCCGATTGTCAAAGAAAATAACGAGGAGATAGCTTTTATTTTCCAAACACTTTATTCCAAAGTAGTGATTTCGATCTGTTCAGGAGCAACTTGAGCCGAAGCACTTCCCGCAGAGTTGAACTTCACCGATTGGTCTTTTTTACAGAAAAATTTCGATAAGACTTTTTCGCGATAGATTTTGATTATAAAGAGAGTGAATAGAGGGTCGACGACAGGTTGTAGGTTATGGAATACGAGTGAGAAATTGGTGTAGATGCCAAGGTGAATGTCCAAAAAAGCGCATATAACGATCATCAGGCTTGGAAAAATCCTAAGAAAAATGGAGCGACGGACTAAAACAGGGGGAAGTCATAAGGATTGAAGTGAAAAGAACCTGGCATATGATGGCATGAAAGATCTGCTTCTGAATAGGTAGGCTGAGAACATGTTGGTTCAATAGTTTGTAGGTTTTGAATCCAACTAACATCATCGATAAGATTATGATAAAAAAGACGCTCAATAAGGCTATCAACATGTAAACGTCCTTCAAATTGTTCTGAACCGTTAAAATTCATTTTTTTTTCAAATTTTTTCTTCGAACTATAGACGATTCACGGCTAGCTTGGGACACAAAAAGGCGTGGCCTGTATGCACTCTCCACTAACCAGGGCACTGTCTTATCTCTTTTCGTGGCAGGACCCTTTTCTCGATGGCTCAAGCCAGCCGTGAATCAGCTATACCTTTGAGAGCTCAGCAAAAAATAAACTATGATGAGTAATATCAATTCGATAGAGAGTTTTCAACTCGTCGTGAATCTCCGGATCATCCAGCTCTTTGGTCTCAAAGTATTTTGTGATAAATAGGAAAACAGTGGTTAGAACGAGGTTGCAAAAAATCAAAAGGAAAATATCCTTCTTTCGGAAGGCATTTTTTGTCTCTGCAACCTTCCTGAAAGAAATTACGAGGTTCTAAATGTAGAAAAAGGATCAGTGAACCTAGATATCATGAAATAACGATAGAGATAGTTGACGAATAGAAGATAATGGGATTCCATGAGAAAAGCCATGTAGGCCATTATTTCAACGTAGCGCCAATCGTGATGAAATACAGATGACGTCAAAAAAAGCATTTTATGACCATTCACATAAACTATCTGAATTTTATAAGGGCCTATTTTCACTGATCCAAGCTGACCGGTTTCAGTGTCACGTTGAGGAGTGAATAGAACGCATTGAAGGCTGCAAAAATGACTACCAACATCTTATACTTGCTGTTACTTGGTAGCGGAGTCACCCAAGCTACTATCAGAAGTAGAACGTTTAGAAAAACACCAAAAACAGCATTCAAAGCAAATATTGCTTCGAATACGTCCACTGCCATTGGATATGGTGAGAGGTTAACCTTCATTATTTTCGAGTTGAAAATCCTTTCACCTCAGGGATTCAAAAGGTGGCTCTAAGAACTGTCAACGCCCCTTTTCTGCGTGAAACCCTGAAAGATTTCTGAAACAAAAGAACAGGAAAAAGTAACGGCCTTCAAAGTGAATGCTATAAACCTCATTTCTCACACAAACCCCTTCCGAATTTTGTATTTATTCTTGAACCGGTTTCGATTTTTTTAGAAGTGGCATCTTATAGAGCATTTTGACCCGAAAAAACGCTTCTAGACGTTGAACCTACAGACCATTTCCTACTGCAAACCAAAATGGAAAAAAATCGTTCTCGGTAAATTTTGATTAACAACAAGGTGAAAAGCGGGTCGACGATCGGTTGGAAACTGTGGAACACGAATAAAATGTTAGAGTAGATACCCGAGTTGAATTTAAGTAAAGCGAAAAATAAGACGATCCCTGTAGGAACTAAGCCTAGGAAAAAGGAGCTATGGACTGAAAGAATTTCTCCGAGTCATATAGCTTGAACGAAATTCAACCTGGCAAATAATGGCATAGAAAATTTGCTTCTGAATGTGCTGATGAGGGACGTGTTGATCCAAAAATTTGTAGGTTTTGAAGCCAACCACCATCATTGACACCATTATGACGAAAAGAACGCTGAGAATCCCTATTAACATGACAGCATCCTTCATGTTTTTCTTAAACCAGGGTGTTTTATGATATCTTTTCTTAGAGCAACCTCGGAGAGTTCTGCGTAGAAAAAGTCTTTCCGAGAAACTTCGACGTGGAAAATTGTTCTTATTTCTTTGTGCATTTGTGGGTCAACCAACTCTTGCGCTTGAAAATGCTTAACAAAAAGCAATAGGAGAGAGGTCAGGAGGACATTGAAAAAAATGAGGGCAACTATATCGCCTCGACTAAAAGTGTTCTTGGTTTCAATTATTATTTCTCTGGAAAAAAAAAAATCATAAATTATTATTTACAACTCAATTACCTTGATAATGAGAAGTAACGATACAGAAAGTTGACAAAAAGAAGATATTGAGACTCCATTACAAAAGTCGCATAAGTCATAACTCCCCAGTACTTCGGAGTTATTTCCTTGATCAAGCTAGAGGTTAGAAAAACCAATTTTTGATCTTTCACGATGATTATCTGAAAAGGACGTGTAGCCATTGTGAGTCAGAGCGTACCGGTTTCAGAATGACGTTGAGAAGAGAATATAACACATTGAAAGCCGCGAAGATCATCACCAAGTGTTTGTATTTGTTGTTGCTTGGAAGAGGAGTGGCCCAAGCAACTATCAGGAGCAAAATATTCAAAAAACCGCCAAAAAGTGCATTAAGAGCGAAAATAGTTTCGAAGATATCCACAGTCATTTTCGAGCAGATTCGACTAGCAGAAGCTTTTCAAGGGATTGCGAAACCTGGTTCATCAACAAGCGAAATCTCTGGTCCTTTGGGGTTCGAGATTTCGCTTGTTGATGCTTTTACTCGAAAGGTGAGGCTTAGACTAATATAAGCGATGACGATGGGAAAAATTACTGTATGAGGAACTGCGTATTCATTTCAAAAATATTTCCCAGAAAATATAGATGAAACGCAAAAAAAGATTTGTTATCCTCTAAAAACAACACTGTCTGAGGAAAGTTAAAAAATGAAGCAAGGGACGACTGAAGCAGAAACTTCTATGACTCGTTTTAAAAATTTTAATCTTGTAAGCTTTACACATTTCTTTAATTTCAAGAAACTATCAACATTTTTAAAGAGAACTTCGAGTAAAAGCAACAGAAGTGGACACCAAAGACGGTTCGTTTTTGCACAGCAAAATCGATAGGGCTTTCCGGCGGTAAACTTTGATCAGCAACAAGGTGAAGAGAGGATCAACTACAGGCTGGAAACTGTGAAAAACCAGCAAAGAATTTATGTAGATCCCTATTTGGATTCCTAAATATGTGCAGAGAACAGCGACGAAGCCGGGGAAAAATCCAAGAATGAAAGGAGCGACGGACTGAAAAGGTCCTTGAGGTCTTATCTTTCATTTAAAACACCTGGCAAATGATGGCATGGAATATTTGCTTCTGAATGGGTAGGTGGAGGACATGTTGATTCAACAATTTGTAGGTTTTGAAGCCAACCACCATCATTGACACCATTATGACAAAAAGAACGCTGAGAATCCCTATTAACATGAAAACATCCTTCATATTTTTCTTAAACCAGGGATTTTTCATAATATATTTTTTTCGACCAACCTCGGAGAGTTCTGCGTAGAAAAAAAGTCGTTCCGAGAAACTTCGACATAAAATATTGTTCTTATTTCTTCATACATTTGTGGATCCATAAGCTCTTTTGCTTTGAAATATTTAACAAAAAAAGCAATAGGAGAGAGGTCAGGAGGACATTGAAAAAAATGAGGGCAACTATATCGACTCGACTAAACGTACTCTTGGTTTCAATTACTTTTCTGAAAAAAAAAAGACATACAGTTAAACTTACAGCTCAGGTAAAAATTGAAAAACTTCTGCTTCCGATTCCTTGGAAGGCGTTTAGAAGCTTTCCAGAAAGTGGTCAAATGCTTTTGACATAGCTTTGCAACACCTTCTCACTGCCTTTCAGAAGCCCGCTGGAAAGTTTCTGGCAGGCATTTCCAATTTTCACCTTCGAAAGATCTTCTAGTTTTCATTAACGGTCCAACCTTCTGCTGGCAACCTTCCCAGGATTTATCTGAGAATTCATTTACCTTGATAATGAAAAGTAACGATACAGAAAATTGACGAAAATAAGATACTGAGATTCCATGACAAAGGTCGCATAAGTCATAATTCCCCAGTACTTCGGAGTTATTTCCTTGATCAAACTAGAGGTTAGAAAAACCACTTTTTGGTCTTTCACGTTGATGATCTGAAACGGACGTGTGCCATTTTGAATCAGAGCTTACCGGTTTCAGAATGACATTGAGAAGTGAATATGAAACATTGAAAGCCGCAAAGATCATCACCAAGTTCTTGTATTTGCTGTTGCTCGGCAGAGGCGTGGCCCAAGCAACTATCAGAAGTAAAACGTTCAGAAAAACGCCAAAAGCTGCATTAAGAACGAAAACGACTTCGAAGATATCTACAGCCATTATCGAGGAGATTCGACGAGCAGGAGCTTTTGGGGAATTGCAAAATTTCTGGTCCTTTGGGGGTTCAAAAGGTGAGGCCTAGACCAATTTAAGCTAATTACGACGGGCACAATTACTGTTCGCTGTCATGGGGAACTGCGTTTCAACTTTATATCGAGCTCATCCTAAATCGGAAAAAGATGAAAAACAAAAAGTTTATGAAAAAAATACAATGTAAACAGGTCTAATTGAATGTTGAGAAAGAAATCAGAGCAAAGAAAAAAAAGCATATTAGAAATGACTTATTTGATGAAAAAAAAAACGGTATTATTTAGTGATGGAATATTTTTTTACCCATCTAGGAGCTTTACCAGATGTTAATCGACACGATGAACATTTTTTTTAAACAAAAACCAAAGTTTGAAACTTCCCTTAATTTTTCACAGAGTACTCAAACCAATTTTAGCAGAAAATGATCCGATGAAATTATGATTCCTACAAAGGAGCGTCTGAAGAACTTTCTCACGGTAGAGCTTGATAAGTAACAGGGTGAAAAGCGGATCGACAACTGGTTGAAGACTGTGAAAAACGAATAGAAAGTTATGATGAACACCGAGATCAACGTCTGAAAGAGTGCAGATGATGACGATAAGACTAGGAAGAAACCCCAAGAAGAAGGGGGCGATAGACTGAAAAAAAATGCCCAGGGGTTTATTAATTGAATTATACCTGGTATAGGATGGCATGGGAGATTTGCTTATGGATAGGCATTTTGAGAGCGTGCTTATTAAGCACTTTGTACGTTTTCAATCCAATCGATATCATTGATAACAAGATGATAGAAAACACCCCGAGAATTCCCGCCAATGTGAAAACGTCTTTCAAATTGTTCTGAACAGCTACATTTTTCCGAATATATTGGTCAGGTTGACCTTGGAAAGCTCAGCGTAGAAGAAGCCGTGATTTCGAATTTCGACGTGGAACATTCGTTGTATATCTTCAACCATTTGAAGGTCAGTCAACTCGCTTGATTCGAAATGTTTGGTGAGGAATAAGAAAGCAGAAGTGAAAAATAGATTCAATGCCAGGAAAACTGCGATATTGCGATGGCTGAATATGGTGCCTGCTTCAGTAGCTTTTCTGAGAAATACTTAGAGGAAATTTTAAAAAAAAAAGAATTGTTTGTATAGTCTGTGTACCACGACTTGAAATTTCAACGAACGACATTCCGCTGTTCCGCTATGTGCTCGGCCGCTTTTTGATTTTAAATTTTATTTAAGAACTCGACCAACACGTGTTCCTAGTGGGACAGTTCATATATCATAAATGAGAACCAATTCAAAGCGAGACTGAGGCTCGCAAAGACGCTTCGCGACGCAGCGGAACAGCGGAATGTCGTTCGGTGAAATTTCAAGTCGTGGCACACAGACTATATAGTGAATGTGAATAAAGTATCACTCATCACATCACAATAAACTATTCTTTCGTCTTTTTTTCAAACAGACTGCTTCAAAAAGTTCACTTTCTGTTTATTTTTTTCGTTACCAATTCATTTTGTCCTTCACTTTCTAGATGAGAAAAATAATTTTGCACTTCTACAGTCCGTTTTTCAAGATTTGAAACTACTGTTTTTCTATGCGCCCTCCACGTCTCTCAACGACCCTCTCATGCTGACGTGCTGTTTTCTGGTTTCTCGGACCTCGTCGGCGAGGGAACAGAGAGACGCAGACACTTGAAAAGTCTCAAGTCGCGGCAAACGGGCAATACCTCGATATCAACGAGTAGCGGTAAATAAAGTTGATGAGAAGAAGATAATGTGATTCGAGGACAAAAGTCATGTAAGTCATGATTTCAATAAATCGGTCCTCGTGTTGGACGAAGAAAGAAGTCACAAAGGCCACTTTTGGGCCTTGGATGTATACGATCTGAAGTACAGTGTTACTTGCATAGAAATTCAAGTTTACCGGCTTCAGGGTAACATGCAACACTGAATAAGGAACATTGAACGTCGCGAAAATGATCACCAAGTTTTTATACTTGCTGTTGCTCGGTAGAGGCGTGAACCAGGCCACGGCCAGAAGTAAGACGTTGAGAAAAACTCCCAAAGCGGCGTTGGAAGCAAAAATCGCTCTGAATATATCCACACTCATTGCGAGGGGATATTTATTAACCCTCGAAATGCAAAAGTTGGTCGATATTTGAGTAGATAAGTCCACAGGGGATCTGATAGAAGGGCCCAGACTAACCTACGTAAATTGCAATTTAGCTACTGCGCTTTGTTATGATTTCGAGAATGTATTTCAAAAGCTCAAATAAAGAAAGGAATGAGTGACTTTAGAAAGAATAAAAGTTCATGTTTTCGGCGACAGACTCAGATTACCAGGTAGGAAGCTTATAATCAATTCTCAAGGTAAACTCAAAGTTCCGGCCGATATACCTTGTCAGCGTTTTTTTTTCTTTAATTACTGCTTTCAAATCCTCATTCACTAGCCAGCATATTTTTGAGTGTTCCAAGAGACCCTGGAGTTTGCTTTTCATCACTATTTTAGCATAAAAAAGTGAAATGTCCTACTGCTACCTTCCAGCCGCAACAGTACCCTTCTCCTTCAAAATAAATAGAAGAATCTTTATTCCAAAGACATGACTTCTAGATGCTCAGGAGCCACCTGAGCCGAAACACTTCCAACAGAATTGAATTTAGCCGATTCGTTTTTCCTACAGAGAAGCACCTTGAGAAATTTCTCTCGATAGATTTTGATGATGAAAAGAGTGAAAAAGGGGTCGGCCACGGGTTGAAGGCTATGAAAAGCCACAGAAAAATTGTTGTATATGCCGATTTTGATGTCCAAAACTGCGCAAACGACAATAATGAAGCTGGGAAGAAATAGAAAAAACGGAACGATAGACTGGAAAAAGTAAAGAAAGGGCCGAAATCCCAAGTTACCTGGCATACGATTGCGTAGAAAATTTGTTTTTGGACAGGAAGATTGAGGACATGATGATTCAAGAGTCTGTACGTTTTGTATCCCACGACCATCATCGACAAAATAATCAGGGAGGGGATGCTAAAAAGTTCTAATAATGTCACAAGATCGTCTGGGTTTTTCTAAATCAATAAATTTTTTTGAGAGTTCTTTCAGAATAACTTGAGAAAGTTCTGCACAGAAAAAGCCGTGCCGAGGAATCCCGACATGAAACAGTTCTTCTATTTCCTTTTGCATGTCCGGATCGTTCAATTCATTTGTATCGAAATGTTTCGTGAGTGTTATGAAAAAGAACGCAAGAACGAGATTGCCCACAACTAAAAGAGCCACATCACTTCGGCGGAAAGCATTTTTGTTTTCCGCGACTTTCCTACAAAAAAAATTGATGGGATTATTTATGCAATTTTTTTTTGAACCTTGAAATCGTGAAATAACGGTAGAGAAAACTGACGAAGAGAAGGTAATGGGATTCGATAACAAAACCCATGTAGAAGAGGACTTCAATGTAGCGAAAGCTGTGTTGAATCAAAAATGAGCTCAAGAAAACCATTTTATGACCTTTCACGTAAACGATCTGAATGGGCTATTCTCATTATTATCGAGTCAAGCTTACCGGCTTGAAAGCTATATTGAACGTTGAATAAATAGCATTGAAAGTGGCAAAAAGCCCAACCAATATCTTGTACTTGCTGTTGCTCGGCAGGGGAGTGATACAAGCAATAATCAAAAGAGAAACGTTGAGGAAAACACCAACAGCTGCGTTAAAAGCAGAGAATACTACGAACAAGTCAACAGCCATTTTAACTGGGAGATCGGGACGTGTGAATTTTATTTCTTTTTTTTCAGTGAAAAATAACGTCCGAAGGGATTCCAAAGGTCAAGCTGAGAGCGGTCCCGTGGACTTATCTTGGTAAGAGCACACTCTTTTTCACCTGGTCTTGTTTTGACCCCCGAAGCAATCTCAAGAGACAAGAAAATAAAAAAATGGTTCACTCCAGCAGACGTATTATTTTCATCACTAATTGTTCCTCTTGGGAACCGCTAAGGGGGTTTTTTTTACCTTACTCATTATTCAGTTTGCAATTGAGAGGTATTGGGAAAGGTCTATAAAAGTCACTATTCAGCGTCTCTCTGGTACTACTAGGCTACTACTTGCTGGCCTAGTAGTACCATTTAGACTGCTAAATAAGGACACTATTTTGAGCCTCCCAAGTGATCACTATTATGACTACTAAAACGTCAAAGCTTTGAAGTGGTCACTTTTAGTATAAGTATAAGTTTTATTATTGATTTTCATAGGGTACTTCGAGCAAAAACCACAGAAGTAGATCCCATCGATGATTTTTTCCTACAAAGTATGAACGAAAAAACTTTTTCTCGATAGATTTTGATCATGAATAAGGTGAAAAGAGGATCAACTACAGGTTGCAGACTATGGAACACCAACAGGAAGTTCGTGTAGATGCCGAGGTTGACGTCGAAAAGAGTGCAGATGAAAATAGTCAGACCTGGGAGAAAGCCAACGAAGAATGGGGCAATCGACTGGAAAAGCCGATCCAAAATGACAATTTAATTGAAACTCTTAGGTTTGAATGATACCTGGCATATGATGGCATGAAAGATCTGTTTCTGAATAGACAGGTGAAGAACATGTTGGTCCAATAACTTGTAAGTTTTGAACCCCACCAACATCATTGAGGCAGTGATGAATAAAGTATCGCTGAGGATCCCTATCAACATAAAAATATCCTTCAAGTTTTTCTAAACCAGAGCTTTTTCATGAATTTGAAATCACCGTTCGATAAACTCCGGAAAGTTCAGCGAGGAAAAAGTCGTGACGAGTAACAGTGACATGAAAAATGTCTTGTATGTCATCGCGCATTTCCAAATCAGTGAGATCTCTTGTTTCGAAATGTTTCGTGAAATACAAGAAAAGTGAGGTATAAATCAAGTTGGTAAAAATTATAAGAAGTATATTGTTTCGGCTGAAGGTATTTTTGGTTTCAGGAACGTTTCTGAAATACTTTTGCAAATAAAATAGAAAGTGATTGATTTTAGGACCCAGATATTAAAAAATAACGATAGAGGAAGTTGACAAGAAGCAAAAAATGGGATTCCATGACAAAGCAGATATAAGCCATGATCTCAATGAAACGCCAGTCGTGCTGGATGAAGAAAAAGGTCACGAAGGCCACTTTTGGCCCTTTGATGTACAAAATCTGAGGACCAAAGTTCCAGTTTCGCCGAATCAAACTAACCGGTTTCAAAGTGACATGGAGCAATGAGAAGAAAGCGTTGAATGTCGCGAAAACGCACACGAATATTTTGTATTTACTGTTACTAGGTATTGGGGTGAACCAAGCAACTGATAGAAGTAATAAATTCAGAAAAACGCCCAGTGTAGCGTTGAAAGCGAAAAAGGCTTGAAATAAATCGACAGCCATCGTTTTCATGACGTACAGATCTTCATCCCTCAATGGAATTTAAGAAAAGGCTGAATATTAAATTCTGGTCCTCAGAGACTTCAAACCTACGCAGATCCCTTGAAGTACAATCGCTGTGCTTCAAAAAACCGGTTTTTATGAAAAGAAAAACGATTAATAAAACTAGAAAAGACGAACATTAAGGGCAAGTTGAAAGTCCATGCTCTGCGCAAAAAGTGAAAATGACACGGTTGGAAACTTATTATCAATTTTCACGACTGAAAGGTACTTTTAAGCTAAAAAGTTATTTCCGAGAACTGATTGGTCTTCCCATTGACTCTCTTGGAACATTTTCTTCGGTACTAACAAGATCTCCCAGTGTCAGGTGCGTGATAAAAGTATTTTTTCAAGGTGAAATCCTTTAAAGATTTAAAGTTACAAGCAAACTTTCTTTATGGAGCCCTTCATGTGAATCCATCAGTAAAGAATGAGATCAAGGATTTTTTTCGACAGAGGAAAGTCGAAAAGACCTTCTTCCGGTAGATTCTGATGAAAAACAGGGTGAAAAAAGGGTCGAAAACGGGCAGAAAACTGTGAGATACAAAGATGAAGTTTTGGTACATTCCGAGGTTGAAGTTCGCAAGTGTGCAAATGAACACTACTAGAGGGGGAAGTAATTCCAGAAAGAACGGAGTGACTGACTGAAAAAAATATTTTCAGAAAAAAAGGTTTGTAGGAACCATGTATAAGGTTCAAAAGTAACGTTTACCTGACATATGATAGCATGGAAGATCTGCTTCTGGATAGGCAGGTTGAGGACGTATTGATTCAGCAGATTGTAAGTCTTGAATCCGACCATCATCATCAATAAAAGAACAATGAAAGTTTCACTGAGTATTCCACATAACATAAGCACATCGATCAAGTTATTCTGAACAGAATTTCTCTTTTTTTCTCGTTTTGCAAATGACCTGGGAAAATTCCGCGAAAAAGAAGCTGTGGCCAGTGACGTTGATTTTGAAAACAGTTTCCATTTCTTCTTCCATTTGTCGATCATCTAGTTTTTTTGTTTCAAAGTTTTTTGTGAAAAATAAGAATAAGGAGATAAAAAGCATATTCAGCGGAATCAGTAGCTGAACATCTTTTCGGGTGAAGGCATTGCAGTTTTCAGGAGCCTTCCTGAGAAATGATGAGAAACTGCAAAAAAGATGAGAAAGACCAGACCTAGAGATTATGAAATAACGGTAGAGAAAGTTGATAAGAAGAAGATATTGTGATTCAATAACGAAAGACATATAAACCAATACCTCGAGGAAGCGCCATTCGTGTTGAATGAAAAAAGAAGTCACAAAGACGACTTTTGAACCTTTGATGTAAAGAAACTGAGCAAAGAAGCCAAGATAGATAACTACAGAAAAAAAAAACTCACAGGTTTCAAAGTAATGTGAAGAAGTGAGTAGAAAGCGTTGAAAACCGCAAAAACCATTACCAGATTTTTGTATTTGCTATTGCTTGGAAGAGGAGTTAGCCATGCAACTATCAAAAGTAAGGAGTTAATAAAAACGCCCAGAACAGCGTTCAAAGCAAATAGTGCTTCGAATACGTCCACAGGCATAGCTGTTCAAAATATTTTCTATTTAATTGTACGGAAAGGACTAGTTACGAGAAATCTTCAGGGATTCGAAAGGTGGAGTCCGAGAGAGGGTCGACGTAGATTTACCTCATTTAAATTGCAGTGAGTTATGTTCCTCGGTCAAAAGAAAAGTTTTATTAAGCAATTGAAATTCAGTGGTATGCTGGGAGGGTGTTCGAAAGCTTCTGCTTTTGGTTCCTCGGAAGGCGTTTGAAAGCTTTTCAGCAAGTGGTCAAAGGTCTTCCAAATACCTTCCCAACAAGCTCTACGAGCCTGCCAGAAGCCTATTCGAAGGTTACTTTCCAAGAACCTTCCAACTACCTCCTCAAGACCTTCTAACTTCCCATTACCTTCTTAACACCTTTCCAGGCTTAACCTGGGGTAACAGTTTTATGATCAGCTTTTTTTTTCTACTTCAATAATCTGAGAAAACTTGTATGTAGTACAGTTCGTATAGACACGTTTATTAACATACAAAAAAAACGTCGTTCATGTAATGCATAGTGAAATTCTCATACGCTTCTACAAAACTTAGTTTTTCTTAAAATCGCCAAGATCCGATTTTTCTTTTTTAAAACCGACACAGCTTACTGCTTCGAAAGAAAATCAGTTTCCAAAGTTGAAAAATTTTCAGCTGTGTAGCTGATTCACGGCTGGTTTGAGCCATCTAGAGAAAGGATTCTGGCACGATAATAATAAAAAATAGTGTCTGCCTGGTGGAGAGCGCAGACAGGCGACGTTCCCTTAGCCTCAAGCTTGTTTTATCACCAATCAAAATACGAATTCGCTCGTTATGGAGCGCTGTGAATGAAAGCAATTCTCACAGACGTTGAGCCTAACAACTTCTGTTTCTTACAAAGTAACGTTAGTAAAACTTTCTCGCGGTACAGTTTGATCAATATCAAAGTGAAAAGCGGATCGACAACAGGCTGGAGACTGTGAAAAACGAATAGGAAATTTTGGTAGATGCCGAGATTCACGTCGAAAAGTGTGCAGGCGGTGACGAAGAGGCTGGGAAGAAATCCCAAGAATAACGGAGTGAAAGACTAAAATCCGTTTATAAGAAAGGGCAAGTTCTTCAAAATCGAAGATCACCTGGCATATGATAGCCTGGAATATTTGTTTCTGGATGGGAAGATTGAGGACATGTTGATTCAAGAGTTTGTAAGTCTTGAATCCCACAATCATCATCAGAACAATAATAGTGAAAAGGACACTGAGAAGTCCTGCCAACATAAATACGTCAACTAGATTGTTCTGAGTTTGAATCAAAATTATTCGATTGTGCCTTTGGCTCAACCGTGGACAGTTCAGCGTAGAAGAAGCCTTGTCGAGTGATTTCTACATGGAAGGTTGATTTTATTTCCTCATACATCTGTCGGTCACTGAACTCTTTGGTCTCGAAACGTCTGGTGAATAACAGAAAAGCAGAAGTGAAAACCAGATTCAACCAAATCAAAAGCCCTATGTCGGTTCGGCTGAAAGTGCTTTTTGTTTCGAATATATTTCTGAAAAATGAACTTGATTTCATAAGAAAGAGATACTCAGCTTCGAGATCAAAAAATAGCGATAGAGAAAGTTGACGAAAAGGAGATAATGCGATTCGAGAACAAAAGCCATGTAAGCCTCGATTTCCAAAAACTGCCAGTTTTGATGGATAAATAAAAAAGTCAAGTAGGCGATTTTGTGACCTTTCACGTATACGATCTGAATATAATTTATCTTCTCAGGTGTTAATTGGGAATTTTCTGCTTTCGGTTCTTCGGACGGTGTTTAGAAACTTCCCAGCACTCTTCCAAGTCCGAACTCACCGGCTTCAATGCGACATGAAGAAGTGAATAGAAAACATTGAAAGCTGCAAAAATGATCACCAAATGATTGTATTTGCTGTTGCTGGGTAGGGGCGTAAACCATGCAACGGTCAAGAGCAACAAGTTGATGAAAACGCCAGACACGGCGTTCAAAGCGAAAATGACTTCGAAAACATCCAGAGCCATCGTAATGCAAAAAGCTTTTATTAGAAGCTTCAAATGGAGTATGAAAAGCAATCCGATGGAAAATAGTAAATCCTCTGGGACTTTGAAGATGGAGCCCGGAGCAGCCTACGTGTTCTTTAGTACACCTGCTGTTCCATATCTTGAAAATCCACCTGTCATTTTTATGAAATAGGTTTAGTTCTAAAACAAAGGAATCATGTAAATTTGGGAGCGCTTCTTCCGCTATAGCTGATTCACGACTGGCTTGAGCCATCGCGAAAATGGTCCTGACACGATGAAAAAGGAGAGAGCTGACGGCATTTGTATTTATCAACGTTTGTAATTATTCTTGAAAGATCTTCGAATTTTCTCTGATTAGGATTTACCGAGCATTTTGGCCCGAAGAGATACTTTTAGACGTCGAACCTACAACATGCTTCCTAGCGCAGAGCATAATCGAAAAAAATTGCTCTCGGTAGATTTTGATCAACAATAAAGTGAAAAGCGGGTCGACGATGGGTTGGAAGCTATGGAACACAAACAGAACGTTAGTGTAGATCCCCAAGTTGAACTCCAGTAAAGTGCTCGAAAAGACGGTCATCGTAGGCACTAAGCCCAGGAAAAAAGGAGCGACGGACTGAAAGAGCTTCTTCCATTCATTGAAGATCGAAAGGAGATCAACTTGACAGATGATGGCGTGGAAGATTTGCTTCTGAAGAGGCAGATTGACGACGTGTTGATTCAATAACTTATAAGTCTTGAAGCCAATGATCATCATCGAAACCATGATGAACAGAATAACACTAAGAAGACCTGTGTACATGAAGACGTCTTTCAAGTTAGCCTGAATCAAAAAAGGTATTTCTTCGGTTCATGCTTCCAATAGAACCTTCGAAAATTCAGCGTAGAAAAATTCGTATTGAGAGACTTTGAGATGGAAAATTTCTTGAATTTCTTCAAGCATTCGAGGCTCAATCAACTTTTTCGCTTTAAAGTAGTTTATAAAGTACAGGAGTATGGATGTCAGAACGGCGTTGATCAAAGATAAGACTCCTATATCCCTCCTACTGAATGTATTTTTGAAATCAGCGACTTTTCTGCAAGAAAATATAGAAAAGAGTGAACATCAAGGAAACCTCGATATTAGGAAGTAACGATATATGTAATTGACGAGGATCAAATATTGGGATTCCATAATGAATGCAGCGTAAATCATCATTTCGAAGAACTTCGGAGAGCTTTCATGAAACAAGAAAGATGTCACAAAAATCATCTTTTGATCCTTGAAATACACGATCTGAATGGGAAAGTCTTATAGGAACTGAAGCAGGCTTACCGGCTTCAAAACAACATTGAGAAGAGAATAAAACACATTAAAAACCGCGAAAAATATCACCAAGTTTTTGTACTTGCTGTTACTCGGTAAAGGCGTGAACCAGGAGATTTTGCAAAGTAAAACGTTCAGAAAAACGCCGATAATCGCATTGAAGGCAAACACGGTCTCAAAAACATCCAATGCCATCGCAAGAAGAACTGAAGGACTTGAATGAAAGGCACGGTTATTATCGAAAATATTATATTTGAAGCCTAGGGATTTGAAAGTGAAAGCTTGAAAATTGTACTCCTTATTGCATCAATTGCTTTTCGTCCTTTCAAGTGAAATTTGTAAAGTATTGAATTTGTGTCGAGAAATGTGGTGATTTGGTTCATATCAAAGTTGAGTTGGTCACAGTTCCACTTCTTCTTCTTACGACTTTGTAGGGTTTGAGCGGCCCCAAGTCGCTGAGACAAGGTTCCATCCTGATATCAATAATAACCAGTGGACTGGCTTTAGTGATGTATCCGTCTTGGTGTGTGCATTATTAGGCCAAGGTTTCCCATAATCAACATTTCTTGCGAGGATCGAACTTCTGACCCTATCGACGGTAGACAAGCACAAAACCTGTTGCGTTACAGTGAGCCTAGATTTTGATCAAAGCCATTGTAAAAAGGGATCAAGTACTTGTTGAAAACTGAAAAGCAATAGCGGGGAAAGCAATGGCTTTAAAGAATATTTTGTAAAAATAAACGTTTAACACTTTATGAAAGAGTTTGCGCCGAAAACCTGCTGACAGAGGTTGAACTGGTGAACCAGCAATTCTTGCCGCAAAGCAAAGTTGTAAAGAACTTTTCTCGATAGACTTTGATCAACAACAGAGTGAAGAGCGGATCGAGAACAGGTTGAAGGCTGTGGAACACGAACAAAATGTTGATGTAAAACCCGAGGTTCACTTCAAAAAATGTACTGGCGAAGAGAGTAATACTGGGAACCAAGCCCGTGAAGAAAGGGGTGACGGACTGCAAAAGTTGCTATTTTGAAGATTTGGAAGGGCGAGAACGCAAGCAACCTGGCATAAGATGGCATTGAATATTTGCTTCTGGATCGGGAGATTGGCAGCGTGATGGTTTAGTAACTTGTATGTCTTGAACCCGACTACCAGTATCGACACCATGATAAAGAACGATACACTCAGAAACCCCATAAACATGTAAATGTCTTTCATGTGGTTCTGAAGAAACTAGATTATTTTCAATTACTTTTTTTTCATTTCTGCCTTAGTGAGAACTGCGTAGAAGAAGTCGTAGCGAGAAATGTCAACATGAAAAACTTCTTGGATCTCTTCAACGATCTGATGATCAATCGACTTTTTCGCTTTGAAGTACTTTATAAAATACAACAGGACTGAGGTGAGAACTAGGTTAATGAGTGCTAAAACTCCTATATCAGTTCGACTGAATTGACTTTTGATATCGGCTGCTTTTCTGAAAAAGATAGAACTGGTAGACAAATGGTTTATAGAGAAAGCGAACCTCGACATCAACAAATAACGATAGAGTAGGTTGACGAAAATGAGATAATGGGACTCTGTGACAAACGCTGCGTAAACCATACATTCAAAAAACTTTGGAGCAAATGTCTGCATCAAAAAAGACGTCACGAAAACGATCTTTCGTTCTTTCACGTAAACTATCTGGAAGGGACTTCTACTTTCAGTTCTGGGCAGCGCTCACCGGATTCAAAATAACATTGAGCAGTGAATAAAGAATATTAAATACGGCAAAAAGAAGCACCAAGTTTTTGTAATTTCTGTTCCCCGGAAGTGGAGTGAACCATGAAACTATCGAAAGTAAAACGTTCAGAAAAACACCAAACGCTGCGTTTAAAGCGAATACAGCTTCATATAAAGCGAGTACCATGGCTTTGAAAAAAAAAAGAGAATTAAAAGCCGGCCCATTTGCAAGCAAAATAACGTCTGTCTATGGGGACTTGGAAAGACAACTGTACTTTAGAACAGTCTACGCATTTATCAGTTTGTTTTCCGGTGTACTTCCAACTGAATCGAAACTTTTCCGAATCGAATCCGATTCGGCCATTCAACCGAACCTATTCTTTCCGAATCGGATATTTTCAACCGAATCTTAGAAAAGTCCCAAACATTCTTCCGAATCGGATGTTCTATCAGAACCGTTCAAAAAAAAAAACCAATTTTTATTTGGATTCTTTTCTCACTCTTCATTTAAACTCATCATCTACTCAGAGATTCAGTATGAATGCGCCTGTGAGAGAAAAGCTGAGCACAACTATCAAAACTTGAAACTATCCGATATGATTTTGTAGCTAAGATCCCAGTGAGAGGTTAGTCCAAATTTTAGTATGACGGAAGTAATTAGGAAGTATACTCTGTGTTTCACCAACAGATGAAGAACTTAGTACTGCTAAAAGTCAATGATCTCTAAGTATGTCCAAATTCTTCACAAATTAAAGAACTTCGTGTTGCTAAAGGCCAACTTTTAGTACGACCAAGTTTCGACCTGTGTTCTGCCTCAACTCAGAGCTTGGTACGGCTAAAGGCTCAGAATTAGAGAAGTGAAGACTTTTTCTGTTGGTGCAACCAAAATTAAATAAAAATTGGTTTCAAGCGTTTTGACAGATCCGGATTGAAAATTTGATTCGGAAGAATATTTGGAAGTTTCCTACAGGACCCACTTTCACTTTTGTAGGCGGTTCTTCTCTCAACAAGACCCACTTTTATCTTCTTTAGGCGGGTCCTTCTCCTTACAGGACCCACTTATACCTCCGTAGGGAGGCTTATTCCTCCTCATAGGAACCCGCTCAAGCTCTTCCCAGTGAGTTCATGAATCTATTCCTTCTCAACTGCCGCAATACTTCTCAAAACACTCCGCGTCACTGGTCATTAACTGAATTTTACTTCTTCACAAAAGCACATGCTTTTTTTTTCAATTTTCGATTGGAAAAAATAAACATGTTATCATTGAACCCATTGCAATATCTTTGACTGATGCGTGACTTTGGTCGATCAGAAACTTTATTTCAGTTTTAAGAAGGGCACCAACTTTTTAGGGATTATTTTCACTGTTTTGAATAGTTTTACACGGTAAACTTTGATCAAGAACAAGGTGAAAAGAGGGTCAAAGACCGGTTGAAAACTGAAGACCACCAGAGTCAAATTTGCGTTGACACCAATATCGAGGCCGAGGAAACTGGAGACATACAAACCAATGTTCGGGAGAAAAACCAAAAACAACGGCATGATGGACTAAATTTATTTATTCTTTTTCGAAACATGCGCCATCTGCCAGGTGAACGAAATAAAAGTAACCTGACTCAAGGTGGCGTGTAAGGTCTGCTTGTTGAAGTGAAGATTGACAACGTGCTGATTCAACAGCCGATAGCTTTTGAAAGCAACTGTCAGAGTAGACATATGGATAAAAACAAGATCGCTTAACATTGTTGCTAAAATTAAAATGGCTGACTTATTTTTCTGAAAAATGAATTCGATTAGGGAAGTTTTATGCAATCCAGAAGAGTTCTGCTTCTTTCTATGACGAGCTTTCCCTTCAAAAACACAAAGGAAAGTTTTTGAGCTTTTTCCTATATATTTTCGATTTTCTCCGGCACCCAGCAGGGCGTTAAAAGGAAGTTAGAGAGGCATTGCGGATCTGTTTCGATTCGAATCTTAGTAATAGGAGCCCTGAGCTTGAGAACTTGAAAAAAAGAAGTATTGTCTGCTGCCCCAGGGTACCGGAAAAATTCCGGTCGAAAATTTACAGTAAAAGCTTGAAAACTGACTCTTTTTGGAATTTTTTTAAGAAAAAAGTTTTTTCTCGTGTTTCTTATGATATAGGAAACTTCAGAAGTTGTTTCAAAAACCTATAACCATAAGAAAATCAAGTTTCGAGTTTTTTTTCCGTAAATTTTCAACGGTTTGTTCCTCAGTACCATAGGCCTCTTAGAAGGACAATTTTGTTTTTTGTTTTTGAGAACTCTTGCTCAGGAATCTCTATCCCAGAATTTTTGCACAAGATCTGCAATTTTCACCTCAGAAACTCAAATTTTTTTCAAAACGTTCAACTTACTGAGGAAACTTCTGTGTACAAAAAGCTGAATTGACGGATATCAACATTATAAGCTTCCTGGATTTCTTCCCGGACTTCTTCGTCAACAACTCCATCCGCAAGGAACATAAGACTCAGAATCAAGTAAATGGAAACGACTAAAATACTCAAAGAAATCAAAATAGCGCAGTCTCTCCGGCTGAATGCACTTTTCGTTTCAACCGTTTTTCTGAGAAAAGGAAATTGATTTACAATTTACTAAAACTTAAGTACCTCGAGAGAACGGAATATCGGTAGAGAAAGTTGACGAATAGAAGGAAGTGAGATTCAATGATGAAGGTATCATAAACCAAGATTCCGAAAATACCCAGGCCCTTGGAGTTTTCCAACAAGGCGGATGATACCATGAAAAAAGTCTTCTCCCCTTTTACATACATAATCTGGTAAAGGGCTCGACTTTTTTTGATCCTTGAATCTGAAGCGTACCGGTTTCAGAATGACATGAATGAGGGAGTAGAAAACGTTGAAAGCAGCGAAAAGTAAGACCAATCTTCTGTACTTGCTCTTGCTGGGCAGCGGAGTAAACCAGGCGATCGAGAAAAGTAGCAAGTTGAAAAAGACGCCGAGAGAAGCGTTGAGGGCGAAAATACTGTCGTGTACGTCAACTATCATATTTTAGAAATAAAATTGAAGCTATACTTTTGAAAGGGGAGTGAGGGAAGAAGCAAAACTCCTTTTAGAAGATCGCCCAATTAGCATGTTATAATGTGGTCCAGACTCTCATTAAATCTTAAGGGTAGCAGGAAAGGATGTAAAACTATGAAGAAAAAAATACTCTTCCTAGTATCGTGAACATTCATACCAACTTTTAGCGGAAAGTGCAGGGTTTCCGAGATTTCTCTCAAAAATACGTTAAGAAGAAGTACGAAGGATATTTATTTATTTATAGCTCATTGCGATGTTATAACTGAGACTTTGTTGACATGAACAATCGTCATCAGTTTGAGCTTGTCGCGGTAGACTTTAATCAGCAACAATGTGAATAGGGGATCGATAACTGGTTGAAAACTGAAGAACACCAGCGTCAAGTTGGCGTTGACGCCACTATCGATCCCAAAAAAAGTGCAAACGTACAGGAAAAAGGTCGGCAAGAGTGCCAAAAACATCGGTGCGATGGACTAGAAAATTTTAGAATTTGAAAAATAGGAAAATATTACTTGACACATCGTGGAATGTAAAGTTTGTCTGTGGAAGTTGAGATTGGAGACGTGTTGGTTAAGTAATCGAAAACTTTTGAAAGCAACGACAATTATCAAGATATTGATTGCGCCGAGATCGCTCAACATCCCAGCTAGTATCAAAAAGTCCTTTTTTTTCTTAAACATGAAAAATTGAATTGTTACAAGTTTTTTTTTCGCTCACTGTAGATATTTCAGCGTACACAATGCTGTATCGACGGATATCAATTTTATAAGCTTCTCGAATCTCTTCAAAAATATCCTTGTCAATAGCAGTTCCCTCCACTTTCAGTTGATTGCTCAAGATCAAATAAATCGAAACGACTAGAGCACTTGTGATAGTCAAAGTTATATAGTCCCATCGACTGAATGCGTTTTTGGTTTCAGCCGCCTTCCTGTGTATAAAAATATTATTCCACTTACTAAGAAACCTTTTTCAAGAAAAAAATGTCTCGCAATAGATCTCGTTTTCGAGTTATGGAGCTTCAAAAACTTGAAATAGCCTTTTTTGGCCTAATTCGCGTATTTTACGGACTTTGAAAGTAAACGTTTCCCAGATAGAGGAAGGTCAAGTGAAGTTTACCTTGACAGTATAAAATATCGGTAGAGGAAATTGGCGAAAAGTAGAAAATGGGATTGAACAACAAAACCGTCGTAAATGAAAACTCCAACTAAGCCGAAAGCCTCGGGATGAGTCAGAAAAGCAGGTGTTACCAGGAACAACGCCCGTTTGCCCTTCACATACAAAATCTGCAACTTGGGAAACCGTTCTGCTGCCGATTATCTAACACCTAAAAAGTGAGAGTAGCTTACCGGCTTGAGAATGACATGAAGAAGCGAGTAGAAAACATTGAATGCTGCGAAAATGAGCACCAGTCTTCTGTATTTACTGTTACTAGGTAGTGGGGTCACCCAAGCAACCCACAGAAGCAAAAAATTCAGAAAAACTCCCAAAAGGGCGTTTAGAACCAAAATCTTTTCGTACATATAAACAATAAACTCCGGAGAGTAACTCATCGTAAAATTTAAAGTGCGGGAAAATCCAAGCTTCAAAATCAGACGCTTGAGCTCCAAGTTTATCTGAATAATAAAATGAAGAATAAATTTTTGCGAGTAAAAGACTGCTGAATGTACTTTTTTCAATTAAATTCATAGCATCTGTCTCAAATTTTCATCGAGAATTCGATGTCACGTGAAAATGGGGTTGTTATTTCATTTAAGGTAATTGTTATGAATAACCTTTGAACACTCCCACGGCAAGAGCAAAAGGTGTTTGTTTTTTCATTAACTCTCAAGTTTTTAAGCTCCAAACTTATCTGAATAATAAAACTTATGTGAAAACTTCAAAAGAGTTTTAACTGTGAAATGCAAAAATAGTCGGAAAAAGGCATGGCTGTCTAGGTTTATCTGAACTTGCGAACACGGGAATTTGTTTTATTGTGAGATAATGAAGGAAACTTTGTTAAAATTATAAACTTTCATCATTTTGAAGAGTTTGCCGCAGTAGACTTTGATCAACAACAACGTGAATATCGGGTCAATGACCGGTTGGAAACTCAGGAAAACTATCGGCAGATTTCCGTTCACCCCATCGACGTCGAAAAAGGTACAGACGCAAAAAAAATAAAACTGGTGGGAAAGTCAAGAACGTCGGTGTTATGGACTGAACTTCTCAGGTATTGAATTGAGATTTTAGAAAGGAAGTTTTTGAGGTGAACTCATATGTTGGCTGGATCCCACCCCAGACGAACTGCGGCCTACTCCCCCCTACGCGGACGACATCAGTCCGAGGCACTTCAAAATTTTGCAAATTTTTGAATTTTTACTTCCCGCGCAAAAGGTCGGGGCGGGATCCAGCCGACGTATGGGTGAACCGATTATGTTCCGATTTTCTAAGAAAACCATTTTCACCCTGTTTCTTATGGTATAGAAAGCTATATCAGTTGTTTCGGAGAGCTCAAGTCCGTAGAAAATCCGTTTTCAAGCTTTGATTGTACATTTTCGACCGTATTGTTTTTTCGCTTGGGCACTTAGCAGACTATCTTTCTGTTTTTGGGTACTCATATCTAGGACTACCTATTACAAAAGTTCGGACCAGACCTGCGATGTTCACCTCACAGACTTTAGGACAAAGTTAGGACAAAGAAATAACCTGACTCAGAGTGGCGTGTAGAGTTTGTTTATGGAAATTCAAATTGACAACGTGTTTATTTAAAAGTCCATAGCTCTTCGAAGGGGCGGCATAGCTCAGCTGGCACGAATCATTTCTAACGTCCGCAAGGTCGTAGGTTCGAGTCCCCCCGAGGTCGACCAAGCCTTTCATCCCTCCGGGGTAGATAAAAATTGGGAGCTGCATGCAGCGAAAAGGCTCAATCTCTGCCATCGGCCTTTGGAAAGCCGGCACCGTACATCTTCCTACGACCTCTCTTGTACCTAATGTTCTACGAGCGAAATTCACAGCTTCTCTGCCTAAGCCACAGCTCCTGCCGCCGTTTAAACACAGTTAACGCAATAAAAGTCGATTGCACATGTATTCTTACATTGAAGATGCAATAAACAAACAACAAACAGCTCTTGGAGGCAATCACCATGATGAAGATATTGATTGAAACAAGTTCGATCAAGATCGCCGCTAAAATAAGAACGTCCGACTTGTTTTTCTGAAAACAAGTCCAAAAACTGGCTGACGCTTTCGGCTTACCAAAGAAACTCCCAAATCTCTTCGTCAACAAAATCTCTCGTATTCAGATGGAAGCAAAGAATCAAATAGACAGAAATCACTGAAATACTTGACACTGTCAAAGTAATGAGGTCCCGTCGGCTGAATGCGTTTTTTGTTTCAGCGGCTTTTCTGAGAAAAGCTTTCGCTTGTGATTAATAGCTAAAAGTACTTTGATAGTACGAAATATCGGTAGAGAAAGTTGACAAACATAAGAAGTTCAGATTGGATGACAAAGGCGTCGTAAATAATAATTCCAACGATACCAAGGTGCTCATGATTAGTGAGAAAAGCCGAAGATACCATAAACAACACTTTTTTACCTTTCACATACAGAATCTTTAAAAAAATCATTTATGAAGAGTTGGATTTTTCTAAATCTCTTTTTGAAGTACTAAAATCAAATTCTTTCGAATCTACCTCTTCCAAAGAAAAAAAAACGCACCGGTTTCTAAATTACGTAGAGAACTGAATAGAAAACATTGAACGTCGCGAAAATGAGCAGCAAATTTCTGTATTTATAGCTGATTCACGGCTGGCTTGAGCCATCGAGAAAAGGGTCCTGCCACGAAAAGAGACGAGACAGTGCCCTGGTTGGTGGAGAGTGCACATTTTTGCGTCCCAAGCTAGCCGTGAATCGTCTATACTTTTGCTGGGAAGTGGGGTGGCCCAGACAACCCACAAAAGTAGAAAATTCAAAAAAAAACGCCAAAAGTTGCGTTTACAGCAAGAATTTTGTCGTGGACATGAACTATCGTCTCCGGGGAGAAACTCATCAGAGAATTGAGAATAAGATGAAGCTTAAAAGCCTAGCTTTTTAATTATAATTTCCTCAAGAACTACGGGGCTGCAAAAGCAAAAGGGGCTCGATGTTATTCCACTCACATTTGAAAATATTTGTGACCTTTGCATTTCGAATTATTTACTGTTCGTTTTACACTTTTCTCATACGCGAGACAAACCGCGATATAGTGACAAGATTTTCGAATGTCTGCGGCTCTCTGTTCCCTCCACAGCAGAGTCGAATAAACATGAAAACAGCACGTCAACGTGAGAGGGTCGCCGAGAGACGAGGGGGGCGCAGAGAAAAACAGTAGTTTCAAATCTTGAAAAACGGACTGTAGAAGTGCAAAATTATTTCTCTCATCTAGAAAGTGTAAGAGAAAATGAATTGGTAACAAAAAAAAATATAGAGAAAGTGAACTTTTTGAAGTCTGTTTGAAAAAAACAGACGAAAGAATAGTTTATTGGGATGTAATGAGTGATACTTTATTCACATTCACTTTTTTCATCACTCTCAGTAGTTTATCTCGGTAGACTTTGATTAAGAGAAGCGTAAAAAGAGGGTCGATGACAGGTTGGAAACTGAAGAAGACCAGGGTCAGCTTGGTGTTGACACCAATGTCCGCACCGAAAAATGTACAGGCGTACAAAAGCGAGGTTGGGAGGAATGCCAAGAACATGGGTGCTATCGACTGGAAGCCTCGTTTTTTCAAAGAAGAGATAAACATTAATATCTTACCTGGCTCATCGTAGCGTGTAATGTCTGCCTGTGAAAGTTAATGTTGAGAATGTGCTGGTTCAGAAGTCGATAACTTTTGAAAGCGAGTACAGTTATCAAAAGGTTTATCAAGACAAGATCGCTCATCATACGCGCTAAAGTGAAAAATGCCAGTTTATTTCGTTAAAAAAAAGTTGAATCAATTCTCGCGGGCCTTACTGAAGTAATCTCTACGAATGGAAAGCTATATAGTCGAAAATCGATTTGGTAGGCTTCTTGGATTTTTTCGCAAACTTCTTGGTCAACGATACCCTTCGCATGTAATTGAAAACACAATATCAAGTAAACCGAAACGAATAAAACGCTCAAAAACAACAAAGTTATAAGGTCCCTTCGACTGAATGCATTCTTGGTTTCAGCAGCTTTTCTGAGATTATTTTTTTCTTAAAACAAAGGATTGATGTCACCTTGAAAGTATGAAACACCGATATAAAAAAATTAACGAACAGAAGAAATTGAGATTCAACGACAAACGCGTTGTAAATCAAAATTCCAACAATACCAAGGTACTCGAAGTTCGTTAAAAAGGCGGACGAGACCATGAACAACGCCTTTCTACCTTTCACAAACAAAATCTACAAGCTTTCACGATTTTGAGAATTATTTTAATTTTCAAGTTTGAGAATTATTTTAATTTTTCTGTACTTGCTCTTACTCGGTAGAGAAGTGAACCAGGCAACACAGAAAAGTAAAAAGTTGAAGAAAACTCCCAGAATTGCATTTAGAACGAAAAGCTTATCGTGTGCGTAGACTACCTCCTTAGCGGAAAATACCATCACAAAAACTTCGCGGTTACAAAAAAAAAAAATTAAAAATGAGATATTTGATCGAAGGCGGAGTTGTTAGCCACCTACGTAAAAAGTCCTTTGCACCATATTTATTGAGAACCATAGTTCTAAAGAGCAGATGGAAGAGGCCTTTTCAAAATTGGTTTTTTCCTTTTTTGGAGCCATCTTCTCAGCGTGTACTTTCTATAATTCAACTTGACGTACTATTTGAAAAACTCCTAAAATCAGGGTTCTTACAGATAATGACCTTTCAGAATAAACTCAAGCCACTTGATATATTGTCCCAGAATCTTTATTTATTTATCAAAAGATAAGAGCTAATAAAGTAAATTAGCAGAAAAGAGCCTCATGCAAGAGACGTGATTTCGATTTGCTCGGGAGCAACTTGAGCCGAAGCACTGCCCACCGAATTAAATTTCACCGGTTGTTTCTTCCTGCAGAAAAATGTCTCGATAACCTTCTCGCGATAGATCTTGATCAAAAGCAAGGTAAAAAGAGGGTCGGCGACAGGTTGAAGGCTGTGAAACACAAAAAGAACATTCGTGTAGATTCCGAGATTAATGCCTTCAAATGTACAGGCGATGGCGATTAAACTTGGAAGGAAGCCCAGAAAGAATGGAGCCAAAGACTAAAAATATGAAGTTTGGAACATGAAATATAGAATCTATGAGAACCTGGCCTATGATGGCGTGGAAAATCTGCTTCTGAATGGGTAGATTGAGGATGTGTTGATTCAATAACTTGTAGGTTTTGAATCCCACGACCATCATGGCCAACGGGATGATGAAAAAAAGACCGAGCAGTCCGGTCAGCATGCAAAAGCCTTGCGTGTTGTCCTGAGCATCACATCTTTGATTCAGCTTCTTCTTGGCAAGAACACCTTCGAAAGTTCTGCGTAGAAGAAACCGTGCCGAGGGATTTCCACATGGAAAACTTCTTGGATTTCTGCGTACATCGTTGGATCTCTTGAGACGTCTGCTTCAAAATATTTGGCCAAAAGGGTAAACATGGAGACTAGAGCCGCGTTAGAAATTACCAGAAGAACTATATCCGTTCGGCTGAAAGCGTTCTTCGTCTCTGCGACTTTCCTAAACTCCGCTTGATACTTCCTCAAGAAGAGAGACCCAATATCGAACCTTGATACCGAGAAATAACGGTAGAGGAAGTTGACGAAAAGAAGATAATGAGATTCCATGACAATAATCATGTAAGCCACGATTTCGAAGAAACGCCACTTGTGATGGGTCAGAAAAGTCGTCACGAAAGCGAGTTTATAGCCTTTGACGTATATTATCTCAATCAGCGAGTGTCCAGAACTTTTCGAAAAAGCTTACCGGTTTCAAAACAAAATGAAGTAGGGAATAGAAAACATTGAACGCCGCAAAAAGCATCACCAAAACCTTGTATTTGCTGTTGCTCGGTAGAGGAGTGCAAGATGAAACCATCAGAAGAAGGACGTTCAGAAAAACGCCAAAAGCTGCGTTTAAAGCGAATATAACTTCGAATATATCAATCGTCATGACTGTTAGAAGATTTCGGCGAAATGCTTCATTTTGGTTCATTATCTAGCAGTCTCTTGGGATAAATTCGGAAGGTGGGGCACAGAACGACGCAGGACTTCATAGTACACCTGCGGTGGCAGAAAAACAGCAGAAATATCTCAAAATCATTCCAATGATAATATTTTCTTTTGAAGGAGCTTATAAAGAACTCTGCGCCAAGGCATAATCACTGAAGTTAAAAGCTCTCAGATCTTTTTTCCTACAGAGAAACATCAACAGAACCTTCTCAAGATAGTATTTAATCAGAAAAAAAAATGAAAAGAAGATCGACCATCGGTTAAAAACTGTGGTAAAATAGTAAAAGATTGGTGTAAAGTTCAAGATTGATGTCGCAAGTCGTGCCGGTCAGGCTCGGTAGGAAGTCTAGGAAAAAAACGCGCTGGAAATGAAAATCTTCTCGTATAATTCAACTATCATCTCTGGGGAGGGGAGACTATTTTACGTCGAGGATTGTGTTTTTCAAAAATAAGTTAGATCAAAACAATTGGCGTGGAAAAAACGACCAATGTACCTTCTGAAATTTTATTCTGCTTCAAAATATGCTTCTGCCCCCGAGAAGAATAGGAAAGAAGGAAAAGGCAATTTCAGAAATAAACAATCCATTCCTTTATGAGGATCGGGAATTTCAAACTTTTTAATGATCACTGGTGACATGTACTTCCAGATCCGCTGATTCCAGAAAAAGAAAAACATTTAGCGCTTTCTAGCGGGGTAAATGACAAAAAAGCACGTTTTCTGCTATTTCCTTCGTATTATGTCCCCACCTTCAATTCTCTCAAAAAAAAAGCTGGTCTCAAAAAAGATTCGAACCCTTATCCCAGTTTCTTTTTTTTTCCCAGATTTGCTCTCACGTGTGAGCTTTGAAGCTCAAAAAACTCCGCTGAAAGACGGAATTCGTAAAATTTTTTTTTGGTTTTAGAATCAGAAGACCTGGCATATCTCAGCAAAGTTTCTTCCAATATTCGAGTTGTGTCTTTTTCTACTTTTCTTGTCAGTCTTTATTGCAACGAGTTCATTTCGACTTGCTCAGGAGTGACTTGTGCCGAAGCGATTCCAACAGAACTGATTCCAACCGGATGCTCTTTTTTACAGAGGAATGTCAGGAAGCCGACGACTTTGTCGCGATAAATTTTGATCAAAAACAGGGTGAAAAACGGATCGACGACTGGCTGAAAACTGAGGAAAACGTGCAAAAGCGTATTGTAGGCTCCGAGGTTTATGTCCAGAACGGTGCAGACGACGATGACGTGACTGGGGAGGAAGCCCAGAAAGAAAGGGGCGATACACTGGGAATTGTGTTAGATTTCCATGAAAATATTTAAAACATACTTGACATAAGATGGCTCGGAAGATTTGTTTTTGGATAGGAAGGTTCAGGACATGCTGATTCAACAGTTTGTATGTTTTATACCCAACTATCATCGTCAAAACGATTATCACCAATAAATCGCCGAGAAGACACGATATCATGAAGAGGCTCTCCAAGTTATCCTGAATGATTCAGAGAGCTCTTCTCTACGGTATATCGGATCGACCTTGGAGAGCTCCGCGAAGAAAAAGCCGCGACGAGGAATTTTGACGTGAAACACGTCTTCAATCTCTTTCTGCACTTGCGGGTCAATGAAATCCTTCGCTTCGAAATATTTGATGAAAAATGTGAGCACGGTTACGAGAACGAAGTTGAGAGATATCAAAACGACGACGTCGCTCCGTCGGAATGCGTTTTTGGTCTCTGCAACTTTCCTAAAGAAAACTATGTGACTTACCAGATAAGATAAAGAACGAGAACCTTGAAATCATAAAATAACGGTAGAGAAAATTGACCAAAAGAAGATAATGGGATTCCAAAACGATAACCATGTAGGTCATAACCTCGAAACGCTTGAAAGAGCTCTCATTTTCCGAAACGAAGGTTATTAAATATAGAGAATGGCTTTTCACGTACAAAATCTGAACAGCCAACCTGAGAAGTTAAGAAAGCGATCTCACCGGTTTCATAGTGACATTTATAAGGGAATAAATAACATTGAAGGCAGCAAAAAGCATCACCAAATTCTTGTATTTGCTGTTGCTCGGTAAAGGGGTGAACCAAGCGACTATCAGAAGTAAAACGTTGAAAAACGTTCCGAAAGCCGCGTTCAGAGAGAGTATCGCTTCAGCTATGTTCACCACCATAGCTACCAAAAATTTCGAAATATGCAAGAAGGCCTATTTTCAATTGAAAAGATACGCAGTCCTTTGGGGATCCAAAAGTCAACCTAAGAACGGCAAATCCACATTTTGTTAATGAGGTGATGAAGCAAAAAAATACTTTCCTACCGCTATGAGAATTTCCAAAGCACTTTTCTCTACAAAAGGTTGCTTTACTGTCTACTGTCAATAGGGTCACAAGTTCGATCCCGGCCGCGACCCAACCAAGAGGTTTGAGAAATGCTGTCAGTGGAGAATCCACGGCTTTAAAATTTTCAGCGTTCAAATACAAGGACGGTCACTAAAGCCAGTTCATTATCACTGATATCAGGATAAGACCTTGTCTAATCGACTTGGGGCCGCTAAAGCCGTAAGTTGGAGAGCCAATGAATTATGTATGTTTAGATAGTTATTGAGACTAAATCATGAGCTTTTCGTGGAAATCTTTCATCACAAAGAAGTGATTTCAATTTGCTCTGGAACGATCTGAGACGATGCGATTCCAACAGAGTTGATGCTCGCCGTTGGCTCCTTCCTACAGAGGACGGTCAGGAACAGAATGACCTTGTCGCGATAGATCTTGATCAACGACAGTGTGAAAATCGGATCTACAACGGGCTGTAGGCTGAGAAATACGTGGGTTGCACAGAAACAGAATTCCGATATCGCTTCTTCTGAATGCATTTTTCGATTCTGCAACTTTTCTGAACGAAAATTGGCGGTGAAACTATATATTTAAAGAAGAAGGTTCAGGAGACCTCGTTATCATGAAATAGCGATAGAGGAAGTTGACAAGAAGGAAGTAATGTGATTGGAAGACGATAATCAAGTAGGCGTAAATTTCGCAGAACTTCAAAGAGCTCTCATTGTCCAGAAGGAACGTCACGACGAAGATGAAGTGTCCTTTGATGAATAATATCTTGAACGCAGGACATTTTGGAGACATTTCAAGCTCACCGGCTTCAAGCTAACAGGAAGAAGTGAATAGAACGCGTTGAAAGCAGCAAAAATCATGACAAGCACCTTATACTTGCTGTTGCTCGGTAATGGGGTGAATCGGGCCACAATTAAAAGTAAAACGTTCAGAAAAAACACCTGCAGCCGCGTTGAAAGCGAACATCGCTTCGAAAATATCCGCTACCATCACGAAATCGACTCAAAAGCGTGCCCAGATTCCTTTTCAACCCAAAAGTCTTTGGTCATGATAGGGCAAGCTAGAAATCGTCCAGGGAAAAGTCTGTTATTATCATTACGGCCAAGTAAATTGGGAGAAATAATAAAAGGTCGGTTGAACTGAAATTTCGCAGCCTGGTGTGCGTAAGGAATCTAATGATATTACTGGCCTGAAAAAAAACTCCAAACTATTTCTCAACGCCAAATACTGAAATGATTCATGTACGTGGGGGAAAGCGATTTTCTTAATGCTCCAGTGAAAAAAGTAATTATGATTGAAAACTTCAAATGTCTTGATTTTTAAGAAAATCAAATCAAAAATAACAAATATGAGAACTCAAAATTTCAACTTTCAACACCCAATAAACTATTTTTGGAATAATCCGACGTTACCAACATGTTCGATTTTCAGCATGAAAGTATAACCATTCGATCCGTCTCATTGAGATACGTACAAATATCATAAAAATTATTAGGCGCTAGTAAGAAGAAATAATTTTTATGGTGTGCAAAAAACCAGAAAAACTCCAAAAAAATTTCGAAAAATTTCGCTGCATTTTTTTCAACGCTGATTCAATCAAACTATCGCTACTACGCCATGAGAAGAAAAAGTCTTTCAAAACAGGAAAAAATTGAAAAGTTTTAGAAAAAAAAAAAGAAATTACAGTAAAAATAACCGACCGCGTCAAAGCCCGCGCTAACGCACAGTATGCTCCTTTAATATTTTTTATACAATACAATACAATACAATATTTATTGGTTGTTTTAGTCAGATGGTATCGACTAGGCGGTGAAAAAATTGCTCTTTTGAGCGGCACTAACACCGCCTTTTTCGCTACGCGTATCAAGTTTGCAAATCGTTCAGAGCTACCTGATAGTGTTTTTTAATGTCCACGTTTTGAAACTACATGCTTTTTATGTCAACTATTTCATTTCTTTCACGAATTGGCCACTGTGGCTCAGTTTTTTCGAAGCGAGCCACAGTCGGCTTCGCGCTATGCGCGCTCCGCCTCCGTGTGAAGCCTTAAAACTAAGCCTATTTTCTTAAGTAATGCATGAAAAGAAAAAGCAAACACTTATATTCCTCTGAATAATTACTTGATTGAAAAACTAATAAAGTTCATCTTAAATTTTTTTCTAAGTGGTCAGCGCCGAATAATTTTATGATATTCGTACGTATCTCGACGAGACGGATCGAATGCTTATACTTTTATGCTGAAAAATCAAACATGTTGGTAACTTCGGATTATACCACTATTTTTCTTCATAGTAGAAGTATATTTAAGGATTGTAAAAAAATTATTGGTTAGGTTTTTTTAAAAAAACTTCAACTACCTATTTTTCATAAACTCCAATAACAACAGCTTGCAGGGCTTTCCAAAAAAATATTTGTATTTCATTTCCGAACCATATGCACTTGAAAATTCCAGTTAATTGAACTTTTTCACTCAAAATTATAGGAGTCATTACTTTACAAAACCTGCCAAAAAAAAAAAAATGAAAAAAGACGCACCCTTGGCGACACGTAGACTTTTTTTCCTTGAAGAGTCCAGTATTTCTTCACGTTCCTTAACCAAAAACAAACTTTTGAGTGTGAAACTTGTATTCACCTTCCGAGGGAATATACGAACAAAGTTGACGATCTGAAATGACAATTAACACGGAAAAACGTGGGTTGAACGTTCTAAAACTTTAATTTAAAATTAACTCAACCAGGTTAAATTTTTAAAAACCTGGAAAATTTTTTAAACGTTGAACAGAATAATTCACCTAAGATTCAACTTAAAAGCAATACTTCAGAAAAGGTTTGAGGACTGTTGGGAGAAAAATGGACTAATTGTGAAGAAAATAGATTAGCGAATCTAATTTTTTACTCTTACATTATTCGGAACATCTCAGACAGTAATTTAGAAAAGGATTTAGAACTCAATAAAAAATAAATTAGCAAATTTCTCACCATTATACAATGATCAGTAGAAAACACTTCAAATACGTGTTAAATCATAAATAAAAAAATGTCTTCGAAAAACTCGGAAATTTTGAAATAAAAATCGTAAAAAAACTTCCATTTCGCATTGGGGCGCGCTCGTGTTTGAAATTTTTTTATTTTTTTGCAAATTTTGTTCAAGTCAACTTATCTTATTTTTTTCGGAAAAAAAGCTTTTCGCCCGTATTTTTTTTGGATTTAAAAAGTGATACAACTTTGTTTATATATCGTATTTCTTGAAGAAAGTTATATTTTTTTAAGTTTAGTGGTAATTTCTGAACAAAATAATGCTTCACGAACTTTGAAAAGACAAAAATAAGATTTTTAGCATATCCGAAAAGACCAGTCCAACTAGTGGTCTGAAAAATGATATTGTTGTGTTGGTCGGTCGTTCTTCAAGACCCAAATTTTTGAGCTCGAGAACAAACAGAGAATGATCAACTTTATCAAAAATTTTAGAGCCTAGTGTATTTTGATTTGGAAGATTGTGTAAAGAAGGCCACAATAGGTTGCAAACTAAGCAAAAAGTACTAACAAAAAAGTGGCGATTTTTATAAATGCAGACGAAAACTATTAGGCTGGGTACAAACCCCAGGAGGAAGTGAAGACTTGCTTTTGAACTATCTCATGGAGGTATTTTATAAAGTAGACTAGACTATCCGAAAGTGTTTTTTGCAAGCTTCGATTGAGGTACACATAAAGGCTTTCTAACAAGTCAAGAGATCTTTATTTCATTGAGGATTCGAAAGGTCAGGCTCAGAAGGCTAACACTTGTCTTTTTCTAGTGATTCTGCTTTTTTTTAACGACCCGGTGGAGCAAAACAAAAAAAAGTGTGACCTCAATTAGGATTCCCGAAGCTTGAACTTCACTTGATAAGATTTTCTTGTTATGAAGGATTATCAGAAAAATTTCCTTTTTCTAACAGATCTCTTTTATAAAAAGAATAATTAGACATAGCAGAAAGTCGTTTTCTAGATTTTAAAATAGTTAAAAACGCATAGCCCAATCTTTGTGAACCTTTGAATATTATCGAAAGTGTAGTTCAATTTTTTTAAAGACTTGACATCGATTAGAACGTCTCAGAACCTCGCTGAGCTCGATTTTCATATTTTTTTTCAGCTTTTGCTTTTTCTTTTCCTTTGCGATCATATATTTTCAATACTTTATTTAAAAAGACGTGATTTCGATCTGCTCAGGAGTAATCTGAGCTGAAGCGATTCCGACAGAATTGAGTCCAGCTGATCCCTCCTTTTTACAAAGGAGCGTCAAGAAGTCAACCACCTTGGCGCGGTAGGTTTTGATTAACAACAAGGTGAAAAGTGGATCAAAGACGGGTTGTAGGCTGAGAAACAGGAACAAAACTGTGATGTACTCGCCGAGGTTGATGTCCAAAAATAAACAGACGAAAAGTATCAAGCTGGGTAGAAACCCAAGAAAAAAGGGAGCTATGGACTGAAAAACGCCGTTGAGGAACGATGAGATATCGAATACCTGGCATAAAATTGCATTGAAAATTTGTTTCTGGATAGGTAAGTTGAGAACGTGTTGATTCAGTAACTTGTACGTTTTGAATCCTACCAACATCATGGATAGAATTAGAACTAATAATGCGATAAGATGTCCTGCCCACATTAAAGAATCGACAAGACTATTCTGGAAAGAATTATTATTCAACGAAATATGTCTCTGTAAAACCTTGGAAACTTCTGCGTAATAGAAACCGTAGCAAACAATTTCAGCGTGAAGAAACTTTTTAAGGTCTCCACACGTCTCTGAATCAATCGCCTCCTTTGCTTCAAAGTGTTTAACAAACGCCAAAAACACTGAAAGAAATATTATGTTGACCAGAACTATCAAGAACATATCCAGGCGACTAAACGCATTTTTCGTCTCGGCTATTTTCCTGAAAACACGAATTCGGATAACAAAAAATGGAACTTTCCGTGAACCTCGTTATCATAAAATAGCGGTAGAGAAAGTTGACAAAAAGAAGATAATAGGACTCTATGACGATAGCCATGTAAACCAAAATTTCCATAAATTTCAAGGAAGGATCATCAAGTAGGAATGTCAAAAAGACAAACTTATGACCTTTGATGAAAACCGTCTGAGCAGGAAAAACTCACTTATATTGGACCAAGCTTACCGGCTTCAGAGTGACATGGATAAGGGAGTAGAAAGTATTAAAAATCGCAAAAATGACCACCAATATTTTGTACTTGCTGTTGCTGGGTAGAGGCGTGAACCAAGCGACAATTAGAAGCAAAATATTCAGGAAAACCCCGAAAAAGGCGCTCAAAATGAATAAAACGCCAAATATATCGACGGTCATTCTTTTTATAAGAATTTCTTTGTGAGAATGCTAGGGAAAAATGATGAATCACGTATAAAATCTGTTCTCCTCGGGGAGATGGAAGGTCAGTCTCCGAATAGCTCATTATTATGAAAATACTCAAAAATAAGGATCTTTTAAACTTCCTCAAGCTCACCTTTAAGTCAATATAATAGCGTTTTGGAGGCCAAGGAATAATAAATTCAAGTTTATTGTTATCAAACGTGTAATATCCGAGTGCAGATGTTATCTACCCTTGATCGAGTTATTAGATTACAAAGAAGTGACTTCGATTTGCTCGGGAGTTACTTGGGCCGAACCGATTCCTATTGAACTGAAGCTAGTCGTTTGTTCCGGTCTACAAAGAAAAGTTAGAAAGCCGATCACTTTCTTGCGGTAAATTTTGATCAGAAGAAGAGTGAAAAGTGGATCAATAACTGGTTGGAAGCTCTGTGAGACCATGAGAAAATTGGGAAAAGTGCCGAGATCCAGGTCAGAAAGAGTGGAGATAACGATGATCGCACAAGGTAGTAGGCTCAATAAAAAAGGGGCAAAAGACTGAAGCTCAAAAATTAGGAAACCTTTGATATGGAAAAATCTTCACCTGACACAAGATAGCATTAAAGATCTGCTTTTGTACAGGCAGGTTCAGGACATGTTGATTTAACATTTTGTACGTCTTCAGTCCTATAAACGTCATCGCCAAAATAAGAATGAACCAGCCGCTGAGCATTCCAGCCATCGGAAAATACTCCCGGTTGTTCTAAATCTGATTTTCCAGCAATCATCTTTTCACTTTAACCGAAAGATCTGCATATAAGAAGCCGTATGGAGCAATTTCAACGTGAAACGTTGTTTTAATGTCTTCCAGGAGCTGTAGGTCAACCGATTCTTTTGCTTCAAATTTTTTGGCGAAAAAAAAGAAGTTGAGGGTGACAGCAACGTTGAGAAGAGCTAATAATCCAATATCTTTTTTACTGAACGCATTTTTTGTTTCCGCCACTTTTCTAAAACCTAACTGATGTGTCAAGGAGAGATGAAACAGTAATCGAACCTTGATATCATGAAATAGCGATAAAGGAAGTTGACAAAAAGAAGATAGTGGGATTCAATCACAATCCCAATGTAAACTAGGACTTCGTAGTATTTCAGAAATTTATTTTGGAACAGAAAAAGTGTCACAAAAACCACTTTATGGTCCTTGACAAATGTTATCTGGAAAAATATCTCAGCGGATAAGGGACCAATCTCACCGGTTGAAAAAGAACATGAAGAAGTGAATAGATGATATTAAAAGTCGCAAAAATAATTACTAAAATCTTGTATTTGCTGTTGCTCGGTAGCTGAGTGAACCAAGCCACAATTAATAATAAAAAGTTCAGGGAAACGCCCCAAACCGCGTTGAAAAAGAATATCACTTCAAATATATCCACGGCCATCAATGAAGAGAAAACTTTGCCACCAACCTCAGCTGAATTGTGTAACCATTCCTATTTTTGATTTCAGAGCTTCGAATCCTTGGGGAAAAGACAGACGATGCCCATAATGACTTGAAGTGCAATGACTTTGCATTCTACCCTATTCCAGCTTTTCACGTTTTTTTTTTTTTGCAAAAAAGACCGTATGCCAAATTTGATCAACTTTGACCTCTATTCGCTTTGAGACCTTTATATTTTGACGTTTTTTTTTTCCAGTTTCTTAAAGTTTTAAAATGCCACCATTTTGCGCGTATTATGAAACCGCTGAAAATCTTTGGAATATTGCTCAAACTTTCTTCCATAAAGTTTATCGTTAATATTTGAACGTACCCGGCACGAAAGCCGGCAAAAGTCGGGCGCATCGTTTCGAACCTCCCCGACTTGAGAGTGAGTTTCACAAGAATCTCAACCAATAGAGGTCTGAACCGGGCTCATCTGGATTCCGATCTTCTTTTTGACGGCGTCCTGTTCGTTGAGCATGGATGAGATGTCGGAAGTGTTGTTGGCGAAGAGGACGATGTTGTCGGCAAAGCCAAGGTTTGTTAGGTTCTTGCCATCGATGTTAATGCTTTTGGTATCGTTTCCGTCTTCCCAGTCTGGCCCACCCAAGCTGTCGCATTGCATCTTCCAGAGCTGTGAAGATGAGCTTCGGAGAGATGGATCGTCGACGTTCCCTCGTTGCACTTCTCGTGTAGGTCGATGTACTTCGTGGGGATACCCGCGGGGACTAGCGAAAAAAATTGCTATTACTTTTTGCATGAAGAATGATTTCAAGCTGTGTGATTTTAACACACTTTCTGCTCGACCAGGCACGAATTCCACATTTTCTATGAAAATTCGGTTAGTATTTACGACGAACAAAGGGAAATAAGCGCGTGACGGTTTTCTGGAAAACAATCCGAACAAATTCAATATAAGCCGAAATAATCAACGAAGAATAATGGAAAGGTCTACACGACTAAAACATATCTTTAATTTATAACTTTCAAAAAAAAGAATGTCAAAAAGCTGTAGGATTATCAAAAGTTTTCAATGTGCGGCTCCGTCCGTTGACAACGTTCACCAATGTTACTGGAAAAAAAAATAGGGTTTCTTTCGCTTTTTTGAAGATTGATACCTTCTCTTGGCGACAATCCTTTCGAGGAGAGGAACTTGAATTTGAGAAAATAATTGCGATAGTGTTTATTGGTGAAAATAGTGAAAGCTGAGTGGATCCCGCCATGGAGAGACATGAGAATAATGGCCATCGGTGAACTGGCTGTAGATTTTTAATATCAAAAAAAGTTACTAGTGTAAAACTACCTTGTAATGAAGCATGTGCCAACAAAATCCCAAAAGATATCGGAGCGAAAATGAAAAGCGCGGGGATACTGATCTGTATTTCAAGTTCATGCGACGATCTTAAAGAGGAAAGAAAACCTGAGCACATAAACTATAAAAATAGTAAATTTGAAGCTTTTGAGTCTTGGCTGATAAGTGGCTGCTCTGCTTTTTCAAGATGTATATGCCGTGGGCGCAAAGGACAATGTTTTGAAGAATAAGTGAGGCGGTTATGGCCGTCACGAACCATCCGGTCTTCGAAGTCACGTCTAGAATGATTGCACAAGGCGTGAAAATACGGGGCGGCGTGCAGTTGAGAATCTGAGAGTTCGCTCGAATTTTTGAGTGGTCTTCAAAATCAGATTTATCATTAATAGCCAGACGACTGAGCTTCATGTTAACAGTTAAAAGGATATGAAAATGTTTGCTCTTGTTTTCAACTTTAACTTTTTTTTTTAGCTCAGCTTTATTTAACGCATTTATTATCTCATCCTCTTAGCTGATTCCTAAAATTGATTTCAAACCTCGATAGCCTTCAATTTCGCAGAATACTGATCCTTCGGGGCCAATGCAACAGCTGAAGAGAACCCGACGCAGTAAAACAACAAATTGCCCAGAATATAGAAAATTCGAGTAGATTTTTTGAATCTGAACGCATTGTCCACCGGCAAAACGTGGTGATGACGGTATTCGAATAGGACCAAGATCGAGATTTGTACACCTGTGGGATTAACAATTTTTTCCAGTTTTCAGAAAAATCAAACTTATGATAGAGAGGAAGCCAATGACAGTTTGGATATTCACTGGAACCCCAATGGTTGTGAACCAACCAATAGAGCAGCCGCCCAAAACAGGAAGGTATAAAAAGGGAGTTATAAAGAGAGGGACAAGAATATCCTTGATAATCATCCTGAAGACATTTTTTTTTTGGTTTATCTCACTTGAAGGTCGCTTTCAGCTGGGGGGCCTCTTTGCAGGCGAAACCTTCCCTTTTTTCAATATTAATTCACTCACCACGTCTGATAGTTCAAAAGGAACCACTTGTAGTGTCTCATTTTGGCTGGCGAGAGAACCAAGATGCAATAGAAGGCAGTAGAATTTAATAAAAACATGAATGGGAATATAACAGTCTCAATAGTCCTGAGATTATCTTTATTCAACCAGTCATCTTCATGCTCACAAGATGGATAAGGTATCAATTTCTCAAACGACATCGAAATTTAAGGTATGAAAATGTTTTTGGGGAGAACAGGATTGATATTTGTGCCAAGTTACAACCAAATATCAAATTTAGGTAATTTGATATTGAATTGGGGAAAGAGGTTAATCTTTAATAAACGACCAAATTTACCAAGTATTGTCTTTTCGATATATCTGATAGGGAATTTGAAAAAATTTTTCCTTCAAAAAATATGATTATAAATTTCTTCGTGACACATTGACGGATGAGTGGATTACAACACGACCTCTTGAAACTTGTGAGTTGGCGTCTAAAATAATTACTTTATTCACTCGCGAAAATCTCCAACCTCTCGAAGGGAAAAATTTCTTCAAAGGTCGCAATCGCAAATTCCAAAAGAATTGGCGGTAGACTTTGTTAGATAAAATTGTGAAGGCCGAAGAAACGCCGCCGTGCATTGATACGGAGATGATTATGAATGGGTTCACGGCTGCCAAATTTTATCTTGAAGCAGAAAAAAAAAAATGAAAATCACATTGAAAATTTGTGCCGACGTAGGTTTGTAGCGCGGCTAAAACAAACGGGGCACCAAGTAGGGACAAAGGAATGGCTAGCTGGGAAAATATTTCATTTTGAAAACGCTTTAAAACATCGGAGACTAAACTGATAGGGAGTTAAGTTGACAGTAAACTCGCCGCTATTTTTCTTTTTCCAACTCACCTGAGCGCATAAATTGTAAAAGTAATACTTCTGAAGGTTCTTTGTTCTATTAGACATATGACTGCTGTTCTCCCTCAATATCAGAAAAATATGGCAGCAGAAGAATACGATTTGGGTTGTAGCGATAAACGTGTAGAAAACGAAGAAAGAAGCTGTATAGGAAGTGAAATCAACGATGAAAGAACAGGATGTGAAAATCCTGGGTGGGATGCATTGAAGAATCTAAATTTGACATGAAGAAGAAGAATTTTATCTAGACCTTGACAGTCTCCAGTTTTGCAGCAAATTGATCAACGGGAGATGTCAAAAGGATCTGAAGCATTCCGCCGTTCAAAACCAAATAATTAGCGAGAATTAAAGTGATCCTTATTGGGGTTTTCAATCGAAATGGACTGCTTTTGGGTAGAACTTGATGATGTCGATATTCGAACAGGACCAACGCCGATATAACGAAGTCTGAAAATTTAAAAAAAAACCAATCTATCCTGAGACTTTTTTCATATTCAATTTTCTTTATAGAGGAACTTTGAGCACAGTTTCATGGTATTCGAAAATAGAAAACTCACGTCCAGCCGCTAAGCCGCCTATGCAGATTTGCACTTTCTTTGGAAGTCCAACAGTTTCAAACAAACCAATGGAACAAGCTCCCCAAACTGGTAGGTAAAATAGCGGAGTTATTAATATCGAAAATAACATATCCATTACAACAATCCTAAACTCGGAAAAATTCGAAAATTTGAAAATTTTTAAGGAAAGACCTAACCATAATTGAAAGTTTAGAAAGAACCATTTGTAGCTTCTGATGGTCGCCGGGGAGAGAAATAAAATGCAGAATAAGGCGGTCAGATTGACAGAGATTAAAAACGGAAAAAGGAGGGTTTCAATCGAACGAACATTATCCGCAGTGACTAAATCGGTCTCATGTTCACAGTAAGGGTATTTCAAATTGATAGAAGTGTTGATATCATTCATTCCATTAGAAAAAAAAAGGTGACTTGCCGAATTTTCCGAGTGGTGGAGACAGCAGGTGCTATTTTTCTTCTTGCGTAAATCGTTTTCAAGCATAATATTTCAAAATTTCACCGCTATCCGGGTTTTCAAATTGAAAGAAAACCATGGAAAGAGAAGGTGGAAAAAAAAAATCGAAAATTCACAAAGTATGGGAGGGTAACAGCTCTACTGGACGAGTTTATCTTACAAATATATATACCGCTTGACTACTATACAAATTAATCTAGAACAACTATTGATTACCAACCAAATATTGGGGTGTAGTCTGTTCAGATTTTGGATGTCAAGTCGTCGCCCAAGCTCCGCCCCTAATGGTGCGATAAACCAATCAGAGAGCGAGCCATCCACAGAGTGCTTTTGGATGACGTCATTGCACTTGACATTGAAAATCTGAACAGACTATAAAAAAATTTTAGGCCAATGAGGGGATCTACGCAGAAACAATGTACGCTAGAGCGCACATGAGTTTTGTGTAGGTTTACGGAGATTCCGCATTCCACAACACTTATGATTTTCCTGAAAATTGGTCAAAGCACTTCTTAATGTACCGGATGAAGACCCTTAAAGTCTAAACCCGCACAACCACCTATTTTTTGAGAAAGGACACTTAAGGTCAAAGAAAACACTGAAAATCTTTTAAAATAGGACATTGTAAGACTTTGAGCTCTTATTTCTCGAAAACTAGAGAGTTTTGCAGGTTGATACTTGCAGATTATTTTTCTGGTACATTAACGAGTGTTCTGGCCAATTTCCAGGGAATCCTTAGCCGCAAAGTAAAATTACCTTCCTTGTCAGACAAAAAAGGCTTTCGCTCCAAAATGTTCTAGTTCCACCACGGCTTTCCGGACGTTGAATTATGGAAAAAAAGTAACTCCCCGAAGAAAAAACAGTTTTTCAAGATAACAAGTTTATCAAAGATTCCCTGATTTTTCTGACACATGTGTTAATTAATCCGAATTCGTCCTTGAACATTAACTGTAGAAACAATTTTACTGTGAGCTCTTGACTCCTTGGAACTTCCGTCTGAAACTATTTCCTGTATTCTAATTCCAATTCGAAGTTTACCTTTCAAGTTCAAACAGTTTCTGATAGTTTTTGAAGGTAGATTGATAAAGAATCGGCGGTAAGTTTCACTGGATAGAATTGTAAAAACTGAAGACACGGCACCATGAAGTGTAAAAGCAATGCCCACGACAGGATTCATTGCTTAAGAAAATAATTCTTAGGGAAAATCACAAAGTATTACTCTGGAAAAAGATGCCAAAATAAGCTTGAAGTCCTGCGATGACAAAAGGAGCACCCATTAGCACAAAGGGGATGGCAAACTGAATCAAGTATTCATTGAACTTTTTCCGAAACCTCACTTGAGCGCAAAGATTATAGAAGTAATGCTTTTGAAGATTCCTAGTCTTATTTGACATATGGCTGATTTGCCTGTTCAATATAAGGAAAATATGACAACAGAAGAGAAGGATTTGTGTAGCGATCAGAATAGCACACAAGACAAAGAAAGAAGTCGTGTATGATGTGAAGTCAACTATGAAAGAGCAGGACGTGAATATTTTGGGAGGGATGCATTCGAGAATCTAAACAGACTGTTAAAATTAGGTGTTAATAAATCTTCTGAATCTACAAAAAAAAATAGTTTTTTGATAGCCAATCTAGGCCCCCATTCAAAAAAGCCTCCTGAGTTTTAAATGTCCTTTTTGAAGCCCCCAAAATCTTATCAAACGACCAACCTCTACCGTCTTAACTTTGGCTGCGACCTGATCTTCGGGTTCTGTTAGGACTATTTGGATCAATCCGCCGCATACAAAACAATAATTCACGAATATCAAACCGATCCTCATTGGATTACTTAACCGAACCGGGCTATTCAGTGGTAAAACCTGATGATGCCGATATTCGAAAAGTATCAAAACTGAAACGACGATATCTGAAAACGAACTCCATTGAAATTGATCGACTTCAGAATGTCGTACTTCCAGCTGTGTTGGTGCTGATGAGAGCTTGAATCAACTTTGGGACGCCCAAGGTTTCGAGCCAACCGATTGAGCAAGCTCCCCACACAGGCAAGTAAAAGTATGGAGTAACTAACACAGAAAGCATCACATCCATCAGTAAAATCCTTAAAGTCCGGTTGAATATTAGTTAATAAAGTCCACTAATAATCCACTAACCAAAACTGGAAGTTTAAAAATACCCATTTATAATTCCTTATAGTTGTCGGAGACAGAAACAGGATACAAAGAAAGGCACCAAAGTCCAATGAGAAAGTGATGGGAAATAGAATATTCTCAATGGGTCGGATATTATCAGCCTTGATCCAATCAGTTTTAAATTCACAGAGGGAATAACTCGAGTTCGAGGGAAAATTCATTTCATTGAAACGACTTAACTTTTTCTCGACGAGCTCTTGAGAAGGGCAGGTGGGATTGGGAGAAAGTTTGACATTTTTGACTTCCTACTACGGAAAATAGCAAGAGAAAGCGACTTGATTTCAACATTACGAAAAGCTGGGGCGCGCCGTACCGCAACAGGTTGTGTGCCTGCCTATGGTCTATAGGGTCACAAGTTCGATCCCCGCCTCGATCCAACCAAGGGGTTTGAGAAACGTTGGTATTGGGAAACCATCAAAATCCCCAGCCGTCACACACAAGGACGGATATGTCCCTCGAGCCAGTCCACTGATTATCATTGGTATCAGGACAGGACCTCCGTTAATCGATTTGGGACGTCGACGCCGCTCAAGCGGTACAAAGGCGTAGGAAGATGAAGACTAAGTGATCGGCGAGGTTCGGACACGGTGTTCTTACTGAATAGACGTTGAGAGCATGAAAGTAAATCTTCAAAGTTATTAATTTAACGGAAAGTTATTAAAATCTGTTCAGACTTTGAATGTCACGTCGTCGCTCAAGCTCCGCCCCTAATGCCGCGTTAAACCAATCAGAGAGCGAGCCATCCACAGAGCGTTTTCGAATGAAGTCATTTATTATCTATCGAAATCTGAAAAAACCATAAAAATTTCAGAGAAGCAAAAAATCAATATGATCATTTTTATTTTAGTAATCTGCGATGCTGTTCCAGTACACCAAACCTCGCAAAAAGTTCATACATTACGAAATCTATTAAACAACGACTGATTCTTTAACTTTTCACCTGTTACAAACGCTTGAAAAGTCAGTCTGACAAGCTTTCTTCGTTTAATGAACTCCACGATCTCGAAATACCCGCCATGCTCGAAAGAAACCGATTTAGTCAATGGAGATGCTCTCAAGCTTATCGAAATCATCATATTCCCTTTCATGTTTTTCTTGAATATCGTCACATTACTTTGTATTATATTTCTGTCCCCGAACACGATGAAGACTTACAAGTGGTTGCTGTTAAACTATCAAGTGTGGTGAGTTTGTCTTGCATTTGGAATGTCCCGGAGGTGCTGTTATATAAGCATGTTCCCCTGATACGACCCTATGCCAAAAGGCGCAAGTCGTTTTGGGTCGGCCGTGCTACTTTCTGAGTCAGTGAAGCTTCAGCTTTTTCGTTATGGACACGTTCACTTCGTTGATTATGGTGCCGATGTACTACTTACCCGTTTTGGGCTTCTGCATGACTGGTTGGTTCGAAACTCTAGGGGTGCCTATCAGAGTTCAAGCTGCCATCGGCTCGGAGGGAATCGCATGTTTAAGAAAAAAACTATAGTTAAATTTATTACTTTTTTAGGGGTCCTCATATCGGGTTTATGCCTATTCGAGCATCGTCACCACCTTTGTTTACCCGTGAACAGCCCGTTTCGCTTCAAAAACTCAACTCGCTACCTTTACATTTCAGCGAATTTCTTATACTTCGCTGGCGGATATCTAATTTTTGTTCTGCTAGCTCCTGCAGATCAGTACCAAGCTCAAATTGAAGCCATAGAGGTTCAGGAAGACCTTCTATAGCCTGTGTACCACCACTTGGAATTTCACCAAACGACGTTCCGCTGCTCCGCTGCGCGCCTTTGTGAACCTTGGTTGCGCTTTTAATTTTTTTTTATTTTATTAAGGTACTCTACTTTCATGTGCTCCCACAGCAATAAAAATCAATCGAAAGCGTGACCTAGAGTCGACAGACGCTTCGCGAACGCACGCAGCGGAACAGCGGAATGTCGTTCCGTGAAATTTCAAGTCGTGGCACACAGACTATACCTAATTTTTCTTTCGTCTAGATACTCAAATGCCAACCGCCTGGTGTTTTCACCTCCTGTGCTTTTATCATGGACCTTACACATAAGGCCGGAGTCTTCATATACTCCTTGGGGATGCTTTTCTTTATTCAGTGCATGTTTCTGTCGTGGCACGGATTATACCAGTTGAGAAAACAAAATACACAAATGTCGGTGAAAACACGACAACTTCAGCGGTCTTATTTTTATGGTTTACTCATGCAGGTTACTATTTGATCTAAACATGTTAGGCTTTTAATTCTATCTTCCTCTTTACATAATAGTTGGAAATGGCTATTTTTCTTATGCGACGAGGGTTCACTCTTTAGGTGAGCGTATCGATGGTCTTTATGAGTTTACCTCTTTGGATTGCTGGCTGGCAAATGAAAACTAAATCTACAACCCAAAGTAAGTCCGAACCAACTTTTACATCGTTACAATTTTTCAGCATTGTCCGCAACTATAGTCATTGGTGCCTCCGTTCACAGCTTCCTTTCATCGACCATCATTATTCTGACAATAAAACCCTATCGCGAATTCATTTTCAAACTCCGTTTTGGGTCCTTCAAGAAACTTTTCGAAAAGAAACTGTTTGAAGTTAGTCAAACCAGTACCGCTAAAAGAACCGTTGATCGCTAGTTTATTGGAATAAATATTATTCTTTCTTGATTTTTATAAATGATGCAGCGCCTCACAGAAAAATTTAACCAACTTCAACTTGAAACAAGATTTTGTGAATTTTCATTAATAGGAAATTATTACTCAGAACTTCAAAACTAGATCGACTTTAAGGCTCTCTTTCTCAAAATTCCTTTCACTTTATTTATCATGTTTCTCTAAAAATGACCATCAAGGTTTCATATTTTCCTGAACAACAGAAAGTTCTCCTCCTTTTAATAATTCCAATCGAGTCTAGGCTCTTGACTAGCTTCATATTTTAGTAAAATGAGCCATAAAATATCGAAATTTTATTGTTTACCTACCTATTTCTTATGAGTGAGCTCAAACGGCACGTCATTCAATGCAAACAGAATCACAAAACATAAACGTGGAAATCGACTTCTCCGCGCTTTTCCTTCAAGATTGATCACCTCTTACGCATTTCGGGTGTTACTCAGTCTCTGATGCGAGTCTGCGTGCTTCAAAACTTTATCAGTTGATAAAAAGGCATGAAAAGCTGCGTTGTTCCATATTTGTTCTCCGTTTTTGTTTGTTAATTTACGCATTTTTCAGTGTGAAAAAAATGCTCCTTTGGCTACGTTTATTCCGTAAACCGCTGCGCTATGAAAACTGCCATACTTATTTAGGGATTCCTACAAAGGTTAGAAAGAATTTAATCAACAAAAAAATATTTGTTTAGATCGCCTCAACAGTATTCATGGTGATTTCCGTTCTTTGTTACGCCTTCACTTTCGCTTTTCTTCCACTTTTTGCTTGTGAGTGGTTATTTTTTTGAATATTTTTCGAATATCGAAACTTCAGACATTCCTTTATTGGTCGTTCTGGCTGCCATCGCGGCCTGTATCATTTTTACAATTGTAAAAATGAACGCCAGTACTGCCATGGCGGCCCGAATTTTTGCGGTAAAATCTTGGTTCATTTTAATTTTTCTTAGTAATCCATGTTTAGGGGCTTTGCCTAATTCCTAATTATATCGTTTGCGGTTTTCTCACCTACGCGATTGCCAATTATGGCGATATTTCGGGCAGTGCCTACATTCAAAGCTTGTACAATATGAGTAAGTGACGTAATTTTTATCAGGCGCTCTCGATCGCATTTTGGATGACTCAGTGCGTTGCGGCAGTGTGTAGAAAAATGATATAAAAATCGAAAGAAAATAAGATTTTATCGCCACAAGCGCAAGTCGTTTTGGGTCGGTCGCGTCTTCAAGCTGCTGCCATTTCCGCATTAAGGCTGAGAAATTCTATCAGAGGGCCATAGTTGCATGAGGAATGAATCAAAGCTTTGCGGTATTCTTCTTCTTCTTCTTCCTACGCCTTTGTACCGCTTGAGCGGCGTCGGCGCCCCAAGTCGATTAGCCGAGGTCCTATCCTGATATCAGTGGACTGGCTCCAGTGACATATCCGTCCTTGTGTGTGACGGCTGGGGATTTTGAAGTCGTGGTTTCCCACTACCAACATTTCTTAAACCCCTTGGTTGGGTCGGGGCGGGGATCGAACTTATGACCCTGTGGACCGTAGGCAGGCACACAACCTGTTGCGCTACGGCGCGCCCCAAAGCTTTGCGGTATTGTTCGGGAAAAAATCTCAAAAATAGCAGAATTTTTGTGAAACTTTCGCGCGCAAGTCGTCTTGGGTCGGTCGCATTTTTTAGGTTCTGCCATTTTTGCACTAAGGTTCATTAATTTTTTAATCAAAGTCGCCTAAAGTTAGTGTGTTTTTTAAGGTAAGGGTCTACTGGTGGCCGGTGAAATCGTGGGCCTTTTGAACTCGATTTTTGTTCTTCTATTCATTGGAGCAATCAGACGACTAGCAGTCCTTTGTCTTCCGCCTCCTTCCATCCAGTAAGAAATTTATCTCGTTTGGTGAAAATGAAAAAATTCTTTTCAGACCTCTAACGATGCCAGTAGGAACCCATGTCTACACGATTCCTCAGCAACAACAGCCGCAGTATCAATATTCGACGGCCACCGCGCCACCAGCTTATTCCAATCAGAGTTCTTTCGATTAATTTTTCTTTTTTTTTTGCTTTACAAGATCGGGTTGAAGAAGTTTTTTGATGCAAAATTGTAAATAAAGTTTTCAAAAGTTATCACAGAAGCATGATATTTTAAATACGTCTTCAAAAGGCTAATTTTTGTGAAATTCCGCTTCAAAAAGACCAAATCCAGAGTTGAATCGACTTCACTATGCTTATAGATAGGGACCGCAAAGCCACGCCCACTTCGGGCGAAATTTTTTTTTGCATTGCACTGCGGTTTTTTCTTTTTTTCGTAGCGCGCGTATGGAAACAGTATTGCACTCGAAAAACATGTTCTGGGACATAGTTTAAGGCATAGATTGGTATTTCAACGTCAAAAATAGGAAAAAACCATTGCAAGCGCAAAAAAGTTGGGGAATATCAGTTTTTTCAGCGACGATCTTATGTTTTTTGGACTGAATTCGATAAGGAGCATTTATATAAGTTATAGATTCGCCAAAAAAGCAACAAAAAGAATTGACTGAAAATTGAGGTCGAATAGCAGCGAAAAATTCGAGAAAAGTTCAGTTTCCGTGTAGTTATAGAATTTTGACTCGGCTTCTGGTCTAAAAAATTATAGTTGAAATAAATCGAAATTAACATGTAATCCAAAAAAATTAGATTTTTCAGTTATGCCGTCTTTAAAAATTGTTATTCGAAATCACTTTTATGAAGAAGAAAAGGCGACTTTCCAAACTGAGTCATCATTCAATTGTTTTTTCTGCTCTTCTTGAATCGATTTTCTTCCTGCAAAATCATATTTTTTCCAAAAACGCCTTCATTGACAGCTGCCTAGCGGTCCTATCATTCAAACAAAGCCAAAAAAAAAAAGATAAATGATCATTTTTCTCATATTTTCGGTTGTTATCTTGCTGCTCTTCCACAATTTCTACTGGAAAAGAAGAAATTTACCTTCAGGTTTGTTTTTTTCACCAAAAAAATCTCGATTAAATATCTTCAAGGACCGATTCCCCTTCCATTGGTGGGAAATCTTCACACAATTTCGAGATATGAACCGGGATATGAAGCTTTTGACATGTGGAGGAAGAAATATGGGCCCGTTTATACTTTTTGGATGGGTTGGGATTTTTTAATGATAATTTTTCAATTGTTTCTGAAGGATCCGTGCCTTTTGTCATGATTTGCGAGTACGAGAAGCTCAAAGAAACTTTCATCAAAGATGGGGATACCTACAGCGGCAAGTTCAACTTGGAAGAAGTCACGAAGGTTTATCGAGGTTTGCAAAAAATATTGAAACTAAAGTTGGTAAACAGATTCTATACCTTCTAAATACTCAGCGTGGATATTTAAACAAAAATCATCTGAAAAGGTTCAAAACCCTTTTGAAATACCTTTCTGTCATGCCAGGTGGTCAATTTGGGATCATCGACGCGGACGGCGACCGCTGGAAGGAGCACCGGAAGTTTGTGATCCATCAGTTGCGGAACTTCGGCGTCGGCAAGGATCTGATGCAGGACAAGATTCTACTTGAAGTTGAAGCCGTCACAAAAATCCTCACGGCTTCTGATGGAGCTGAAGTAGAAATTCAGGTACATGTAGATCTTTAAAGGGTCAAATTGGAGGCAACTTTTTTTCCAGGAAGTCTGGGACGAGGCCGTTGGAAACGTGATCAATCAGTTCTTATTTGGCTATCGATTCGATGAGTCGAACATAAATGAATTCCGAGAGCTTAAAAGTCTTCTATCTTCTCAATTGCGCGATTTTTCTTCGCCTCTCGCGTTTTTCATCATGTCATATTCCTGGACCAAGCACTTTCCAGTGGGAAAGGTGTTGTGGGAAAAGTAAACTCTGGCTTTTTTTTTCTTTTTCATTCATAGAATCTTTGAGGATGCGATTTTATCGCGATGCGTTTTTCACTTTTTTCAAGAGGCAAATTGAAGAGCATCGCAAAGAAATAGACTTTGATTTGGAGGAAAGTCGGGACTATGTTGAGGCTTACTTGAAAGAGCAAAGGAAACGCGAACAGAGCGGCGACTTTGAAAGCTTTTGGTGAATAAATGATGTCGTAAATTAATTAATAACTTCAATTTCACAGTGACAATCAATTAGTGAACGTTTGCGTGGACCTTTGGTTCGCCGGGATGGAAACAACTGCGAATACGCTTACGTGGGCCATTTCCTACCTTTTGAATAATCCAGGAGTTCAGGTTTTTTTTTTTTCAAAAGCTCTCAATCAAAATAAGCTATTAGGAAAAACTCCACGAGGAGCTAGATCGAGAAATTGGCTTCGAACGGGATATTCTGACTTGCGACAAAAGCAAACTCGTCTATCACAATGCTTTCATTAATGTAATCTGATCTAAATCTTCTTTTATAACTTTTTTCAGGAAACTCAACGACTTGCCAACCTTCTGCCTTTGAATATATTCCACGTTCTGAACAAACCAGTTGAAATGAATGGGTTCAATTTACCAATCGGAACTGGAGTCTGTGCGCAAGTCAGCAGTGTTCTTTATGATGAAAATGTGAGCGAATTTTCCAGAATAATCGTGAAAAATTATTAAGGTTTTTCCCGAACCATATAAATTCGATCCCATGAGATTAATCGATGAAAATGGAGCCTTAAAAAAAGTTTAATTTTCTTACTTCAAGAAATCAAAAATAATTCTCAGGTTGATGAGCTTGTTCCGTTTTCTGTTGGAAAACGCCAATGTTTGGGCAAAGGTTTGGCGAAAACGGAGCTCTTCCTTTTTTCAGCCAATCTTTTCAATAGATTCAAGGTATAAAGGAGGTTGAAGGTTGTTTCTAAGAACAAAAAAAAACAGGTAACTGCTGGAGAAAAAGGCAATCCTTCACTTCAAAAACGGTTCGGCGTCGCCATGCAGCCTCCATTTTACACTTGTCGATTTGAAAGACGATATTAATACAGAAACTAATGAATAAAGTGAAAATATTTTTATTGGAAAATTTTTATTCAGCCGCCGCGCAATTTTTCACATAAAACGAAAAATCTTATGATTTTTTTTGTGTTTTCTATGATTCGCTCGTTTTCTTTTTGCCACAGGCTTGTTCGAATATACCGAAAAAGTAATTAGCAGTTATCCATATTCCCAAGTTTTCTCCTTGGCACCTCTTCAACGCCTCGTCAAACCGCGCCGCGGCAAAATTCGCACATTTTTGGCGAGAAACTGTGCCGTTGGGCTAAATGAACATGGTCCCGCCCAATAGTTTGACACAATAGTCATTCTTTCCGTCTTCAGACCTCAGAGTAGGTTGTTTCATTTATCTGCTCCTTGTTGCGGTTTATTGTACTTTTACATGTTGGTTGCTGTATTATTACAGCGTTTCCCTCATTCCTGGTTATAATTTCTAGAATCGGACTTCGAAATACAAAATTTTCAAGTTTCAATAATGAAAATCGGAGCAGTTTTGATAGTATGCGCCTTTAAAAACTGGATTGATTTCTCTTTCGCTTCGAGACCCTCCATGTGAGCGCGCTCTCACCGCGTTTGAATTTTCTTCGTTTCATTTTCATTTTTCTTTTTTTGTTCGTTTCAATTGGGTTTTTATTCAGATATGTCGTCTCGTGGACGAGTTTACATTGGACGATTGTCCTCCCGCGCTTCTGAACGCGACATCGAGCATTTTTTCCGTGGATACGGCCGAATCCGCGACATCGTTTTGAAAAACGGCTTTGGATTCATTGTGAGTTTTCTTTTTTTCTGAAATTTATAGTTCATCTGCAACTGTTCTTTGTGTTCTGTTTAAGCGTAATTTATAAGAAGTTCAAGAATTTCGAATGACGAAAATAAAGTAAGATAGTTTTTGCAATGCTGTGTCAAACGCCCAATAACATTTTAGAATTAAATTGAGTTCATTTTTAACCTTCAACTCCTCCTAAAGTGTTCAAATTCTTGTTTTTCAGGAGTTCAGTGACGATCGCGATGCGGACGACGCCGTGTACGATTTGAATGGCAAAGAACTCGCCGGCGAACGCGTCGTTCTTGAATTTTCGCGTCGTGGACCTCGAAATAGCTCTTATGGCTCAGATTCTCGCGGTGGTGACCGATTCGGTCGTACAAAGTGAGAAAATATTCAGTTTTCGTTCGTAATTCTTTGAATTACAGTCGATATGGCCCGCCGATGCAAACACGTTACCGAATGTTGGTGGAAAACTTGTCATCTCGCGTTTCCTGGCAGGTTTGTAGATTTTCTTTCTCCTCTCCACTGTTCAGGTCTCTACCGAGAATACCACGACAAATTGGGAACATAACGATAAAAATGGAGTTTTTCGCAAATTTTTCGAATCCAATTGAGAAAGTCCCGTTTAAAAACCAGTTGATTCTCAGCAGCGTTCGCTGATGACGTGAGTGCCCGACCACGGTGTTGAGTGACGTGTGTTCGGGCGGTGATGAGGTCTCGCAACGCTTCCCTATCACGTGTATACCTTTTACTGTATATTCCGATTCTTTTGAATCCACCTGCCTTTCTGTGGTCAAATCTAGGGAGTTTGCAACATTTTCGAGCTTCCAAATTTTATTTCGAAGCTTATTTGAATATTGCAATAAGGTTTGGGTAAATTTTCTTTAAATTGAGTTTCAATTAGATTATTCGATTTTGATAATCGCACTGGCCCTGAAAGGCTCCAATTAGCTCTATTAAACTTTGAGATCGTACGAAAAAGCTTCCAACTTTATAAATTTTTGCGTTTAAGCTTCAAACCCCTGCATTGCCACGAAAAATTTCCTGATTCTTTCGCTAATTTACCGATTTTTTTAGGATTTGAAAGACATTATCCGTCGTCTTGGATGCGAAGTCACCTACGCCGACGCCCATAAAGCTCAGCGCAATGAAGCGTGAGTTTTTTTGAAATTTCGAAAAAGTCTTATCAAAGTATTTTCAGTTTGGTGTGTTTCGCAACGCGCAGCGACCTGGAACGTTGCATGGACAAACTCCAAGGCGAAGAGTACCACGGTCGCAAAATCAAGTTGATCGACGACTCTGAAAGCGGTCGCGACAGTCGCAGCAGAAGCCGTTCCAGAAGCCGCAGCCGCTCGCGCAGGTTTTTTTCCCCGAGAAGTATCATCGAATAATGTGATTTTATTTCAGTCGCTCCCGTTCTCGCTCGCGTTCCCGCTCTCGCAGCAAGTCCCGATCGCGTTCTCGCAGTCGCTCTCCACGTTCGCGATCCCGTTCACGTTCGCCGGCCGCCAAGAGTGACGCCAAGAAGGAAGATTCGCGAAAGAGCCGTTCGAGGTCCCGCAGTCGCTCGCGAAGTGCGTCGCGGTCGCGCTCTCCATCGCCTGCTGAGAATAATAACGACAAGTTCGTGTTTTTTTTAATCTAATTAAATTGATTGGAAGGATTTTTTCATGTTAGAAAGTTTTCTTTCAGTTTTCTTATATTTTTTGAGTTTCTACTGCATAATTTACATGAACACTAGATTTTCACTTAGGATCTATAAAATAAAGATATTATATTCAGGTCCATAAGATTTATATTAATTTTTTGTTTTTAAAAAAGATTAGTTACTATCTTTGGCAAGTAAAAACATGAAACATTTGTCGAAATTCATTTTTAAATATTCAATTTCAGAGGCTCGCCCAGAGATGAGCAAATGTCCCGCAGCCCGTCGCCCAACCGCGATGATTGAATATAAATCTATCACTTTTTGTGTTCGTTGTTTTTTTTTCCATGCTTTTTTCCATTATTCTCCAATCAAATGCACTGAAAAATCCAAGGTTTTTTGGGTGTCCCTCTCATCAAAATCTATAACCTCATCTTTGTTTCTTTGTTTTTCTGGACATTGTTTTTTTTCATTCGTCGCAATGAATAATATACTCGCAATTAGCTTTCCTTCAAAATTTCATTTTATCATTGAAGTGTGGAGATATTTGAACGATTAATGGTGTAGGGTTCGATTCCTGGCGGCAAAACTTTCGAGAACACTTCTCTCGCCGCCTTCCGAACCTCCTCGTTGACCACGACGTAGATGATGCTGTTGCAGACGCCTGAAAATGTCATCAGAAGAGATTTGGGCAGGGCTTACCGTTCAGAACAAGGCAAGTTAAGTAAAAGGGACCAATGGATTGGAAAGGGTGTTCCAAGACCGGCTAGATCAAAAGCTCCGATGATGAAGCTTGGGAACGTTATGCACACCAGGCAGCTTGTCAGAATCGCCACTGTTATCCGGTTGGCCTTAAGTGATCACTTGAGGGTTTTTAAGAAAAAATCTTTTTTTTTTTGAGAAGGGTTCGTTTTGAAGGGAACCTCTGGCCGATTTTAGGCTTAGAAGGAAGTAAAGTAAATTTTTGAAGTGGTTACTTTAGGGATTGGTTAGATCAACCTTTATAATTACAGAAATTGTTTAGAAATGCATTTCGGCATAACGTTTGAACGCTTTAGGAAATTTTAGAAGTTTGTCTAAAATTTTTTTTGTGAAGTTTTGAAACGTTGTGGAACTCCATTCGTTTCTTCAATCCAATTTCACTTTTTTTATTCAAAAAAAGTCGTTTTCTAATTTTGACTATTCTCATGAAGATTTTCAAGTTCTAACCTGATTATAGTACCTAGGGCGGTCGGTCGGCTGATAAGACGGCGTGCTTTTTTTAACGTTCAACGATCGAAGTTGATATAAGATAGCGAAAGTAAGGAGGACCACGACTAGGCCCAATAACTGCAAAAAAATGTTTAGAAATTTTTGTTGATAATGGAAGGGATACCAGAAACTGACTACTTTCAAAAGTTAAAAGTCATAAGAGAAGAAGATTCAATTTTTTTTTTCTCATAGGCGAAGTCGGAAAGGGTGGAAAAAGGCTCACAGAAATGTTCCTTTATGGGTGAAAAAGGATCCTTTTTTGCTTCCTTTTTGCTGCCTTTCTGCGGTCTTTTTTGATCCTCTCCCATTTAGTGGCCATTATAGTTTGTTCAGATTTCAAAGGTCAAGTCCTCGCTGAAGCTCCTCCCCCTAATGGCGCGATAAACCAATCAGAGAGCGAGCCATTCACAGAGCGTTTTCGAATGACGTCATTCTACTTAACATTCGAAATCTGAATATACTATATCCGCCATTCCGACTTTGCCCGAGCCAAGTCACCGAAAAATTATAGCTCACAAAAAAACGAACCATGTTGGAGATGCTCCAAAAGTGCGAAACGTTTGGCCGAGAAAGCAGCCGACAGCGGCGCAATTGGCGACTCTCGCCCGCGACGACATCGCGAATCCGAAAGTGATGTCCGTGGCGGCGAGTGCGACGCCGAAAAAAAGAGCCGCGTTCGCGAAACAGTTCCCCACTCGCTTACGATACCAAACAGGTCGGTAAAGGGCCTGGAAATGTACGCAATTTTAAATTGTAAAAAAATCTATTACTTCAAAAAACTCAAAGAAGGACTAGCAGAACTTCTGAACAATCTGAAGGCTATCGAGGATGATTAGAAAACAAGAAAATTTAAATATAGTTAAAGCCCATTCCGCGTCAGCTCTTCATGATTTTCCTTGACTATATAGCTACAGAATCCTCCCGAAAAGCTTCCCTTCGATGCGCATGGCCTGCCTCTAGGCATGCGCCTTTAATCTATCGGAAATTTAAGGCTGAATTAAAGGCGCATGCACACAGGCAGGTCGCGCGCATCGAAGCGAAGGGTTCTGTAGCTTGCAGAAAGATTAAAAAAACGTTATCAACTGGCGCGAATGCTTCTCAACTATACAATAAGATAACTTGAGAGTTTCCAGATTATCAGAAAAAGCTCATAACCTTTCATGGATATCCAGGAAAAGCTTCGAAAAGTTTATCACACAGTCCTAAAATTTCTAGGAAGTTCAAAACTTGAAAATCGATATTAACAACTTTATAAATTGGGATCCTGAGAAACTTGAGAAAATAAAAAAAATTTGTTAGATTAACTAGTTCGATTATGTACATGTCTGAAAGGAAAAGTCTAGAGTTTGACATGATTTTTTGTGTCCGTAAATTTTATGAACAGCTCAAAATATTTTTACACCGTTTCAAGGGCTACTCTAGTCGTTGAGTTGAAAATATGAATGAGAAAACGATTATCTTCCAATTCCCTGTACAAAAAATATCATATCAGCGGGGGAAACAAAACCTCGTATTTTGAAAAGAAAAGCTCACCAAGTTCCGATCAAAAGCGATGGCTGACGTCAATGTCAAGTTGATTTTCAGCTGCGCCGGCAAAGGAGTCGACAAGATGAGAATGGCCAATGGCTCGTAGTCCATTTCATACCAATCCCAGCCGGAAAGTAGATAGAAAACGTAAGGTAAGCCTGAATATGAGTCGATAAAAAAAAATTAATTGAGGAATTCATGTTTCAAAATGGAAGAAAGGGCTCACTCGTGATGGCAAGGATGAAATCGGTGATGGCCAAGTAGAGGATCAATCTCTGATTGGTTTTTACCCGAAGTGACCGTTTCCTGGAAAAAAATACTAAGAAAATGTTAAGTGGCCTTTTTAGGGTTTTGACAGTTTAGTGGCCTCTACATGGGTTGAGTTAGTGCCCACTTGAGTGGCAAAAAATTAGTGACCTCTTTAGGAGTCTACAGTGGTAAGTGGCACTACTAGACCATTAAAACTACTATAGTGGCCACTAAGACGAGATGTAGGTTTTAGCGGCCACTTTAGATTCCTCTCCAAGCAGCCCTTGAGGAACCTCTTGAGTGGAGTATAGTCTGTGTGCCACGACTTGAAATTTCACCGAACGACATTCTGCTGTGCGCCTTTGCGAAACCTGGTCGCGCTTTCAATTTTTTTTTTTGTTAAGGTGCTCTACTTTCATGTGCTCCCACAGCAATAAAAATCAATTGAAAACGTGACCTAGATTCGAAAGATGCTTCGCGAACGCACGCAGCGGAAAAGCGGAACGTCGTTCGGTGAATTTTCAAGTCTTGGCACACAGACTATATTTCTTAGTAAATCAATATAAATTTTTTTCTAATGAATGTGTATCTATTAACTCACCAGAAAAATAAGGCAATGACCAGGCCGTTGATAGTTGCGCAAGTGATCTGAAGAGCCAAAGTCACGAGATCCGTTATCAGAAGTAGTATTGCCGGCATCATGATAGTTTATTGGTTAGTTGAAGTAAACATGTTTCGTCTGAGAGAATGGGAACCCTGCAAATTTATCGAATTGTCGATTCAATTATATCTCTAACTCAATATCGGGGCGAGGTTTAAGGTTCATGGAAGTTTTGAGAAATGGGTCCTGGAGTATTCTTTTTAAAACCTCGGTATTGGAAACCGAACGTGCTCTGGATGTTTTTAAGCGGTTCCAGGGGTCTCTTAAGAGCTCTGCGCTACTAAAGTGATCATTAGAAATGCTCCGACATGTCTGAATCGCCTTACCAATTTCCTAGTGGAAAACAAAGAATGGGGAGCTCTTTGAAGACAATATGGTGTTATTTGATGATTTATTTGATTATTTGAATGATTTAAATAGCTTTATACGTTGGTACCTCGAAATAATTTCTCTAACTGAAAATTATGGATTATCAAATATCTAAAGTATTCCTAGTCTTAGTTACTTTTCCCTGACTTCAAATCAAAAGTGGCGGATTGATGCGCAGCAGTTTTAACACGCGCCCGACCGGAAACGACTTGCGCGCGAGGGGATAGGAAAGCATGAGAGAATTTTCTGATTGGAACCGCTTAGCTTTGAGCCATTCCACATGCGACCACAGCTTTCCAAGGCTTAGGGAATGGGCTACAGTTAGAATTTTCAAACCTTCTGATGTCATTTCTGTTGCGATTTTTTTTAATCATAGGAAAAATGATATAAATAGCCCAAAAAATGCACTTTTTTCATTTCAAGAAACGTACTACCTTTGTTTGCAAACTTCCTAGTGCGTAGGTGAAAACGTAAAAACTAATAATCAAAACCTTCCGTAGGAAAAAAACGGAGAAATTAAGTTAGTCGGGTACTTGCAAGTGACGCTGTGTCTATGGATAATCAAGTGATCATGAATCAAAAAAAGGACAAGTTTAACCATCAAAATTGGTTTTTTCATTCTTTTCATTGAAAAACTTGAGAAAATTAAAGTAAGAAGCATAATTACGGCAACAGCTTTCCAAGTGCTACCTTCTAAAAAAAGATTACTGAGAAATTTTCTCGTTCCTCCAGGCTTTTGTCCAAAATTCAAAGATCCTCCAAGGTTAATTAAGTATATAGTCCGAAAAGACGTTAATTTATGGCACGCGGAAGTGGGGGGAAACGTAGAAAAGGCGAACGATTCGCTTGGAAGGATAAATGAGCTCGGATAGAGGCGGTGTTTCATGGGGCCAATTTTTCTCCCACTTTGCAGAAATAAAGATCAATTTCGCACGCGACTGATGATCTATTCATTCAAGAGGGATGTAACTGGAAACATTTGTAAAAAAGAGATAGAAACTTGATAAAAGTGGTAATGGCTTTTTGGGCGTATTAAAGTGTGCTCCAGTGAACTTCCCTTAGAATATTGGGTGGAAAAGTAGATTCTTTCTTCTTATAGAAGTGCACTTTAATGGCAAATTTAGAAATATAGCTAAAAGCGAAGATTCAGCAACTTTTATATACAGTTTGCACTTTAACTCGAGAATACTGTGTTAGAAAGAACAGGAAAAATCAGGAACTGATTTTTTGTTTTGAAGAAAAACGAGGCTTTTTAAGTTATGGAATGTGCGCTCCAATGAACATGGAAATGGTAATAACGAAATTTAAAGTTCGGCGGTTTTTTTCTCCAACAATCTACAGAAAGAAGTCACTAAAACGAGATTTTTTTATATATTTTGAACTCAAACTCGAGAATACTGTGTTAGAAAGAACAGGAAAAATCAGGAACTGATTTTTTGTTTTGAAGAAAAACGAGGCTTTTTAAGTTATGGAATGTGCGCTCCAATGAACATGGAAATGGTAATAACGAAATTTAAAGTTCGGCGGTTTTTTCTCCAACAATCTACAGAAAGAAGTCACTAAAACGAGATTTTTTATATATTTTGAACTCAAACTCGAGAATACTGTGTTAGAAAGAATAGGAAAAAATCAGGAGCTGATTTTTTGGTTTTCGAAGAAAAACGAGGCTTTTTAAGTTATGGAATGTGCGCTCCAATGAAAATGGAAATGTTAATAGGAAAAATTAAAGTTTAGCGGTTTTTTCATTACCAATCTACAGAAAGAAGCCACTGAACCGAGATAATTTTTGAAAAAACAAGCTGGTGGGCGATTTGACATTTAAAATCGGATCTAATTAACATTACCTGTAATTTTATTATGTAAATTTTGAGCATGTGGGCGATTTGACATTAAAAATTGCTCTTTTTTTGCCATTTCCTTGCTTATTGAAGAAAAAAATTCCAGGATGTAGACAATTTTGATAGAAAGTAATTCGAAAAAAATGGAAAAATTTAATTATAATTATTCGGAAAAAAATAGTTCACACGGAAAGCTTTCTCAGCACTCTACCAACAATATTTTAAATTAAATATTTTTTTCCTAGGGATTCTATCAAAAAATAACGTGATAGTTTAAGAATCTGGTTCTGAAGTTCATAGGAAAATATTTTCGAACTTTTAAACTTTTTTTTGGCATTTTTCTAATAAACTTGAAGCTTTTAAATAACTTTTTTGTGCTTTTCAAACCTTCCAAGTTCCGATAGTTTTCTCTGAACTTACCGAGAAAATTTTCAAATCAACAACATTGCGATAAAGGGAACACTGACTACAATATAGGCTACGAAACAATTTCTAATCAATCACTTGAGGGTTTTCGGCACAGGAATTGATAAGAAACATTGTTTTTTCAGTCTTTTCCCACTTTTTAGTAACTTTTTCGCTCTAACTCAATTTTCTTCAGAAAATGACCATTAAAACGGTGATTTTCGACATGGGTGGCGTCCTGATCCCGGCGCCTATGGATTTGTGGCAAGGTAATTTTTTCCAGTTCCAAGCATATTTTAAAGTAAGAAATTAGAGAAACTCAACTTGAAAAAAGAAATTTATAAGCTTGAAAATTTGAGAGCGCGTCTAGAAATATCCTAATTGGCGTTCAGATTTCCTAGACGAAGGAGGATTCTCAGAAAGTATTTTAATTACTGTTTATGTAACCTTTTAGAGATTTGCTATGATTCTTAGTGTCTTCTAGGGCTGTTTTCATGTACTTTTTCCACTTATAAAATAAATTATAGTCTTCGAACAAGAGCGGAATTTGAAAGCCGGCTCGATCGTAGAGACTATCCTCTCCCCAGATGGCCTTCCTCACTTCGCAGCCTTCGAGAAAGGCCAAATTTCCTCGGAAGATTTCGAACCAATCTTCTCCCACATATACAACCTGCAGGTGAGCGGAGGGGATGTGTCCTCGCGGCGCCGCGGCGTCTCTCACCGGCCGAATGGTCTAGTGGTATGATTCTCGCTTTGGGTGCGAGAGGTCCCGGGTTCAATCCCCGGTTCGGCCCAACACTTTTTGCACTTTCGTTTTGCAGCATGGTAGAGTTGGCGAGGTGTTGCCGATCATGTCGGAGCTGTTGAATATGGTCTCCGAAGCGGTAGTTTACCCAGAAATGAGGCAGTTGCTCAAGGTTTGAGTAATTTCCTTTTTCCCTACCAAAATTGGCTTTTAGAGTCTACGTCTTTCCGGCTATCGATTGGTTCTGATAACCAATAACTTTTACGCGGATAGAGCTCATCTAAAACCTACAGTACCACCTGGTATCGATCGACTGTTTGATGACGTCATCGAGTCTTGTCGTATTGGAATTAGAAAACCTTATCCAAGGATTTACCAACTGGCTTGTGATCGCAATAAGGTGGTTTCAAATCCTTCAAAAAGACGTTTCTTTTCAAAAATTTCAGTCTCGTCCTGAAGAGTGCGTTTTCCTCGACGATCTTGGCTCCAACTTGAAAACTGCAAAGAGCATGGGAATGCAGACTATTAAGGTAGGCTTTAAAAATATTCGAAAAAAAAGATTATTTTAGGTGACGAGCTCGGCCCAAGCCATCCAAGACCTACAAAAGTTGCTCAATGTTGATTTCAGTGCACCAGCTGACACTAGAGAGTGCATCGAAAGTTTTTGATTTGAAAAGTCGCTCCATTGATAATGTTTTGTAGGAGAGCTCCTACCAAAGGATAGAGTCCGTGAAGTCTTGTCTCAAACCATCGGATCTGAAGTTTCTGACGTCATTGTTAGAAAATTCCGTCATGGGCAGTCGAATCCAACTTACTACTTGAAAACTGGACAAAAGGAGTTTGTGTTGAGGAAGAAACCGGTAAAGTTTTTCTGAGGCCGCATTTGGATTGGTTAGGATCGCGTTACGGTTCATTTTAGGACAAACAGCTTACCTTAGGCGTAACCCGTTTCAAGTCTGGCGCGCCTTGAAATGTTTCTTTTCCGCTTTTAGGCCAATCCAAATGTGAGAATGAACATCAGAGTTGAACATCTTAGAATTTCAGAAAGGTCGACTTCTTCCAAAAGCTCATCAGATAGACCGGGAGCATACTATCATGAAAGCCTTGTATGGAAAAGTTCCAGTCCCCCGAGTTTATCAATACGACGAGAAGTGAGAAAAAATAGTCGCTAGGGGTTTTAATTGCGCTCTATTGAGAACCCTGGACACACCATTCTACCTCATGGAATACAAACCAGGCCGTCTTTTCCTCAATCCGGCTCTCTTTGAACTCCCGCCAGCTGGTTTGGAGATAAAGCTTGGTCGCAGGTGGAATGGCTCGTTTTGCGTCGGTTGCACCTAAAAGCAGCTTCCTAGCCATTCCAAGTGCGACCAACATCTTCTGAACAAAATCAGTAACTTCTGAAGAATTTCATGGATTTCAGAAAGAAGACGAGCTTATGAGGAGGCCCTGAAAACTTTGGCCCAAATTCATGCTGTCGACTTTGAGAAAGCCGGCCTTGGAGACTACGGGAGAAAAGGTCTTTTTGAAATGTATCATAAATAAATAAAAAATTCAGACGGTTACATGGAGAGGAATCTGAAAAGGTGGCTCAACAACTATGAGATGGCGAAAACGGAAGAAATCCCAGAAATGGAACGCCTTGTAGCTTATTTGAACCAAAATTTGCCCAAAAACTCATTGGCCACCATTGTTCATGGGGATTTTAGGTTTTTTTTTTCCCAAGGTTTAGAAAGAAAATAAGAATTCAGAATCGACAACTTGATATTCGATGAGAACGAAACAAAGGTGGTGGCCGTTTTGGATTGGGAGATCTCGACGATCGGCGATCCTTATGCAGATTTGGCCACTTTCATGTTCGCTCATTACAGTCCCAGTTCTGTGAAGGTGCCTAGAAATCTTATAAATTCTTGACCGCAGTTGGAATGGCTCGAGGAGGGGGCGAAGCTTGAAATTGAACGGCGAGTTTAAAAACTTTCTTGAGGTCTTTGAGCAACTTTGAAACTTTTTCAAGTGCTGCCAGAGCTCTCTAGAACTTATAAAATGACTTGACCGCAGTTGGAATGCCTCGAGAGGGGGGGCAGGGACTTGAAATTGAAGACGAGTTTAAAAACTTTCTCGAGGTATTCAAGCAATTTTGAAACTTTTCAAGTGCGGTCTGAGCTTTCTAGAACTTATAAAAATGTCTTGGCTGCAGTTAGAATGGCTCGAGAGGGGGGAACTTGAAATTGAACGGCGAGTTAAAAACCTTCTCGAGGTCTTTAGGCAACTTTGAAGCTTTTCAAGGGCGGTTAGAGCTCTCTAGAACTTATATATTTCTTTGACCGCAGTTGGAATGGCTCAAAGCGCGGGGGGAGGTTGAGGGGGACTTGAAAATGAGCAACTTTGAAACGTTTTTGAATTATTTCGAGTGCTGCCAGAGCTTTCTAGAGCTTATAAAATGTCTTGACCGCAGTTGGAATGGCTCGAAATTAAAATCAAAATTTTTTTGAGGTCTTCAAGCAACTTTGAACGCTTTGAGCTGTTCTGAATGCGTCCAGAGCTTTCAAGGTAGAGGGAACCCTGAAAATCAGTTGTTTCCAGAGTCTTCCCGGCCTGGGCGGCTATTCCGAGTGGCAACTCCGTCAAATGGGAATCCCGACGGTCAAAGAGTGTTTGGAGCTTTATTTGAAATATTCCGGACTTCCTGAAATCGACGAGAAACAATGGGTCTTCTACATGGCTTTTGTCGTTTTCCGCTTCGCCAGCATCCTTCAAGGTGAAAAAATGCTCTAGTGACCACTTGAAAAGTCCCTCAAGGAACACTTGGGGAGGACACTTAAGTGGTCACTAAGGCTACCTCTTGAGAAGCCAATAACTTGTGTCTTAGTGATCTAGTAGAACCGCTTAGTCTTCTCAAGGTTAGCCCCTCAAGTGCCCACTTATTTGACTACTATAGTGACCACTAAAACCTCAAAACCCTACAATGACCTTCTAGGCGTCTACTTGCGCTCCCTGCTCAAAAACGCGTCCTCCACTGAAGCAGCCACTTTACGACCTCTGGTGCGACTTTTGGCTTCTTCCGGCCTCCAAATGGTCCATGAAGCCGAATCGACACAAGAATATGGCATCCTTCCCGTTGTTCCATCCGCTCTGTCGGAAAAAGCCAAGAAATACTACGAAATCGTTCGAGACATCGTTCACAACGATGTGATCCCCTTGGAGAAGGAGCTTCTCGAGTTCTTCGATGGACCGAATCGATGGAGTGGCACTCATCCGAAGATTGAGGCTTTGAAGGTTGGTTGGAGCATTTCCAAGTTGACTGGTGTTCGTAGTCATTTCAGAGCAGTTTTGGGTACCTAGAACTTTTTCGTGTCGAGACCTTTCAGGAATTTCCCCCATGCTCCTTTAATATAATCATCATTTTTGTTCCCCTGTTTTTCTTTTTTAACCACTATAAGTTTTTTCTTCAAGATGGATTTTGCAGAAAATTTAAATTCTGCCAGATTTATCGCAAAAAAAGAAAAACTAAAAATACCTTCCAAACTGTTTTGGAACGTTTTGAATAGACTATGAATATTTTTTTCACTCTTATTAATTTTTCTCTGCACCTTATTAAGTTTCAAGTTTTCCAGGAAAAAGCCAAGTCATTGGGCGTCTGGAACTTGTTCATTTCCGAGCACATTGATCCAGAAAGGAAGTATGGAAAAGGACTGACGAACGTAGAATATGCGCACATTTGTGAGCTCATGGGAAGATCCATTTTCGCTGCTGAGGTCCATTCGAGAAAAATGATGAGAAGAAATTTGAATGTTTCAGGTCTTCAATTGTCAAGCGCCGGACACGGGCAATATGGAGGTGCTGATTAAGTATGGAAACGAGGAGCAGAAAGAGAGGTTAGAAAAATATACATAATTTTCCATTTTCTCGATTTTCGGTTTTTGCTCACCATTCTGGTCGGACTCGAACAAATGAGTTCTTCTTTCGGAAATAAGAAATGTAAACTGTTTAGAATCTGTGCGAAGTTTCAAGACATTTGAACTAAATTCAGAGAAGTTATACTCAAAAAACTTTTGAAGTGTGTACCACGATTTGGAATTCCGACGAACGACATTCCACTGTTCCGCTGCGAGCTCGGCCGCTTTTTAACTTTTAATTTTTATTTAAGAACTCGACCACCACGTGTTCCTAGTGGAACAGTCCATCTATCAGAAATGAGAACCAATTCAATGCGAGACCAAGGCTCGCAAAGACGCTACGCGACGCAGCGGAACAGCGGAATGTCGTTCGGGGAAATTTCAAGTCGTGGCACACAGACTATACCTTCATGGCCAGTGCTGTATTGGGCTGCTTATGAAGAATTTTTGAAGAAGCGTTGCGGTTGCGTTGCGTTTTTGATTAAGTTCCAGCTCACTGTGGGTTTTTTGAATGAGACTGGGATCACTAGACGCAGTTTTATCATGCTTTTCTCGAATATATTGCTGAGAATTGGCCTGTTAGGTTTATTAGGAAAACCAGAGGGGTTAAAGGACATTTATAACCGTAACCGACTAGCATGTCCCTTATAAGCCGGTAACTGAAGCTGCATGACCCTTTTTGCAAGCTCCAGTGGCTTTTATAGGTGGAGGTAAAGTGGTTCCTAGAGGGGAATCTTCAAGAGCCCTAAACGGACCACTTTGGAGTTAGTAAGCACAAAGTTTATTTAAAAAATACAAGAACACTGCATCTAGTGGTAATTTAGAAGGTCCTTTGGGCCAAGTTGAAGTTGCGCCCGACCTCTAAAAAACGTTGAAAAGATCCGATTCTTCCAGATGGCTCGTCCCTCTTCTGGAGGGGAAAATCAAGAGTTGCTTCGCAATGACTGAACCGGACGTGGCCAGCAGCGATGCCACGAACATTCAGGTCAGTCGACCGCGACGCATCGAGTGACGCGTAGCGGTTCTTGCAGGGGTCTATTTCGCGCCATGGAGATGAGTACATCATCAACGCGAGAAAATGGTTCATTTCCAATGCTTCTCATCCGCTTTGTAAGGTTGCTATCTTCATGGGAAGGGTTATTGGCGATATGGTGAGATAAAACTTGAAAAAAAAATGTCAAGAAGATTCCTAGAAATCAAGGCTATTCCAACAGTCGATGATATTGGTTCCAATGGACAGTCCCGGCGTGAAAATCATCCGAAATATGCATGTTTTCGGGTCACAAGATGCTCCAGGTAGGTATAAAGGATAGTTTATTCAACTTTTACGAGGTCTTCAACCCTCAAAATACTCTGGCTTGTCTGCCCTCTCTTCTTTCTCACCGAAAAAAAAAGAGGCACAGATTTAGGTACTTTAGAGACAGCCCCTGTATAAAGTGGTCCCTGTAGGGGTGAAATCAAGGGGATTCTTAAAGGGGTTTAGGGTCTGAAAATTTAGTCCCTAAAGCTTGAGTGGTCCCTATAGGTATCCTTCAATTTTATCAACAAAAAAAACTATTTATTTAGTTTTTCGTATGGAAATCCTTCTCCGCATAGAGTTCATAAAAATTATTGACTAGTATGTCCCCTATAGGGACCACTTTTCCAAACGTTAGGGGTTCCTACAGGGGCTGGCAAAGTTCAAGAAGGGACCCTCCAAGGGCCCTTAGCTTGCCTCTATAGGGACCACTCTGGAGCTCCTAAAGACGGCAGATTTTTTAATCAAAGATTTTTCGAGTCGTGAAAATTTTTGTGCTTCACCCGATTCGCCAAGACGGTCTAACTTGTCTGCGCTCTCTTTTCTTTCCCTTCCCTTACTTCTTCAGCCAGAGAAAGGAGAGCAGACAGGCCAGAAAGTTCAAGTCCTCGAAAATCTCCCACTCCAGGTGGTCATCCTGAAATCCTCTTCGAGAACGTCAGAGTCCCCGCAAGCAACGTGATCCTCGGCGAAGGTCGGGGCTTCGAAATCGCCCAGGGCCGATTAGGGCCGGGCCGAATTCACCACGCCATGCGACTGATTGGACACTGTGAAAGAGCGATTGACGTCATGAAGGAGAGGGTGAGATTCGTGCTCATTATCACTGAACAGGTGAAGATTCCAGGTAGCTTATCGAACCGCCTTTGGCAAGAAGCTGGCTGGGTTCGACTCGATTCGGAAGGAGATCGCTCAGTCGAGATGTGACGTCGAACAAGCTCGACTTCTGGTGCTCAAGGCGGCCCATATGATCGACACAGTTGGAGTCAAGGTGAACTGCGCTCTATTGGGACATAGTGATTATGAAAGCTTTTCCTGTCACTACCAACAAAAACTCTACTTCAGACGGCCAAGTCGGAGATCGCGATGATCAAAGTCGTCGCGCCAAACGTCACCCTGAAGGTCGTGGACCGTGCCATGCAAATGCAAGGGGCGCGCGGTTTCACCGGGGACACGCCCCTTTCATCGTTCTTCGTCTGGGCTAGAGCACTTCGCATGGCTGATGGACCTGATGAGGTGAGGCTGAACGCTGGGAACTCTGTGGTCGCATTTGGAATGGTTCAAAGGATTGCGGTCCTTAGGAAAATTGTTCAACCAACCTTGAAGAAAAAAAGCGCTTTTTCATGATTTTGAGCTTAAGTGTGTAGTTTTTAGGCTTCATATCAGTTCTGAGCGTGTTTATGATTCAAAAAAAAAAAACCAAAAAATTTAAGAAATCCATGAATCTTAGGTTCACCTCGAAACGATCGCCAAGCACGAGTTGAAGAGTCGACTTTAACGCAAATTATTTTCGCCTAGTTTTCAAAACTTTTGTGAATGAACTTCTTTGATTTCAATTTTTTTTTTCTGTGCACCCTTGGTGTTTTTTAAGGCCGACCTTATCAATAAGGTTGTTCAATTTGTTGGATAATTCGTGATTTTCATGTCCTTGTTCAGCCAGATTAACTCGTTCATAAACTTAACCAAAGAAAAAAAAAGTACAATACACAGTTTCACATTTCTTCAGTTCCGAGGCAGACAAAGTACTTTGACGCTCTGGCTTTCTTGGTACCTTCACAGCAAGTGACACGGGGGAAGACACACCATTTGTGATTGCACCTTGCCGATCGCTCGCTCAGGCCCCTGGAAGACGTTTTTCAAGCTTTCTTGGATCAAGCATTGATCAGAAAACGAACCTGCAGCGCTTAGGGTCGTCACTCAGGCAGCTTCTGATTTGCTCGATCCGACCGCAACCTCCGCAGGTGTCGCTGCAAACTGCGTCTGGCTTATTTATCCATTCCGACCAGCCGGATTTTACGGAATCGACCTGAAGTATGAAAATATACTGTTTCATTAGAATGAAATCTCACCATCACCACACAAAGGACGGCAAACGTCAGAACGACACCAAAACTCGGAAGAAACTTCATCGCGACGCTTCATTTCGTGACAAATTTTCCTAATTTATACTCCAATTCCATTCTCACGAACTGTGGGAAGGAATAAATTATAATAAACGCTTTTCGAAAACAAATAATGTGCATATATTAAAATTTGCACCACGCCAAATCAAACAAATATTTTGTTCATCAGAGGACACCTTGTTGCAAAGAAGAGGAGTTTTTTTAGGAAGCGGACAAACTTTTCGAGCTCTCTGCAGGAGTAAAAGGAATAGGCTCAAAAAAGGCTGCAAAATGGCCGCAGAAAAGCAACAAAAAGGCTGCAAAAGGGCAGCAGAAAGGCAGCAAAAAAGAGTCCCTTTATCGAGCTTTCCATTTTTCTAGAACTGTAAAGACTCAAGAAATGGCGGAAAAAAAGAGATTACGATAATTTCCTTGGTTATTGTGACATTGCAAAACTTTTAAATAAGTTCCTTGATTTCTAGAAGTCGAATTATGACATACCGAAAAAAATTAGGGTTTTTAAAAAATAATAACTTTTTTCTAGGAAGCCAGAGACCTTTCGGCCTGAATTTTAACACTTCTGACGTCTTTTCCTATCGATTGATGTGAAATCAGGAAAACATTTTGAACAAGATTGATTTTTTTTTTTCTCGATTCATCAATGAAAATGAAGAATTTTGTACGATGACGTCACGATTTCAGGTCTTCCGATGACATCGAGATTCTATCTCAACTTCTCCAAAAATAAAGACATACTTGAAATCAGAAAAAAACTCTGAATGAGATAGACCCTTTACTACAGATTAATCGATCAAAATGAAGAATTTTGTACGGTGACGTCACGATTTCAGGTCTTCTGATGAAATAGTCATTACGTTCGCTAAAATCGAGTGTTTGTTACTAAATGGGCTAATTTGACAGTTGACCAGTAGCCTTCAAACTTTGTGAGAAAGCTCAGTGGGACCCCTTTAACAGTTCACAAAAGGTTTCCGAGTTTGTTACATGCTTCGCGACGTCTTCGAGCTATACAGCCGATTCAGGACTAGCTTGGGACGCTAAGGGGGCGTGGCCTGTCTGAGCTCTCCACCTACCAGGCACTATCACTTTTATCAACATGTCAGGACTGTTTTTTTGAATGGCTGAGTCAGCTGTAGGACAGGCTAAAATATTTTCTTGTTGAAGTTCTTTGAAGTGTTCTTTAAAAGGTTTCTTAATTTCTTGGTTTTCGCTACGCAAACGGTAGATATTCTTTTGGGTCGAAGTTATTATTCCCCTCATTGTGAATGTCTATTCGCCGGAAAATCGGGTCATTGAGCGATGAAAAAGAGATGATCGGACGCGAATATCCCGCCCTTAGACTCACACTTTCCTTCCAGACTACTATTCAAGTGGCAGTTTTCGCGATTTTGTTCCTTTCTCACACTATTTTGAAGCCATCGCTTAAACTTTGTAAGGGTAACGACTGTAAAAGTCAAGATTTTAAAGACTATATGTAGGAAAGAAGTGCTTTGAAGCCCTGAGTTTTTTTTTTTCCAAAAATCATCCCAATTGTTCCGGAAATTTTCTTTTTTTTGAACACGCTTCCTGCCTAATATCAAAGTTTTCTTCAATTTTTTCTTTCCGAGCTTCTGATTTCATATGAAGAAGCTGTGAACGGATTTGACCGCTTTGAATCCAAACGCTGGCTCTTTTTCGTTTTCACATTTTATGAGATTATTTTCAGCTCGGTTAGAAAATTTTCGAAGAAAATCTTCTGCAGTTTTTTTCTCCATAGAAAATGGTGCTTCACAAAAATCTTTCTGGTGCAAAATTTAGGTTTTTGGACATTTTTGTGCTGAATCATCCACTTCAGAAATGAAAAAGTTGCCATTTTGAGTGATATTTTAGTATAAGTTTTGTTTTTTTCAGAATGTTTAGAAAAATATCTAGTTAAATATAGATTTCGGATTTTTTTTTCTAGAGAAGAAGGTTCCTTGGGAGCCTTCAAACCGTTCATAGGAAGCGGATTTTTTTTAAAACCTCGGCGCGATTTGACGTTTTCCTAACGTTTTCGAAAAAAAGCGACTCGAAATTATTTTCACGAGGCATTCCATTTTTTTTCTTTTTTTCATAGTTTTTGCAATTTTCAAGAATTTCTGTCTAATATTATAGTACATCAAGCCTAAAAACGCTTTCTTCTTCTGGGTCTCACAAAAAATAAAATAAAGCGGCTATTTTTGAACTTTTATTTATTTTTTAAACCTCGGAGCATTTTTCGACAGATTCATGTCGTTTTTTCAAAGACACGGCTTGAATTTTGTTGATATTTACACGAGGCCTCCAAATTTATCATTATCCAAAGGAAAAACTTTATTAACCAAGAAGCCTTGTTGAAAAACAAAGCAAATTTTGATCAGTTTTTGTGGGATTATTGGAAAATCTCCCATCCAAACTCAAAAAAACCCAAAGATGGTATCATTATAAAACTCGAAGGAGGTAGACTATTAAAAATTTCTCCCAAAAATCAAAAAAATCACTTTTCCTCCTTGAGGACGCTAACAAAGGCTAACCAACTCTTCTACTCCTCAAGCCTAATGCCCAACCTCAATTGCGCCTCCTCTGACGTCGGCGAGATGATCCAGGTGGTGGAGAAATCCATCGTGGATCTCATGAAGCATCAGGAAGCTCTACACGACAAATTTAGACTGCTTCAAGTGAAACTGAGCGAAAATCCTCCACCACCGCCACCGTCACCAAAGCGGTCGCCCACTCCACCTCCGCCGCCGCGGAATCCATCTCCGCCACAAGGATACTTGAACCCGGTCCAACCAGAAAGCGAGCCCGACGCTTCTCCGATACAATCGAAGAACTCTTCCTCAGCGCCCTCAGCGACTCCGGAAACCTCCCAAATGTCTTCAGCACTAGCACGGACAGAACGAACAGCACGAAATTTTTTTCGCCACAATTGTTTATTGCACATGTTTTTTAATGAATTGACGTGAGACACGTCACTCTCAGAATAGAGGGGATGTTACAATGGAACCGCGCTCTGGGCGCAGCCTGTTGTAGCGTCCTTGAGGATGCTAACAAATGCGCCTCCTGCTCCAGCTCCTATTTAAGGCGCCGGCGCAGCCGACGCTAAAAGAGTCTGTCGCCCCGCGCACCGTCTCGCACAAACCTTTGTTCTGTACACAGCCTAAAGTACCTCTCCATTCTATGGAACCAGTGGAGAGGTAAAAATATTTCCAAATACCTCATCGATACCCTTTTCACATTCAAAAACTTGCTCATAGTAGAGAAATTCATTTAAAAAATTTATTTTTTAACAGATCACCTGAGGACTAATTATCACTACGTACATGGACCACTGCTCTTCGCATCGTTTTCGAAAAAAATTATCTTTCGAATCAGTTGAGACCAAGAAATATGAAAAAAACAAGCAGCTTTGCTTGGTAAGGACCAAAAAAAAAAATCGAAAAAGAAGGTTCTTTTGAAACCTTCACACCGTTCATAGACATCGGAGTTTTCGTTATACATTTCTTTCAGCCCTCGGAGCAGATTCTCAAAATTTTTTTCTGAAAATAACTTGAGTTTTGTTGATCTTTGCACGAGGCATCAAACTTTCTTTTCTTTTTGTTTCAAAATAGCTGCGATCACAACTTTTCTGAATCCTTCAGCGGGGGACCAACTTTTGATTATTTTTAATGGGTCAGCTTGAAAAAAAAGCAGCAATTCTTACTTCTCACGCGTTTATGTAATTGCAGAACGAGCTAAAAATTTAAAAACTCATCACATTTTTTTTGTCATGTAATCCCCTTGAAGGTGTGAGATATCGTATCTCAGCATCTGTGTAAATCACTAGTCTAGCCAACGAGAAGAGATAATACTTCCTATGAATCCTTTTGCAGGGGGGCCAGAGCAACTTTTGGTTATTTTTAATGGATCAGCTTGAAAAATAAGCAGCGATTCTTGCTTCTCACGCCTTCATGTCATTCCGGAACGAGAGGAATTTTCAAAAACTCATTGTCGCGGCCAATACGCGGACAGGAACCCGCCTCCTCTCATAGGCGGCGATAGAGAAAGAGGACACTATAAAAGGCAACGAACACGAGGAAACGGGACCCTCGGGAAACCTTCTCAACATCACCAAGAAACTATATTCGCTCCCAATAAAGATTCAAGCCACTGGACCACATCTACAACCGAAGAAAGGCAGTAGCCACCACACACATCAATTTTTTTTATCATGTTATGTCCTTGAAGGTGTGAGATATGCTATATGTTACGATGGATTCGCGCCCTTGTAGCGTCCTTGAGGACGCTAAAAAAGTGGCCTCCTGCTCCAGCTCCTATTTAAGGCGCCGGCGCAGCCGACGCTAAAAGAGTCTGTCGCCCCGCGCACCGTCTCGCACAAACCTTTGTTCTGTACACAGCCTAAATTACCTCTCCATTCTATGGAACCAGTGGAGAGGTAACATACATCAGTGTCTCTCTGTAAATCGAGAAGTAGAGATAATATTGCCTACACAGCACCCCGCACCTATACCGTTAATCCAGCGCAGATTATCTCTAACCGATAACATGGAGGTCGCACCTCGGTTCCCTTTCGAGATGAGACAACTTACTACGGAAATGGGAAAAAATACCACTGAATCTCATCAAGGGTTCGAACACAACAGCTTAATTTACATGGTACCATACGGCCAAATTCTCCGATCTGCACTAGCTCGGACATAAGACAAGTGGAAGGGCCTACGAAAAAGAGCCTGTCCAAAAACCAAAAGATCTGTGAAAATGTCAGCTCACTGCAGTAAGCTCTAGAAGTCTTCTGGAGCAGCTGGAGAGTTTTTATCTTAAGGAAAATCGCGACGTTTTTTACAGAACTGGATGTTCGAGTGTCGTTGCTGACTATCTACAACAATTCGTTCTTGCAAAAAGTCGGCTTTAACCAAATTATCTTCCGAAAAGTTTCCGTAAGGGGGACAGAAAAAAAAAACTGATAATGGCACAAACTTCCAGTCACGAAACTTCAATATATATTCTCAAATCTGCACGTTACATTTTTTAATCACACGTTTTTCTTCTTTGACGCGACACATTTCCTACAAGATTCAAAAACTTAAAATTGAAAAAAATACATATCCTACATAGCAACTAGAAGTTGGGGAAAAATTTGCTTCAATTTCTTCAAGAAAAACCAAACACGACTAAAAAAATTTAATTTTCAAACTGATCATATACATCGGACTTGATTCTTCAAATTGAAAAGGCTGAAATCAGCTGAAAGGTCTCATATGACGTCATGGGAAACTTTCGTAAACAGCAGGAAAAATTAAAGGCGCATGTTCAATGGGTCATGAGACGAATCCATTTCACATTTAAAAAAAGCGCTACTTTTCTTTTTCGTTTTTTTAAAGAACATGCTGTGTTAAAAAAGAAGTTCCGCGAAATTCAAAATAGCCGCCACAGAGTGAGAAAAATAACTGAATTTCGCGGAAGTTGCTTCGAAAACGGCATGTGCGAGGGTGCCGCAGTGCATGCACACTACACACTACACTTTACGGAAAAAAATATGGACATGGCGTTGTCTAAAAAAAAAGGCCGTGCCAGAACAGCAAATTTAGAAGAGAGAAATCGAAAATGCCTAGGAGAAATTAAAAAAAAATCCAACCTTTTTTTATAGTAATAGGTTTTTTTTAATTTGCAATAACTTTTTGTACTGTTTTTCAAATTGAAATGATTAATCAAAAATGAGATTCTATAAGTCATTCACAGCCGTGTAGTGCACAAACTGGACAGAAATATCCCGATTAAAAAAACGACCTTTCGTCACGAAACCTGTAGGATTTCGCATTTCGCTCGATGCTCCTTTAAGATCAACAGCAAGTTCTTATAAACAAACTACAGAAATTGATCCAGAACAAACATTGCTATTATATTTTTTCCCGACATTATAATTATTAGCTTGGTCAAGGTAAGGCGGAAGTAGCTTTTCGTGCGGAAAATTTCAATAGAAACCTTTATAAACAAGTCTATTTCTCAAAATGAAACTGGTCGTGGCTGATTTATCGAATTTCTTTGGCAATAATACCAGCAAAACTTTCCGGCGGTAAGATCCAATGATTAAAATAAATGAAAGGGGCAATAATATTGGCATCAATTGGAGAGGTGTCCAGGTGAAGAGCATACTGGGGACTCTGAAAAAAGGCTTGTTTAAAATAATTTCTTTCATAGTTATTTGATCCCTTTACTAAAAATTGTTCAGCGCGACCGACTCTTGGCGACTTTCGCCTTGGATCATGCATCCATCTGGCTGCCTAGCACTCTCTCTATTTCCTGTTATCTCCCGCCCCTTGATAGGTGATCCTGATCATACGAAATTGAAAAAAACTCACTGAACCAAACACCTCGGAAGTGAAATGAAAGGCATGACGGCGGCCATCGAAAAAGGTATAAAGAAAAAACAAAATATGCAAAAATGAACAATTTCCAAAATCAAAACGAGTTTCCTCTGACGTCTCACGTATTTCGAGGCAAATGTGTTCTTTGTGAGATGCTTTAAAAATCTGAAAAATAAAATTTGAAGTTCAAAATTTGGGGATAAAGACTCACAAAACTAAAGCGGCAGTGATTGGAAGGATCGTTAAAAAAGCCGTGGCCGTATAAATTATCAAAATGGCGACCACTCCAACTGTTGGTAGAGGTACGAAGAAACTCCAGTCGTTGAAGAGTTCTTGGAGTCTGGAAAAATCGAAAAAAATAAACGAATTTTTGAAATGAAAAAAATTTTTTTATTCGAAGTAGATATTTTTTTGATAAAAAAATTAATCTCGAGGCTGTCTTTTTGTATAATTTCGATAACACGATTTTTTTCAAAAATAGGTAGAGTTTCACTCACAAATTTAGGACCAGAATTTCTAGAATTTTTGAAAAAAATATTTATTTTTTTGGTGACCTCTCATACGATTTTTGAAAAAAACCTTCTCTCTTAAGTGACCACTCCACTCCAGATTTTTGAAAAACCTTACCTCTTAAGTGACCACTCCAGGCTAGGATAGCAGAATATCATATGAAAGAAATCACTTGAAATTTGAGCAGGCATCTCTTTTTTCAACTTTTGAGAGAAAATGGGAAACTTTTCTAGCCTCATATGACTTTAAGCTTCAAAAAAAACTCACCTGGGATCAAACTCCAGAGCTTCTTGCTTGGTTCTACTCATATCGAACTCGACTCCACATACAACCATCGCATAGGCCGAAAACATCGGCGTACTCCAGAATATTATCAAAAACTTCTTCGTAAACGACAAAGTTCCTTTCCAATCTTCTGTCCATGGTAACCGATAAAGAGCCGTCGCAATGAAGTTCTGCAGAAAGCTGTAGGCGAAGAAGGCGGCGAAAAAAGCGATCAAATTGATGATGGCCATGATTTGGAACGGGATCCAGGCTTCTGGGAGACGAGTTAGATAGACCGAGTATGGAAGCAGCTGATAAAGAGTTGAAGTTGATACTACAACTGTTAGAAGATTGAGCAAAAGGAGCTGGATGATCAGAATCCTCTGGTAGATCTTCAGAGTGTCCCGGGAGCCTCGGAGCATTCGGATAGTCAAAAATGACAAAATTAAGCCGGTTACTGTTATGAAAGCGTCGGTTTTTGCGACCAGCTGGAAGTATTTCCTGAAATTAGGATGTCAGCTGGTTGCATGGTATGCATGTCAGCAGCTTCTTTTAGATTGCGCCCGACTTGAAAACTACTTACGACCATCCGTAACGTTTACTACACTCATAGGCAAAGTCGGAAAGGGTGGAAGAGGCTCCATAGAAACGTTCCTTTTTGCTGCCTTTTTGCGCCATTTTCTCAGCCTTTGTACACCATTTTTGCTGCTTCTCATTTCTCCACCTTTTCTCGAGCCTTTAAAATCTCAGAAAAAATAGAAGGTTTGATAAAGGGACTCTCTTTACTGCCTTTTTGCTGCCTTTTTTGAGTGCCCGAGCTTAAAGTGAGCCGCAGCGGAACCGCAACGCTTCGAGCCATTCCAAATGCGACCAGGCGGTTTCAAATCGTGGATAATTTGGCACAAAGAAAAAAATATATCGATTCTTCAAAATAGTATGAATTTTAGTTGGCTCTGCCTTCTACTACAATATATCGCATCTTGGCGCAGTTCGTGAGACCTTGACTACCGTTATCGATTTGCGAGTTCAATCCCTTCCCCGGCCGAAAAAATTTTTGCAAAAAGTCTGAATGAGGCAAACTGGATTTTATTCAACAAAGAGGCAATTTTGATAAAATCCTCATGAATATTTATCCTTTTGCTCGGCTTTTCAAAGCTTTATTGATTTTGAAACGTGCCAAAAAAAATTTTTCTCGAAACGATTCAAAAATATTTTTCAGACCTACCAGTTCAAAAAGCAACTTTTTACCTTTCTTTATGAAGCTTGTAGGCGTCGTAAAAGTCGTTGAAGTAGAAATCAATAAAATAAATACCGACCCGGGCTTCCAAGCCGAGCATTTCAATACGAAACTCGAAAGCAAAGTGGTTTTTTTTTCTCAAAAGTAATCATTTTGACGATGTAAAAACTCCGTCAAAACACACAATTAGAGTCTGAACACCCCTTAGGTGGGGAATTTGAACGATGGGAGTAGGTTGAAGCTAGAAATTCGTTCTTAATCCAAAAAAAAACCTTTTTTTTCGATAAAAAATGTTTTTTTCCACTCAGTTTCGGTGCAAGGAACATGTCAAGAACTTAAATTTTCAATCGAATTTGCTTAAAAAAGGTTTTTCTTTATTTTTTAAACTACTGAGACTTTCAAATTTTTTTTTTTGACCTGAAAAAATTTTTTCTGTTCATAATAACTGAAATCGATCCAAAAAAATACCCGATTTCGGTTGGAAAAACAAGTGGGATTTTGCTGAGAACCGAAAAAAACAATGCATTATCTGCACATCATTCATATATTTTTGTTCTACAATAAAGTTTTTTTAAAAACTGAATTTTTTTCTATATGCAGATGTCAATTCATAAAGACTATGGACATTTTTCAAAATTTTTCCAGCCCAAGTTCTCAAAAATTGCATCGAAAATATGTCCTGAAAATTCATCAAAGATAAGAAAAAGGCCGGAAAATCAAGCTTATCAAGCACAAAACCATCTTTGGGCATAAATCACACGAAAAATTGTGTTTTTTGGGTAAATTCTAGCGACGAAGCCAAGCTTGACGTGCCCTAAAATCAGTGATAAAATCACAATTCCGGTCAATTTCGGGGTTGAAAGTGTGATGATAAGCTTTTTTTTCGTGATAGGGTGATAACTGATAACTGATAGAAAAGGCGACCTTTCAAAGCGCCTCCACGTTTGGGACGTGTTTTTGTCCATAACGACTTTTTTTGATTTTTCAAAGTTTTCAAGTTGAACTTTAGAGCAAAATCCCATTGAGAATTTTCTTTTACTCGAGATTTGGCTCTCTTTTCCCATTTATTGACCTATAGGGATCACTAGAATCATATAGAGATCACTATAGGGATCACTAGAAAACCTATAGGGATCACTAGAAAACCGAATGATTCTAGATCCCTATAGGTCCATCAATTTTGAAACTTCAAGTTGACTGCACTTTTTCGACAAATTTTGAAGATTTCGTACATTTTCATTCCTAGAAATGTCACTTCACATTCCGGCCGGTGGGATCCTGGGAACTCATGTGACTTGGCGTGACGTCGAGGAGGAGCTCCAGACGACTCTCAACACGTCTTCTCATTTCGGCCCCGATAAAAGTGTCACCAATATTGGAGATATGAAGGTTTATCAGTGATAAAGAGACACAAAGGGACAAAAATAAGCAAAAACGGGCTTGAAAATGGTCAAAAGAAAAAATCACATGGAAGCTTCTTAACAGAAAAAAATATGTAGTTTTAGGCATTCTCGTAAAATCGAAGACTTTAAAGGCTCACGATTTTTTAAATTAACTTTTCAGGGCTTCATGTCCCGAATCTGCCTGGTCCAACCCGACTGGCAAGGGGAAGACGTCGAGAAACTACCCCAAAAATTTGTCGTCAAGGTTTTTCACATCACCTTTTCCGGTTAATTAAGATTTTTCAGATCTCTTCTCAACTCGCTTTTGTAGAAATGGAGGAAAAGTTCAAGGCCATGGGTGGAGAATTTATCTCGTCAGAAAAGCTCGAGGGATTGGTCGAAATTTGCAAACAGGTTGGAAATTTTTCAAGCCCCTTTTTTAACTTTTTTTTAGGCTCACAACTGTGAAGTGGCGACTTATAAACTACTCAAACGCGAGAATAATCCACACATTCCTATTACGAAGGTAAGAATTCATCAATTTATCGATAGAGCAAGGAATCCTCACAGATTTACGCCTCGAGGGGTTATTCTGAAAGCAACAAGCTGAAAGGATTTCTGGTCTCCGAATTACTGGAAGATTTGTACTCGGTTCCCGCGTATGAAACGATTTCCGCCAAGGATATTCTTCAGGTAACCGATTTTTTTGGTCGCATTTGGAATGGCTAGTCGTGTCGCGGTTGCCTTTTTGGTCGCTCGCAGCTTTCGCGCGACGTCATCTTGTAACCTAAATGCAAAGTCGCTTCTGGTCGGGTGCAGAACAAAATGACAAACATTTTTGTCGACTGCAAATTTTTGAGCTTTCACGTCATAATTTCGAATTTTATACTATATTCCCATACTTCCAGTTGATGACGTCATAATTCGTCGTAATTTTAAATATTTCTCCGACCATTTTAATAAGCGTGAAACTTGATGACGTCACTAAACACGATGAACGACGTCATATCTTTGAGAGTTTCCTGAACTTCTTCTTATAGCGTGAAAAAAGATAAAAAGCAGGTCCGCATTCATTTTACTCACTTTCCCAGTTTGAAAAAAAAATCAAATCTGTAGAAGCTATTTAATAACGCGTCCGACCTGAAACGACTTAGGCCAAAACGCATTGTTAAGCATTAAATCCGTAGAAACTCTTTCATAACGCGTTTGACCTGAAACGACGCGCGCCAAAACGCATTGTGAATCGTTGAAACCGTAGAAGCTTTTTCAAGATGCGTCCGACTTGGAGCGGCTTGTGCCAGAACGCATCGCAAACGAAATATGCCTTAGAAGCTCTTTCATAACGCGTCCGACCTGGAACGGCTTGCGCCAAAACGCAACGCGAAGCATTTAAACCGAAGTAGCTTTCTTAAGGTTCGTCCGACTTGGAACGGCTTGCGCCAAAACACATTGTAAAGCATTAGGCGCCGCTTCCATACTTTTATTAAAAAACCGCGACGCTACGAGCCATTCCAAGTGCGATCATGGCATTTGAAGTCCCTTCTAGGATCAATTATTTCATATTTCAGCCTCTGAGAGCGATCGCCGCTTTCACTTCCCTCGGTGAAAAGCTTCCTGAAGAAGAATTTGATCACGTAGACCGTTCGGATTTCGCCGCGAAGTTCATTGAAGCCGCTTTTGATGATACGGTATGCATTTGACTGCATAAAAACGTTAAAAAAAATGGATGTTTAAGGCAGTCCGATCCACGAAAAACCTGTTACTTCAAAGCGTCAGCGAAGAGTACAAGGAAAAGACGGAGAAGCTGAACAATTTGATGGATTTCTACTTCAAACCGGAGTATTATAATAAACTTCAGTTCATTCCTGAACATTTAGGTAAAATTTCAGAAGCATCTTAGTGCATTATTAATTTATCAAGGCTACAAAAAGGTGCTGGTTCACAGTGATTTATGGTCGACTAACATGCTTTTCACGAAACGCTAGGACAAAAGCTTGAAACTTCGGGCGGTTATCGATTGGCAGGTGGGATCTCACCTGGTTTCCTAATTTAAATCAATGTATATTGTTCAGACAGTTTCATTCAGTAATCCTGGCCAAGATATGTGCCGCCTAATGATCGCTTGCATGAAGGGAAAGGTGAATTTTATCTTTCCCATTTAAAATTTTTTTGTGTTTCCAGGAACGGCGTGAGAACTGGGAAAAGCTTCTGGAGCAGTTCTACGCTTGGTTCGAGGAAGACATGCAGGACAGACCGATGCCCTACACTTTGGAGCAGGTAAACCGTGCGCTGGTTGCATGTGGGCGGGGCTTGGGGTTTTTGAGAAATATGAATTCGAAAAGTAGTAGTTGAGAAAATTATGTTTCAAGATACTGCAGAAATCTGAACGCTAAATATCAAAATAATATTTTTTTTTCCACTTCGAATCAGGTTAACCGTGCACCGGTTGCAAATGGGCGGGACTAGAGGTTCAGAGGGTTTCTGTCCATTTTACCCTAAATAACTTGAAAAAAAGGGACTTTAAGCTTTTGGATAAGTTGATAGACTATAAAATCTTCGAATGAATGCTTTGTAGATTTTAGAACAGGTAAACCGTGCACCGATCGCATATAGGCGGGACTTGAGATTTTTAAGGGCTTCTTTCAATTTTACCGCAGAAAACTAGAAAAAAAGGGATTTTAGGCTTCTGGATAACTTGGTAGACTATAATATCTTCTAATGAGTGATGTGTAGATTTTAGAACAGGAGAGCCGTGCACTGGTTGCATATGGGCGGGGCTTGAGATTTATTGAATTTTTCTGTGCCAAATAGCTGTTTTTTCTGAAAATTTGTTTGAAGATCGATACAAGTTTACTTTTATCAGTTTCATAAAAAAAATTTTTCAGCTCAAAAAATCCTACCGTATGTACTTCCCGATTGCTGCATTTTTCGTACTGCCAATGATTGGACCAATGTTGCAAATGGCCCAAGGCGATATGGACGAGGATATTAAAGCTGTGGTGAGACTTAATTGATTCTGAAAATTGAAAAAGTCATGGTTTTTTCAGATCAAAGAAGCGGCCATGGAGAAACTCTACTGCCTGATTGAGGACGTTTTGGAGATGCACGAGAGAAATTTGAAAGAATTCCCCGATTTTCATGATGTTTAGCTTGTTTTTATTATACGATTTGGGTATGTAAAGTTCAATAAATTCTATGAATAAGTTTATTTTTGATTATGTCATTTCTAGTCGGTTTGAATAAAGGCTCCAAAAATTATAATGACGTCAAGATTTTTAAATCTGACGTCATTCTGAGCAAGTTCTGACGTCATAGCGTGAATGGAGTCTGTTTCAAATCGAAAATTTATGTTTCTATCTCATAAAGTTTGAAAATAAAAAAATTTGAAAAAAAAATTGAAATAATTTTTTTCAAAATTTTCTTAATGACGTCATAGCTTATAAGTATGACGTCATTTACTGCATTTGATGTGGTCGATACTCGAAATAATGAAGTCATCGACTCTGTGCAGAATGAAATTCTATTAATGACGTCATAGGCTTTTTTTTCATAAGCCCCTAAAAATTAATTCAATATGACGTCATAAATCTTTTTTTCTTATCATTTCCAAGTTTATTAAAGTAAAAACAAAAATAATTAAGCGAAAAGTGAAAAAAGCAGAAAAAATACGGTGGTATGAAAAGAACACCAGCGAATATTCAAACGGCGACTTTTCCGATTTTTTCATATCGCTAGGGAACTTTCCGACGGCTACCTTTCCGACGAAATTTTTTTCCGACTTTTTTTCCTTTATATTTTTTTCGGTTCATAAGACATCTATTTACTTTTTCCTATGTCTTTGTGTTTTAATCATGAACCAACTACCTACTTTATATAGAAAGATTCAAAACTAAGATTTTATCGAGAAAAAAAGTCGGAAAAAGATTCGTCGGAAAGGTGGCCGTCGGAAAGTTCCCTAGCGATATGAAAAAATCGGAAAAGTCGCCGTTTGAATTTTCGCTGGTGTTTTTTTCATACCACCAAAAATAAATGGATTGAATCTTCTGTTTGAATAGAATGTCGACACGTAGACGAAGGGAAAAATATATGGAAGCACTGGGTGCAAACATGAGCAATGAAAAGGTCAATTTCAAAAAGTTTCGAGACCCGTGGGAAAATTTCTTTTTTTTTGTTGCATCACAATGGGAGCCGAGGGCTGACTAAGGTAGAAGAGGACGACGACGGGGATCGTGACGGCCGAGAGGAAAAATGTCATGAAGATGACGTCGAGTCGCTCGGAGATGAGCACGTAGCCGTTGGTCGTCTTCCGCTTCAGAATCTCCATGCTGCTCTCTTGGAGCTCCATCTCGTCCAGCTCGTACTGAAAAAAAGGATTCATTATTTTTTGAAGGAAGAGAGTTTAGAGAAAAAAAAGGTCGGTGACTTCTGAAGAGCTATGTGGGTTCGGTTAACATTAAGAACCTGGTCCAGCTCAAACTGAAAGAAGTTGAGTTGGACCCTTAGGGAGCTAGAGTGCACTAAAAAGCGAGAGAGTTTGGAAAAAAAGGCCGGGGTGGTCTTTGGAGTAACTAGATAAGGTCGGTTAACACTAATAATCTGGTCCAGCTCGTACTGAAAGAAGTTGAGTTGGACTCTTTGGAAGCTAGAGAGCACTAGGAAGCGAGAGAGTTTGGAGAAAAAAAGGTCGGTGACTTCTGAAGAGCTATGGTAGTTCGGTTAAGACTGAAAAAAAAAGCCGATAGGCCTTCTGAGGAGCTATGGGAGTTCGGTTCACACTAAGAACCTGGTCCAGCTCGTACTGAAAGAAGTTGAGTCAGACTATTCGAGCGCTAGAAAGCACTAGGAAGCGAGAGAGATTGAAGAAAAAAAAAGTCGGTGGGCTTCGATTAAAACTAAGAACCTGGTCCAGCTCTTACCAAATCACTTTTTCTGAGCAAGCGAAAAGGAGTTTCAAAGGGTCTACAGCATGTTTCTGAGGCATTCTGAGAAGATCGGCGAGATCTCCAGAACATTCCCCACTTTGGTCACTACAGTCTAGTTAGTCCAGCTCATACTGAAATAATTATTTATTGAGTTGGACTCTCAGGAAGCTCTAGAGCACTGTAAAGCATGAGAGTTTGAAAAAGGCATCTGAGGAGCTGGGTGAGTTCGGTTAACCCTAAAAATCTTATCCAGCCTCTCTTAAAAAATTCTTTATTTTCAATTTATCAAGCAGAAGGGATTATAAAGTTCAGCCTACTTCTAAGGGCTTCTGAGAAATGTAAATGAAAGCTTTTCTTGACTTTTGGACTCCAGAATCTTCCGCACTTTGGTCACTATAGTCTAGTCCAGCTCATACTGAGGCGCTTTTTTGAGCATGAGCTTCTGAGATGTAGGATGGTATATAAGAAAAGTTTGGAAAAAACCAATTCTTAGCAGATTTTCTAGTGGAAACTTCAGCTTTGCTTCAAAATTGATAGAAAATTTCCAAAATCTCTTAGACGCTTTAAACTGAAAGGCCATTTTGTTCTCAAAAATATTTTTTTTTCCATTCTAAACTACATTATAGGGTTCCCTCTTCAAACCAGCTAAAATAAACGTTATTTTGAGCTTTGCGAAGCGATGATCGGTCGATTATCGGAGCCTCGAGTCGTCACATTTGCCAATTTATGACCTAGCTCAGCCGCCGCTTTGCGAATCTATTTTCTTTTTTTTTCTCTCTGAGTTGCACGAGGTTTTCTGACCAGCCGTTGGAAACGACTTTCTATTTAGATTTTATGTGGTCTTTGAACTGAAAAAAAGGTAGCGTGATTTTCCTTTTACTGAAAAACTGAAATGATGGCTCCGAACAAGCTACGAAAAACTGAAAAAAGGCAACTAACTCTCGCATTTAAAGGATCTAAGCTTCATATATTCGATTTTTTCAGTAAAAATAAAGTTTGCTTCGCTGAAAAGCCTATAAAAGTTCGAACCTTTAAAAAATTTGCGGCAAGTGCCAAAATTTCTGCAAAAAACATTCATTTTTAAACGCAGTAAACGCTGAAATTTAGTAAAGTTAGGCTCAAGTGCGCTCCAATGACAATTTTCAGCTTACTCTCGCATTTAACCGATATAAGCTACATAAATTCGATATTTTCAGTAAAAATAAACTAGAAAGATGATAAATTTTGCTCCGCTGGAAAGTCTATAAAAATTCGGACTTTTAGAAAATTTGGTGCAAGTGCCAAAATTTTTTGCAAAAACAGCCCAAAGTTAAAGTGCGCTCCAATGGCTCAAGTGCGCTCCAATGACAATTTTCGGTTTTTCGCCGACTTGTGCGTCAGGCCGGGCGGCTTTGGGCCTTATTTTCAGGAAAAAGCCCGCGTGGGCTCGGGCCGGGCTTCAAAAAAAATTTAAAATTTCATTTGAAAAAAATTTTTCACCGAAATGATTTTCTTGAACTGACTTGACTTTTTACCTCTGAAATCATAGTTTTTTTGTTAAACTTTAAGTGAAAAAAATGAGCAAAAAAACATAATTTTTTTGTCGTAAAAAAACTTGATATTCGACTAGAAAAAAATTGTTACATAAACTATATGAAGACAACGAGATTCAAAAAAAGGACGCTAAAAAAATATCAAAAGATGTGAATACCGTCTTACATTTAATTTCTAATAAACTCTGTTCAAATTCGGTTCTTTTTAGATTATAAAATCTTTGTTCCGATCCTTGTCGAAAAAAAAAACATGAAAAACAATAATCGACTAAAAAATTCTCAAAAACGGATCGAAAAACTGTTTTTTTTTGCTCTGTACTGTAGGTTTCCATTCCGCAAGCACGCGACGAAATTGATGGAAAGTGGTTTTAATTTTTTTCCTTTCTCTCAAATTTCGGCTTTTTCCCTTTTTGGAATTTTTATTTTATAATTAACTTGATTACAGAAAAAAACCTTCGCCGCTCTACGAAGAAACTTCTACACGTCTACAGATTATCTTTGGTAATTTTTCAACAACTATTCTTTTCAATAGTTTTTCAGTTTTCAGTTTTCCAACAGCGATTATCAATTTGGAATCTGTGCTTCGAATTGAAGGTGCGCTCCTTTTTTACGTTTTTTTTTTCTTTGCAGGCAAGATGATGAGAAGAAAGTTGGACGCCAATAAATTATGGAATATGAAAAACTGATTATGATGATTTAGATGAGTCATTAATTCCGCTACCTCGTAGAATTAGGAAGCTTACAAACCTCTCTTTCACCAGTAGTTGAAAATCGGGCGAAAAGTCCAACAACAGAAATCGCGCACATTACATAGGACGGGAAAGTCAGCGTGACCATGTAGAAAAGCGGCCTTCTTTTCAAGGAAACTTCGAATTTCACCTCGGATACCTGAAAAGCTTGGGATTAAGTGGAATTTGGGCAGTGAGGCGACAGAACAAAAGCTTTTTTGAAGCTGATAACTGAAAAAAAACGATGATAAAAGGTAGAAGTAGGAGAAATTATCTTGATTGGGATAATTTAAGCTTCCATTTTTTTCAACTCTAATTTTTGCGGGTTGACTGGACTACTATGCAAGTATTTGAAACAATGATTCTAGTATATTTTAAGTCTAACATTTATTATTTTTTGGAACTTTCACATTGGACTTGTTTGGCTTGAATTATTTTCAAACTAAAATCTTACTTTTTCGTGAACTTTATGTTGAAAAAACACCGGTTTTCATGGTTTTACCACGACTTTTGATTTTTCTCAAGCTCTTGAAGAACTGTGAAAATTTTTTAGTGGTCACTTTAGGGTTTTGCCGTTTTAGTAGCCACTATTGTAGTCGAATCAATGGCCACTTAAGTGTCTGGAATTTAGAGGCTTATTAGGATCTTAAATTGTACTACTAGACCATCAAAACTACTGTAGTGGTCACTAAGACGCAAACTAATGGCTTCAATGAACGTCGTTTTAGTGACCACTTCAGTGTTCTCTCTAAAGATTCCTTGAAAAACCACTTAAGTGGCCACTGGAGCTTTCCGCACAATATGATAGTTATTTTGTAAAAATTGACGTTTGTGAGCTCATACTTGAACCCTATCATTGTATACAAGGAAAAAAAAGCGTAATGAGGGCTCAATTTGTGTGTACCTTTGTGGAATTCAAGGAAAAAAAAACTCACACTGATTCCTTCGTGATCGTATCGCGCCTCGCTGACGTTGATGCTCAACAAATGCCATTCTTCATTTTTCTTATAGTGCTCCAGAGAATGGTCCGTCATGGCGTGAAGCCTGATTTTTTCCTGACCATAGGCCCAGGAGACTACCTGAAGAAGGACTTTCTGAAAAAACTGGCTGCAAGTCATCTTTCCATGGTTGTCAATATTCTTTATTTACTTCATCTTGTTCTTTTCATGCCATTTTAACGCTTTATCGGTCCCAAATCCAATCCTGATATCAGTGATAATCAGTGAACTGCCTTTAGTGGCATAATCGTCCTTGTGTGAATAGCTGAATCACGGCTGGCTTGAGCCATCGAAAAAATGGTCCTGACACGATAATGCACGAGATAGCGCCTGGCTCGTGGAGAGCGCAGACAGGACACGCCCTCTGAGCGTCCCAAGCTGGGCGTGATTCAGCCATAACGGCTATCATTATTTCTTAAAAACCCCTTGGTTGGACCGCGGCGGGGATCGAACCCGTGACCCTGTGGACTAAAAAGGGCACACAACCTGGTGCGCTACGGCGCATCTACTACATAAACACTAAAGAATTATTGAAAAAGTTCGTTATGCCTAATCAGACATCTTTCCAATATCTAGGAAATGTCTGCTTTTTCTAGAGACACTTCTTAAGTGATCACTATAAGGCTCAAAGTTCCCGGAGGTCATTTTACTTTGAGATTTGGAATTTCCTAGAAACCCTCAACCCTTTCTAGTTTTTGAGGAACGTCAGAGAAACCTTCAGAATGCGTTTAAATAGGCCATTTTGTGCTCTCTTCCGAATTAAATCCAAAAATTCCCGTGAAAAGCTCATTTCCATTATCCCCACCTCAATAGCACACCGTTGATCGTCCAGAGGGAATTGCTTGATGTTGATCTCGCAGCTGACCGTGTGGACCGCCGGATGGGAGGCGACCACGGTCCCGTTGTAGTGGATCCGTGCCGGCGCTCGGACCGCCGTCAGCAGGTCTTCGTGAGCCAGCCTGGAAGCTTGGACCCTTTAGAAAATGGGCCGCTGCCCAGTCATGTGTCATCTTGCAAGAAAAAATCGAGCTTTGTGGTTTTTAGTGTGCAGTCTTAGTTAGGTGAACCCCTTGGCTAGTTATAGGCTTTTTGAAGGTATCAATGAAAGCATTTTGAGTTAGGTGAGCTTCTTGTTTAGTTGAAGACCTTATCTCTGACCCCAGGCGCCAGCTATCCGCCAGAAAAAGTCATTTCGCGAGCTCGCGCCCATCAAATTTGTGGCGGTTTCCTGGCGATTCTCTGGCGACATAACCAATAGCGCGAATTTGCTTTTTATTACTGTATTTTATATTTCGATCTAAAAATTTTTGGGACTCGCGTTTTTTTTGTCTTTTTTTGTTTTTTTCTATTTGATTTTTTTGCTGATTTCACGATTTTTTTCAGTGTTCGTTTCCTGTTTTGTCCAAACTAGCGCAGAAGCGATGCCGCAATGCAGTTTTGATGTAACAAGCAATTTTTTTCTTGATTTCATTTTTTTTCTGTAAAAAAATTCAAAAAAAGCTGTCTATAGAAGTAGAAAAACTGTAGGTTGCGTAGGTCGTTCAAAGAAAGAAACGCGATTTTTTTGCAGGACAATTAAATTTATAAGATAGTTTTTTTACATCTGGAGTTTTTGCAGCAAAGGCACGAATCCTCCTTAAAACGAAACAAAAGAACAGACTTTAGTTGAAAAGAAGTTTAAAAAGTCAGAAAATTATTATAATATAAACCTTTGTTTTATTTGGGTAGAGCTCAGTAAATGTGATGCGACGGAAGGTTTCAGGTTTAAAAAACAACAGCTTGAAAGGTTAGTAAATAAGAAAATTCGAATTATTTTCTCGATTTAGTTTCGTGGATGATCAACCGCTCTAAAAGCTTAATGTTTTCATGCTGAACTTCTCTTTCCGTGAGGCTGAAAGAACGACTCCAGTTGAATTAGTAAGTATTTTCGACTTTTTTCCTCAAAAAAGCTTCCTTCAGAAAAAAAGCATCGTCAGGAAGTCCCCGTTACGGCTGAAGGATGTTTTTTTTCCTCTGACTTTGGTAAGTTTTGGATTTCATGTAAAGTACTTCATCGATATATTTTCGATCTCACCCGACGGCGTCATGATGTTCATTGCAAATGGATAACGATGCTTTGACCAAAATACGGAGACCGGGTACGACGCAAAATGTCCGCGAAATTTTCAAGTTTTTTTTATATTTGTAAACTTTACACGTTCATCAACTTTATGAGCCTCAAAAATATCTTGATGCACCCAAATTATTGTAATTTTGTGTCCGTAAAAATTCAGCTTCAAAAATACAGCTTATATATTTTAGCCTCAAAAATATTACTCGGATTTGTCATGCTCGCGAAATTCGGCTGACGAGTAGAGTTTTCGAAGCAGTTTTTTTCGGACTTGAAAATAAGTTTCGTAGTTTGCTTTGAAAAGGGGCTGATAAATTTGAAGAACCGTGTTGTATCACTGCACAACAAATATGTAATGCCTTGATCATACTTGTGAAAAATCAGAATCTCTTCGCACTATTTTTCTTTATTTTGTGGCCATTTGAAGTAAAGTGATAAATGGCTCAAAGTTTTCTTCACGTGTAAAAAATTTTCTCTTTTCAAAAAACTTTGTATAAGAGTCTTCTATTTAATTCTCTATAAACTAATTTTAAAACTTAAGCCATTTATTATTAATTGAGCCTTTACCAATTTACGGCCTTTGATTATAAAACTCCCTCAAACTTTTTTTTTACATCAGAGACTCCAGTATTGCTCTTTTATCCTCTGAATTTCAACCTTTTAATCGAAGTATGTGCGAAAATAACTGGAGAGAATTTGTTAAACAGCTTAATGTATCAATTAAAAAAATTTTTGAAAGGATTTTTAATTTTGTCTTCGATATAAATTGACTGCTCGTCGATATCACTTCTTAACACGCTGTCTCTGTAATTTTCAAAAAGTCTCAAAAGCAACGGGTACAATAAAAAAAAATATTTTTTGATTCTCATGAAACTTCATCCAGTGTGATAACCCATCATCAGAAATGCGGATCCAACTTTTTGAGCCATTTCCTCCTACTGTAGCCGGGTTACGGTAGGCAGGTGGGCACCTGCGTATCTGAGTATTGAGGGGTTTTTACTAGGCAAGTGATATATCAATCGATAGGTAATCCAATTTTAGGAACTTTTACAGTACACCCCAACTGGGGTTACTGTAAGCATTTTCGAATTACGGTAATTTTTGTGTTTGGAAAGTCGGTTTTTCGGTCACCCTGGCCGTCGGCATAGAATCGCATCGTGATTGCTGCCATGGAATATGCCCTCCAGTATGCTTTACACGATGCCACAAAAAAAAGTTAGAATTTCTAAACCTAACATCTCGAGATTTCACTCCGAACGCGCGCAACTCGGCTCTTGGCGGCCAGGGTTGGTCGGGGTTGACGATTTTTCACATTTTTCTTTTGTTAGATATTGGTGTAAAACTTTTTTTGATTGTAACTACAGTGTGTTGTGTAACATTCAAAGGAGTTTTGAGAGACTTTTATGCTACATATTCAGCTGAAACTTCGTTTTGAACTCAACTTTGGCTTGAAAAAGCGCGATTCCCTTCGGAAAGTCGAATTTTTTTCTACTTTCCAACTGTACCGCAGTTTCCAAAGCTATCAAATGTGTGACTGACATCTTCAAGGTTATCATTCATAAGACTTTGCTCAACTTTCACCGAACCTGTCTATCCAAAAACTCCTTTTGAACCCTTTTTGGCTTCGTTGGTAAGTTTGAATTTTGACTTTTGAGCCTTGTTGCTTCGTTTTTATCAGAAAATCGTAAGAAGTAACGTTTTTATGAGAAAAAAAACGATGCAGAAAAGCGAGATACGAAAATTTCGCCATCGTTGGCAGAAAATTAAGGCACCTTTGCGCTCCACCGATAACACTCACGAGAGGCCGAATTTGAATTATTTTTTTGACTAAATTCAATATTTATATTTGTTTTTAGTGTTGTTTCCGATTCTAATTCTGTTTTTGTGTTTGATGTTTCTAACGACTGCAGGATTTTCAAGTGAATTGAGCATTTTTTTATACCGGAACAATGAAAAAAAATTCATGAAAAAAACTTTTCATCTGTTAAGTAGCCGAAAGAATCATAATTCAAGGATTAAAGAAAAAAACTTCAAAGAAAGGTCCAATAAAAGCTTCAAATTACGATTTTTCTTAGCTTTCTAAATGAAAACCTTTTTTTCTATTGTTGTACGTTTTTTCGAAAAATTGATCTCTAATTGAACAGATATCTTTGCAATCGTTCAATTTGAAATAAAAAGTAAAATATTCTCAAAAAACTTGTGCTACAAGGAACAAAAGTCAAACTTCAAACTTACCAACGAAGCCAAAAAGGGTTCAAAAGGAGTTTTTGGCTAGACAGGTTCGGTGAAAGTTGAGCAAAGTCTTATGAATGATAACCTTGAAGATGTCAGTCACACATTTGATAGCTTTGGAAACTGCGGTACAGTTGGGAATTTTTAAAAATCTGTTTTTCAAAGCAAAAATTTCTTTTTCAAGTCATTAGTAAGTTCAAAACGGAGTTTCGGCAGGACAGGTTTGGTGGAAGTCAAGAAAAGTCTCATGAATTGTTACCTTGAAGATGCTAGTTTCATATTTGATAGCTTTGAAAACAGGGGGACAGTTGGAAAGAGAAAAAATTCGACTTTTCGAAGGGAATTGCGCTTTTCCAAGCAAAAATTGAGTTCAAAGCGAAATTTCGGCTGAACATATAGCATAAAAGTCTCTCTAAATCCTTTTAAATAATACACAACACACTTGAGTAACATTCTAAAAAGCTTTCACACCAACATCTAACAAAAGAAAAATGTGAAAAATCGTCAACCCCGACCAACCCCGACCAACCCTGGCCACCAAGTGCCAAGTTGCGCGCGTTCGGAGTGAAATCTCGAGATGTTAGGTTTAGAAATTCTAACTTTTTTTTGTGGCATCGTGTAAAGCATACTGGAGGGCATATTCCATGGCAGCAATCACGATGCGATTCTATGCCGACGGCCAGGGTGACCGAAAAACCGACTTTCCAAACAAAAAAATTGCCGTAACTCGAAAATGCTTACAGTAACCCCAGTTGGTGTTTACTGTAAAAGTTCCTAAAATTGGATTACCTATCGATTGATATATCACTTGCCTAGTAAAAACTTTTCAATACTTAGATACGGAGGTGCCCACCTGCCTACCGTAACCCGGCTACAGTAGGAGGAAATGGCTCAAAAAGTTGGGTCCGCATTTCTGATGATGGGTTATCACACTGGATGAAGTTTCATAAGAATCAAAAAAATATTTTTGTACCCGTTGTTTTTTTGACAGTTACAGAGACAGCGTGTTAAATGCGTTGGAGCTTTAAAAATTTCTCTTCTTTTTTTGGTATTTTTGAAGCAACAAATAACTCTTTGCATATTATCGAAAATTAAAAAAATTTTAAATTTTAAAATTTTTTGCGTTTACGAGCAGTCAGCTTCAAGTTTCCTTTATTTCTTCGGATTTTTTTGGCTTACATTTTTCTAAGATGTATTGTTTGGTAAAGTTTTTGATGTTCTGTTATTATGATCTTTTTCGAATCGAAAGATATTTTTTTAAATTAAGTTGTAAACTTTGCAAGCGTTTCCTTCTTAAATTTCATTTTTCAAGTTCTCTTCATGTTTGATTTTATATGTTGATTTTATTTCCATTAAATTTTGTATTTGTGAAAAATAATAAAAGTTGATAAAATATATTTTTTTAGTATAAAAAAATAACAATATTGGAGGAAGGGAAATGATTGAAAAAAAGGGGGAATCTGCGCGCTATAGATAACCCTGGCGAATTTCTGGCGCGTTTTTCGCCAGCTCGCCGCGATATGGCGCGCCAGCTCGCGAAAGACGGGGCGCGCGCTGGCGAAAGATTGGCGGAAAGCTGGCGACTGGGGTCAGAGTTGTTGAGAGTCTCATTCAAGCATTTTTATTCAGATGGGCTCCTTGGCTAGTTAAAGGCCTGTTTCTGAGCTTTTGGCGACATTTTAAGTTAGATAAGATGATTGGCTAGTTGAAGACTTCATAAGTCTCGAATTTGATAGTTTTTAAGTTCTTGGCTATTTGTAAGCCCAATGAGGAGTTTCCAAAAAGAGCTTTTTAATCAGATGGGAACCTCAAAAACTTCCTTACAACTTCCTATATAGGTACTTTCGAACACCCTGAATCCAAAGAAGTTGAAAAAAAGTGCACCTTCTTGGTTCTGGTCGAGTTGTAGCGCCTCAAAGTTTGCACGCGAAAAATGCATTGGAAGGACGGAGGGAATCTGTTGCGGCGGCTAACTCTAGCTGCCAGCAGGCGGCGTGGTGTAGTGGCTAGCGGCCTTGCGCTGTGGAACCTATGATGAAGGTTCGAATCCTTTTTGGTGCAATTTATTTCTGCCAATGTTTTTTTTGGAAAAAATGATGAAGTTTTGAAGACATTGAAAAAAAAAAACGCAAGTTTCAATAAATTCCAATACCTCGACCTTTTTGCACTTCCCGTGTTAAATTTGAAATCACCTAAAACGCGAAGTTGAGTATTTCAAATGTTGAAATTCACTATTTTATGTCGTTTTAAGCAAGATTTTCAAAAAAATTTTTTTTTCATCGTCCTCTGTTGTCAGTAGACCCTTTCTTGAAAAAAAGTTTAATGAATAAAAAGTTCAGAATTGTATGAAATGTGCAATATATTTTTCCAACAAAAGTTTTTGATGAAATTTCTTACTGTCCATTGAAGTCCATTGAGCCTGTAAAAGATACAAGACGAAAAATTTTTTTGTCGAAAATCTTGTTTAAAACGACAAAAAATGGCGAATTTCAACATTTTGAGCGTTTTTTTTCGATCCATCTGTATAACTTCATCATTTTTTCCAAGAAAAAATTGGAAAAATAAATTGCACCAAAAAGGATTCGAACCTTCATCATAGGTTCCACAAGGCCGCTAGCAACTACACCACGCCGTCTGCTGGCAGCTAGAGTTAGCCGCCGCAACAGATTCCCTCCGCCCTTCCAATGCATTTTTCGCGTGCAAACTTTGAGGCGCCCTAACTCGACTAGAACCAAAAAGGCGCACTTTTTTTCAACTTCTTTGGATTCAGGGTGTTCGAAAGTACCTATATACCACAGTGTTCCCAAACGAGCGGCAGCTGTGGTCAGTAGGCGTGGCTGACTGCAACAGCGGCACGGTTTATTGCAATAGGGGCGCGGGAATGAGAGTCAAGTTTTGTGGATTTAGTGGTTGGAAAAAGACCATTAAATGATGTTTTTCCTAGGTTCTCGCAAGTTTTCAAAGATTTTTTTAATGTGTATTAAATTATAACGAACAAATTTAAATGAAGAAAGAGACGAAAAAGTTTTTTTGCAAAAACAAAAATATCTCCCAAAAATGTCGTTTTTTTAGGAAAAACTCGTCAAATCGAACTTCCAAAGGGAAAAAGTGAGAAAAAGCTCAAAAGCACTTCTCTTAAGAAATACCATTTGAACGTTTTAAAACAAAAACAGATACATAATAGCTTGTGCGAATAAAGTTGTCACCCAAAATGACATTTTCAAGAATAAATTCGTCGAATACTGCCTCGAAAAAAAAATTTTGAGAAAAATCTCACAGCGTTTCTCTTAAGAAAGTCCATTTGAAAACTCTAGAACAAAAAAACAAACGAAATATCTTATGCGAAACAAGTTGTCATCAAAAATGTCATTTTGATGCGGATTTCTGTGACGAGAACGATCGAAAATCACTTCAAATCTCTGGAAAACACGATAAACACGTCTTAAGAACACATACAATGTGAGAAAATACGAAAGAATGGTGAAATATGCAAGAAAAAGAGAAAAAACCGTATTAAAAGTGAATGAAATTTTGTGGGGACGACACGCGCCGCACCGCGTTGCGTTAGAAAAAACTCGCGTTTTCGCCCCATTGCGACGACCTTTTTTTTGGCTTGCCGCCGTCTCTTTTGGAACACTGTGTATACCAAGTCTCATCAAATTTCAATACCTCGACCTTTTGCACTTCCCGTGTTAGTTATTTAATCCGAGCTAGGTTGGGTTGAAACTATGAAAGACCTTTTTGAGCTTATTCAAGTCAGTGGAGGTTCTTTCTGAGAAAAACAAACTTCGGAAAGGTCCCAGCTGTTTTTTTGTGTCGTCCGAGAATCTAGCCCTCGTAAAAAAAAGCTTTTTCATAGGTCCATAAAAATTGAATTTCCAAGGTCCAATAGTTCCAACTTAGAGCCAGTTTTTTGTAATAAATTGTATTCTTTTTCTGATTTTCAAACCTTTCAGAAGAACTTAGGAGCTCAAAATTTTATTTCGAGGTTTTTTGTTATTATTTTGAAAATAGGTATCATACTCCTTTTTCCTTTTTTGTATTATATCAATAAATTTGGTCAAGGCGATCCGAATTCATATGTTCTAGTTCTCTATTTATCCCTTTGTTCTTTCTACCCTTTGCCGATCAAAGAGCTCTTTTTTTCCGGCGGCCCCAGAGCACCTATCGCGACATAAAAGTTCTCTACGCGGTGGTTGAGAGGCGGCAAATTGGAGCATCTATATCCCCTGCAACAAGCAGCCAAGAGGTGTTGTAAGAGGAAGAAGAAAATAGAAGAACATCCCATTTGACGACGTCGTAAATCGCCCCTCCCTCTCGACGTCATTTGCCGCCGCCGCCGCTTGATCTCGGGATCATTTATCGGCTTCCGGAGGCTTGATATCGATTGATTTGAAGCTTGAGCCGGTGGATATCAGGCTTGTACATTTATGTTAAAAATGGATTTGAGCGCTGGGAGTTTCAGCTCGAAATAGCTTGGATTTTTGGATCAGCTCCTTTCAAGTCGAGTTTGGTAATTAGGCTTAGAAGTTAAGTTTGGATACTTGGCTACAGCGAAAAGAGCGATAAATTTGGCTTGAGATAGGGACTAAGCTTGGGTTTTTGGATCAGCTTGGATACTTGGGTTAGAAATGAATTTGGTTAGAAGGAAAAGGGTGGTAAATTCGGCTTGAGATAGGCGGGAACCTTGGGTTTTCGGATCAGCTTTTGAAGATTGAAAGAAGCGCCCAAGGTTGGTAGTTAGACTTAGAAGCTAAGTTTGGATACTTGGGTTAGAAATGAGCTTGGGTACAGGGTAAAAAAAAGCAGTAGTTTTGGCTTTAGATAGACGGCAACCTTGGGTTTATGGATCAGCTTTTGAAGATTGGAAAAAGAGCTAAAGTTTGAGCTCAGATTTGGTAGTTAGTCTCACAGATTAAGCTTGCAAACTTGGGTTTCTCATTTGGGTGAGAAATGAGCTTGGATACAGGGATAAGAGCGGTAAATTCGGCTCGAGATAGGGACTAAGTTTCGTTAGGTTTTCGGATCAGGTTTTGAAGATTGGCAAAAGCGCCCAATTTTGAGCTGAAGTTTGGTAGTTAGGCTTCGAAGCTAATTTTGGATGTTTAGGTTAGAAATGAGCTTTGGTAGAAGGAAAAGGGCAGTAAACTCGGCTTGAGATAGGCGGCAAGATTAGGCTTATGGTTCAGCTTCTGAAGATTGGTAAAAGTGCCCGAGTTTGAGCTGAAGTTTGGTAGTTAGGCTTACAGATTAAGCTTACTCGGGTTAGAAATGAGCGTGGGTATAGTGGAAAGAGCGGTAGTTTTAGCTTGAGCTTGGTTTTTTGTATCAGCTACTAGCAGGCTTTTAAAGGTTGGCGAAATCGTAAAATTTTCAGGTCAAGTTCAGTAGTAAGGAACTAAAATTGGATATTTGGATCGGAAAAGAGCGGATTTTGCTTGGGATAGCTTGGGAGTTCGGGCCAGCCTTTGAAGATTGGTACGTCGCCAAATTTTTAGCTCAAATTTGATAGTTAGGCTTCGAAGCTGAGTTTGAATATTTGTGTCCTAAGAGCGGATTTTCATAACTTCTGGCTTTAGCTTGACTTTTGAGATTTGACTAGTTTTAGCTCGAGTTCGATGATTAAGCCCGACTAATTGGGTCAGAAATAAGCTTTTCCCTAAGTTTGAACATTCTGATCCACTTTTTCTTCAACCACACTCTAGACGATCTATCTTTAGAAAGCAATCATCTCTACTACCAGACGGGATATCCCTAATCTTACTTTGAAGAAAATGCCCCCTCGTTTGCGCTCAATCGCCAACGTACCTAACTCAATTACTCAACAACTCAAACGAGCGGCGTCTCAATCAAAATGACGAATTTCGGGGCGTCTGAATTACACGAATTGTGTTCCCTGTTGATTGCCATAGTTAGAAGTTGTAAGGAAGTAATTTTGGGGATAGTAAAAAGGCTACTTTGATTGGGAAAAGAGAACGGATAATGAAAAATATAGCAAGGCTTTTTTTGCGAAAAGCTTGAACGATGTTTTGAAAGGTTCAAGTCATTTTTTTTTTCAATAATAATGGAAAGCTCTGAATTTTATTTGGCTTGAAAATGTTTTGAGTGTTTGGGTAACCTCTCATTGCTGTTAGAAAACCTAAAATGAATATTTTTTTTTGAGTTTCATGATCTCCTACTGAATTTTGTCTAGGGAAAAACGCGTATTTTAAAGTTTTTAAAAAACCTTGAAAGCATTTGCAAACTCAAAATGTTTCAGATTTTTTGAGTTCAGTCTAGGAATTACGTGTTTTGAGGCCTTCAAATTTTTTCCAAGCCTCGATTCTAGCTTTCAGCCTTTTTTGAACCTCTAGAAAAAATGTTTAAAGCTTTCAATAACTCTCAAAAGACATATTCTGAGGAAAACTGTAGTGGCCACTCAAGAGGTTCCTCGAAGAATACTTGGAGAGGACACTAAAGTAGCCATTAAAACCACCTTGGTAGATTCTACTATAGTTGTTTTTAGCGGTCTAATATTACCCCTTAGACTTCTAGAAGACTCCTAAATTTCAGCCTCTTAAGTGGCCACTTAATAGATCACTATAGAGGCCACTTAACCGTGAAAACCCGGTGGTCACTAATTCGACCTCTAAAACGTCAGAACCCTTAAGTGGCCACTAACTTTACCACTAAAGTGGTCACTAAAGCGTCAGAACCTTTAAGTGGCGATTAATCTGACCACTATAGAGGCCACTAAAACGTCACAACCCTGAAGTGGCCACTAAATATCTTCTCTATAGGAGCTTTGAGAAACTACTGTGACACTTTAAAGTGTAAAAAAAAACCCAACTTTTTGATTAAAACATCTCACATCAATTGTAAATTCACTCAGTTCACCGCACTCTCACACTTTTAATCAGCCCTTCTAATTAAATTCCCACGACGCATCCCTCTCTTTCACTCATAACCAGCAATTAGTGAGAATCGAAGCGTGAATCGAATGCTCACATGTTGAAGATGATGATGTCCGGCACCCAGACCTTGTCCATCGGAATCCAAGTTTTCGTGATCCCACCAAAAAGAGCCGGGTCCCAGACGAGAGATGGGTCCACCCAGTGCTGAAAATGCAATTTTTGTCGATGACGTGCGAATGAAAAGAAGCTCGACTTCTCGCCGAGTAAAGTTTCTTTCAAGAATACAAAAATGAATCCAGAAATAATTTAGGTCGAAAAAAAGCTTTTTGAATGGTTTTTAATCGATTTTGAAGGTATTTTAGGTCAAAAAACGCTTTGTCAAAAAAATTTTTTTGGTTGATTTTTAAAAGGTACTTTATTTTTGAAAACAGCTTTCAAGATAGACTTTATGTCGAAAAAAAGAGGTTCGTAAAAATATTTTAGGACAAAAAAACCTTTTTCATCAAATGTACACGGATGAAGTTAATTTTGGAACTTTTTCGAGAAAATTTTTCACACCGAAGACCCTTTTTTTAGAAAAAACTTTTTTTCAGACATATTTTTTTGCAGCCACGCTTTTCATCATAGGAAACAGAAAATAAAAAGTGGGCAATCTTGAATTTTTTTCTAATAAAATAATCTTTTTGGACTTCAGATTCGCTAAGCTTGAAACTTGATTACTTCATAAATATATTGAAAATTCGAGGAAAAAAAATCTTTATTTTTTTGCCTCATTCTCTCAGGAAGGAATTTGAGGAGGTCCTTCAATCAGGCCTTTGAAAAAAATTCGGTTTTTTTGAAAGATGTAAACAGCTTCAAGTTTATTCAAGTGAAAAAAATTTCACGAATTTTTGTTAAGAGTTGTCTAATATTTTTTTAGGACATATAAACTCAAAGTGGATGGAAAAAAAGAGGCAAAAATGTGTCAATAAAATATTTTGTTAGTGGTCATTTGCAACAGTCTGACCTGTCTGCGCCCTCCTTCTCTTACTAGTGAGGTCATAAAAACATAAAAACCACTTGAAAACTATAGAGACGCAGAGAATGGCAAAAAAAAAAATGAGAAAAAAGGTTTCCGACCTCATCAACGTAGATTAGAACGGACATGGTCTGTTTCAATTCGTCGATCCCCAGAATATGAACCAATTCGAGTTCATAGGCGACATTTAGAAGGCCATCCGGCGGGGCGTTCACGTTGTGTTTGGCGAGAAGATATTCGGTTAGTCGTTTTGAGGAGCCTGAAATAATCGTCTACTTCTGAATTTTACTTCTCAGGTTCTAGAAGCTCCATTTCTTCAAAATATTCTAGCTGATCTACGGTTCCCTTGAATCATCGAAAAATGGGTCCTGACACGATTAGAAAAGAGACAGTGTCTGGTTGGTGAATAGGCCACGCCCCTTAGCGTCCCAAGCTAGCCGTGAATCGACTATACCCAATTTTTACTCGAAAAGCTTTTTTTTAAAAGTTTTTTAAAGAAGCGCAGCAGAATTATAAGTCAAAGGAACTTTCTTCCAATAAATTTGTAGTGGAATCATGTCCGAAGTTTCCTCAAATTGCTGGATGGTGTAATGGTTAGGGAGCTTGCATAGTAATTTTAATATCAGATTTCGACTCCGCTCCACGTTTTGCAGAGTTTGGCAGAAGTTATTTGTTCACCAAAAGTGAATCTAAAGGTGCTGATTATGGGTAATGAGCTTGCCTAAGAATATAGGTACGAAAGTTCGACTCCGCTACTGGTTTTTGCCATTTTTCGTCCAATATCCGACAGAGCGAAAAACCAACTTAGGAGTTTTCGTCGAAAAACTAAAAATGTTAGATTGAAAAAATTATTAATTTTGGGACCTTTTCTCGAAAGGTCCTTCCAAACTTTCCGAATTCCATCCCTAATCCTCCGGAAACAAGGTTCAGAGACCAAAATAGAGTCGATGTGATCCCTCAAAAGACCTAATTAAACAGAGAGCTAACAACGAAAAGACAAGAAGAGAAAAAAGAGCCCCCTCGCAACATTCATTCGCCCCATCGCACAAATCATTCCCACACAAACAGTTGTTGCGCTCCAACGCGAAAAACGGCCTTTTTTTGATGGGTCCAAACTTTTGATGGTGCATTTTTTTTTTTTCGGTTTTTGGGTTGGAGCAAACGACGGGGTTCCATTTGCCAGATGAAACGGCTGGAGACCAAAAAAAAAAGAGCAATCTGAAAATGAGTTCGGCCCATTGAGTACATCTGGCGCTTTTCCAGGCCTTCTAGTCCATTGCCGTTCGAGTTATGAGAAGAGGTTGACTGGGAAAATAAATGATGAAAGGCCGGAGTTTGCTGATTATGAATATCGTCGCGAAGACGCAGAAATGTGTAACAAAAAAAATCTGAAGTCTCAAAAATATTCAAAAAGAGTAGAAGAATCGCGGTATCTAGATTCTTAAGCAAGAACTTTATTTCGTCAAAAAATCGGTAGAGAACTAAATAAACGAATAGAGGAGTCGAACTTGGGTGTCTAGACTCTCAGACAAGTTCTCTATTCACTGAACTATGCAGTTTATTATTGTATGAACTAATTTGAGACTTCATCTCTTTCAAAAAACTGGTGAGAGCCTTCAAAAAACGGATAGAGGTATCGAACTTTGGTACCTCAAATCCTGAGCAAGCTCGCTATCCACTTGACCATCCTGTTAACTACTACTCGATGAACATATTTCGAAGCTTGGTTTCACCAAAAACTCAATCTGAAACTGAAGAAATGAGAAGTGGAGTTGAACTTTGGTACTTATATATCTGTACAAGCTCACTATCCATTAGACCACATAGTTATATACTACTCCATAAACAAATTTTGAAGTTTTTATCACGAAAAAACCGTAGGAAACCGAATAAAACCAGTAGCGGAGTCGAACTTTAATACCCAGATCCTTGAACAAACTCGCTATCCATTAGACCCTCCAATATTCTTATAACAAGCTCAAAAAAATGATTAAAGACTGACACATTTTGAGGTTAAGGCAAGGTATTTCTAAACCTTAATTTTAGTTTCGAAGCGATTCAACCTAAAAAATAAACTTGAAAAAGGAAAACTGGACCTGGAACATAACTTATTGTAGCGTTGGCTTCGGTTTCTTCTGTGTAGTTTACAGAATCGAGCTGAAATTAGATATATTTTTTCTAAATGAGGAACAGGAAATTGGACAATTTTTGTTTTTTCCGTCCGCTCCAGAACCGTACGCTTTTTTCGAATTTCCTGGCTCCTTCCGCTTGATTTGAGATGATTCCCGTGTCTTTCCGATAAATACGGATGTTTTTCCTCATCAGCGGAAAGTTTTTTCCCTTACGTGGTTCAAAACAACGCTCGGCGCTTGCTCGTCGGGGTCGTCGTCGTCGTAATACGGCGACGTCTTCTCAGAAGAAGCCCAGATGACGTTCAGAATAAAGCAGAGCGTCGCTATGAAGCTTTTCAAGCGCATCTGGAGTCCTAGAAGTGAGAAATTGATAGGACAGAGAGGAAATATCGTTGGGAAGGACAAGAAATGGAGAGGAACAGTTTGGCTTTGGTTTTTTGGCCGGAAAGTTATGATCATATTTTTTTGATAGTTTCCTTTTGTCTACAGTAACTTACAGTGTTTTTTTTTTGTTTTTTGAGAAGACTTTTCAAATTTAGAAATAATTGGAAATCGGGAAATTCGGTATAGAACGAGGGAAGTTGGAAGAAAAAGAACGGCTGGAGGTAGTTTTTAAGTATGAAGTAAAATATGAACCTTGGAAGAAGTTTGAACAGTTATCAGGTATTTTTTCGACTTTAAAGAAGTAAAAGAATGTCTAGCTTACAGTACCTCAAAGTATCTACTATAACCAAGCCCAAAAAAGTGACCAGGACCCACGAAGATCAAATTCAGGTCAACCCTGAAGATCAAGAGCAAAAGAGAAGCTTTGAAAATGGGAAAAGCCGAGGGAGAATGAGAAGAGCAGAAGCCGAAGCTCCGCCCCCCACGTAGCCACGCCCGTCTCATTCGTTCCGATGGAGCGTTCTTTCCGTTATAAGAACGGCTCCAGGGGTGGCCATCATTTAGATCTTGTCGGCCAATTTGTCTTTTCGGCACGCCTGCTTATTACAGCCTAATTTCTCTTTTTTCCCGACTTTTTCTCGGCTCAGAAAAGTTTGGGATGAATTTATGAGTCTGAGTTCAGGAGAAGAATAATGGTTGATCAAAGGGCTCTGAGAGATCAGATTGGGATCGATTTGGAGATTTATAGAGGTTTCTGGAGTTTGAGCTTTTCGACGAGTTATCTAGATTATTTTGAGAGGTCTTATAAAGGTTATTAAAGGATCATGAACAGATTTTACCAAGGTCTCGAGGCGAAAAGCCGTTTTTTTTTGGATCTTTTAAGCCACAGAGGTTTAATAACATTGAGGGCTTTATAGAGAACCATATTCTAGATTGGATTCATGAAGGGTGGTTTTTTCGGTTCCTTGAATCATTGGCCAGCTGTTAATCGAGTCTATTAGTTTAAAGGGTAGTTGTTCATTTCACAATTGAAGTTCTGCAAAAACACAATAGAATGAATCATTGATTACGTCAAAGACTTTTTCCAGAAGTTAATCTTCACACACAAAAAAAAATGGGATGAAGAAGATCGCCATGTGACTCACTGAGCAAGGAATCGTTAACATGCCCATTACCCCGTAAGTCTCCAACAGCTAATCCAACTTCAAAGCCGTCAGCTGGCTTTTGGAAAGCCTCATGCAATTTTGCCTCGCTTGTTTGTGTTGAGGAACTTTTTGAAAAATGGTCCCGGCCCGTTGCAAAATTTGAGAAATGATGAGGTGTGGAAAGGAATTTTTAGGGCTTGGGAAGAGACGAGCTCAAAGTAGTCAAAAAATGTTTGAGTTTTCAATTTCTTATGTGATCGAGGGTACCGTATGAGCTTGTATGAATCGTGTACCACGATTTGAAATTTCGCCGAACGACATTCCGCTGTTCCGCGGCGTGCTCGGCCGCCCCTTCGATTTTTTATTTTATTCAAGAACTCGACCAACACGCGTTCCCAGCGGAACACTCCATCTATCAAAAATGAGAACGGATTCAAAGCGAGACCGAAGCTCGCAAAGACGCTTCGCGACGCAGCGGAACAGCGGAACAGCGGAATGTCGTTCGGTGAAATTCCAAGTCGTGGCACACAGACTATAAAGGTATATAATAGATCCGAAAATCGTTGAAAACCAGTTTAAAATTTCTTTACTGCAAAAAAAAAAACTAAAACTAGCTTCACTAGGTGTTTTTACACTGATTCCGAATCTGAGCTTGAAAAATTTTTCAAAAAAATTTATATTATTTGTAAAAAAAGAGCCAAAACTGTAAGGCTCATTTCCGCATTCGAGAAGCTTGGAAAAATCTTGGCTCAAAAAACTTTTCTTGAAAAAAATTTTTTTTTTCGGTGGTCTTGAGGCCGGCTCCTTCTACCTTTCAAAAAAGAGTTTCATTGGAGATTTTCCCAAGTTTCAGTTGTCATAACCTTTTTTTTGGTAGTTCCTGAGTATGTTTTTCTGACCTGTCCCTTTTTGGAAGAAGTAGGATTTCTATATTTTTCATGAACTTTGAACGTTTTTTTTTGGCCTGTTTGAAGTCATAAATGGAAGCATAGGGTAGTTTATTTTTCGATTTTTTTGGCAATTCTTTTACTCTATCAGATTTAAATAAAAAATAAATGAGTGATAAAAGTGGAAAGGTGTGTGTTGATAAAGGTATTGACGACGGGGGGAAAGAAGAAGCCGAGGACGCCTCGAGGTGCCTAATTGGCTCCGATAAATCAGTCAGACCCGTCGTCGTCGTCCTTGCGTTCAACTTTTTTTCTCATTTTTTTTCTTATGAAACAGTGATTTTTGAGTTTTTCTGGAGTGTTGGACTTGAATTTATCAAAATTTTGATCCCCAAGGTGGATTTCTGGAAGAGGACTTTTTCTAGAACATTGGACTTTTTTCTCCATTTTTTCAAGCTCTCAACATTTTTTTAAAGCTTCCAATGACGGTTTTGAAGAAGTAAGAAGTAAAAAAATTGTGCTACTGCCCCTTTTTTATGTACAATTTATTATTATTAATACAACTAAAATAAATAAGACAAAAAAATAAATATTCAACGAAGGATCCAAAAAACACAGATAAGGACAACCGACATGAAAAAGTACAACTTTATAAGGAAATAATTGACATTTCGATCGAGTGAACGAATTTGGCGACGTTCCAAACGAGGTTGGATCAATAAAATGGGCGTGGCCTGTCTCAGACAGTTATTGGTTGAAACAAGATGATTGCTTGTGGGCGGAGCTTGTAAGGGACTGTTGAACTCATAATTTTCAGTTTTAGTGGGCGTGGCCTGTCTCAAACAGTTATTGGTCAAAACAAGATTATTAGTTGTGGGCGGAGCTTGAAGAGGACTTTTGAACTCATAATTTTCAATTTTAGTGGGCGTGGCCTGTCTCAGACAGTGATTAGAAGATATTTCAATAATTTTCGTGGGCGGAGCTCGATTAGGCTCTATGTTAACATTTTGACATGAAAAGGTGCTATTGTGATCAAATGTTTCAACTTTGGTGGGCGTGGCTTGTCCAAAAGTGGGCGGAGCCAGTCATAGTTGCATCAAAGGCGATGCACACTCTTTTTCACGTGTGCGACGCGTCGAAGAACGCAATCCTCGTTTGGATCTTCTGATCGATCTGAAAAATCGATTTGGTTATTTTTTTTGATAGGACGTCGAATGGCTTTAAGTCGTTTTTGGTCGGGCGCAACCTAGCCATTCTCCGTCCGGCCATACACAATTCATAGCAAAATATTTTTTAAAAAGCACAGCAAAAAAATATTAATCACACCACTCAAAAGCCACATTCACCTACGCAACGATTCGTCGTCTTTCTTGAAGATTTTCATGTCCAGTATTGACCTGCAGAGTTTTTTTTAGCTCCAAAAAATCGAGAAAAACAGCTTGTTTTGTTATTTTAAATGAATGAAGGAAGCTCCATTAAAATTGGATGGCAATGGAAATGGCTATGAATGGAATATTGAAGCTTAACTTTGAGAAAAAACAGCTCGCCAAAACAAATAAAATAGCGATTCCTAAATGAAAATAGACGCTATGGAGCTTCTTTTTCGTTAATTTATGGCAAAAACGTGGAGAGGGACCGAACCTGCGAGCTTAGGAAATATGCCAACTTATTGAGGCTCAAGCTAAAATTTATAAAAAGCTTCTTTCCGTGAGAAAAGTAGGCGCCAAAACTACTCATCCAATCAAAAATGGCAAAAACGCGGAGAGGAACCGAACCTGCGAGCTTAGAAAATATGCCAATTTATTAGGGCTCAACCTAAAATTCAGAAGCTTTTTTTTCCGTAGTAAAAAATAGGCGCTGCAACTGCTCATCTCATTGAATCAAAATGGCAAAAACGCGGAGAGGAACCGAACCTGCGAGCGTAGATCGCCTGTCGCATGATACCGGTCCTGTTTGCGTCGTACTTGGCGTCCTCGGCGCATTGCTCGAAAAATTCTGAAGCGGTCACTTGAGGGATTCCTCGGGGGGTTTACCTCTCAGTTTGTGGACGTCGGGCATTATGTGCTCTTGGAGCTCTGTCATTTGAGCCCCGGTCATTTTTAAAGCCATTTCGAGATGTTCCAAGGCTTTTTCGGCAGCCTAAATAAGGAATAGTTGACCGGTGACGTCATTTTTTAACCAAATAAGTTTAATGATGTCATTTTGATGATGTCAGAAATAAGTTGTCACGTTTGTTTTTTTTTTCTTTCGCACTTTCCGATTTGTGGCCGATGACTTCATAAAACGTCATAAGATATGATGTCATTTAGGACTGTTTTTGAATGATGACGTCATTCTCTCCAACCTGTAACTGCATTTCGGCGCCCATCCTAGCCATCATCTGCTCCCGGAGCTCTGATTCGGTAACTTCTTTTTGCTCGCTGACCTCCTGGAAAATTAATCAAATTTCTCGGAATATAGGTAAAAATTACCTTGAGATTGACCATGAGTTCCTTGGTCTGTGTAGTGTAATACTGTCTTTCTTTCTCAAGGTCCATCGTTTTCTGCTCGTTCAAACGGAGGCTGAAAATTGACTAGTCTGAGTAATCTTTGCTCACTTAGGAACGCCAGAGTAGTCCCTCCAGTGTTTAGGAAAAAAAAACAGCCCTGTAGGGACCACTCTAGATTTCCTGAATTTGAGTTATCAATATTCTAAAGAAGTAATTGCAAGATTGTTTCTCAAAAAAATTTCTTTTTTTCTTGTTTTTGCTCATATCAGTTGATGTGTTTCTCATATTACAGAATGGGCACTCATAGCTTGAAAAAGGGAAGGAGTTTTCCAGAAATTTTCCGATTTTTGGCCGACTTTGAAAAGTTGAACCTTTTTCCGCTTTTAGATTTTTTTTTTTCAAAAATTGCCGATCTTGACTAACCTTTGCTCATATTTGACGCGACTAGCTTAGCTTACAAGCACTGGAATTTTACAATTTGAAGGGGAAAAAAATTGTCTTCCCATTTCTTCAATCATTTACTGTGACTTTTGATAGTCCCTAGTTGCTAATATTTTATGTCTTATGACTCATTTTACACAATAATTGCTCATGTTACCCACAGAGTCTCAATCTTCTCCTTCTCCGTCAGAATACAGCTCGTCTTGGTCTCAATCTCCATCAGCCGATTTTTCAACTGGCAAGTTGTCGTGGACAAGTTCTGATTTTCAATCAGGAAAGCTTCTCGCTCCTTGACAATCTCTGCCAACTGCTCCTGCACTTTTTCCTTCTCGATGTTGAGGCTCTAAAAAAAATAATAATAATCAAGTTGGTAGTCGAGACGAACCTCCATGTTGGCCTGGAGATGCTCGGTTTTTGAGTTCAGCGACAGTTTCTCCTGCTCCAAGGTCTTCTTCATCTCGTTGGTCAGCTTCAGCTCACTTCAAGTTGATAATTGTTCCTTGAAATCTCGAAAACTCCAACTTTTTGACGTTTTGGAGGTCGTCCTTGAGCTTCTTCGTGGTCCTGATCAGCTTCTCCCTTTCGATTTCTAGTTCTTCCTTCACTTTTTCGAGTTCCTGGGATTTGAGAGGTTTGCAAGGGGATTTTCTGGGAAGTGACCCCTTTAGGATTTTGGCGTTTTGGTGGCCACTACAGTAGTGGAATTCAGGACCACTTTAGGAGTCAAAAATGTACTACTAGGCCACTAAAAACTACTATAGGGGCCACTAGGAAGCAAAATAGTGATTTCTATAGAACTGGTTCAGTAGCCACTTTAGTGTCCTCTCCAAGTAGTCCTTGAAGAACCTCTTAAAGGGCCCCTAGAGTTTTTCCAGTTCGCATAATTAGCCAGGTTCAGAAGGAAGAGAAGGGAAGGAGAAGGTCTTGAAGCGAAAAAAAAATAGTTACGGTAAAAAAAAAACCTGGAAATCCATGTTCTATTAATGTATGCCAGTCTAAATTTTAGAACTTTGAAGGCTTAAAATTTTGGAGAAAATATTTTTCTGCTTGATATATAATCAAATAAACTTCAAATAGCTGCTTTTATGTTCTGAAGTTGAAAAGATGAATTTCTCATGATTGCCCAGGCTACCTATCGTTAGTCTGTCTGACGAGGCATTTTTGAAGTTTTCACGTTTCTTCAACAAACCAGCCAATCATAGATCTAGTTTAGAGAAGCGTCCTTCAAACTCTAACGAGAAAGACCAATCGCACTAACCGTAGTCTTCTCATGCTCCTGTTGACGAGCACGAGCTTCAGCCTCGAGCCTCTCTTCGTAGGTCCGCTTCTCCTCGTTGAGCATCACGCCCCGACTTTCCAGCTCTCGAATCATTGTCTCGCCGACCAGGGTGTTCTTGTAGGAGCTGGAAAATAAAATTACATCCGAAGATCTTGGTCGCTTTTTGAAAATCAAGACTTTTGCGAACATTTTGGTGGCACTTCTGAGAGCCTTCAGCCATTGTTCCTGGACGGCGAAGTCGGGAGCAGCGACGATGATTGCGGCCGGGAATTGAGGATGGGCGATGAGAAGACAGTGTTTCTTGCCGACGTCGCCGCCGCTGACGATCGAGCATCCGATTAGGGGAATGATTCCCTGGAAGTCATGAAGTCATAGATTTTTTATGATTTGGAAATGGGATTCCACCTTTTTTCATAGAAGTGACGTCAGAAATTGTTCGAAAAATTACAGTTCGTGCGTAGTAATTCTAGAGAATGGAAACTTCTCTTTTCTAGCTCAATGACGTCACGTAGTACATATATAGGATTTATGACGTAATCGATGTGACTTTGAAATGGGTTTCAACGTTTTTTTCACAGAGCTAACGTTATCAGTGGATCCATGACGTCGTGCTTTTTCCTTTTCTGAGAAAAATTCAAGTCAGAAGATTACTTCAACTGTTTCAACTAAGTACATAGACATTCAAAAAAAAAACATTGAAACTTTTTATTCTAGTTCAATGACGTCGTCTGATGGAAGAGTGACGTCATGGAGAATAATATATGTAGGATTTCGGACTTCATCGGGTATTTTATGACTATAAATGGAATTTAACCTTTTTTCACCGAAATGACGTCATCAGTCGATATATGACGTCAAAAACTTCCAAGCTAGAAGCTCTCTTTAACTGTTTAACTGAGTACATTGTCACAATAACGAATGAGAAACTTCTTTTTTTTTGTTCAATGACGTCATCTGATAAGAAAGTGACGTCATGGCGAATAATATATGTAGGATTTATGACGTCATCGGTTATTTTGTGGCTAGAAATGGGATTTTTTTTTTCTTCGAAATGACGTCATCAGTCGATCTATGACGTCAAAAAAATTCCAAGCTGAATGTTTGTTTGAACTGTTTTAACAGAGTACGTGGTTATAATAACGAATGAGAAAGTTCTTTTTCTAGTTTAATGGCGTCATCGGATGTAAAGATGACGTCATCAAGTATAATATGACGTGATTCTCAGACTAGGCTGAAGTTAAAAATCTGATTTTAAACTACTGGTCCGCAAAAAATTCTCCAATTTAAAATTCATATTATTTTTGAATTAACTATTGACGTCTTTACCATTTTCAAAGCTTCAAGATTCGCTCCTCAATTTTTAAAAGTGTATTCCGGACTTGTTTTTTGAAAGCACCTTTGGATGGAGATCGATCCGCTTGGTCTTCTCAAAAGTCTTCTTGAAGCTGGTGCTGTAGTAGATCAAGAAGCACTCTTTTAGAAGGAAGAATCTGGAAATTTTTCCCAGTTTTCAAGGGGAATCTATCTTTTTCCTCACCTCTTGGTCCATTTAGCCGGACGATTTTTCCTCTTGTACTTCTTCAACAAGGAGCCGTAGCACTGAACGCCTAGGACAGGCCCCAGGTCGTCGTAGTTCAGAGGGGAATTCGTAGTCGTCGTGGAATCTTCTGGCGTCATGTCGTAGTCGTTGCTTTTCTTCCGAGTGAGATTCGAGAACTGAAATTGGGGGATTCTGGGAGGTTTATGGCATGGGCGGTGGGGTCGTAAAGGAACGGATCTTATCCAGGGATAGGAAAAGTAAAACTTGGTATTTTTTCGAGTCTAGAATGCTATCCTCGCTTCAAGACTGGATCATACTGATCTTTTGAAAAAATAGGCGTAAGAGAATAAAAAAACAATATTTCAATTTTTTTCATTGATGACTTCAAAAGCCATAATTCAGAAATCCAGCTCATATGAGTCAATTATTGATCATCTTCGGTGTTCTAGTTCCAGGAAACCTTCCTTAAACTTTCTCTGAAGGAGCCTTTTTTTGAATTCAAATTCTATGAAAAGTCTTGCAATCTTAATTTTGAAGAAAATCTGTTCAAAGGATCGGAAATAGGACCTTATGTTCAAAAAATTCATTTTTCGAGTATTCAAGCTCCTTAGAAGCCTATGACGTCTTCTACCATTATTTTGGTTCTTTCAAGTTTAGGATTTTTTTTTTCGTATTTCAGGGTTTTTCTTCTGACTTTCTTAATGGGATCCTTGTATCTATCGAAAACTTCACTCGAAAAATGGATTTGAACCTTTATATCCAAGAAAGGACTTACCTGGAAAGACAGGCTCCTCAGAATGCCCTTCTTTTCCGCGGTCGTCGGCGGCGTCTGTCTTGGCGGCGCTTTTTTCGGTAGAGCCGGCGGCATTGGCGCTGGAGCAACCTTGAATAATTATTTGAATTTTATCTAATAGGAAAAAAAAACCTTCTTCTTGTCCTTTTTCACCTTTGGCGGCTTTGGCGCCGGCGCTTTTTCGGTCGCCATCTGGAAAAGACTAATCAAAAATTTTTTTGTGTTTGAGAAAAAATCTACTTGAGGTTTTTAAGTGATCACTAGAGGGCTGGAGAGTGAAGCAATTTGAAGTGATCCCTATAGAGCTGAGGAGTCAAGCTTAAAGATTTGAAGTGATCACTAGAGAGCTGCGGAGTGAAGCTTCTAAATTTGAAGTGATCACTATAGAGCTGAGGAGTGAGACTTGAAAATTTCAAGTGATCCCTAGAGGGCTGAGGAGTGAGGCTTGGAAGCTTGAAACTTAAGCTTACTTATGAAGTCTAAATTTAAAAATTATCCTAACCTCTAAAATAATTAAAACTGATAACCTGATATCGTGAGGTTTCTACTCAAAAAAATATTACATAGTAAAACCGATTTTCCTAAAATCTAACCAATCGGGAGCGGAAAATCTGCAAGGAAAAGCGATAAAATGCAAATTGAAGTGAATGGAGACTTTCTGATAAGAAGAGGACGACTTCGGGATGAATGACCTAATATTTGGAAATGAGGAGCGCGCGCGACCGCGAGGAGGCGTTCAGCGGAATTTTTGATTTTCGCAGCCCGGCGGGATGTCACAACTTGCGGCCCGCCGCAATCATAATCTTCCAGGGGCGATGAGGTATTGAAATGCGACCCTTGAGGGGTTGCTTGGGGATTAAGGGATCATTTGAGGGTTTAGATTGGGATATGTGTAGAAAACCTGAAGAGACCGGTGTGGAGCAGTCGCTAGAGCGTCATAGAACACTTAAGTGGCTGCCCCAAGCTTCTCAAACTCACTCAAAAGATTTTGAAACTATCCGAGTCCTTTGGAAGATGAAAAAAACACTGAAGAGATCACTCAAAGTCTCTAGAGACCTTTTGAGAATGAGGAGAAATATTGTCAAGACCTCCATTAGCCACAGCGAGCTCCTAGGATCTACTTGAAAATTTTGAGGACTGTAATATTCACACCGAGCTCATAGGGCTCACTTAAGGGTTCAGAGACTATTTTATTCACATATTAAGCTCCTAGGGTCCACTTAAGAAGTTAGAAAACTTAATTAGTCAGACCGAGCTTCTAGTTTCCACTCAAGGGTTTTGAGAACTTCATTAGTTGCAGCGAGCTCCTGGGGTTCACTTAAGAGGTTAGAAGACAAATCTTGAAAATAAAAAGATCGCCACTTTTCCAATGGAGCAGGCAGAGTTGGCTCAAAAAATCCAGCTTTCAGAAGAAGTTTAAAAACCCTCAGGTTGGGGCTTCTAGGGACTGCTTGAATTTTCGGGGAGTAGTTCTTTAACAGACTGATGTCAAAGGAGACTTTCGGTTAGAGGAGCTGGAATAATTTCAAAGGATTTATGTCTTGTTTTGGAAATTTAAACGAATAAAACGTATTGGAACTCTTGAAATCCAAAATTAATAGTTTAACTTGAAGGGGAAAGCTGGAAATACTAACAGAGGGCCTAGGAAATAATAAAAACTGGGTTCTGGTATCGGAAAACAAAAATGATCACTTAAAATTGAGATGTTGGACAATTTTTTTGGTCTATTTTTGACTATAAGCACAGATAAAAACTTCATGAACCTCAATATTACGAGCTCCGGACTTTTCTGAAAATTTCTAAGGATCACTCAAGAGTTCCGACGGTACTAAAGCGGTCACTAGAAACGCTACGACACGTCCGGAGCGTTTTCGTTTTAGCTGCCGAGTCTCGAGTCAATAGAACTCTTAAAAATCAAAAAATTGGGGAGCAAGCTCGAAACACCAAAAGAGGGCCTAGGAAACGGAAACACTGGCTTCTGGTATCGAACACAACGGAAATGATCGCCGCGTCCAGAGAAAGATTAACAAAAAATACGCCGCCCCAGGCTATATTCGGACCCAAAAATGAGGGCGTTCTTCTGAAACCGAACGAGGTTTATTTGCGTTGGCTCGCGCTTGATTCGTGCTTGATTCCTGCGACACATTTTTGACAGCTCCGTCGCTTAATCTTTGTCCGATTCTTCGTGTGACTCATGTTGCTCTTGAGGAATATTCAACGATGAAAGATGAGGACGTAAAATTTTTGAAAGAAGAACAAATCGCTTCTTCTATTGGTTCATTTTATTATATCAAATTTTTTTGAATTTTTTTAGAGTTTTTCTGAAATTGTGGACTTCAAATTTCCAAATAAATAGCTGACGTAATTTTTTTAAATTAAAAAAAGAAAGCAAATTTGAAGGGCTTGCGACCATTTATTTGTCTCAATTTATCAAATTCACCCGCCTTCTTTTTTTAAGTTTTAATTTTTTAACGCTTATTCACAAAAAAAAGAGTATAATTACTTTTTAAAAAAGTATGATTTAAGAGAAAGCCTATTTTTTTGAACTTCAAATAATTTTTTTTCGAAATTTTAGGCCTTCTTATCTTTCACCAGCAATTTTCCACTAAATCCACTTCACTTTCCTGTTTGTAGCATGTCAAATCTGTAATCGAAATGGACTTGACGGAAAAAAAGAGCAGAAAAAAATAATAAGTTTGAATTCGCGCCCTTCGGTGGCGCGCATTCCACAAAAGTCATGTTTTTCGAAATTTCGTTTCTTTTCCCAAAATTTTGCACTTTCCCTGTTTTTTTTTTTGATATCGGTGTTTATTATCATTTAAATCGTGTTCATAAAGCTTTAAAGTGAATTCTATCGACTGTTGAATGGAAAATCGGAGACTGGACCATGCTTTTTATCAATTTGCTTACAAACGTTTTTCGTGGAAGATCCGATTTTTATCTTTTTTTTCTCTCGTTTGATTGGAAAACGGATTCAGATTGACTTTTTAGAAAGGAGAGGACCGTAAAAATTCCTATTTGAACACCTTTTTTTAACTTTATACGCATTCAATAATTTATTCAAATTCAGGAAGATTCTTTTTTTAACAGAATGAAAAACCAAAAAGGACGGACGCCTTTCTGAGCACTTTAGAGCTTTTTGTTGTTGTTTACTGAAACGCTTTCCGATGACGAAATGCTGTGTACTCATTTCGTAGCGTCGTCGTCACAAAGCCCACGTGCTGCTCTGCTTTCGTTTCCCCCTCTCGTAAAGAGCCTTTTTCCGGTATTTTTTGATCATTTCCTGTCAAGTTTCCCTTATCAATCGATAAAAGCGTCCGTCTTGATAAGATGCAGCTATTTATATGTTGAAGCTTTGGATTTACTTCAAGTAAGATAGTTTCAACACTTCCTAAAACATTTTCAAAAGACGATCTATCCAATTAAAGTTTATCTGGTCTTTTTGATCTACGTCAAAAAAAGAATCCTGTTCTCAAATGGTACCATTTTTTATCAGTTATTTTGCGTTACTTTGTTTTCATGTTTGATAGCACCTTATAAATGCCATATCAATTACTTTTTGTTCTTTTGGTCTAATTTTTGAAGGGAGGTCAAGTGTTTGAAAATTTGTTATGAACAGAAGGCTTTATTTGAATTCAAAATGATTTTTTTAAACAATTTTTTTAAAGTTTCGAATAATCGTTATAATCTTGTGTCTCATTGAGATTTTTAATTTTTAGACTTTCAAGATTTTTTTCCAATATTTTTCCTGGGACTTTTTAAAAGGCGCATCAAGGCCTAAATTTAGTTTGAAAGAGGACCTTCGCGCCTCTTTTTTTCTTCAGTTTCTCTACTCATTTTTTTAGCTCCGGAAAAAAAGTTTTTTTATCATCAAAATCTATCTTTTTCTATCAATGGAAACTTTTTTTCGAAACTCGATAAATTGGTTAAAATTAGTAATAAACCCCTTGATTCGAAACGATTTTTTTGATCAATCTTTATTTCCGTTTTGTTTCTTCATGCAACGCTTTGTTAAATTCTATATTTTGTTCGAAATTCCTTGCTGAAAGGCTTGATGGCGTAAGAAGCGAAAAAAAAAAAGTTTTTCGATGAGATGCGATTTTTTCTACGCTTTTTAAACACTCCAGCAAGGATTTTTGAGTATAATTCGCGTGAAATTTTCGAAATTATCGTGTTACAACGCGTGTCTCCTGTGTCATTTCTCTTCGTATCAACACACCTTTTCAGTATTAAGCCAAAAATGCAGTCGTTTGTCCGCTGCTGATCCCAAGCCCCACACACAGAACAAATCGTCGCGAAATTCCATCCCAATCGCGCTGTGCCAAACCAATATATTTGAACTTTTCAAGTATATTGAATTGTCCAGCATTGAAAAAAGCATTTAAAGGTCTTTGAAAATTTGCTCTTCTTCACGGAAAAATGGTCACATTTTTTCAGTACCCCACTACTTTGCTTCCTCGTCTGTGTCCGGATTTGCGGATCGTTTTACACATCTTTGGCTCGAAAACAACACTCGAATAATGGGCCAAACGTCGTCGAGAATGTTCGCTGACGCCGTCAAACAGAATGACAACTTCGGCCAGGACTCGGAAATGATGATCGATGAAGCTTTCGGTTGGGATTTTGATTTATAAAAATTGGTTGATATTATCTTCGAAACCATAAGACAATAAATTCTCGTGGCTTAGAAAGTATATTGGTATGAGTTCGATCAGGCTTTTTCTCAAAAAAATTAGTGATTATTTTTAGAGGAATGTGTTTTTTTTTTTTTTTGAAGATAATATTGATGACTTATTGAACTAAACCTTTGATTTTGATTTTTAAAATGGTTACTAAATGAAAATTGAATCTTTTCAGGGATATTCTAACCAGAGAAATGCTTTAAAAAAAGTTTAAAAATTTCCTCTGGGAAGTTTTTCGAGACAGGCAGTTGTAATGCAGTTTTTTTCAAAGGACTCTGTAGATTTTTTTATTTTGTTCGGAAGAAATTTTTTTTTTTTTCAATAGTTTTTACTTTGTATCTTTTTTTATTATATATTGTATAGATTATGAAGGTGAATTTTGAGGCGCCAACAACAAGCTGGAAGCCACCGAAACGATGAAAACGAATGTTGTGCCGTCTGGTCAGCAGAACCAAAGTATGATTTTTCGAGAGAAATTTTTTATTTTTGAAAATATTTTAATTAATGCGTATCGTTCATCGTTTCATTACTTCCATTAGAATAAGGAAATAGTGAGCTTCTCGGAACGGTAATTAATGATTTGAACGGTAAAATTGAGTTTCTTTTTTCAGGTTTTTGAGCTTTGAAATTTTTATCATGTTTAAAATGATCCCCCAGAGTCATCCAGTGCCTTTAAAAAAAGTTCTGAATTGATTTTTTCTTAAGGAAAAAATTTTTGGGAGTAATTGAAAATTTTTTTGTTTTCGGAACTGTTCAGTTGACAATTTAGAAAATTTTTGCCTTTTTTTGAGCAGGATTTTTTTGGAAGAAAAAGCTCGAGATTTTTCTAAAAATTCAAGTTATGGAATTTTTTCAATGGAAGTTCAACGGCTCTTTTTAAATATTTTTTTGATAATTTATTGAGTTATCTCATTTTCAGCGCCTCGTCCGAAGTCGTACCAACGTGCCCTGGACTGGGGCCGGAACGAACATTTGTTCAAGTTGGCCTACACCTTCCACACCAACAACTACTGAAGAACTTGGCCGTTTTCATCGTTTTTTCCACCATTTTTTGTATTTTCTTTTCCTTCATCCATCTCCTTGTTCCCTACGGGCCCCACGAGTAAATGATTCTCATTTGTATCATTCTTTTCTTCTTCCTTTTTCACTCTTTAGTGGATATTTTTGACATTCGTGTGCCGGTTTTAAGGCACTTTGCGGTGTTTCCTTGTGTCCAATGAACATTTGTTTATGAATTTTTTTTTTGGTGAAATTTTTCGGTCCTGAGGGGAGCCAATGGAAGAATACATGTGTTTAAAGATTAATTTCTTGAAAAAGTCAAGTTTTATTAGATGAAGCTTCTCCAACACCAAGGAGGGAAGCGCCGAACTTTGCGGGTCGGTTCTTATTTCATGGTTCATTTTGAATTATTGATTGAATTAGACATTTTTTTAATTCATTATGTTTTTAGCACGATTAGAGTTTTAATAAGACCGAGAATTAAAAAAAATAATAAAACCGCCCCGCCCATAATTTTTTTCCGTAAAGTGTGGTGTGTCTTGTGCATGCACCTCGGCGCTCTCGCACATACCACGTTCAAAATATTTTTAATTATAAAAATTTCAATTTTTTTGAAATTCAGTTATACTTTTTCACTCTCTAGTGGCTATTTCCAATTTCGCGGAATTACTTTCAACACGGCATGTGTTTAAAAAAACGAAACATGAAAAAAATTGCATTTTTTAAATGAGAAGTATCTTTTTAACCAGGGGACTTTTTGCAGATCGATTTCAAAACTTTGGTGGTTTATAGGCCTTGGGCAGGACACTTGAAAACAAGAGAGATCATCTGCTAAACCCGAAAATGTGCCGAAAAAAATCTTCTATCTTATTTTATTTTTCAATACGGTCGTCTCAAATCAATTGGCCGAACATAACATCAAAAGAACATCTTGAAAAAATGGAAAAAAACCTGTGTCCTGAAAATTTTCGAGCACCCGGTTTTCCGCAACATATTTTTCGGTAACCTCTCGGGTTCGCAGATAATCTTTTTGGTTTTCCAAAAATCCTGACTTAGGTCTATAAATATCCAAAATTTGGACTCGATCCACGAATACGGGTTCGCGTGCTTCTCTAGTAAACGCCGTAGGGTACTGAGAGAGAGAGAGCTCGTCGAAAATATAAGAAAATAGCTCAGAACCTGATTTTCTTTAAATTATGGTTTACAGAACAACTGTTATAATGCAAAATATCATAAGAAGCACGAGAAAGAAACGTTTTCGCCGTAAAATCTTTATAAAATCTGTTTTTAAGCTCTTTCTGTACATTTTCGACGGGCTACTTCTCAGTTCCCTATGGGGGTTTAGCAAATAATTTTTTTTTCTCCAAAAGCTCAAACCTAGGGCTTATTATCACAAAGGTTTAGGCCAGATCAGCAATTTCCACCTCACAAGTTTTCCTCGTGGAAAAGGCAATATTTTTTCGAAAAAACAAAATTAGAACTGCGGGACTTCAATCTCTTAATCGACGCCGCTTCCTTCTAATCTTTTTATTAGGTCATCAAAACAAACCAACGCGTAATAATCCGTTTGCGTAGAATTGTCATGGCGATTTCCGGATGATATTTAAAAAAAAATTGAGAAATTTGAAGTTCCTTGGGGAAAATCGTTAGAAAATCTCGGCTTACAAGGGGAAAAGATTCAAAAAAGCGCATTTTTAATCGGTTTTTTCGGCTTTGATATCACTTAAAACTGCTTCAAATTTGAAAAAAAATTTTTTGCAGAAATTCCTACGATTCCCGAGTTTTTTTTCTGCGCGTAAAACATTTTATTTTCGTTCGTTGCCTCGCTGATTCGATTCTCATCAAGTACGCGCCTCGGGTATTTTTCGCTCGAGGCACCGAAGGCTTTTCCGTAGTTTTCCAGGAAAATTTTCAAAGGAAGAGGAGGAAAAGTGATTTTATAAGAGAAGGAGAAGCTTCGAAAATCGTGTCGGTGTAAGTAGGATTATTTTTAGGAAAAAAACCAGTTTTTTTCTTTTGTTCTTAAAGTTTTTGTAAAGATCCTTGCTCGGTTTGTGAATTTTATAAAAAAATTGAAACTTAAAAAAAGTTTTTTTAGTGAAGTCTCTTATTTGTAGATTTTTCCAAAAAAACAATTAAATTTGTGAGATTTATTTTTGTGCATTTTCAGTAAAGATCCTTGCTCGGTTTGTGAACGTTTATAAAAAAATTGAAACTTAAAAAAATATTTTTTTAGTGAAGTACCTTATTTGTAGATTTCCGCCTTGGGCGATTGGTTTTTTTCCAAAAAAATTGAATTTGTGAGATTTATCAGCATTTTTTTAGTAAGGATATGTCGTCGGGTTATAGAATTTATGGAAATTTTAAATTTAAGGAATTTTTTCAATGGAATACCTTATTTGTAGATTTCCGCCTACTTCGATGAAATTTGTAAGATTTGTTATTTTTTTAAGCAAATGAGCACTTTATTTTTCTATCAGGAAGTCTATCATAATTATTAATTTTTTTATCAAAAAAAGCTATAGTTTTACTTTTTCCATCTGCCCGGTGCTGTTTTTTTGGGCATTTTTTGGTAGGTAGAAGCCTAAAAAAGGATGTTTAAGCTATTTTTCTTCTTTGAAAATTATGGAATATGATAAGATAGGGTTATTCATCCTATTAATCCAAAATGGTTTCTTCATAATTTTTTTTTTGAGCCAAGTTCATCGAAAATGAATGCGCTTTTGTTCAAACTTCCTCTAAAATCCCATTATTCAATCCATTATACTTCAAATAAATGATTTTGAATACATTTTGATTCACAAAAAGAGTCCAAAAAGTAAAGTCCTCTTTTTTGTGTAGATTTTTTCTTTCTAATGCGATTACCGGAGTTCTAGGAATTTATCAGAGCGGAGATTTTTTTGAGTTGATGTTAAAGAATTTTCATAGGAGGCTGGAAATTGGTTGGAAAAAATTCCTGTAGAAATGTTTTCATTGCGTTATGAAGCTTCTAGGCTCAGTTTGAATTTTTTTTCACTTAAGTGACTACTTTACGGTCGGGTTGTATTCAAGAGAACAATTTTTCTTTAAAAAAAGGGGTAAAAAAATCTTGAATTTATAGTCTTTTTTTGTACTTTTTAGATAAAGAATTCAATGATCAAGCTTCAATTTTGGCTTTTTATAGAAGCGCAAACTTTTTTTGACTTTTTGGTTGTCCTAGGAAAAAAAAACAACTCATGCTAAAAAAATTTTTAGAGATTTTTTTCCATGCCATAAGATTTCCCAATTTAAAAAAAATCCGAAAAAAAACCGAAAAATCGTTGTTTTCTATGAAAAACTTGAAAGTTTTGACATAAATCCTATTGGTGCAAAGTTTTTAAACTCGAAAAAATATTATTAAAGTGGTTCGGCTCTTCTTCATTGGCTCAGCATAATTTAAAGTTGCCCTGAAAAAAAAAGAACTGATGAACCAAAAAGATGATCTATTTCAAGCCGAAAATCTTATTTTTGTCCTGCCTCCGTCATGCGAAAAATCATCTCATGATTCGCCTAATGTTTCAAATCGTCGACGATGACCCTCCGACGTGCGCATTTATCACAAGCCCGGATATTGCTGATAATCCGCGGAGAAAAACGGGCGTCAGGGGGGTGGGCGTGGCCGGTGAACGGGCGGAGCCTGAGCTCCGGAGCTCAAGGGCTCACTTTTGCCGCTTCCCTGTCAATGCTCCTCATTGCCAAAACGTGGGTCATTTATTTATTCATGTGTTATTTTGGGATGGGAATTTGGCTGCGCATCAGCTAAGTATCAAACTACGAAAAGTTTGGAAGTTTGGCCATGTAAGGCCATTTTTTCTCCGAGTTTAATAGTATATATTTGGCTGCGCATCAGCTACGTATCAACTTAAAAATTTGGGGGAAAAATTTAACCAATAGTAAAATTGAGAATTACGCAGTATAGGACTTTTTTCCGGTCCGGCTGAGTTTAGGTGTATACAGATTTGGCTGCGCATCGGCTACGTATCAATTTTAGAAGCTTCTAAAATTTATCGATTTTGGTTTTTAGGGCTTTTTTCGAAGATTTACTGAAGGAATATTGGTAATGGAGTATCGTAAATTTAGCTGCGCATCAGCTACGTATCAAATTCTAAACACTTCTGAATTTCCTCACTCAAAAAGTCAAGTTTGGTTTTTAAAAAGCCGTTTTTTTGGATTTACTAATACAAATTAGGAAAATGAGATTTGGCTGCGCATCGACTACGTATCAACTTCGAGAAACTTTCTGAAAAGTATGAAATTTTATTTTATGTCCGTTGCTCAATAAGTTTCCAGATACTTTTTCACAAAAAACGCTTCAAATCCTAAATTTCACTGCGCATCAACTTATTTGCATACTTTGGCTGCGTATCGACTTTCTCTGAATAATTTAATAAGTTCGAGAAAAGGAAAAATCTGAAAAAAATTTAGCCTAAAATTAAATATTCGATCGAAGTAAATTTCATTTAAGTGATCGCTTTTTTTCGAGTTTTTTTATAAGTATCTTTGGTCTGAGAAAGCCTCAAATATTTCGCTGCGCATCGACTCAATCCACTCCGTATCTATTTTGTGGCCTCATATCTTTTTTGTTAGTTTCTGATTTATTTTTTCAATTTTCTCTTCAAAAACACAGTTTTCAATCAAGGTTTATTGCTCAAAATTGGCTGCAAATCCCTTTTTCTAATTTCATCTGCCCTTCTAGAGCGGAAAACACCCATAAATTTTCTACGAAACGTCAAAAACAGCCGTTTTCCCTGCACGCTAAAAGTTCAACCAAAGCTGATGAGTAGAAAAAAAAATGATGTTCCAATAAAATCTGGAGAAGAAGCAATAAAACACGAGGAACTCGGGTCTAGACCCGGAAATCCTCGAAAATCCCTTCACTCTCTTTTTTTTTTGGCCCGGATTATATTATTTATCTCCTCACCCACACATGCCAATTTCATCAGGAAACTGAAATGGATGTGGCCGGAATTTTTAATGGCAAAAAAAATTGGAGAACAAAAAGGGTGGGTGGACTTGATCCTGGGAGCTTTTGAGTGGCATTTGGGAGCTTTAGCCAGTCGGCTATGGGCTTTTTTTTGTATGATATGCTTTTTTGTTCATTGGCGAGTGTGTGGAAGCTCACTTTGTGAAGAAATCGACCAATAAATAATTGAATATTTGAATAATTGAAGAAAAAGTGACTTAAAAATTGACACTTTTTGAGGCATTTCAAACTTGATACTCAGCCAAACGAGTTGATGCGCAGTGAATGACTCAATTTTAAGCTGAAATTACACTCAAAAATGCCAACTTTTCGAAAAAAAAAACTGACGACAAATTTTCAAAAATTGATACGTAGCCGATGCGCAGTCAAATCTTCGATTTTACGCCTCCTCAGACAAATGATACTTAGAAAAAACTCGAAAAAGCGGACACTTAGCGGAAATTGCTCTTGAATAACTGATGAGGAACCAAATTTGAATAATTCCTTGATACTTCCTTCCTCGATTTAATTTTATTATTTGCGGAAGTTGATACTCAGTCAAAGTAAGGGTAAGAGTTGATGCGCAGTGAAATTTCTCTTAGACTGAACAGGTCAATTATCTTAATTTTTAAATAAATAGCAAAAGTTTGGTCATGGAGAGGAGTCGAACCCGCGACCTTTTTTGTGATGTTTAGAGCTTTAGCCACTTGACTGAAGGTTTATTAATCGTAGAATAGTAATTTTATAGTTACGTATGAATAGTTTAAAGCTAGAATCCTCAAAAATTCATGAAGGGCTCGAACCTGTGACCTTTTTGGTGACACTCTGGCGCTTTAGCCACTTGACTGAGTTTCTTTTTTTAAAAGTAGGATCTTTAACATTGACAGATCGAATCTCATGAGCTAATTTAGACAAGAATTTTGAAATAAAGCTCATTTTTGTTACCGTGAGAATATTTTTCCGTTTTTCATCAAGGGGGATTGAACCTGCCACCTTTTTCAAGAAGTTTAGATGCCTTAGCCACTCGACTATTAGTAATAACCTTCAACTTTTGGTCCAGTATACTGTACTTTGAATCTCAACGACCATCAGAATGTCCACACATTTTCCCTAGGCTTAATAGGAGCTAGAGAGAGGAAAGAACGAACCTTCTAACGAACTGCTGAAAAAGGCCCTCATTAGGAAAGGTCTCATCGGCTCAATGAGCACTCGGCGAACATTTTTCCGTCTTCTTTTTTTTTTTCGATTGCGAATTACGCTGTTTTTGTGGGGACGTGGAAGCTTCATCTTGTGGATGATCAGTGTTTTGGCTTGATAATCGATCAATTTTAGTTTTTAACTCGAAATAAGGACTAGAAAAAACTTTAGGGGTCTAGTAATCATTAAGACTTTTAAAAAAAGGCCACTGAAACTTTATCCACTTAAATGGTCACTATTTCTACTACTATAGTGACCACTAATACGTCAAGACCCTAAAGTGGGCACTAAGTTTAGGCGCTTGAATTTTCAATACCTCAACTACTATAGTGAAACTTCAAAACCCTAAAGTGACCTCTAGCACGTTTAAACCCTAGAGGGGCCACTGAAAATCCCCCCGGACATTGAAAATAATTGAAATTGATCATTTTTCGACTATAAACACGATTTTGAAAAACTCTTTTCTAATTATATAATTTTGAACTAGAATGCTTTTCATTAGGAAATCAAAAATAGGCCTTTTCAACTCTAACCAAGTTTTTTTTTGACTGTATTGCGATTCCAGAATCGCCCGGTTCCTACAGCAAAGACCACGGTTCACCTTGGCTTTTTGGATCGTCTCCAATGCATTTCTACTGATTCTCTGCATTTCCGTTGAACTGATCGATGATGCTGAGCGAAGGGTAAGTTTGAAGGAAAAAATTTATAAAAATATGTTTTTGAGCCGTATTTCTGTCGAAAAGTTGTGTGGGATAGGTGGTTCTGATGCCTTGAAAGTTTCATTTTTTGACTTGGAAATCCCTTCAACAGGAACACAGGATCTGAAAATGCTTATTTTCAGCTTAACCTGTCCCTTAATGAGACTTCCTGGGAGGCTGATCTACTGAAAGACCTCTCAGGTACAGCCAAAACTCCTCTCCTCCCAGTCAAGCTAAAATCTCTCCAGGTCGACCCGCTATCAGTGCGGTATTCCCAGCTGTGGTCTTACCTGCCCTGGTTCTCTCGATTTTGACGAGAAGCCTACCTGTCGTCCTCGCCTCGAGCCTGGCTTCACTTCAGACGTCCTGCCTTCTGACCATCGCCAGCAGATTCGACGTCTTCCGAGAAGCCTCCACGACGATGTTCATTCTGACGTCGTCGCTGGTTTCGACGGCCAACGCGATTGCGGTCAGGAAGAGCTGGGAGAAGTCGAGGTGGGAATTCTCAGGAGGCTGTGAGACTTCAAAAAAAGGCCAGGATCTTCGAGATTTTTAGGCAAAAGTAGTATGAAGCACTTTGAAAGAAGTACGGCATGATTGAATTAGTCGGGAATGTTTTTTTCCAAAGAAAAGCTGGAGATGACCATTCAAAGTACCCTGGAACTTTAGTTTTATGAGGGACAAAAAATCCGACTTGGTAGATTTTTCCAGGCTCTCTTAGAACTCATAGAACTGGGGAAATTTTTAGTGGCCACTTAAGGGTTTTCACGTTTTAGTAGCCGCTGTAGTAGTGGAATTAGTGGCCACTTGAGTGGTTGAAAATTAGTCACCACTCTAGGGTTTTCAAGTTTTAGTAGCTGCTGTAGTAGTGGAATTAGGGGCCACTTGAGTGGTTGAAAATGAGAGACCACTCTAGGGTTTTCACGTTTTAAGGATTACTATAATAGTCGGGTTAGTGGCCACTCAAGTGGCTAAAAATCTGTCGCCTCTTTAGAAGTCTAAGTGGTACTACTAGACCACTATAGTGACCACTAAGACGCAACGTAGGGATTTCTGTAGAGGTGGTTTTAGGGGCCCCTTCAGTGTCCTCTCCAAGTAGTTTTTGAGGAACCTCTTAAGGGGCCACTAGAGTTTTTTGCAGAATCCTTTATCAACAGAATGAAGTTTTACGTTCTTTCGAAAAACTTCACAAAAAAAATGAGAAAAATTTTACGACTTCTCAATTTCTGGTCACTCACTTTTTTTTTCTTATTTTCTTTGATCGACTGAACTTTCGTGACCTATTTCGAGTTCTACAGAAGTAAAACACTAACATCATTTTACGCCCAAAAAAGAATATTTTTCTCGGCGAAAATTCGATCGCACTCTAATCTTGTTTCGTTGTGCTTTTCATCTAATATTAGGTCATTTCGGTGGCGTTCGAAAACAGAAAAAACATGATATTCAATGGGATCTTTTTAATATTTACGTCAAACGATGTTCGACAACTTTTTAGCTGACTAATCCCCGGTTTATTGTGTTCTTTAATGACCAAAAGGCTTAGCCAAAAGATCAGAACTACGAGGAGTGTGACAAAAAAAGGAAATAGATGTTTCAGAATGAAACTTGAAAAGATTCTACACAAGTTTGTAGAGGAATTTGATCTTTTTCTGATCAGGAAATAAATTCTGGGCTTTTGGACAAGCCGGAGGAGATTTCTGGAGGATTTTTTCACTTTTTCTTCGTTTTCTTCGGATTTAAATTTTATCTGTTTTCGCTAAAGACCCTTCAGAATGCTCCAAAGAAGCGGTCAAAGTTCAAAATAATTTTAGATTCAGCTTGACAACTTTCCTGTTTCAAAACAAAACGTGGTAGTCGAAAGCCATTTTTTTTTTTGGTCTTTCAACTTTTCAATACTCTTTAAGTTCGAAAAAAAAGCCGAATTCCAGACGAGGGCCTTCTGAATCGACGATCGGACGTCTTCTGGTCTCCTGCGTCGACAAAAGTCTCCCCATTTGCATCGTCCTGACGACGACGGCTTCGCTTCTCCCACTGCTGGCGGCCCCTCTGGATCCGCTCCATTCCCTGACGTCCTCTGTGATACTTGCCACGTGCTCCCTGCTCCAGAATCTCTGTGCTCAAATGACAGTCCTAGCCGTCCTCCTGGTCCGACACGACTTCAACTTGGTTGAGCTTCAACAACTCTTTGGACTGAATTCAGAGTTTCAGAGCTGCCCCACGGCTCCCAGAGGCTGCGGACGTCTTCTACAAGCTTTGGTCGACGAGAAATTGGTCTACTTTGCTCATTTCGTTTGTCAGATTGGCCAGAGGATGCTGGCGTCTTCGTTGAAGATTCCGTTGCTAGTTTTATACGCCCTGGCCCTTTTAGTTTATATGTTCGTTTTCTTGGCTCTTTTATTTCAAGCAGAGCAATTTTTTAGGACGAAATTGGGCCTAAGGACATTTCTGACAATGTATTCTGCGTCGAAACGGGGGCAGGAGGACTGGCGGACTTTGGCCGCGATTTCTGGCGCCTTTTCGATGACTTTACTGCTTCTTGTCGCCATCAATCGACGCGTTCAGATGCACACGGCTGCTTCGATAGCTGCTGTTTCTGCATCGTTTTCTACTTTTCACTTTTTTGAGGTGAGACCTTGAAAAAATGGTCTTGACACGATGAAAAAGGAGATACTGTCTGGTTGGTGGAGAGTGCAGACAGGCCCCGCCCCTTAGGGTCTTAAGCTAGCCCGACTTTTTTCAGGATTTTGTTTTGAAGAGTAAACGAGCTCCTGTGATAGTTCAGCAGTGTAGACTGATTTGAGGCGTTTAATTAGGGGTTTTGCGCTCCATTGACAATTTTTCACTCAACTAAAATTTCAAATTTTCAAAGGCTTTTTTAGAAGTTTCAAATGCGCTCTATTGATAAATAGGCTGAATCAAAGAGCTGAAAGCGAAAAACTCAATAAAGCAGACTAACGATTGGCTTGAGCTATTGGAGAAATGGTCCTGACCTGATGAATAAAAGATAGTGCCTGGTTGATGGAGAGCGCAGACCGGCCACGCCCCTTAGGATCATAAGCTGAAGCGGCTAGAGTGATCTGCTCCTATATTATGACCTGAATCTTAATTTCAAGAGCTTTTTTCGAAGCTTCAAGGTTGCTCGAATGATAAGCTAGCTGTAGTGGAGTGCTATCGAGTGAATTTATCCATTTTTTTCATTTCTTTATTATCAGAAGAAGTTCATCAATCAAAATGTTTTATTTCTCACATTTTTTTCATAATCCATTAAATTTCGTTTTTGAGTTTGAGAATTTGAGTTTTCCAGGAACTCCTCTTGCCAAAAGTCGACCTCTCCCTACTCCAAATCCTCACGGTTTCAATAATCCCGATCGATAGTTCAGTTCGTTATTGCCTTGCTTACAAGTGCAGCCGAAAGAAGAAACATTCGTCAAAGGTTTGGATTTGTACTGAATTTGAAAATTTTTCAGGCCAAATTTGATGTTTTGCAATTTCTCATAATGCTTTGTAGGAACAGAGCAGCCTCATTCGATACTTATTTATGACCTAGCGCGCAAGTCGTTTCGGGTCGGGCGCGCCTTGAAGCGAATTTCTTCTTCCTAAAAAAAAAATTGGAATTTATTCCAGGTCCTCGACGCCTTGGACACCGTTTTTTCCCAAATCACAATTCCTGCAGTCGCCATGATTAGCACGGCGGCTCTTTTTTACTTCCGAGATCAAGAGCTCATGATGGCCCCTCTAGTGGCCACTTTAGTCGTCACTTGGTTCTCTTCAGTTATTTTCACGTCTGCCGCTATGATGTTCTTCGGTGAGGCTTTGAATTTGAGATTTTAGGCCAAAAGATGTTTGAAACTGCTTTCTCGGCATTTCTCGGCACGCTTCTGAAGCTTAAAAGTCACTAAAGTTGCTGTAAATCACCAAAATTGACCTTCACTTTTAAAAGTCCTAAAGTTCGCTCACCAAAATACCTCTAAAATCAAGTTCCGCAACCTGGACCATGTTCTGAAAAATGGGCAAAAATATATTTGATCTCGGGCGGGCTCGAACCGCCGGCCTTCTGTGTGTTAGACAGATGTGATAACCACTACACCACGAGATCACCTAACGTTATGGAGCTTTCAGGCGCATGGTCATCGTGCGGACGGCATCGTAGGGAGAGTCAGCAGTCGGATAGCAGGTTGTTTTTTGTGTTTTCAATTTGAAACTTATTAGAAAGGTTGAAAATCAGACATAATATCAAAAATTGTTAACTTTATATGTTTTTGTGATGATTTTAAAAAGGCGATTTTGGTTATTTTCCGTTATTACCTGGTAAATTCAATAGGAAAGTTGAAGTTTTTCTTTTCAAATTCTACACATTTTTTTCTATTTGATGAATTTCAGGTCGCTTTACACCGAAAAATTGTCATCGCATCCGATTTTTTTGACCCTCAAGACTACACCAGACGCTACAGTTCTTCTAATTATTATGGTAATCAATTTTTCTTTCTAATCTATCGCAGTAGCTTCAGAATACGTTCAGGTTAACTAGAGTTAAGGGAAAAATTTTGAAAAAGTTGAAAAAAGACGGGTATTTGAGGAATTTGGAAAAACGGTGAAGGAATTTTTTGAAATCGCCCTTTTCTGAGCATTTTAAAATCGATATTTCGCCTTGTTCTGGAAATAAACAAATCAAAAAATGATACGTTTCAAATTTTCAGCCAACTGCGGAGTAAAGCAAAAAAGGTCGTTTTGTACAGTACCTACGGATACAAGGCGGGCTTCGATGCCTGTCATGGTTCAACAGCGGGTTGATCAGAGGTTTGAGATACCTTATCATTGATTGGAAAGATCTTGAAAAAAGGATTAAAATGATACCAAGCTTGGGGGCGGAAAAAAAGCTCGGAAAAAAAGAGTAAAAATTGAGATTTTTTTGACCACTTCCAGTACCTTTTATTCTGAAAGAAACGCTTTTGAAAGTTCTGAAAAAAACTAAGTTGATTAGAAATTCAAAAACTATCCGTGAGAAGTTCTCAAAAAGCTTCAAAATAGGCTCATTTGGGATCATAAGAACGACCATATTCTCTTACGAAAAGGGCAAAAACTATTCGAGCCGGGAGCGGATTCGAACCAACCACCTTCAAGCAACCTTGCCCTCCTCAATCAGAAAATATCCCGTTCCGGACCTCATCTGCTCGCATTTTACAGACTCTGGGCGGCGAACGGAAACGGTCGATGTCAAAGTGTGGATGGTCCAGCTTCGGTTCGCGTCTACACGACGCCAAAGGCGCCAAGAGCAACTTGAGCTTTTTCTCAGACAGAAAACGTGTATCGATAAACATTTTATTCAATCTCAGTCTTTATACGAACCAACACGGATTCTGGCAATCGCGGATGAACGACTCGAGTGTTCCGGCGTTGACGTGCATCACCGAGGTGTAGACGGTCGCCTTGTTGAGGTTGGGCTTGCTGCTCAGCACCTGGAGATGTACTGGATGGAAAGAGTAGGAGAAGAGCTTTAAAATGAGGGTCAAGTTGAGGAAATTAGTCTAGTTTGAGCGGAGTTGTGGAGGATTTTAGGCTTAGCTCTTTTTAAGTGAGAAGTGATCACTTTAGTGACCTTGAAGGCACAATTTTGCTTCATTAGGGTCCCATTCACTGTGTATGCCTTACAATAAAAGTAGTTTTTTTGTTTCTAGAACCTCTAGAAGACCTATTCCTCTTATCAGAAGCTCAAAATGGGCAACGATCCCCGAAAAAACCTGGAAAAGTCCAGCCAAGTTAACATTCTTGGTCCCGAGCTTGTTCATGCAGTCGTGTCCAGGCCCGCGTCGGTCGTCCAAGTAGATGACCTTCTTGTCCCAGTCGTAGTTGGTCTGCAGCACGTACCAGCTCGTCTGGTTCATCGTCTGAAGCCAGATGAGCTCAAGGTCGACGCCTTCAAAACCCACGTCGACGTGTTCAGCCCCATCGGGTCCTCTGGTGATCACGGCGCCCTGGTTGTTCTGACGACCTCCCAAGATGAAATATCCTGGTGCGAGCAGCGGCACCGTCGTCAGGTACTCGTAGGCCTTGAGGTTGTTGTTGATCTTTCATATGGCTATTCAAAGTACCTCTTCATAGGTCGAGCACTTGGTGAGGACGTCCCGGTCAGCGTACATCAGGAAACTTCGGCCGGTCAGCCCTCTGACGAAGAAGTCGTAGATGTTCTCGTGGACAGAGCCGAAGCGGGCGTTCGTGGAGATACTGAAGCCTTGCGGCCGGATTCCTGAATAGGTTGGTGACGTCATGAGCTTCTGTTGATGGAGTCAATCGAGGTTTGACTACAGTTTCAATAGAGATTTTGAAGATTCAGGGAGTTTCAGAATGTTCTGCAAAGAAATAGACACCGAACAAGCTTTTCTATGAAACATTTTGTCTAATAAATATTATGGAAATTGCGCAGTTCTCGTATTTTATATGCATTTTAGAAAAATGTGACGTCAGTTCATAGATTCATGACGTCAACAAAGTCAACGGCAAGCTAAAAACTTTGGCGAAATGATTCCTAAGCCAGACATTTTTCAAGAGGCTGCGTAAGCTCAAAATGACGTCACTAATCCTACCAGTAAGTGTTCCAAGATGCCCCGCAAAAGTGACGCCCTTGAAGAGGACTTTCCCGTCCTTGATGTAGTTAATATTGATGACCAAATCCTTGAGAGCCATCGTCTGCTGCCAAGTCTGCAGCGTCACGTTCCAGTAGAACAAGAAGCCAAAGTCCTGGTTTCTGAAATTCGTGTTATTCTAGACATCAACTCTTCAAAGTCACCTAGCATGGTAGATTTCGCCGTCCTTGTCTCTGGCGACGATCGAAGTGCAACCCTTCTTGATCTCGTAGAAGAGATTGAGCAGCGCCACCTCGCCCACGGACAACCCGGAAGCTTTCGCCATGCCCTGAAGCTCTTTCGTATCTATCAGAAAACTTGATTAAAGATCCTCACGATGATTTCTTGATGGTAGGGCTCTGGAAGATTCGGAACGCCCATGGCGGCGAACTCCACGAGGAAGTCGTAGATGCTCACGTCAATCAATGCGATGAACATCTTCACAGTGTCCAGGGCGGCGAGGATCTCAACAATTAATTTGGAAGTTAGATTAAGGAAATTTTCACTTGTTTGCCATGGGACTCGCCGACTTCATTCCAACGAGTCCGCGGGTCCTCGTCCAGGTCAATGTTGTACCATTTCACGGAGAAGGAGTCTGCTGGATTGTAGACTTGCTCCTTAATTTGTCAGAATTCAAAATTGGGGCTTGACTCGATTGTAATTTTGAACATGATACTTCATTTCATAAACTTGGAGTCACTGAAATTTCCAGCTTAAATCCCCGCTTTTCCTCCAACCTAAGTAATATGATAACCAATCGATAGAGCGTCTCAAGACTGTTTTAATGATATAGCTCAACCTCTGATAACTCATCCGTACAAACAGTAACAAGCTGAGGCGAGTCTGAAGCTTCTGAATGAAGCTCAATCAGTTGACAATCTGTATCATTAGAAAGCTGACATCAAGACGAATCGATTAATATAATCAGATAAGCTGTAGCTGCTCTAAGAGCCGAGATATAAACCTTCAAAGTTTTCCAGTAAAACTTGAAATGGCGTCAAATAAAATGCATTTGGTGGGCTGCACCGCGGTGTACTTTTCTCGCGAAAAAGGAAAAGCTCAAAAAAAAGTTCGGCTTTTCGAGGTTTAAAGCAGATCAATCGATAGAGCAGCTTCCATATAGTAGTTTTATCATACCACTTTCAAGGAAAAGCTCAAAAATGGGGTGAAAATTAGGTTTGAAAATCCGCATTTTTCCGACTTTCAAGATTCATAACTTTGTTCATTTTGAAGATACGGAGGAAGTAATTACATCAATCGATTTGTCTAATCATCAGCTTTCTAATGATATGGGGCTTCAAAAGTTTCCACCTTTTCGAATGACCTCGCAGATATTTCCAGCTTACACCTCAGCTTCTTCTTTATCGTGGATGATATAAAAACCAATCGATAGAGCGTCTCAAGACTGTTTTAATGATATAGCTCAACCTCTGATAACTCATCCGTACAAACAGTAACAAGCTGAGGCGAGTCTGAAGCTTCTGAATGAAGCTCAATCAGTTGACAATCTGTATCATTAGAAAGCTGACATCAAGACGAATCGATTAATATAATCAGATAAGCTGTAGCTGCTCTAAGAGCCGAGATATAAAGCTTCAAAGTTTTCCAGTAAAACTTGAAATGGCGTCAAATAAAATGCATTTGGTGGGCTGCACCGCGGTGTACTTTTCTCGCGAAAAAAAGGAAAAGCTCAAAAAAAGTTCGGCTTTTTCGAGGTTTAAAGCAGATCAATCGATAGAGCAGCTTCCATATAGTAGTTTTATCATACCACTTTCAAGGAAAAGCTCAAAAATGGGGTGAAAATTAGGTTTGAAAATCCGCATTTTTCCGACTTTCAAGATTCATAACTTTGTTCATTTTGAAGATACGGAGGAAGTAATTACATCAATCGATTTGTCTAATCATCAGCTTTCTAATGATATGGGGCTTCAAAAGTTTCCACCTTTTCGAATGACCTCGCAGATATTTCCAGCTTACACCTCAGCTTCTTCTTTATCGTGGATGATATAAAAACCAATCGATAGAGCGTCTCAAGACTGTTTTAATGATATAGCTCAACCTCTGATAACTCATCCGTACAAACAGTAACAAGCTGAGGCGAGTCTGAAGCTTCTGAATGAAGCTCAATCAGTTGACAATCTGTATCATTAGAAAGCTGACATCAAGACGAATCGATTAATATAATCAGATAAGCTGTAGCTGCTCTAAGAGCCGAGATATAAAGCTTCAAAGTTTTCCAGTAAAACTTGAAATGGCGTCAAATAAAATGCATTTGGTGGGCTGCACCGCGGTGTACTTTTCTCGCGAAAAAGGAAAAGCTCAAAAAAAAGTTCGGCTTTTCGAGGTTTAAAGCAGATCAATCGATAGAGCAGCTTCCATATAGTAGTTTTATCATACCACTTTCAAGGAAAAGCTCAAAAATGGGGTGAAAATTGGGTTTGAAAATCCGCATTTTTCCGACTTTCAAGATTCATAACTTTGTTCATTTTGAAGATCCGGAGGAAGTAATTACATCAATCGATTTGTCTAATCATCAGCTTTCTAATGATATGGGGCTCAAAGCGTTTCCACCGAATCAAATGACGTCGCAGACTTTCCCAGCTTACACCTCAGCTTCTTATTTATCGTGAATGATATGATAACCCATCGATAGAGCGTCTCATGACCTTTTCAACGATATAGTTGAATCCGTGATAGCTTATCATAACGTAAAGTTATACGCTGAGACAAGTCTGAAGCTTCTGGATGAAGCTCAATCAGTTGATAAAAAAAAAAAGCTGACATCAAGGCAAATCGAATGATATAATCAGATAAGCTGTAGCTGATCTGCAAGCCGAGATATAGGCCGTCAAAGTTCCCCATTAAAATTCGAAATGGCGTCAGATAAAATGCATTTGGTGGGCTGCACCGCGGTGTACTTTTCTCGCAAAAAAGGAAAAGCTCAAAAAAAAGTTCGTTTTTTCGAGGTTTTAACTATAACAATCGATATAGCAGCTTCCATATAGTAGAGTTATCATATCACTTCCAATGAAAAGCTCGAAAATGGGGGGAAAATTGGGTTTAAAAACCCGCATTTTTCAGACTTTTAAGCTCCATAACTTTGTTCACTTTGAAGATACGGAGAAATCGATTACATCAATCGATTTGTCTAACTATCACCTATCTAATGATATAGGACTTCAAAAGTTTCCATCAACCTGGATGACGTCATAGAACTTTCCAGCTCACATCTAAGCTTTTCCTTCAACATGTGTGATACGTAAACCAATCGATAGAGCGTCTCAAGACCTTTCCAATGATATGCTTCAACTCTTTGTACCTTTTCATAACTGAAGATACAAGCTGAGACAAGTCTGAAGCTTCTGGGTGAAGCTAAATCGATTGATAACTCATATCACTGGAAAGTTGACAACAAGGCAAATCGAATGATATAATCATTTTTTCTATCACTTCAAAACAAAAAAAGTTATGAAGCTTGAAAGTCCAAAAAAGGCATTTTTTCGGACTTTTTTTCATCCGATTTTCGAGCTTCTCACTTCAAACTGATATGATCACAGTACTATATGGATGCTGCTCTATCCACTACACTAGAAAAAAGTTGAAAAGCCTAATTTTTTTCTGAGCTTTTCCTTTTTCGCGAGAAAAGTACACCGCGGTGCAGCCCACCAAATGCGTTTTACCTGACGCCAATTAAAATTTTAATGGGAAACTTTGAAGGCTTATTTCTCGGCTTGCAGAGCAGCTACAGCCTATCTGATCATATCATTAGATTCGTCTCGTCGTCAACTTTCCAATGATATAAATTGTCAACTGATTGCGCTTCATCCAGAAGCTTCAGACTTGTCTCAGCGTATAACTTTACGTTATGATAAGCTATCACGGATTCAACTATATCGTTGAAAAGGTCATGAGACGCTCTATCGATGGGTTATCATATCATCCACTCTGAAGAAAAAGCTGAGATGTAAGCTATGGATTTATATCACGTCTTCCAAGTTGACGGAAACTCTTGAAGTCGTATATCATTGAAAAGCTGATAATTAGACAAATCGAATAATATAATCAATTTCTCCGTAACTTCAAAATTAACAAAGTTATGGTGGTTGAAAGTCGGAAAAATGCGGATTTTCAAACCCAATTTTCACCAAATTTTTGAGCTTTTCCTTGGAAGTGATATGATAAAACTACTATATGGAAGCTGCTCTATCGATTGATCTAGTTCAAATCTCGAAAGAACAAACTTTTTTTCGAGCTTTTCCTTTTTCGCGAGAAAAGTACACCGCGGTGCAGCCCACCAAATGCATTTTATCTGACGCCATTTCAAATTTTAATGGAAAACTTTGAAGGCTTATTTCTCGGCTTGCAGAGCAGCTACAGCTTATCTGAGTATATCATTCGATTCGTCTCGTCGTCAGCTTCCCAATGATATAAGTTATCACTCGATTCAGCACCATCCAGAAGCTGCAGACTTGTCTCAGCTTACAATTAGTTGTTCTGAAGAGTTATTAGCGAGTTAGCTACGTCATTGAGACCATCTTGAGATGCTCTATCGATTGGTTAACGAATCACCTAAGTTGAAGGAAAAGCTGAGATGTAAGCTGGAAATTTTTGTGACGTCATCAAAGTTGATTCAAGTTATTTGAAATCTATATCACTAGAAAGCTGATGACAAGACGAATCGATTGATATAATTATTTATTGTATAACTTGAATACAAAAAGAAGTTATGAAGCTTGAAATTCTGAAAAAAACGATTTTTTTAACCTGTTTTTTTCACCCCATTTTTGAGCTTCTCCCTTAAAACTGATATGATAACAGTACTATGTGAAAGCCGCTCTATCGATTACACTAGAAAAAACTTGAAAAAGTTAAACTTTTTTTTTGAGCTTTTCCTTTTTCGCGAGAAAACCACACCGATGAGAGCCTCAGACAGGCGCTTGACCTGACGCGAAATTACAGCCGAAGCGTTTCATCACACGCGCAAATTTATTTTCTAGGAAATGTTTGGAGACTTATATCTCGGCTTCTAGTGCAGCTACAGCTTATCTGTTTATATTATTCGATTCGTCTTGATGTCAGCTTTCGAATGATGTAGGTCACACCTCAATTGAGCTTCATCTGGAAGATTCAGAAACGCCTAGCTCATAACTTTTTGATCTGATATTGAAGTACACAGATTTCTTGTGACAACGATTATAACTATTTTCATTGTACCTTTCAGTTTCTCTAGATGAAATGGAAGCTTTTGAACAATTTCAAAACAAACCTTCCCAACGAGACATTGCTCTCCATAAGGGCCCCAGGAGTCGCCGTTGGCCCAAGCGATCAATACGGCCGGAACGAGAAGAAAACGGAGCATTTCTCCACGTGTTCAGCCATTTGCTATCGCCAATATATATACTATTCGTCTAAGCTTCTCCATTATCAGTCAACCGATAATGATTGATTAGTTATTTGCCTTCGGAAAAATTTCCAGAGATCTGCTCGTTGGACAAATTTTTCATATCAAAAATCGACAATCAGAACAATCAGAGTAGTTATTATGAAGGAGGATGGAAAAATAACAAAAAATGATTCGATTGATTTTCTCTTGGAATATGTACAGCTGAATGAGCACGACGTGTGTGTGTGTGTGGGGGAGAGATTTAGAGACCCTTAAAATGCGAATTTTCTGGGACAAAATGTTAATGATTTCAGTCATGTCAAGTACCTGTTGTAGGTTAGTTTCCAACTGAAAAAGGACTTTTTGGGACCCGGCAGTACTCAGATTTGATGATGAGATAAATTAATTGATAAGAACGGAATTTACAGAGGAAATCGGGTGGAAATGGGGAATCTTGGCTGAGTTTTGAGGATCTGTGAGGCGGCTCAGGACTTGAAAAATGGGAAAAGCTCAATCTTGTGCTTCATATTTTCTTTCTAAACTCAACTGGTCGCACTTGGAATGGCTCGAAGGAATTCTAAACTCAACTGGTCGCACTTGGAATGGCTCGAAGCTATTCTAAACTCAACTGGTCGCACTTGGAATGGCTCGAAGCACAACGGTCGCGTTGCGGTCAAAAATTAGCAGTCAAAGCTTGCTATAATGCTTTTCAATATAGCAGTGCGTAAGTCGTTTTAGGTCGGGCGTAACCGCATTTTAGCCATTCTACTTGCGCTTAATAGCTCAAAGATATACAGTCTTCTTAAAAAAATTTAAAAGTTTCAATTGAAGCGTAATGTACTTGAAAACCAGTTTAAAATTCAAAAAAAAAAATGCCCCAAACTAGGAAAATTCGAATTATTTTCGAGCCTGAGCTAGTACTTTCAAGTTCTAACTGCTAAAAAGTCAAAAAAAAGTTCAAAAAAGTCCGTTTTTGCGCTCAAATTTTCCCAAAAATCGAAGTAAAAGCTTCACAAAAAGCCTCAGATCCTCACAACTTCTGCCAAAACAAGAGAAATCTCAACAACCAGGAAAAAAACATCTCAATCACTGGGCAACTTTTTGAGGTAGGCGTCGTGTCGTCGGTACTCGTTGAGCGCCTTGGCCGTCATCTCGTCCGGCGGGAAAATCGCTCTTCTTGTGGTTCATGCTCGAGTCTCGTTCGTGGACCGACGACTGAAATTCAGACTTTTATGATCAAACTTGGTCTCCCAAAAAATTTTCAGGATGACAAAACTTCTAGGGTATTATCAAGATTGGTGTGCGATAAGAAAGAGGGCAACTTTCTGAACTCTCTGATTTATGATGGCTTAAATTCGAAGTTAGAAAAATGCTTCGTTTTTCCAGCTATATTGCTTCATAATTTTAATAGTTACAAGCTAAATGGAAAATCTCCTAAATCACTCAAGTAACCACTTCAATGTTTTTTTGGGAAAGTAGCTTTTAACTTTGAATTCGAGCTTACTCATGATGTTATAAAAATCTTCTTTCAAATATCTTTCAATATTTCAAACTATTCCCCCAAATCATCCAAACCACTCAAGTAACAACTTGAAAAACACCTTCAAGGTCTTCTAAAAAAACCTCGAACTATAGTACACACTGGTTCTTCTGAAAGCTGATAGATCACTAAAATGGCCACTTGAGGCCCACTAATCAGTTTTAATTTTACTGAAAAAATCACCTTGTGTCTCCAATTTTTCGGTTCCTTACGTGGAATAAAAACTTCTATGATTTTTACCTTTCTACTCAAAAAATCGAAAAAATTGAGCTTTTCAATGAAAAGAACGTGTAATGTATTATCCACTATGCTGTGAGAAGAAAATCATATTTTTGAACTCTTTGATTTCAAAAGACTCTTTTGAAACTCATCCAAAAATAAACCCCGAAAAAAATTTTTTTTTCTGAAGTTGTTAGTACCCTTTCAACGTTCAAGCTTACTGTGAGAAAAATCTAGTGGTTTACTCAAGTGGTCACTTAAAAAAGCCCTCAATTCAAGAGATTTTCTGAAGTCACTCAAGTGATCCCTTAAAAAAAAAGCCCTCAATTCAAGTGAATTTCTGAAGTCACTCAAGTGATCCCTTAAAAAAGCCCTCAATTCAAGAGATTTTCTGAAGTCACTCAAGTGGTCACTTAAAAAAGCCCTCAATTCAAGAGATTTTCTGAAGTCACTCAAGTGGTCACTTAAAAAAGCCCTCAATTCAAGAGATTTTCTGAAGTCACTCAAGTGGTCACTTAAAAAGCCCTCAATTCAAGAGATTTTCTGAAGTCACTCAAGTGGTCACTTAAAAAAGCCCTCAATTCAAGAGATTTTCTGAAGTCACTCAAGTGATCCCTTAAAAAGCCCTCAATTCAAGTGAATTTCTGAAGTCACTCAAGTGATCCCTTAAAAAAGCCCTCAATTCAAGTGAATTTCTGAAGTCACTCAAGTGGTCACTTAAAAAAGCCCTCAATTCAAGTGAATTTCTGAAGTCACTCAAGTGATCCCTTAAAAAAAAGCCTTCAATTCAAGTGAATTTCTGAAGTCACTCAAGTGATCCCTTAAAAAAATGCTACAAATCAAGCGATTTTCTGAAGTCACTCAAGTGGTCACTTAAAAAAGCCCTCAATTCAAGTGAATTTCTGAAGTCACTCAAGTGATCCCTTAAAAAAAAGCCTTCAATTCAAGTGAATTTCTGAAGTCACTCAAGTGATCCCTTAAAAAAATGCTACAAATCAAGCGATTTTCTGAAGTCACTCAAGTGAACCCTTCAAAAAAAGCCATCAAGTCTGCGCTTCTTCGAACTGGATCAGACCTCTTAAGGGATCACTTATTTTTGCCTAGGAAAACATATTTTTTATTCATCTTCTCAAGCCCTATAATGATTCCTCAATCATCTAAAAAGTGAAAAAAATAAGGCTCCTTTTTTTTTGAAAGAGGTAAAAATTTGAGCCTCAAGTTCAAACTGTTCAGCTCCAACTCCGAGATTTTCAAATCTTCTGAAAATCTTGCAGGTTCAACTTCCCTTTTACGAACTAGAATACTTCAGAATCCCTAGAAATGCCAAAAAAAAAAAACTGACGGGCGAGAGGATATTCCTCATGATCTCCTCCTTGCTGATGTCGACCTCCTGGACCTCCTCCCTGGAGAATCCGTTGACGCCGCCGTCGAACTCCTCGTTGAACAACGCCTTGATCTCCATGTACTGCAACAACTCAGTTTTCTTGGCTAGGAATGATTGGCTAACATGAGGATTGCCGCGGGCGATGTGCTCCAGCTTCTGCCACGCCCTTTCCTTCTCTTCGAGCGCCGTTTTCTCTTGGGTTCTTTCCTAGAAAATCAGAATTGAATCTGGTTGTTTAGTAAAAAGCTTTGAGTTCGAAAAAGTGATATTTTCCTAGTAATGCAAACTTTGAGATGCCAATAAAATGAGCCTACAGTGGAAAAGAAGAAACAGTTACACACTTTACATAAGCTTCAAGCTTCAGGACTACGACAAAAGGGCGATTTTTCTTTTTCCGAAAAGAACTGTATGTTAAAGTGCACATTTGGAAAAAAAAGTACCCTCCAAAGTGTGCAAACACGCCAAATGCGGACTTTTACGTACAGTTATTCTTCGGAAAGATGGGAAACTCCCTTTTTCGTAGCACCCTAAGCTTCGGAGAGACTCAGCAAAATCGACTTTTGGTGCTTTTTTGGCGGCCCATTTTCTTTCTTAGAGCCTCGAAAATTCATTTTTGAAAAAGATATCGGACAGAAGAAATCGTCTCTTCAACTTATTTCCAAAATAAAATCAATTCTGAAGTCAGATTTCCAAAATTTCAATTAGAAGACGTTATTCCGCCTTGTCAAAGCCATAATGCATCAAAATTCTAAATTTCAACCAAATCTTTTTTTGATCCGGAAAAATTCAAAAAAATTACGTCACTCTTCCATGAAAAAAGGACTGATTAAAAAAATTAGATTGAATTTTATGAGAAAATTTTTCAAAAATTAACTGTTACAATCTCAAAACTCCAGGGTTCTATGAAAATCCGGTGAAGAAAAAACCTGACTATTTTATTAATTATCCTCATTTTACCTTGTTATAGCCCTGGGAGCACTCGTCGAACAGTTTCTGATTCATTTCCATGAACATCTTCAGCGCGTTGTAAATCAGTCCGTGAATCGTTCTGAAAAATCAATATTTTCTAGCAAACTCTCGGGATCGAATTCTTCGATTTTCACTTATTTCGGTCAAAAATGACGTCAAAATTCAGAAGAAAGTCAAAAGGTTGCCATGGATCTTATAGTGAAGTTCTTATATTCTTATAGTGAAGTGAATGTGTTGAAGTTATGACGTCATTTTTCGCTCAACTAGGTAGTTTTAGACGTCATTTTTCCTTTATTTAGGCCAAAATTGACGTCATGTTTCTTTGGGAAGTAATCAGACTGCCACGAATTTCATGAGAATTAAAGTTATGACGTGATTTTTGGCTGAACTAGGTGATTTTTGACGTCATTTTCCTCACACTTTTGCGAAAAATGACGTCATGATCTGTCGGAAATTCACCAGTTTGTCATGGATTTTACGATAAATGGTAACGTTATGACGTCATTTTTTGGTGAAGTGGGTGGTTTTTGACGTCATTTTCTCCATTTTTACGAAAATGACGTCATAATTTATCCCAAAATTCCTTATTTTTAGGTAAAATTTTTATCGGAACTTGAAACCCCCCCCCCCTCATTCCACAGAATAAAAGAACAATTTTTCAAAATGTGACGTAATTTTTCGCAAAAAATGACGTCATAATCATGAAATCCACTTTTTTTAATTAACGGAAAACTTCTTTCAAAGAAATAAAAACCAACTTATTCCAGTGAGACTTGCTGTTGCGGTAGAGCGCCGGAAACATGATCGGAATGATTTCCTTGGCGTTTTCCGCCACCAACGACATCACATATTCGTTATTCCAGTAGTATAAGGCTCTTTCAGCGACCTTGAAACAGGAAATCAGCTTTAGAATCGATTTTTTTTTGGTTTAAAATGTGCGGCATTTGCAGTTCACGTGCGAAGCGGTTGCGACGCCTTATTGCGCCAGTTCAAAAGTTATCACCTCCTCTTTGAAAATCATCTTTATTTCTCTGATATGAATTGCCGTAAAAACATTTGTTTAATGAATATTTCAACAGGAACCCTAGGAAAAAAATCAAACAAATGTGACGTTTTTCGAATTGGCGCCAAAAACGCATCCAACATGAAGTAAAAAAATGTCCCAGCCAAGCGGAAAAAAATAAAATATGTAATCCACTATTTTTAGGTTTAAAAAAATTTTTAGCCTCGACGAGTTCTAACTCAAAAATCACTTACTTTAGAATTTTTAAAGCCTTCCTTGAAACTTAAAAATCTTTATTTTCAATAGAGACTTCCGAAAAATCATTTCATCCCTTTTTTTGTCCTTTTTCAAACCTTAAAAAGTCAATTTCGGAGCTTTTTTTGAACCGCGTTTAACGTTATTTGGCCAGTAAAAAAACATGAGATCTTTTTTTCTAGAAGTTCAACTTCAGAAAAAAACTTCGAAAGCAAGTTTTTCATTATTATTTTTTTCTGCAAAAAAATTATCTGAAAATAAAAATTTGAAGCGATTTTTCTATCAAAACTCTCAACATGAACCAATTTTTGGAGCGATAAAATTTTTTTGAGTAACTGAGCTTTCAAAAAGCTTCAGAAGGTACCTGGAAATGTGGACTGCTGACACAACGGGCGATTTGTCTGAACAACGGCTTCATGATTTTTCTGAAATTCGCTCGGCTCGATAACGTCCAATACCTCCTCCAGCTCGTTCAGGAACATCACCTGAATGATTACAAGATATTTTTTGGATTATTTGAATTATTTAAGAAAGTTCCGTTATTCAAAAATCGATTCAAGATTTATACTTCCAGAAAAAATTCAGTTAATCCAAAGCCTATTCAAAACTTTTGCTCTCACAAAACTCAAAAACTCCGGAAAAAAAAGGATTTTCTTCACAGGTCAATTTTAGAAATCATCGATTTGTCTTGAAAAAGCCCAAACTTCTCGAAAGTCTCTGAAATTCGCACACTATTTCGCTGATCGTGCCAAGACCCTAATTTTAAATATTTTCTGACCGGAGAACCTTAAATCCACCTACTCATTATTTGGAATCAAGTACACTAAAAAATACATGAAAAACTTTCAAAATTCAATTTTCTTAGAGTCTTGTCAAAATTCCACGATTTTTACCAAAAACTTGATTTTTTATACCTTCTTAAGGCAATCTAACAGTTGAGCCATGAACTCATCCACTTGAAATTTGTGAAAAATCGATAATTTTAAAATGCCCTTCAATAAACTTTCTCAATCCACCTCGGAAAACCCTCATTTTTCTCATTTCCCCACCTCCTTGGGACTGTGCTGCTTGGGCCAGAATCGTAAAAGGCCGTGGATTACAGGTTCCGTCAGAGAAGCGTCTTTTTCCAGGAACTGTACGACGCAATAGGCCAATTGCGGATGGTAGACTGATAAGGACTTCACCTGAAAAATTAGGAAATCTAATTTTGAGTTCTAGGAATCAAACTGGTCCTTTTTATCTACCTTAATAAAAAAAAAAATTTGTAATTTAGAAAAAAAAAAGTAAGTTTTCATAAACTTAAAACTGAAAATGGAAAAATCCTGAGTTTCCATTGGGAAAAACTGAAGATTCGGAAGTTATACTGTGAACAACTCTAGTGGCCGCTTAAGGGGTGCCTCAAGGAATACTTGGGGAGGACACTAAAGTGGCCACTGCAGAAACTACCTTGCGCCTTAGTGATCACTAAAAGAGCTTCTAAGACGTTAGCTTAGACTCCTTAAGAGGCCACTAAACTTCAGTCACTTAAGTGGCCCCTAACTCGTCTACTATGGTGGCCACTATAACGTAAAGACCCTAAAGTGGCAACTAAACATTTTTTCCAGTACATCGTAAAATAAAAGAGAAAATCGAAACTCAAGCCTTTTTTTTGACTAAAAAACTTTCTCAACTAATTTACCACTCATTTTTTCTGTTCTTCAACCTCATGTCAGTGAAAAAAAAAACTAAATGCTACAGGAATATTAAAAAAACAAGAATGGTGCATAAGAGCCTTTGAAAGGGCGCAAAAAAGCCTTTTCCGACGATTTGCCTATCATTTTACTACACCTTTACTGCTTCAAATGTGCTTTACTCAATTTTACCTATTCTTGACCGTTCGACCACCATTTTTTAACCATTTGACCACTATTATTTGAAAATTTTAACACCATTTTTTTCCTAAAACCAACCTTATGCAAGGGTAAAAGGACCCGAAGGAGGAAAGTTCGATGTTCTTCCTTCAAAGGAAGTGCAAACCCGTTGATGATGCTGCCTACAATATCAAATATGAATGAAAACAAAAAACGACACTATAGTGACCACTAAAACTTCAGAACCCTGAAGTAGCCGCTAGAAAGTTCTGCAGAAAACTTTTAAAAGATTGGATTTTCTCTGAAAATTCTTTTGACAAAAGATCACTGTAGTGGCCACTAGAAAGTCAAAACCCTAAGGGGGTCACTATTTCAACCTCTAAAACGTCAGAACTCTGAAGTGACCACTAGGAATTTCTGAAACTCGATTATTCCCTCAAACCCCACCAAGTATCTCCAACAGCTCAGCGATGCCATTATGGCGCTCGGTTTCGTAGATGAACGAGTAGAAGATGTTGTTCATCTGCTTTCTGAACGAAAAATCCATTTCTCATTCAAAAATCATGATGAGTATAACCTGATGAAGGCGCGCATCCCGAGGAACTTTCCGTAAATCCGATGAAGTGTCGTTTTTAAGAAGTCGCGCTCTCGCGGGTCTTCCGAATCCATTATCATTAATAACTGAAAGATATGCCTATGAGAATAAATTTGTGAATCTTAGGAGTTTAATTAGATTTAAAATTAGAGATCAAAGGTGAAAAATTTGCTGAAAATATTAAAAAAAGAAGCTTTTTATTCTACTTTCAAGTGTATAAAAGTGACTAAAAAAACCGACTTCTATCAATAATTTGATTAATTTTTCAATAGCCCATTCAATAATTCAAATAAATGTAGGATAGATGAAATTGTGTACTTTTTAAAATTGGATATCCATTGGAAAGCTCAAAATCGACATGCTTATGGTAAATTTCAAGAAATATAGTGTCAAATCAAACTGAAAACTATCAAAAAAAAAATGAAAGGAATTTTTTCAAGGCAAAATATTGAACGGAAAACTTAAATCAAATTTTTTCCGCGAAAAAAAAAACTAGAAAAATCAGTTTCAAGGTTCAAAAAAATACAGTAACGCTTGAAAAAAAGCTATTTTTTTGACTAAATTTGAGTACCGTTAAAAAAATTCGTTTTGGAAGCTCAAATTCAACCAGAGATTAAAATAAACTTCAATAACTAGCTTCAAAAAAATTTCAGCATCAAAATGAACTGAAAAATCCCTCGAGCCAAAAAAAATAAAAATTAAAATAAATCACCTTAAGCTTTAGAAGTACCTTTTTTTAAATTTATTTCAGGCATCATTGTCAAATTTTTTCTTTTTCAAAATCAGTCTTGTACATTTTATTTTTGTTTTTGCTTGTAATTAAATATCATTATTATTATTGTTAAGTACAATAAACACTTTAAAAAGCCCTTTTTCTCACTATTTTATAAAATTCTATCAATTTTTCCTAAGGGGGAAAAAAATCCAAACAAACCCTCAAAATAAAGTTCTGATCAATGTGTTTTTTGGCGATCGACGGCTGAAAGTCGGGCGATTCGAGAAATCTCAGGAAAAATTCGTAGACCAACTGAAAAAAAATGTCCTTTTTTTTTGAAGTCCACATAAAAAATGCCTGTATATACATGTTTTCCTTATTTTCAGAAATCCCAATCTTCCTCTTTCACAAAAACCTGGATAATAATCCCCTTTTTCCCAAATAATCAACTCAAAAATTTATTTTATCGATTCCAAGCATTTTTATAACCCTTCGGAACATATTTTCCTTCAAAAAATGATTTTATTGAAGCTTCTAAAAATCAGATTTTCATATCCTTTTCGCTTAGTTTTGGTAAAAACTGAAGGGGTCCTAAAGGGAGGTTGAGGCTCAGTGGGCCCTATAGGGATTGTATGAGGACCTCTTTAAGGGGGAAATATCCTGTAGGATGACTTTTGAATTATTTTTCTGCTTGATAGTTCCCTGTAATGGGTCTTAAATGACCATTTAAGGGCTCTTACAGGGGCCCTTCAGTACACCTCCGTAGAGGCCTTTTTCTCCCTAAAGGACATACTCCAGCTGTTCCCACTGCTCAGTAACCTCTAATCAGTCTTCTCTTGATTTTTCAACCTTATTCATGCCTTTGGAAACGTATTTTCCCCTGGTTTCCTTAAAAATCGAAATGGTCCCGAAAATGGCCTGTAAATGGGGCCAGGCAGCTTCTAACTATCAGACTTTCATTAGAAACTTCGGATTTTTCCAATCAAGTTTTTATAATAATTAATTATTCACCGAGTTATATGTTTCCACTCAAGCTCCAGCAATTTTCAACCTTATTAAAGCCTTTTGAAACGTATTTCCTACCTTCAAAAATCGAAATGGTCCCGAAAATGGCCTGTAAATGGGGCCAGGCAGCTTCTGACTATCCGACTTTAATTACAAACTTCAGATTCGTCAATCGAATTTTCAGAAGAATTAATTATTCATCGAGTAAGAAGTCAACTCAAGCTCCAGCAATTTTCAACCTTATTAAAGCCTTTTGAAACGTATTTCCTACCTTCAAAAATCAAAATGGTCCCGAAAATGACCTGTAAATGGCCTGTCAAACTTTCAGAAGAATAAATTATTCATCGAGTTATACTGCGGCTTTCCTCCTAGCATTCAAGTTCCCGCAATTTTCAACCTTATTCATGCCTTCTGAAACGTATATGCCCCTGGTTCCCTTCAAAAATCAAAATGGTCCCGAAAATGACCTGTAAATGCGGCCAGGCAGCTTCTAAAGTCGGTTCGTCCTCGTCTGGATCGTACTCGGCTCCAACTGGATTCGTGGGTGGCGACAATGGCCGGAATAAGTTCCTTGAGAACTGGAAAATCGCAATTTTCATATACTTCCGAGCTTTTTTTGTAACTTCTAGGCTTTAAAAATGATTTTTAGAAAACTTTAAAGCCTAGTGAAATCCTAGACGAACTTTTTAATTGAAGTATCAACTTCAAAAAAACTCTAGTGGGAAATTTTATTCTGAAATGCTTTGAAAATCCTAAATTTTCGAATTTTTTTCCATTTGGCATTGATTTTTCCTGCCAAACTGCGCATCCACTAAAAAAATCTTAAAAATCACTTTTTTTCTATCAAAATTTCACCATAAACTCTAAAAAAATTATGACCAAAATTTGTATTTTTCGTAAAAACTTGATCATAAAATTCGTACTAAAACGATTTTTTTGTATTTTTTTCCTTAAGAGAATGTGTTTTTCCTAAAACCTGCACATCTAACAGAACGAAAATCGGGAAAAAAAAGTACGCTGATAAACTTTTTTTTTCCTATCAAAAAGTACAAAAATCGCTTCAATAGTCTTTGTTGTAAGACCCTTTTTCCCGAAAAAAATCCTTGAAAATCACCATTTCGACGGCTTCTGGATAGACGGAATCAGTGATAACGCCTCTGCTAGTCGAGACATACTCGACGAGTTCATTCAGAGCGGCTCTTTTCACCTGAAAAGACGGAAAATAGGTATTTTTTCCAATTTTTTCAAAATATGTCCTCCTCATAAGTATAAATATACCTTTAGATCTTTAAAAAAAACTTCAAACTTTTCCGAAAAGCCGAAATAATCCAAAAAGGTTTCACTGTCGACAAAAACCCAAAAAAAGTTGTTCACAACTTTTTTGTACGAAGCTCAATCTATTTCCAACACTATAAACCTGCGTTTTTTTTTTCTGCGAGCTGGAATTTCTTCTGGTCATAACAAATAACAGTCATTACACCTTCAGAAAGTTTCACGAAGATTAAACTCCATACAAGAAAGTTGAGATCAAAAAAAGTGTTTTTTTTTTTTGCATCTGTATGATCCCCCAAGGGGATTAAAATGAATGACATTGAGAGAATTTGAAGAAACTTTTTTTATAAATTCTTTTCAGCATTCTAATCTTAAGAAAAGCAAAAATATCAGGATTTTGACCTTCTGAGGAGCCTCAAAACGCCCTTTTTTTCACTGGATTGGCAAAGTTCAAAGTTATTAATGGTATAACTCGACTAAAAATTTTTTTGAAAAATCCTTAAAAATTGCCCTTTTTAGAAATGAAAACCTATTGAAAGGAGAAATTTACACCAAAAATCATCAGTTTTCCACAAGATTCCCTATTGGGTACCACCAAAAATACCAACTTCCTTGTGTTTCAAGTTCAAAGCATTCTGATTCCCGGAAAGGCAAAAATATCGCGATTTTGGCCTTCTAATCGAGTTTTAAAGCTTAAAAAAGGCGAAAATGTCTCTATTTCTTTCCTGGATCGATAGAGTTCAACATTTTTGATGGGCAAGTTTGACTATAATAGGAAAAGCTTGATTTATCTTCATTTTGAAGGCCTAAGGTCTTTGAGAACCTCCCCCAAAGCGCTGAAAATTACGAAAAAACGAGCTTTTCAAGTGAAATGATAAATTTAAACTGAAAGTTTTAGAGTTTTTCACAAAGTTTCCTAATTTGGAGCCACTATAATACCAACTTCCTTGTGTTTCAAGTCGCTCAGAGCGTCCTGAACGAAGTCGAAAACGACGCAACATTGACGGAGCTTCTTGATGAACAACTCCTCTCGCTCAGAAGCGTCTGATTCTGTAATCGAACTTTCATTTGAAGGAAGAGAGCAATTATTTTCAATGAAGCTCATTCCAGCTTGTCACCATTTTGATTTCCCATCGAGCTACGGAACCTATCCCTTCGATGTGCGTGGCTTGCGTTTTTGCCTGCGCCTTTAATAACGGACAGAGGCCTGCGTATGTGCCTGCGCCTTTAATAACGGACAGAGGCCTGCGTATGTGCCTGCGCCTTTAATAACGGACAGAGGCCTGCGTATGTGCCTGCGCCTTTAATAACGGACAGAGGCCTGCGTATGTGCCTGCGCCTTTAATAACGGATAGAGGCCTGCGTATGTGCCTGCGCCTTTAATAACGGACAGAGGCCTGCGTATGTGCCTGCGCCTTTAATAACGGACAGAAGCCTGTGTATGTGCCTGCGCCTTTAATAACGGACAGAGGCCTGCGTATGTGCCTGCGCCTTTAATAACGGACAGAGGCCTGCGTATGTGCCTGCGCCTTTAATAACGGACATATTTGGTCAAATAAAAGGCGCCTGCAAAAAGTCAGGCCGCGTTCCCTGAATGAAAACTCCCCGGAAGGATTCCAGAGCTCGTAAAAAAACAAAAACCGTGACAAGCTGGCGCGGAATAGGCTGTACCTCTGATCAAAGGTAACTTGACGAGTTCCCGATTTGAGGAAATATTGAACAAACTGCTGGATTGTCGTCGGTCCCGTCGTCCAATCATTGGTCCTGAAATCATTATTTTCAGTTTATTCGTTTTGAAATCCTTCCTAAGGTCCCTTTCATCAGAAAAGTCAATAATTCCCCCTAAAAAATTCAAAATTATTCCCATAAGTTGCCTTGAGGCTCCATGATCAGCTTTGCACTGAATTTCTTCGAAAAAAGCTACAAACCGCTCTATTTCACTAAAATGACAACTTATACAGCGCAAAATCTGCCGAAATTGCCCGGAAAAAATATTACCCAACTTTTCTCGATAGAGCACATTTTCTTTAAAAAGTTGGCTCTTTAAATCTATTTTCGTTTGAGTATCCGTTTTTTGCAAAGCTCGAAAGAAAAATCAGAAAATTGTCCATAGAGCAAGTTGCATACAAAATTTATCAATAGAGCACATTTTCTAACAAAAATAAGCCTTCAATCGATTTATGTAAATTTGAATATCCGATTTCCGCGCCACTAGAAAGAAAAATCAGAAAACTTGTTTATGGAGCATACTTTATACGAAAACTTATCAATAGAGCACATTTTTCTAACGAAAATAGGCCTTCAATCGATCTCTTCCGTTTTTTGAACCACTAAAAAGAAAAATAAGAAAATTATCCGTAGAGCACAAATTCCTTTAAATAAAAAGCCTCTCATCGATTCATGAAAGCTTGAGATCCTAATATTGTTATTGCCGAAAAAAATTATATGTAGTTCATATTTTTATCAAAAATAACCCATTTTCAAAGGAGCGTTTCTGAAAGCCCTTTTTGATAAATTGGTGAGCTTTCTAAATTATTTCTTTCTATAAACTGAACCTTAAAAGCTAAGAAATCAAACAAAAAGCCTAGAAAAATCGAGAAAGCGCTAAAAATAGGCCTTTTTTCCGAATTTTGTCACGAATTCGACAGCCAACAATTATAAAATCCACATAAATCTTCGGGAAAAACAAATAAACACATTTCTTTTTCTTCTTACCTCCCCCATAATTATTTCGTCGGATGTTCGTTGGCGGCGGCGCATCCGGCGGGATCATGTCGCCTGGAAAAAAATAAATTACTTTCATTTTTCATTCAAAATTATGCGAATTCTGAACAAAAAACCTCAAAAATTGAAGTCAAGGTCTCATAAAATGCTTATTTGTAGAAAGCTGGAGCATCAAAAAACGTGAAAAAAACTCGAGTGGACACTTAAGACGTTCCTTAAGGGCTACCTGGAGAGGAAACTTAAGTGGCAACTGAAAAAAATCTCTATAGAAGTCACTCTTTTGCGTCTTAGTGGCCACTTAAGTAGTTTTTTGGTGAGTCCCACTTGCACTCCTAAAAAGGTCATTAAACCGACCACTATCGGGGCCACTAAAACGTCAAAACCCTGAAGTGGCCACTTAAAACATTTGACTTATAGAAAACCAACGATGAAATTCTTTAATTTTTGGGTGAAAAAAACTTACATAACAGCTTAAATTATCCAAAAATTAAGATCCAATAAAATTTTTCTTGAAAATACTTTAAAATATCAAGATTTGAGCTACCGAAATCGTAGAAGAAATTTAGAAATTAGAAATTCAACAAAACGTTCCAAAATTTTCCCTTTTTTTTATTCATCTAGTTGAATTTTCCAACGCCAAGACACAATTTGAACTATTTTTTTCCCTAATTTTTAGGACATTTAAAAAAATTATTTCTTCAATGGATTTCGTTTAATTTTTCTGAGAAAGAAGAAAAAAACGAAATCCAAGAACAAGCATCCCGCAAAAACCTGCATCTTTGTCACCTATATTGAAAACAATTCGTCTTTCGAAGGGAGAACTTGAAAATATTGGGAAAATGAAGAAACTGAGCTAGAAATATATAAGGAAAAGAGGGAAAAAGCTAAAAATTAACTTTTTAAAAAAATATAATTCTTAGCCATTTTACAAAAAAATACCCCTTGAAGAACCTTCCTTAGAGCACCTCTGAATATTCTAATTTTTTTAAATACATAAATATTGATAGTTATGACCTATGAAACTTAAATTTTTGACCAAAAAAACATTGTTCAGATTGAATCTTCAATGAAAATGCTCCAATCAAATATTAGAAAAAAAAGAAAAAAACCCAAAAAAATATTCACGAAAATGGGGGCGTTAGGCCGTCGAAAACAACGGAAAATTTCATTAAGATTCGAAGAAAATTCCATTAAATTATTCTTCACAAAGATACGCATTCATTTGGAAATTTTGTGAGGAATTTTTGAGATGAATCGAGGAAAAAATTGGTTAAACTTCATTTTTTTCACAACCGATTTATATTGAGAAAAAGGGGAAAAGTTCCAAAAATCCCAAAAATTTTCTACTTTCCTTCAACTTTTATATTGAAAAACCCTGATCTAGAATTTAAAAAAACGCAAAATACCACTGAAATATTTCAAAAAAGCCACTTTTAACACGAAAATCTAGTTTTTTTTCAAAATGAATGTATTAAAAATGAAAAATTCATATTTTTTCTCGAATTCTTTCAAACTTCCACTCAAAAAATACTCAAAAAAGGGTCCAAAAAATCTAAATTTATGTTGAAAACTTTTCAAAATGGTCAAAAATCAGCCACTCAAACCATTATCGATTATTTATCACTATCCCCCTTACACTTCTCTTCAATTTCCTATCAAAAACACGGAAAATCAACTCATTATAACCAAAATTTCCCAACAAAGACAACTGGAATGGAGTTCTATCTCTTACAAATGATCGAAAATCACTTTAAAAAAATCATTATCGATTATTTATCATTCAATTTTGCTATAGAAACCTTCATTCCCTCTCAAAATCACAAAAAACTGCTCATTTCAACAAAAATTCCTGCAAAATTGAGAAAGAAGGATGAAAATAGGGCAATATTAGGTTCCGCTTTGAATGAGAATTGAAAAAAACCAAAGGTTTTTCAACTAAATTTTTTTCGAAAAAAAGACAGGAAAAAAATAAATTTCTACCTCTTTAAAATGATCTAAAACCTCCTGATGACATCACTATCGATTACCTATCGCTACTTTTTTTCTATAGAAACCTTCATTCCTCCTCACTTCTCTATTAAAAAAACCCGAGAAGTTTTCAAAAATGTAGTCATTTCAAGAGAAATTTCCGGAAAAAGACAGTTCTACCTCGTAAAAATGACCAAAAATCACCTGAGCACATCATTATCGATTACCTATCACTAATTTTTCCTATGTATACCTTCATTTTGCTTCAATTTACAATTGAAAAACATTTATAAATCTGCTCATACCAACAAAAAATCCGAAAAAAGACAGTTCTACACCTTCAAAATGAACAAAAATGAAGCCAAAAAATCATTATCGATCAATTTCTCTTTTCAATTTTAAATATCACTATTAATTTTCCATGAAAATCCCAAATAAATCACAAAAAAAAAACGAAAAAACCTACTCATACCAACAAAAAATCCGAAAAAAGACAGTTCTACACCTTCAAAATGATCACAAATCACCTTAAAAATCATTATCGATCAAATTTTCTTTTTAAATATCACAACCAACTTCTCTTCAAAATTATCACAAAAAAACGAAAAAACCTACTCATTTCAAGAGAATTTTCCTGCAAAAACCGAGAAAGGGTGGAAAAATGGGCGAATTACTGGGCCGTTATCATATCAAAAGGTAGGCAATTAAATATCCGCCACAGGTCGCTTATCGCTACTGTACGAACGACGAGAAGAGAACAGACGGACGAAGAAAAAAAAAGCCTCGACTACCGCAAAATGGCTGGCCAATCAATCGGGGGCCAGAAATCTGATTGAAATTGACATTTCTCACGTTTCCTTGCACTAAAATGTTCAAAAACCGGCTAGAAAGACTAAAATTGGGGTTCTAAAAGTTGCCCTAGCTTTCAAAAATAGCTACTTGAAACAGTAATTGATGGTCCAGAAAACAGGAAATTGGGAGTTTCTCAAGTTTAATGACACAAATAGGGCTAAAATTCTATAATTTCGGTTCAAAAAGTCAAATTCAAACATCTACTAGGAAAATTTCAAGTGGCCACTTAAGTGTTCTCTCCAGGTAGTACTTGAGAAGCCCCTTAAGTGGTCACTACAGTGTTTTTTTCCATTTTTCCCGTTTTTCTTGCACCAAAATGTTCAAAATTGGCCAGAAAACTGGAATTTTGACTCTATATGTTAAGTTTAAGCACCAGGCTCTTAAAATAGCTATTTGAACAAATATATAATGATCTAGAAATCAAAAAAATTTACACTTCTCACGTTTCCTTGCACTGAATTTTTCAAAATGGGCCAGAAAATTATATTTTTGCTTCTAAAAGTTGCCTAGCTCTCAAAAATAACTATTTGAAAAATATTCGATGGTCCAGAAATCAGAAAATCTTACATTTCTCACGTTTCTTTGCACTAAAATGTTCAAAATGGGCCAGAAAACTGAAATTTGGATTTTATATGTTAAGTTTAAGCACCAGGCTCTTAAAAATAGCTGTTTGGAAAAATATTTGATAATCCAGAAAAAAAAAAGAAATTTCGGTTCAAAAAATGAATTTGAGCATTTTGATGGTCCAGAAATCAAGATAAGTGTTATTTTTCCCGTTTTTATTTTACAAAAATGTTCAAAACCAGCTAGATAATTAGAATTTGAGATATGAAAGTTGAATTAAGGCCACTCTTCGTGAATTCTTGAAACAAAAAACATCATTGACGGTCCAAAAATCAGAAAAATTGACATTTTCCAAGTTTTCTTGTACAAAAATGTTCAAAATCGGCGATAAAATGAGAAAAGATCAGTAAGGAAATTTAAATTTTGAAACCAGACATTTGAATTTTGATACCTCCATACTCCAACGATTTTTTGTCTTGATGACGTCATTCTAATAATTATTTCGGTGATTTATGACGTCATTAACAGCAATAAAAATGTAATTTTCACCTCCGACATCTTCAGTCTGGATGGTTGGGATGTTTGCAGTGGTCGTCGGGTTCAGGGCCGGCTCATCTTTCTTTTTCTCCTTTTTCTCTTCTTTCTTGTCCTTTTCTACCTGGAAAATTGGCTTTTGAAAAATTATTTTTTTATTCATAAATTTTTGAATAAAAAGTACGCTAATTCATTTCCAAAGTCTACAGATTGAACTAAAATCGAAAAAAATATAAAGATAAAGTGAAAAAAATCCGAAGCTAATATTGAGCTAACTAAAAATTCAAATTTTCAGGCCTCCGATTAAAATTTCTTATGAAACCTGCTTTTACTGTATTTCAAGGTCTTCTGTTCCTATAAAAATCAAACTTTTTTTCAATTTTTTTGTCATATCTCTCTAAAATTCTAAAAAAATCATAAAAAAAAACTTTCTCTATGTATTTGAAGTGTCATGAATCTACTACAAAGCAAAAACTGATTTTTCCTTGTTTTTTTAAAATCAGGAAGCCTTGAATTGAGCCAATTTTAATAAAAAAATACGGTCCAAAAAAAACTCTTTTGAAAATTAAAAAATTACCCATGGAGCGCACAAGTGTCAGGGCTAATTCAAAAATTCCAATCTCAAAAAAAAATTTTTTTTTTTCACAATTGAACTCATAACGTTCAGTTATCCATATTTTTAACTTTTTCTATAAAATACGTATTTATTCTACAAAAAAGCCGACCTTGGTCTCCTTGTCCTTCTTCTTCGCCTTGAGCATGGCCGACGCTGGACCAGCCGCCTGCAAAAAAAAAAATCCTTAAAATACGAACACTTTTCTTCTTTTTATCACTCTGTAGAATCTGGCGGGACAGGAAATTACGGAGAGAAGGAATTTATATTCAAATGAGGTGCTGAAACTGGCAGAAAGGAGATTTTTTTCTGACCCTTTTTCGACAGAAAACACGATTTGAAAAAAACTTTACTAAATTTTTCAAACTGTTTCATTTAAAAAAAGCTTCAGTGATGATTTTTTTAACCTCCTTTCTTAACTGAACACGATTAAATTAATGTTTTTTTCCGACTATTAAAACTCTAGGAAAATTTATATTAATTCAAGTTTTGACGGCATTCCTTGAGTAAAGCGAGAAAGGCTGAATAAAAATCGGTGGAAGAAATTTTTTTCATCTGAAAATGATAATTTAAGGCTTATTTTGCTTGGAACCTCGAGAAAATAGTGATAAAAAAACGGAAAAAAATTTCGATCCTATTTTTTTATTTTTGCGGAATAAATTATGATTATTTCTTTGATACTTCGAAAAAAAACAAGACAAAGTCCGTGATGAATTTGTTAATATTAATACAGACAGAGTCCTCAAGAAATCTCTAAAAAAGGTGTTCAAAGCCCAGAAAATCCATTTTTAAATGAAAAAGCTGAAGAATTGACAAAAAACGACCTAAAATTCGGTGAACCGATTTTTTCTTAGAAATTCTCAACTGAAAATCGAAAAAATCGCTAATTCTCACTATTTCTGTGAAAAGCTCTAGTAACCCCTTAAGGGCTCCTCAAAAATTACTTGGAGAGGACACTAAAGTGGTCACTATGAAAATTCTTTGGAAGTTACTATCAATACAGTAGTTTTAGAAGTCTAATATAGTCGATGTGCCACGAGTTGAAATTTCATGGAACGACACTCCGCTCGGTGGCCTTGTGGCCGTGAAGAATCAATGCCTTTGCGGATCTCGGTCACGCTTTCCCATTTCATAATTTGCCGTTTTCAAATAAATTTTTTTTTTTCGATAATTCTTTAGTTTTACGAACTTTTTGGCAGTGCAATGGATGAATAAAATTTTTCGGAATGCCAATAAACCAGAGGATAAATAAGCAGTGAAAAACTTATGTTGACTGAAACCGATCTCTGTATTTCATAGTGCGTACACTTCTTCATTTTATACTCACTTTCTAAAAAAAATCCATTAACCACGGCAACAAACAGAAAAAAAAAACGATGAAAACATTAAAACATGGCTTTAACAAAAACACATTTTTTATCGCTTTTTTCGAGGAAGATCATGAAATTTACTGTGTTCTTTCGTTTACATTTGTAATCTTTTTCAACGATAATAATACATTTTTAAAGAAATAAAATAATTAAAAAAAGATCAAAATTATAAATAGGCAAAAAATTAGCGTGGCCGAGGTTGGCAAATTCGCACGATGTGCGCTACCGCACAAATCGAAACAGCGGAGTGTCGTTCCATGAAATTTCAACTTGTGGCACATCGACTATAGTACCATTTAGACTCCTAAAAAGGCCACTAACATTTAGCCACTCAAATGAATGCTCGGAGAGAACCCTAAAGTGACCACTACAATCACCTTTATAGTAGTAACTATTTTGGGTCATAGTGGCCACTACAGTTATTTTTTTTAGTCCTAGCAAATCATTCAGACTTCTAAAGAGGCCACTAATTTTATTCACTTAAGTGACCTCCATTTAGACCACTAAATTGGCCACTAATACTCCAAAACCGCAAAGTGGCTACTATAAATTTCTTCAGAAAGGCTTTCCGAATCACTAATCTCAAAACAAAAACCAACTGAAAGCCTGTCATTTGTTACGGAGGAAAAAAAAAAGAACTGAAAAATAAACGGGACTCAGTGTAACAGGAAGGAAGGAAGCAAGGAACACAAGGCTGACAAATCCTAAAAATAACTAACATTTCTGGGGCGATTAGGGAAAATAAACACGAGAAAGAGGGGAGGAAAAAGAAGGTCACAATCAATTGCAACAATCTCCCCGGTCGATCAATTAACAAGGCCGTCTTTTTGGAGGTCGAAAAACCTCGTTTTGAATTTCCTTGCAGGTTACTTAGGTTTCTGATCCTCAATTCGTTATTCAAGTGGTCCCTAGAGCGTTATTTGGAGCCTCGTAGTAGAAAATTATTTTTTGAACGTGAATATGAACCAAAAAATTTTCCCTTTTCGTCAATTTTTTCAAAAGTTCCATTTAAAATGATGATGCTAAGACCGTCTTTTGGAGCCTCGTAGTGAAAAATTGCCTTCTCAAATAATCCTGGCTCTGCGAAGTTGAATCCAAAATGGTTTTTTGCTTTTTTTCGTCAATCTTATTGGTTGAATCTACAATTTGATTAGGTCTTTGATGAGAAGACCGTCGATTGGAGCCTCGTATCAAAAAGGATTTCTCAAATAATCTCGTTTTTTTTGGAAATTGAAGGTGTCATAGCTTTTTTCGTCATTTTTATTGATTTAATGTACAACTTTTGATGAAAATAGCGTCATCTGGAGTATCGTAATGAAAAAAAATATTTTTTTGAATGATCTCGGCTTTGTGAAACTGAACCGAAAGGAGTCATTTGCCTTTTTTCTCGTCAATTTTATCGATTGAATCTACCGTTTTTGATGAAAAGAGCGTCATTTGGAGCTTCGTAATGAGAAGATGACTTTCCAAATCAACTCGGCTATGTGACGCTCAATCAAAAAGGCTTATTCGCCTTTTTTTCGTAAATTTTCAAAATTTAATCCATGAATTCCAATGAGTAGAGCGGTATCTGGAGCCTCGTACATTGAAAATAGGCTTATGAATTATCAAAACAACTGCTAAGTACTAAAATAGATAAAAAAATATTCCTTAATTCAACTTTCTGCTGGTTTTCAGCTTTTTTTGCAACAGGGTTTCAACTATAAAATCTGTAATTTTTAAGCTTTGTCCCAAAAAAATAATACTGTTTGATTAAAAATGTATCTCCTTTAGAAGGTTCTTCCAAGAAAAAAAAAGTTTGAAAAAATTAAAAAAAAAAAGAAGTAAACTGGAGCTTCGTACTTAAAAAATACGCTAAGCATTCATACCTAGGACCTTTTCAAGCTTTGAAAAATCGCTTCCCTTTTCAAAACTAGACTTTTTCGGGAGCAAACTTTCAAAAATGTTCAATCATCGTCAGATAAAATCTTGTATTCGCGAAAACTTCCGAGGAAATGAGGAACCAAACAATTTTCTGAAAAAAGTTCAATCATGAGGAATGTTACCAAAATAAATCGAAAACAGTTTCGAACCTCGAAATTTTGATTTGAAACTTATCAAAAATGGGAAAACCTTTTAAGGAGAAAAAGCCGTAAACTGGAGTCTCGTACGATGAAATTAAAACAAAGCTATTTTTCTAGACTAGTTCTAATTTGTTTTTTTCAAAATTTCAATATATTCTTCACCTATTTTTGTTATATTTCAGCTGAGAAAATCTTTGAAAAAGCGACTTTTTCAAGCTTAAAACCATCGTAATTTGGAGTCTCGTTGAGAAAAAAAAAATCGTAGTTTGATGCCTCGTTGAACAAAAAATCTTCACTGACTTTCAAGCTAATCCAAAAAAATCTAGAAAACGCGGACACTTTCTAATCGCAAAAACCAAAAACCGAAGGGGAAGCGGAGAGCGCCAATCACAAGTTATGTACACTGGGAAGCAAGCAGGAAAAAAAAAGAAGCGAAAAAATGAAAAAGAAGAAGAAGAAGAAGAGATGCTGTTGGCTAAAATGCGACGGCGGAACAGACGTGCCCCGGCCGATGATGAGCAAAGTTGCTCGGTGGCTAACCGGCCACGCCTACTTTTGCTTTCTTTGTGACGTCACGCTTCACACCATAAATGTGTTAAAAGGGAACGGATGAGCTTTTTCTCTTTTCTCTCGAAAAAGATATTCTTTGAAATTCGAGGCGACCACTGTTCCCAGAGGGCAATTAGACGCGTTTTGTGCGAAAAATGGCTTTTTTGAAAGTTTCAGGGTGTTCTGGGAACCTCCCAAGTAGGACCTTGAAATAAAGGACCTATTTTTTTTTAATCCAGAGACTTTCAAGTCTGATAATTTCCTGAGAAGTTTTTCGATTTTGCCAATGTTCACAGCTCTCATTTTGATGCGAAAAATTAGAACTTTTTGGGAGAATTTCGAGTGGTCACTTCAGTGGTTTTGACGTTTTAGTGACCACTAGAGTAGTACAATTATGTGGTTGAAATTTAGAAGTCCAAATGGTAAAACTAAGCTAATAAAACTGCTTTAGTGGCCACTAGGACGCAAAACAGTGGCTTCTATAGAGGCGGTTTAAGTGGCCACTTTAGTGTCCTCTATAAGCAACCCTTGAGGAACCCCTTAAGCGGCCACTAGAGCTTTTCGCAGTTAGACTCCTTCAAGGATAAGTGAAGAGATCAATCTAGACTAAAAAGCGATTTTGAACAAGTTATCCGATTTTTTTTTAAATTATTTCGAAACGATACTCCAAATTACGAGCTTCTCCCTGCTCGGAACACACGAAAATATGCCCAAAAGCAATTGAAAACTCAGAAAAAAGGTTATTTTATTCAAAATCTACTGCAAAATTCACTAGAAAATTCTAACCTTCCCTACAAAATCAGAAAATTCTGCGAATGATTACGAAAAAAGGCGGAAATTTTGTAGCCGTGACAGGTGAACCTGAGATTTGCGTCAACAAGGCGTAGGAGTTGCTACAAATTCTATACTTTTTCTCTTATACTGTCTCACACTATCAACTTATATCAATATAAAAAAAACTGTTTCTTAAAAAGACCTTAAAAAAAGACCATAAAAATGAAGAAATATTGCTGTAAGAACTCGAGTCGAAATGAAAACATTTTTTTGGACAATATTGAGAACATGATGAATCAACCTGAACAGACACGATTCTATTCGAAATGAAAAAAAGACAAAAAAAGAGAATTTCAAGAAAAAAATCACGAGAAACCGAGAAGACATTCTTTGAACTTAGAATTAAAGTTTTCAGGTTTTTGACTTTTTTTTCAAACGATGCTCCAAATTACGGGGGTTTTCGAGTCATTTTTGCTAGTTTTCAATCAAAATTAAAGCAATAATCTTCAAAACTTAGATGAAAACAGCTTGAACCAAAAAGTGGAAATTTCAAAACTTTGGGCTTTTTTCCAAACGATGCTCCAAATTACGGGGCTTTTTAAAGTTAATTTCGCTAGTTTTCAATCAAAACCAAGGCAATAATTTTCAAAATTTAGATGAAAACAGCTTGAACAAAAAAGTGGAAATTCCAAAACTTTGGGCTTTTTTCCAAACGATGCTCCAAATTACGGAGCTTTTTAAAGTTAATTTCGCTAGTTTTCAATCAAAACCAAGGCAATAATTTTCAAAATTTAGATGAAAACAGCTTGAACAAAAAAGTGGAAATTCCAAAACTTTGGGCTTTTTTCCAAACGATGCTCCAAATTACGGAGCTTTTTAAAGTTAATTTCGCTAGTTTTCAATCAAAACCAAGGCAATAATCTTCAAAACTTAGATGAAAACAGCTTGAACCAAAAAGTGGAAATTTCAAAACTTTGGGCTTTTTTCCAAACGACGCTCCAAATTACGGGGCTTTTTAAAGTTAATTTCGCTAGTTTTCAATCAAAATTAAAGCAATAATCTTCAAAACTTAGATGAAAACAGCTTGAACCAAAAAGTGGAAATTTCAAAACTTTGAGCTTTTTTCCAAACGATGCTCCAAATTACGGGGCTTTTTAAAGTTAATTTCGCTAGTTTTCAATCAAAACCAAGGCAATAATTTTCAAAATTTAGATGAAAACAGCTTGAACCAAAAAGTGGAAATTCCAAAACTTCTGCCTTTTTTTTCAAACGACGCTCCAAAATACGGAGCTTTTGAAGTTACTTTTTTGGAGTTTTTTAAAGTTTTTTTTGCTGAATTTAAGCCGTAACCAAGGCGTTAGCTCCAAAGTTTAAGTATAAAAAAAATTTAAGAAAAAAAGAATATTAAAATTCCGAAACTTCAGGCTTTTATTCCAAACGATGCTCCAAACTACGGGGCTTTTGAAGTGAATTTTGATAAGTTTTAGGTGTTACAGCTTCAGAAATCACTCCCATAAGCAACACAAGCCTAGAAAATTCTGCGATTAACTACGAAAAGGGGCGAAAATATGAAGCCGGAACAGGTGAACTCGAGAGATTTGCGTGAATGCGGCTACAAATTCATATACTTTTTTTCTTTTTTCAGCTGGACATTTTGAAGGAAAAGCAATCGGAAACGAGGCGAAAAAGCCATTCAAATCCCATCTCGGCTCTTCTTATCTCATCTTCGACCGACCTTCTATTTCGGACCGAAAATCGGGAAACAAGGGTTCGAAGATTCCGCAAAAAAATGAAGGAATTTTGCGAAAATTATTCATTTCTAGGTAGTTTTGAAGTCATTTCCTACACTTTAAGCTTAATTGGAAGCACCAGGAAGTGAAAATACGTGATAAATATCGATTGGAATATTT